CGTTAGTAAAGCTAACGGTATAAATACTATATATCGCGCTAAGCCTTTTATATAAGGGGGTTATATAGTATAGAAATAGGATTAAGGATAAGGGGGAGCCTTAAGGGACTCCTATTAGCACTTAAGTTAGCTCTAAGGTCCTCTTATTAAAGTAAAGGGTCGATCTCCTATTACTTATAAAGCTCTATATTAAGCTTATAAGCTACCTAGGGTATCCCTTAAGCTTTAGTTCCCTTATAAGCTTATTATAGTTAACCGTGTTAAATACGCCCTTAATATCTAGCTATAGGAATAATACGATGCCCTTTTAGGCCTATATCGCGTATACTAGTTCCGTTACTAGTAGGATCGCTGCTTTTATAGAGCGTTCCCTCTTATTCCCTATTTATCCGTTTAGTAGGATGCCGTTCGCCTCCGCTACTCCCGCGATCCTTTAGGCTAGTATCTACTTAAGTACTTTTCCTACTATAGGTAGGAGGGAGATTAGTCTCTAACCCCTTACTATATAGTAGGCGTCTAGCCTCTTACTTAGCTTCCGGATAACTACTACGTTCGCGCTATAGAACTAACCTAGGAAATATAAGAGTTAGGTATAGGCGTTAAAGATTATAGCTAGTCGCTAGACTAAGGCTAGGCTATACTTCTTAATAAACCTTAAGGGAACGCTATTTAAACCCGCCGCTTTCTAGCTTACTATCTTACCTAGCGCCCTTATAACGTCGGCTAGCTAGATCTATTAGTTAACTATAAGGGTCGCCTTAGCTATAGGCTAAGGTAGCCCTTAAGTTATACCCTCCTTTAATAGGAAGAACTTAGCGGCTAGTAGCTAGGCCTTCCCTTTAAAGGTTTCTATTAGTTAGTCCTTACCTTCTTTAACTAGTAGTAAGATATAGGTTAGTTTTAGTAGTAGCTTATTATAGAGTCTTACCTACCTCTTTACGTTTTAAAGCTTAGTATTATTAGCGCTAAATTCCTTTAAGAACTCGCGCTAGTAGGCCCTCCTCGCCTTATAGACGGTCCGCTTCTAAGCTATAGACGCCTTATATAGGTCTTCTTAGTTCGCCTTATTCCTTTCCTACGTATACTTCCTCCTTGCCCTCTTAGCCTCCCTTATCGCCCTCCCTACCTCTAGGGTAAACTATATATTGCCCTTAGGTAATACTTACCCTTTAGCGCGGAACTATAGCTATCGCGATCTACGCTAAAGTAGTAAAGATATAGTCTAAGTCCTTATCGATATCCTTAAGCGTCTAGAGCATTAGCTAGTATAGTCCTAGCTAGGATATAGTCTCGGCTTTAACTAGCTTTACTTTTACTTCTTTTTACCTTAGGGCTAGTTTAGGTACCTAGGCCTAGGTATTAACCTATAGTATAATAGTTTAAGGGATATAGTCTAACTTAGTTAGGTCTAGGTCGGGCCTAGTATACTATATTTTAGTCTCCGGCGTTGCCTAAGCTAGGTCGATAGTACTATCCCTTTAGCTATAGAAGAATCTTATATACTCCCCTCTTAGGGTAGCGAGTTTAAGTTATAGCCTTATCGCCTCCTATATAAGTTATATCGCGCTATCTAAGGTTCTATTATATCCGTCCTAGAGTAGGTAATAGATATTAAAGTCCCCTACTATTACTATAGGGTACTTTAGTTCGATTACGCTTAGGTTACGTAGCGCTCTTACCCTCGTAGCCCTTAGTAGTAAGTAAATTACCTATAGTTTAGTACTATCCCCGAAAATTACCTCGCTTTAGTCTAGTCTAGACTAGGGCAACTAAGTCCCTAGCCCGAGCCTTTTATATATATATAGCGCGTACCTCCCCTCCTTATAGACTAGGCTATAGGGCGCCGCTCTAGGGGGGGGGGGGCCGCCTCCTAGTATAGCTTCTACTTCCTATAATACTATTAGGTTAAAGCCGGCCTAATAGTAAAGCGCTAACCGAGCTAGCTTATATTTCTTTTATATATTCTAGAATAATACTTTTAGTTATATATAGGTAAGGTTAAGGTAAAAGAGGTCGTTTATATAAAGAGGGAAGCGCTATATCTCTTAGCGCTTTTCTATTTACTATACCTATAAATATTATTCGTACTTAGTTCGGCCTCCCTAGCCTTACTAGCCGGTAGGTGTCTTAAGCTCGACCTCTTATCCTAGCGCGGTCTACTTAGTCCCCGCTTCTAGACTATAGTCGATTTAAGAACGCCCTAGGTTTCGACGGTAAGGAGTACTTATTACTTAGCGTACGTCTAGGTATTCGCAAACTATTAAGGTCGACGTAAGTAGTTTTCCCTTATCTTTTCCTAGGCTTTATTCGCTATAGGGTAGGTCTAGGTCTACGATAAGTAGTCCCCTTAATATAAGATATAGTTATAAGGGATTTCGCCCTTCTTAGCCCTATATTTATCCTTACCTCTATTATATACTATACTCCTATATCGGCTATAGAGTTATATCGATATATATTACTTAGCGATATAGCTATATCTATAGTAGTTATAGTACCTCTATAGTTAGACCGACTTATTATAGGGTTTATATCGGAAGATCTATACTTTAAGGACTAGGCCTAAGTTATAGAGCTTATTAGCCTCCTTTAAGCTACCGACCTTAATAAGTATAGTTATTACTATCGATATCTTAGATCGGGGGTATAGCGCCTAGGCCTAGAGGACCTTAACTTTATTCGCCTCTATAATCTTATAAAGTAATCGCTCCCTATCTACCGTCGCTACCCTTAAGGGGACGTTCTTTGCGACTACTATATACGCGCGGTAAAAGATTATAGCCTCTAGTCTAAACACGGCCTTAACCTAGCCTTAGTCCCTTTAATAGGCTCTCGCCGCGGTATTAAATATAACCGCGATATCTCTACTTTAAAGGCGCCTCGCCGCTATAGCGCTTATAGCTTTTAGGGCTATATTTACCGCCTTTACTATATCCTTCGGTTCGCGGCTTAGGATTTTAGGCGGTGCCCTAGTAGGGACTACGATAATCTCGTATTTATAGCGCGGTAGGACCTATTTTATTATAGCTTTATATTAGGTCGGTCCCTTAGTCTCGGCCACGACCGCGGCCTAGGTTCGCTTAGGGCCCCCCGGGCCCGAAGCAATGCCTAGGCGGAGTTCTTCCTCAACTGCCTCCTTAATTATATCCCGGATTATCGTCTTAAAGCTCTCGTCCGCGCGGAGCACCGCCGATAACGCGCTACCGGCGCGGCTCTTCGCCCTAAAGAGCCGTTCGACTACTGCCTATACCCTACTAAACTATACGCTTAAGATAAAGCCCGCGAGTTCGTCGTATGCTGCTTTTTCTACGGGGTCGCTCGGCGCCCGGGCCGGTGTCGCATCGCTGCTTTAGGTTTATTAACTCGCTCTATCGGGGTATATAAATTCGGGTAGCGTTTCTTCGCGCTACGCGCTCTAATCGAGCCCGGTACGTCGAGGGCCGCTACTACGTCTACCTACCCCTCGGCCTCGGCGTAGTATCGTTACTAAGGGTAATTAATGCTGCTAAATTAATTCCTAGTATTAGTTAGTGTTTTAGTCGCAATGCGTACCCGCTATAGGCGTATATTAGTTTCGCGAGAAGTTTTTTAGCTTTTACCTTTTAATATATATTATTCTTTTTTTACCTAGCCCTATAGTAAATATATCCTTTATAAGAGCGGTTAATAATAATAACCTTTAACTACTAAGTTATATAGTAAGAGTAGGTTATATAACCTTAATTAACTAATATTTAAACCCTTCTTAGGTAAGAGGGGGCAGCTAGTATAACGTACTTATATAGTATAGAGTACTAGCCGCTAAATAAACTTTCCTTTTACTATATTTACCTTCCCTTTTTTATAGGATATAATTAAAAGCCCCCTTTATTTTTAGATAACCTCCTTAAATAAATAATAAAGTAGCTAAATTTAATATTAAAATAGCCTTATATTTATTAGACTAAACGCTCCTCTACCTATTACCCTACTATCTAGAAGCTAGGGTAGTAAGGGGGTATATTAAGGAGAGTAAGTATAAGAGGCTATAGTTATACCTAGTAGACCTAATAGTTATATATAAAGAAGCCTGCTTAATTAATATAACTCCCTTAGCCTAAGGATATTATATAGGCCTAACTTAGGTATAGGAATATCTTAATGCCCTCTTTTAGCTAGCTATATATAATTACTATACCTATATAAGCCCCTCCCTTATCCTAATAGATAGACTAAGATATATATTACTAAATTTACCTTTCTATACCCCTATTTCTTCTACTATACTCTTAAGCCCCTACTTAAGAGGCACCTTATTAAAGGTGTTATTAGTATAGTTTATAAGTCTTTATCCTACTAACAGTTACTAAGACACGAAAATAGGTTAATAAATAGGGTTTAGAGCTTGCTAAACTACTTGTTGCTTACTAGTAGGTACTGCCTAACTAATGTCTTCGTCTCTTAGTTGGCCTAATAAAGCCGGCGCAGCAGCCCACCGACTAGTTGTTCATTAAGAATTTCAACCAGCGAGATGCTACGGATGCCACCACTACGGACACTTACCTTACCGTTTTAAGGCACCAGCTCCGATCTATAGGCGGTACGCCTGACCGGGTTATTTTGCGTTAACTTGCACCTTTTTTAATGTACTAACAATATATCCTTTTAAGCCTCTTAACGGAGCTCTCTTTTACTTATAAATAAGGCAGGCCGCAGAACCGAAGTTCTAACAATAAGCAGTATCGGTTTTTTGGTGGTTTTTTTTGGGGAAGAACTCGGGTTTATGGGATAAATAGCGAAGTCAACCCTTGTTTTAGCTTGTCAAGATTTCCTCGCAGTTCGGCCCATACCGCTAGCTCGGTCTTCGCCTAAGGAACCGGGTAGTCTATTATAATAACATTCCCCACTAACAAACTGCTGGTAGCCCGAAGATGAGAGTTATGGCAGATGTTAATATCTTTGTACAAACGGGATAGGGTCCAGTCATTGCAGCAATATGCGCAAGACTAGCTTCTATCTATCTAATCAGTCTTTTGCCGGGCCGCCTTGATTTTGTCGCCCATGCGCCGCATCTGAAAATAGCCGGCAGTGAGGCCTTCAGACATCCACCTGGGTAATAATGTTCCCAGGAAGACAACAGTCGACATGCCGCCGGCCCAAATGTAGTCCGGGCTTCTCCCGACCCAACCTCCCAACCAACCCTCACCCAGGAGAGCCTGCGAAACCAGCTTCTTGGCAAACACGTCGTGCGGCATCGTGCTGGTCGTTTGGCTGAAAGTAAGCCTTCTCTCGTAAAAGTCTACCACGGGCTGATATAGTGAGTTGCTGGGCAGCGTGCGCCCGGGTCCGCTGGCAAAGTTGGAGCGAACAGTGCCAGCCATGCAGGTCATGACGCGGACATTGAATGGTTTCAATTCCATGCGAAGCACACGCGAGTATTGCGCGAGCGCGGCTTTGGTCGCCGAGTATACGGAACTAAACAGGTAAGGTATCTCGGAAGAGGCGGACGAGATATTGACGATGAGTCCGCGGGCGGGAATGAGGAGGTCGATGAATGACTGTATCATACGCATCGGACCAAAGACATTGGTCTCGTAGGTTGCTCGTGCATCGTCAAGGTCAACATCCAACGCAGGGATTACATGGGGGCGCCCGCTAAAACCAAAGTAAGCCACGGGAAAGTCAGTCAGAGAAGCAATCCGGATGATACTCACGCATTGTTGACTAAAATATCGAGCTGGCCACCAGTGAGTTTAGTCACTGCGGCCTTGCACGAAGCAACGCTTTCCTTGCTGGTGACGTCGAGCGCCAGAATGCTCAGACCCTGTGCCTCAAGCCCCTTGATGACCTCAAGGCGACGAGCAGTGGCGATGACATGGCAACCTGGGACTCCCAAGTCAGCTACGTACCTGAATTGAGGAATTCAATACCGACTGCAAGACATGCGTACCTCTTCTGTGAAATTCCAGAGCCAGAGCGTGCCCAATGCCTCCAGGGGTGCAGCTACGGGGACGTGTGAGCGAGCGCATTGCATGGTGGAGGACGCTGGGTGATTGCGGTAGCCATACCCTGTAATCAGGACTGTCTTCTTTGCAGGTGCCATGTTGTGCAGCTGCCGGAGACCGGTTAGCAACCAACGATTATGGAGCTGGAGCTTGGTTGCGAGAGTCAATCGACTTTGGGACTTTTGAAGCACCTTTAAGGATGAAAGTCGGGTAAAATCACGAATTATATAGTTCACAGCGCTGGAGCCAGCCAGAACTGGCAGGTCCAGCTGCCGAGGCTCACTAATAAGCCACCCGGCACGTGCAGGGGGAAAGTTATGTAATTTCCTTTGGTCTCTTGTGACTAATCCTGTGACCTCTGCAATTTAAATCTGGGTCGAACGAGTTGTTGCGACCACGGCACGTGACAGGCAATGGGAGCAAGACGAAAAAACGGGGGGCGCAGACTTCAAACACGCATTACATGGTGACACTAAGAACACGAGCACCCATTGTGGCGGCGATGCAGAAGGCGCAGCTTTGTGCTGTACCTTGTGTTGCCGCGTCACCTAGACTACATGCAAAGAAAGGGCTGTTGATTCATAAAAGCGTCTGTCAAAGACTATCCTCTGAAAGCGCTCGGAAGAGGATATGAACTGCAAAAGGCAGAGCCCGAGAATAGGAGTACCAAGCCGCCGTCTTGCAGGCTGAAGCACCACCTGGAGGAGCCTGGAGGTCCTGCACAGTGAGGCAGGTCCCGTCCCCTGGTGGCAGCCTGCAGGCAACGTCAGCGCATTCCCGACCCAATCAGCGCCCACCAGCCTCGCGGTGTGAGCGGCTGGCCTCCCCCCCCGCCAGGCCCCTGCACCAGCCTCTCTCGCGCCCTTTTTTCCCCCAACGAGGCGTTCGATGGGACCCTTCTATCCGCTCTGGCGAAAAAGAGCTACCTGCATCAAACCCGACCGTGTCTCTTCGGCCACCTCTCGCAGTCCTCCATCCAACACCTGCCACTACTCTCGTAACACAAGCACGATCGATCGCCTTGCTGCATCTTGCTTGTCCATTTTACGCACAGCTTGCTTCACCCCTCCGCTTACGTTTGCGACTCCGCTTCGGTGCGCCGCGCGCCTGCGACCGTCTTCAACAAATAAACACCTCGTCCGACCGAGTGCCACCACGGAACCCTCGCGATGACGCTCAAGGAAGAGTTCCAGACGAGGAACTTTAGTACGTGCTTCTCGTCCGTTGCAGCTGATGCTTTGCCACTGCGGTGCTGACCCCTTCAACAGGCATCTACGGACAATGGTAAGCTTGCGACCCGATGCGCCAGCGAGGTGCTTTCCGAACAGCCCCTAGATCAAACTCCATTACGACGGCTCGATATGCATCGCTTTGGAAGAATAACACGTCTCGAGAGCCGTGGTGGCTGATTCTTGCTCCACAGGCTCGGCATCTTGTCCATGATCATCTGCCTCGCAACGGGCATCTCGACCATCTTTACCTTTAGCATTGCCCTCATCGTCTTTTGCGCTTTTGCCATGTAGGTTTTAGGCATGCGTCCGGCGCCTGGCCATCTGCGACTGACATGGGCACTCTAGCGCTTCGTCCTTTCTTATCCTCTTCATCGAAGTCCCTCTCCTCCTCCGCATCTGCCCGACCTCTGGCAAGTTTGACGAGTTTGTTCGCAAGATCTCGACCAACTACATGCGCGCCGCCGCGTACCTCGTCATGTCCGTTATCCAGTTCGTCAGCACTGCTTTTGGACGGAGCGCCTTGATCGCCGCCGGCGTCTTCCTCCTGCTTACCGCCATCTGCTACCTCCTCGCCGGCATCAAGGGACAGGCCTTTGTCGGAAGCAAGACGCTTGGTGGTCAGGGCGTCGCTCAAATGATTGTCTAAGGACGCGGCCGAGACTCCGACACTGCGCGCCAGGACGACGACCAAGCGCTGCCGGAACCAGGTGGAGCTGGATGCGATGGTTCAGGAGTTTGAAGCATGGAGGATCCCGGCTCGAGGCGTGAGCTGGGACGGAGGCATCAGCAGGGCGAAGTGGAGGGAGGGCTGATCATTTGGCCTGCTCAGTTCCTGGCTTGGAGGCTTGAGTGGGTGATGGGCCGCATGTTTCAGCAGGATTTCGGCGTCTGGAATGAGAAATGCTTACAGTTGCGTTGCGTGGCCACTTGGCGTGCTCAGTTGCTTGCGGGGAGGAGGGTATGCGGATTGCTCGGTCGCGAGGCCGAGTCTTTGTGACTATACCAGCTTTTGTTCTATCAGCCTACGTGGAGTAAGTGCCTACTGCTTGGTGTCGCAGAATTGATAGAGGGTATGCTGTGCTCTGCAGCTTGTCAGAGCTTGGTCCTGATGAAACGTTGAACGTTCTGGCGGGTTCAAGTTGGCGAGCCGGGTCGATATGTGTGTGAGAGCCGTTGACGCGTTGTCTCGATTCGAGGTTTGTCAGCGGCTTTCCAAGGCGAAGCCACGGACATTGAGCTTGTAGCGAGTATTGAATCTAGAAGCTTGGCCCATCCAGCAAGAGAGCTGTTGCAGCGCAGCAGTGGCCAGGAGTGGTGATGTGGTGCTTGTTGACGGGGAAGACATGATTTGGTGGGTGACTGTTACTGCATCATGGCTTCGGGGTTTGCTCAAAACAGCAAAGCAAATATTATGCGTATGCATGGCAGCGCTATTGGAGTGCCGGCAGGCTTCTGGTTGAATTGCAACGTGGTTGTTCCTAGCAGATCCGTTCCTGAACGAGTTCTGACGGATCGAGGTTGGCAACAATCGTCACGCGTCGTCGATCGCTCGATAAAGAGCTTCCCGTCTCTAGCACTTCTTCATCGGGGAGAGGGATTTCCTTTTTTTTTCCTCGTCAAGGTTGCGACCAACCCACACACACTGTGGAGCCATTCATCATTAATGCGTTATTGTATCGATGTGATCGGGACAACCTCTGTCTGATCGCTGTCCGTTGCGATTGTCTGACGCCCCATGACGCAGCATCGAAGCCGAGGGGGGAAGAGAAAGTCGCACACGGTGTGCGGCGTAATCGCCATTTCTCGGACCGCCTATGGCCCGCTGCATGGGCGGGGATTCCCCGCAATGGCGGTGGCTGTAGAAGTCTGCGCTCAAGGGGGCTCTCTTTCTCTCTGAACTATATATTTCTGCCCCTCCTGGACTGTCTTTTCTCCCTCCCTTTTTTCCCAAGCCGAGCTCTGTGCCGGGACTGTTCCCTCAAACCACTGCCAGAGTCAGCCAAGCAGGCGGTGCGCATTGAAACAGCACACAAACGACCTGAGACGGACTTCCGCTTGCAGCCGCCGCAGAGATGCAGGCGGTGTGGGGTTAGTATGCGGGGCGGCCAGAGAAAGGTACCGCTGCCTGGCCGCCGAGGTACCATTTTGACACGGTGACCGAGGCTCGGGTATTTTCCAACGGGCCAGGTCGTGGATGGATACCAGGGTGCGTTGCCAGGGAACCAGCACTGACCAGCAGCACGAGCATGGGATACCTAGGCGGATGCCACTTTACGAGGTTATTGCATAGGTACTACTCAAGTGCCTTTGGTTTCTTTTTTCTCTATACTGAATGAATTTCTTCCTCTGCGTAGTGCTCGTCACCCAGGATAAGAGGACCGTGTAGAGACTTTGGCATGCCCGGAATTCAGTTTGCTAGTGCCAGCGAGGTCTGGCTGTCCAACAGTCGGGTCTATCTTTGGAAGCATTGTGGCCCAAGCGGCTCCATCGTCGTCTTGAAACAGCAAGGCGTACAGCACAGTAGAGGCCAGGTACCTCCCAATCAGCGGCCTTGGAAATCCTCTCAGTCACCCGTGCAGCCCAGTGCGCGTCGCTAGGGCCTGCACGGTAGGTCATGTGGAGCGGCATCGGGAGCCAGGCGACGGGCCTCAATCGATGATACAAGAGGCAGCGTTGCTGCTCGAATCCTGCTTCCGCCGCCTCCGCCCTTCTGTGCCTCGAGAGAGCATCATCTTAGCCCTCAGCTTACATGCTGTAACAACCGCCGCCTTGTCGGGTATTCAATACCAACGCAAGCATTTCATGTAAGTTCCGCCTTCTCCCTCCCGACTCCTCTCCCGCCCTGCAGACGCCGGCTTCTTGCCTTGCTGCCCTTATCGCCCGGACCTGAGTTGCGGTCAACGCTTCAGCAATAAGCAGCTAGTCCTCGGCAAGCTGCCGCCCTGCAGCCACCTGCGACGGCGTCCTATCGTGCTTCATGTCCTTTGATTGTCATTGACCAAGAGGCTTGTGTTAACCGCACAACTGCCAACATGCGCCAATCGCTAACCCACCCTGCGCGATTAGACACGCTTTACTACATCTCCCTCGCCAAGCTTCTCATCCATACTCAACGTCTTGGCCTTCGATTCTTCTTCCACTATCCAGAATTTCTCTCTCTACTCGGAAACAATGTCAGCCGCAGCCACGCAGCAGACGCCCGCCGTGCCGCCCCGTCCGTCCAGGACCATGGACAAGGAGGGCACGGGCACAATGCCCAAGATCCCGCCGCGCCCGGCCCATAAGCACATCGATCGCTCCGTTTCGCCCAATCCCGATCGCTTCGCTCCCTCGCCGCTCAGCGGCGGCGTCACCGTCAAGCCGGCCAACCGCGCCCAGTTGCTTGGCCCGAGAGAACGAGCCGACGAGGCCATCGACCGATCCGGCAGCGTTCCCATGCCGTCGGTGGGCGAGGAGGGCGTCGAGTACAGCGCCGTTGCCGACGAAATGAATTACGAGGAGCGCCGATCGTCGTCACCCGAACAGACCCGCACCGTTGGCGAGGACCTCAAGCTGCATGCCCCGAAGCCGTCGCTTCCGGCCGCCAGCGCCAAGCAGCAGGTCATGGCCGTCACCCGTACCGACTCGGACCGGGCCGCCTCGTTTGGCATTGGCAGGCCCGGGAGCACCGCAGGCGAGCGCTCCGCTTCCCGCAACAGCAACAGGAAGAGGCCTGGCAGCAGTTACTCGGCCCACAGCGATCACCACACGGACGACGAGCAAGGCATCCCCGAAATCGGGCAGCGGGTACCCATGAACCCGCACCTGGGGGACGTGCAGGCCCCATCGCCTGGCCCCGGCGCCACCTCAGAGGGCGCCAACAAGAGGCACCACGGCCGCAAGCTCAGCGCCCGCGGCCTTCCTCCGGGGAGCTATGGCCTGCATGGCCATGGCGTCGCTCCACAGGACAAACTTGACAAGGCTTACTACCAGAAGCACCCGGAAGTACTTGAGAGGGAGCAGCACACGCCGCTGCACGACCGCCAAAACGACTTTGCAATGAGCAGTTCCGACTTGAACAAGTTGGTCAGAGACACGGCCAGCCGTCAGTCTGCTCCGGGTAAGGACGAGACCAATTGGCCTCAGAAGACGCATGTTGCTAAGTGGCGGTCAGGCAATGCTGAGCTCCGTGGAACCCCAACCGAAGAAGTCGCTTTTCAAGCGAGCGAGGAGTACACGTCTCGCATTTCCTCGTCCCGCCCGGCATCAGCAGCCCCTTCCCAAAAGGCTGCAGCACATGCCGATGCCACTTCTCCCGACGCCGAAATGCCCATTCACGTCGACGACGCTAGGCATCCTGAGCTTTACTCATGTGGCGACGAAGACAATGTCGTCGCCGAGGAAGAACATGAGTACAGTGCTCCGATTCTCGCTCCGGATCAAGTCAGCAAGGATCCCAGCGCCCAGCTCCAGCACCCGGCCATTCACCCTCACCAGGAACGTCGTGACAGCCTGGAGGCCGAGGAGCCATCAAGTCGACCTACTAGCCGCTCAGGCCACAACCGCGCCCCCAGCTACCAGCGGCCCGAATTCGGCTCAACGCCGTTAGAAGACGTCGAAGAGTATGAGCCGCTTTTCTCCGAGGAGATCAAGGAGGAAAAACAAAAGCAGGAGCCTGCGGATGAAAACCAGCTTCGCCATCACTTCCCCAGCCGTGATGTCTGGGAAGATGCTCCCAGCAGCGTTCACTACACCGCTGAAGTGTCAACGCCTGAGCAACCCGAGCAAGTCATGAGAAGACCCTCGACACAGCACGAAGATCGGCCAATCACTCCGGCGCAGGCTTTTGCCCAGTATCAAGAACAGCTGGCGGAGAAAGAAGCCACCGGCCGCACCAACTCGTTGCCCCTCTCCGAGGAGAAGCCCACATGGATTAGCCACCAACCGCATCTGTCGCCTAAAAAGGTTGGCAGGCCTCCGCTGGCACATAGGTTCCCCAGCCGAGACATCTGGGAGGAGACTCCAGAGAGTCAGCTCCAGGAGGCCGTCGTGTCCGCCTCGCCCACGGAAGGAGACAATCCAGACTCCGCTGCCCGCCTGACGAAAAAGCCTTCCGACCCGTCTGAATCGCCAGCCGTACCAGACCGTCCCAGGCCAAGGCAAAGTAGTGGCGACAACTCGGCCAAGCCGAGGCCCCCGGTATCTGACAAGCCGAAGCCCAACATCCCCCCACGGCCGACCAAGACCTCACCGGGAGATCCTAGGGACACGTCCGTCTCCAAGTCGAAGCCCGCGGTACCTAGCCGACCCGTCGGCAGTAAAATTGCCGCGCTTCAGGCAGGCTTCATGAGCGACCTGAACAAGAGACTGCAGTTGGGTCCTCAAGCCCCTAAGAAAGAGGAGACCGCCGAAGACGAGGTAGGCGAGGAGAAGGAGAAGGCACCTCTGTCTGACGCACGCAAGGGGCGGGCCAGGGGCCCGCAGCGTAGAGCGCCAGCGGCCAAGACACCCGCCGCAGCAGCCACATCGTCCGCGGTGCAGGCACCCGTCATTGCTTTGACTCTCTCTATACCGCAGACATCTTGGTCCCTTGACCCTGACGATGGCGACATCGCCGTCGGAACGGAGAATGAAGCAACACCGGACACGAGCACGGAGGCTGAAGAATGCCCGGAGCCAGCTCATGTGGACGGGGCGCAAGTATCCGGTGGTAGCCGATCACAGCCCGTCCTCGTGGAAGAGCCCCAAACTATAGACCTCTCCCATGGCACAACGAAGGTCGAGCAGGGGGGCGAGCGGGAAACACTCACACAGTCAAGTCACGCCGAGGGCGAGAAGAACGCTGAATCAAAGGCGAAAGAGGAGCCGGTGATGGAGGAGAAGACGCTGGTCGCAAACATGGCTGGAGAGAGCGTGTTGGAGACGACCGTGGAGAAGGCCAAGGATGGGAACGAGGTTGAGCCGGTGGAGGTACACGACGATGTCAAGGCTTAAAGCACGGCGGGCTGGGCTGTCTGGATGAGCCAGTTTGTAGTTGTTGCATTCACCTGCCTGGTTTCGGGCGTCCCATGAGTCCTTGAACAAGGATGCGTAATGATGCTGTAGTTGTAGGGACCATTGTAGTCGTCGTGACATGCTTAACCTCGCTGTTGCCGTGAAGTCTCCTCCCTCACGGGGTTATTTTGGCAAACTGTTGGAGTGTACAGATAGCTCTTAAGCAAGCTATTAATATTGACAGAATACGAGGTTCACTGGGCACCTTGCACAATTCCTAGATCCTATTTCCTCCCCCATGGCCTTTGTTCGTGTTCCACACCACGCCGTTCCCTGTCAAGCATCTCGTCGAACTCTTTCTGCGCCTGGCCCTTTGCCACAGCCTTTTCTTCGTCGGCGCTCGAGAAGGAGTAGCTGTCCCGGAGTCCGCGGGACTGCGGGCTGGCATTGTCGTCACCCGCTCCCATTCCTTGAGGGGCCTGCCAGGACTGTTGAGGCCGCTGGGGATTTTGCTTAGACTGCGGTTGTTGGGACTGCTGCCGGATGCGGTCCCAAGCAGAGATGCCGCCTTGGGAGTCGTCTGGGCTGGCGCGCATGGATGGGGCGACTGGCGAAGCGTCATCGAGGTCATCCGAAAACGTGTCCCATTTGTCACTTCGTTCGGGAGGAGCTGCTTCCTGTGGCGGCTGTGCTTGACGGGGTGCGCTCCACGCAGCTTGGGCCTGGGCAGACACATTGTTCTCTGTCCCATACGAAGACTGATCTGTGGTGCCACCAGGCGACCGCTGGGAAGGCCATGATGGTGCTTGCTCGTCGGTGGGATTGGCAGGTTGGGGGGTAGCAGCATTGTTGCCGAATATATGGGACCCCTTGGCCGCGCTCTCGCGCATTACATCAGCCAGTCGAGGATCCTTTTTCATCGAGGCAAGCCAACTCATGCTGTTGTAGGCCTCGGCGATTGGAGTTAGGGTCAAGAGGCACGCCGTATAGTATGCGCCGAAGCGCGCCAGGTGCCACATGGCCCGGACCTGCGCACCGCCGGTAAAGGGGTCGAGCGCGCCGCCCGTCCGGGGCTTGAAGAAGGGAAACCGAAAGGTTTTGCGACCCCGGAACGTCAGCAAAGCCGCCAAGCCGGTGATTCCCCATCTGTAGGCTAGGCCGGTGTTGATGCTGGACAAGAGGTGTTCGGTAAAGGCCCGCATCTCCGTGTCGGTGAAGTGGCGGCCGAGGGGCCCGACAAAGGACCCGGCCACGCCCTCTGCGGTGGCAAGGGACCGCTCGCGGCTGTAGCCACGCATGCGCACGTAGAGAGGAGGGTTGTAGAAGGGGAAAAGGCGCTGGACCTGTGCGTGGACCACGGGGTCCTCGTATCGGTGTCTGAATGCTCGGTTTCGCCTCTCCTCGTTTGCGGGAGGCGCAGCGTTGGCCAGTTCGTCGCGGCCGAACCAGGCGGGGCTGCTGTTGGGGTCATTGGGGCCTCTGGGGCCACCTGGGACCCCATTGTTTGGGTTCTCCATGATGTGACGTGCTGCTTGGGAATGGGAGGATTGTGTAAAGGGCTCATTAGCTGTGACGCAGGAGCGGAGCGTGGGCGAAGAGTCGGGGCGAGCTTAATCGATAAGACAGCCACGTGATTCCAGGTTGGTGGCCGAGGCAAGCGGGAGGATTTCGCCCATGTATTCTTCCGACTAGTTTCCAGTAGCTACAAGTACCTTTCCAATCCGGAGAGGTCGCTTGCCCCTCCTTTCTCCGCCTGTCTGGTGCATGATCCACTCATGCAGGTACGCAGAAGCGACCTGTCTACTATCGATAGACACATTTACACTACTCGCACGGCAGTGGAGACGCGCCTCAAAGTCAACTCAACGCGTCTCCCTTCCATCCCTCAACATATATCCGTCCTCTGGTCCCGCATGACCAATCTTGCACGGATGAGCTCGACAACGCGCCAAGTCCGGTCATGACCACTGCGAATCATGCCGCTACAGAAGTCGTTCTCTGAACGCGTCGGGACAGCCACAGTGAGCGAGCCTCTGCGGCTCGGTGCGTGTTACTCCTGATTAACTCCCGCGAACAGAACCGACAGCCATGGCATCGATCCCATAGCCACCCCGTCAGCTCGACAACGCTGAGGCCAAGGCCTCTACAGCCCGTGTCAGAGGTGACTAAGAAGAAGCTGAGCAAGTTTCAGTATCAACCGCGTCCGGATGAATCGACAGGCGAAGATGCCGACTTGGCGGTGCCGAGTAAAGAGTCGCCCGTAACTTCAAACAAGGACTTCAAGGCTGCCACGCCCCTGACTCGACTGAACTGGCGGGATCTCGTGGAGCCGGACGCCCCTGCTGAGGACGAGACGAACACATCTCCAAATGATAAGATCATGTGGAACAACAAGCAAGACTCGCTCTACGTCTCGGCACTCTCCCCCATGATGGCTCGCAAAAGGAAGCGTGCAAGAAGCTCGTCTCCGATTTCGTCCCCGTCTGCGGACAAGCCGGAAACGCCGGCAATCGATGTTGGAATGCTCAAAGAGGCTTTGAAGTCGTCCCGCGCCGATCCAACTCTGGAACTGTGGGATCGCTACTCTCTCAACGGACCCGAAAATGCCGTCTCGCCGGCGGGTGCTGTGAATCCGGTATTGGAGCAGCTGATGATATCATCCCCGAAGCCTCTCAAAGACATATCGGCACCGCGGACCGAAGGGAACCTGCGGCGAGCCATGAGTTGTGGCTTGGTCTGGCCCAAACGGCGAAAGATGTCCAAGGTGGGGAGTCAAGGCGAGCAAAGAGAATTGGAGGCTGCCTCAAAGTCTTCGCTGGTCACGGCGTTGCTTGACACGGCGACGTATAACCTGCCCACGGAAAGCCCCCAGCATAACGCGTCTCCGTCGCCGAAGAAAAGACGCCCGCGCCAGACAAATTCTAGCTCTCCATGCCGGGCTGCAAGTGGCGGTGGCGCCGAAAACATTGCGTATTCGGATTACGGCGACGATGACTTTGATGATGATACTTTCATGGAACTCGAGGCAACCATCCAGATCGCGGACCCGCCGAAATCGTCGACCACGGTGACTCAGACAGGGCGAGAATCGAGCGAGACGGGGCGACTCTCACGGGCGGAAATAGACGAATTCAAAGACCTCGACGACAGCATCTTCGACCAAGCCAATGGGCTTGCGAACAATTCGGACCCCCCTAAACTAAAGCTCGATCTATTGCGAGGCGGCCCAACAGCTCCAGAATCGAAGAACAATGTTCAAGGAGATCCAAGCGATGAGTTCGAGGATGATTTCGATGGCGATATCGACTTTGACGCTGTCGAGCTCGCAGCGACCCAGTCAGTGCAACAGCGGCCTCGTTCGGCCTCGACCTCGACGACAAAAGTACGTGACAACGCTGCAGGGTCTTCCTATTACTCCATATGCTAAGCAAAGGTAGACGAACCCAAAGGCCAAAACAATTCAGCGATACTTAGTGACGACTGTTCTAGAGGGCGAATACGTCGACCAGCACGGCCAGGCTCGCCCCGAAAAGGTAACGCAGGCCACCCTCCTTTGCGGTGCCTTGTCTAACCTCGCCTAGGTTCTCGTCATCCAAGCCGACGGCTCGAAAATCGTCAGGACAGTGCAACTGAGAGGCTCTTGGTTCGACACGCCGGCTCACGCGGAGTCCTACGTCCATGTCATCGGCGCCTTTTCCGCAAAGGGGCAGTGCATCGTCGATGACGCGCAGAACCTTCTGATCCTGCATCCAGACCAGCTGGTCTCGGCAACTGTTGTCGCAGACTCGTTTAGCTGTACGCGTCGAGCCGTCCTCCAGGACAGAGTCAAAGCCACGGTCGAGGCTTCGCCCCCTCTTGTATATGGCACTATGCTTCACGAGATTTTCCAGGAAGCCCTTCTCGCTAACAAGTGGGACCTGGACTTTCTCGCCCAGGTGATTGAGAGAATAGCCGAGAAGCACGTCGAGGACTTGTACACCATCAAAGTCGGAATGGCCACCGCGATAGAGCATCTTCAGTCGAAGATGACGGAGCTGAAGTACTGGGCCACAGCCTTTGTGTCTTCTGTGCCCAAGGTACTGTCTGCCTCGACCCGAAACCTTGCATTCTGAATGCTGACACTCGATTAGGCGGACGCGATCATCGAGGACCGGAACGGGAAATCGGCGAATGTGGCCATCACGAAACTGCTCGACGTCGAAGAGCATGTATGGTCTCCAATGTACGGACTAAAGGGGAACATTGACGCGACGGTCGAGGCTGTCATGCTGGACGGCAAGCAGCGCCGAACCGTGACAGTCCCCTTTGAAGTGAAAACAGGGAGGTTCGTGAGCAGCAGTCACATGGCGCAGACGGCGCTGTATACCCTGCTTCTCTCGGATCGATACGATATCGATATTGTCTGTGGAATCCTCTACTACATGGAGACATCTAAGACGATGCGAATCCCCGCCGTGCGCCATGAACTGCGACACATGATCATGCAGCGGAACCAGCTGGCCTGCTACATCCGAGAACGAAGCGTCCAGCTGCCTCCGATGCTCAAGAATAAACAATTGTGCGGGAGGTGCTACGCCAAGGCGTCCTGCTTCACTTACCACCGGCTGGCGGATGACGGTGATGGGGAGTCGAGCGGCATGCACGAAAAATTCGATGAGCTTGTCAAGCATCTCACACCAACGCATCAAGAGTTCTTCGTCAAATGGGAGAACCTCCTCACTAAGGAAGAAAAGGACAACCAGAAGATGAAGAGGGAACTGTGGACAATGACGAGCGTTGAGCGGGAAAAGAAGTCTCGATGCTTTGCCGACGTGGTCATCGAAGAGGGATCCGCCTCGGTCGACAGTCTCAACCCCCGGATCAATCGCTACCATTACACTTTCATCAAGCGGATCCACCAGCCTGGATTTTCCTTTTTAGAATCCGAATTGTCGGTGGGCGAGCCGATCGTGGTTTCGGATGAAGAGGGACATTTTGCTCTCGCCATCGGTTACGTGACTTCGGTCCGGAAGCAGAGGATAAGCGTCGCAGTCGACAGACGGCTTCACAACGCTCGGATTCGGCAGCCTGGCTTCGACGAGGCCGACAACCAGGTCTTTGCGAGCATTATGGAGGTGGCGCACAAAGGGGCGTCGACAGATCAAACCCAGGGAAAGATCAAGGAGCCGCCGGTGCGATACCGTTTGGACAAGGACGAGTTCAGCAACGGCATGGCCACGGTCAGGAACAACCTGTTGCAACTGATGGCCAACGAAGTGCCTGCCGCGGCGCAGATGCGGCGCTTGGTCGTCGACCTGGCTCCCCCTCGATTCAAGGCGGTGCCCTCGCAGTACACAATCGCGGATCGCGAGAGCCTTAACATTGACCAGCAAAAAGCCATCGAGAAAGTCATGAGCGCGCAGGACTATGCGCTGGTGCTGGGCATGCCGGGCACTGGAAAGACGACAACCATCGCGCACATCATTCGCGCGCTGACGTCCCAGGGCAAGAGTGTGCTGCTCACGTCTCACACGCACACCGCCGTGGACAATATCCTCATCAAGCTCAAGTCGGCTAAGATCCCTATTCTCCGTCTGGGGGCACCCGCCAAGGTCCATCCCGAGGTGAAGGACTTTGTCCACCTTGCAGGGGAGCCGAAGAAGACGTTTGAGGCCATCAAGGAGGCCTGGCACGGCACGCCCATTGTCGCGACAACCTGCCTCGGCATCAACCATCCGGTATTTTTGGAGCGCACGTTCGACTACTGCATCGTGGACGAGGCGTCGCAAATTACTTTGCCGATCTGCGCCGGGCCTATCCGGATGGCGAGCTCGTTTGTTCTCGTGGGCGACCATAACCAACTGCCCCCGGTAGTGAGAAACGAGGAGGCTCGAGAAGGGGGTCTCGACGTGAGCTTGTTCAAGCTCCTATCAGACACACATCCCGAGTCTGTCGTGAACCTCGCGCACCAGTATCGCATGTGCGAAGACATCATGACGCTGAGCAACACCTTGATCTACGAAGGAAAACTCCGCTGCGGATATGACGCGCTGCGTCATCGCAAGCTGCACGTCCCAAGCCTGGGTGCCCTCAGGCACGTCCACTACGACGCAGCATCCCTGTCCGGGCCGGGGACGCCTCGGTCCATTTGCACGGGGCCCGCGCCGTCACGATGCTGGCTGTACGACCTTGTCGACAGCGAGGCGCGGGTGCGCTTCGTCAACACGGACACGATCCGGCCCATGGTCCGCGAAGAGGCCCAGGGCAAGCGCATCGTCAACTCGGCAGAGGTGCGCATCGTGGCGCAGCTGGTCGAGAGCCTGCTCGCCGTCGGGGTGCCGACCGGCGAGGTGGGCGTCATGACGCACTATCGCGCGCAGCTGGTTCTCCTCAAGGACCGGCTCAGGGGCCACGCCAGCGTCGAGATGCACACGACGGACCGGTTCCAGGGCCGCGACAAAGAAGTGATTGTGCTCAGCCTCGTGCGCAGCAACGAGGCCTGCAACATTGGTGACCTGCTCAAGGACTGGCGCAGGATCAACGTGGCGTTTACGCGGGCGAAGACTAAGCTCCTCGTCGTGGGCAGCAAGAGCACGCTCAAGCACGGCCGCGAGGACAACATGCTGAGCAGGTTCATCGCCCTCATGGAGAGCCGCGACTGGGTGTACAACCTGCCCGCCGACGCCATCAACAACCACCACTTTGAGGAGCTGTGCACGCCGGCGACGGCGGCGACCCAAAGGATCAGCCCGGCCAAAAAGTCGCCCAAGAAAGCGGCTGCCACCCAGTGGGGCAAGGAGAACCGGCGGCCGTCGCCGAGGAAGGCGCGCATTGGAGAGAAGCCGCTGCTCAAGGGCAAGCTGATAACGAGGGACATTCTCAACGAAATGACAAACGGCGCATATCAGGATATTTAGGGATGCCAACATGGGGTACCAAGCGTGAGAATCGGGCGTTTTATCTGTTTGGGTATCAATAGGTGAATAGAAGCTTCATCTCCCCACGTCCCCTCCCCCCCTCCACCCCGTGATTTCTCGACCGTGAGCCCTATTCTATTTCTTCAATAAGTCGTAGCTTTGGCGGCGCCAGTCAGCGAAGAGCACACATGCGCACACAAGGCGGCCCGTCGACTTACCCCTGCTCGCCGACAATGAGCTTGGTGTACTTCTCAAGCTCCTCCATCTGTGCGACGCAGCCCGTCAGGCTGGCGTTGTACGAGTACCTGTACATGTCGCTCCACCGCTTGTGCCACTCGGCGTCCGTCTCGCGGGCGTGCTTCGACATTTCCTCCTCGACCTCGGCCGACTTGATGAGGAGCCTCTTCCTCGCCGCAGCCGCGCTCGGCAGATAGCGCTGCAAACCCCATGGCAATCAGCAAAATGCGATTGGAATAAAAAGTTGCAGCTCCCTGGCAACAAACAGTCTGGCCAACTCACAGGCACTTTGCGCTGCGATCGCAGCGCACCGGCAAGGATGTAGAGGTTGCCCAGGATGGTGGCCACGGCATCTCGCCGGAAGCTCAGGAGCTGCTCCGCCGCGACGGGGTTGTCGCGGATGTAGTCTGGGTTGTAGAAGAGGGTCGACTGGCGTACGGCCACGAGATAGTCGAAGAAACGCTCGCAAGCATCGGCCAGCGCCGAGTAAGGGACGGGGTCGAATGGGGCGCGCAGACGCATCTCCTTCTGCGTCATGGCCTGGCAAAGCGTGAGCGACGACGTGCTACGACTCGACTTGACGCACGCCCTTGACTCACCAGAAGCTGCCTGATCCGAACAAAGCCCTCTCTAAGGCGCCCCTCAAGCATTTCGGATCTTTGGACTTCGCTAGGGGTAGGCTCTTTGCCCTCATTGAAGTACACGTATCGGGCCACCACACCTGTTGCACATTAGCAGAGGGTGGCTTGGGTGAGCAAAGACACGTGAAAGGCCTACTGCGATAGATGATGCTCATGAAGAACATCATGGATGAGATGGCGTGTCTCAGCTCGTGCCTCGCCACAAACGGCCATAAAACCCAGTTGACGACTCCGGGAGCCGTAACTCCTACAAAAAACGCAATACCTTTCAGCAAGGCAAAGAGTGCTGGGGAAGTGCCGCCGCCGTTGGCTTGGAGCCTGAGAGAAATGACAGTAAACGACAAGCACCCGATCAAGCCCGATCGCTATCGAATCGTCAGCTCATGCCTCCGCGCCGTGACTTGGAGGTGTGCAATACCGGATGTGAGCTCTGCGTAAAGCGGTACAGCATAGGGAGCATGTACACGGCAGCAAACGCGCCCATGACGTACGGGTTTCCGTTGCCGGCAGCGTATGCGGCGCCGCTCCAAGCGGCACCAAGAATAGCCAGGAGTCCTCTGGTGACGAGATCCTGCACGTTTCCTCCGACCCTGGGGTGCAGTGCAAGCCAGCCGACGGCAACTGCCCACCAAGCTTCGTACTCGTCCCACCAGCCCTTGCTTTGATCCAAGTATCCCGGCACGGAGAGCAAGGTGGTGACAAGGCAGACTTTGAACGCATATCTGCTTTCGAATCCTTGGAGACGGTACAGGACGCGCCAAATCCTATATCGTAGACGATTCTTCTTTGGTGTCACTGCAACGTCGGCTTCGGCATCCATGGTCGCGTGGGAGCCTTGAACCTCCAAGCCGACATCCTTGTCCTCGTCGTCTCCTCGAGGTATGGGCTTGTGCTCCACAGACTTGATCTTGTCCAGGAGGTGTGCTATCTCTGCAAAGGTAACGTGATAAGACCCAGCAGTCACGCCTCCGCGATCATGTCTCACCTGGGCATTTGTTCGATAAACGGCTTTCCAAAACGGATAAGACGGGAGGCACAGCCGCGGCCAATCGGACGACTCTTGCATGGCCTGCACCTTGAACACCATGCTCTCGATGGCGGCAGCAGCTTCGCGAACATGGCGAGCGAACACAAAGAGCTGTACGACGTCACTGTCTTGCATGGAAGAGTCGGGGAGCCGTTGCCCAGAGCCGAGGAGCTTGGACTCGACGGCATCGAACGCACTCTTTGCCTGGTCAAGACTCGTAAGAAGCGGTAGCAGGGACGATGAAACGTCTGGCAACGGACCCAAATATTTGCGATGACCAGACTGGTCCATTAATGCGGCATCACACCCCTGCAAGGCTTCCGTCATGCAGGACAGCATGCGCTTTGTCGGATCGCGCAGCTCCTCGATCGCTCTGCGGCTGGCGTTGTCCTCGCTCGGGCCCAAGTCTGCACTCTTGGCATCTTCGAAAGCGCCCGAGGCAGGCCCATCCACGGTGATGATGATGTCACGCTCAGCCACTGGCTCCTCGAACAGACAGGTATCTGTCTTGAGGGTTAAGAGGGCCCGGATGACAGCTTGCGTGAGATTGCGCAGCTCCACGATGTCGGCTGGCCGAAATCGGGTAATTGTCATGTCTAATGCCATGTCACGGCATGCTTGCGATAAGTCCACGAAAGCCCGCGCCAGGCGCCGCCGAAGCCTGTTGTCTCGAGGTTTTGGTATGACAAGAGCTTCCTGCGGACATACAGTCAGCCAGCAAACGCTCCAGTCGGTGAGCAAGACGAACCTGCATAACCTGGAAAGACGCGTGCAGCGTGGAAGCTATGGCTCTTGAACCGGCGTCAGGGAAGACAAGGCAGTTGGTGACCAGGGCGATGGCCTGCCCGAGCAGCCAAGGGATACCATAGTCGAGCAACTTCGGCCAACTGATTTCGCGGCTGCTTGTCTGGGCCAAGGTGGTGAAGATGACGGCAATGCCGGCAGACAGAACTGCCTGATGGAATCTGATGAAGAAGGCTCGAATCAAGGCCATGGTAGCCGTGAACAGGGCGAGAAATAGCGCCAGGATGCCCGCGTACCCTGCTTGCGCTGCCAACGTCGACGTAGACAGCAGCAGGCCTATGGCGCCCCATCCGAGCCCGCATGCAACGCCCAAGATAGTGAGAGCCGTGCCGTCCACTTGAGCTCCAAACGGCCTGGCCGGATGGTTGACGATGATGGAGAGAGCCATCATGTAATGATACGGACCAAGCCATGAGCGGACCAAGGGTACAAGACACAGCACGTAGGCCACGTAGAATGCAGTGAATGACTTGAGAAGCGAGATGCCCGCTCGCGTGGTCGTTACCCGCTTAAAGATGGACCGTAGCTCGTGCCATTGCCTGGGAAGAAAGTGTCCGGTGGCGAAGATGGAAGGCTTGTCAAACTCGGCGGGAAGCGTATCCTCGCAATGTTCCAGGAGCTCCAGGGCAGACAAGGGCGACGACTTGACGTACATGGCATCGAAAAAGCCATCTCGAAGGTCTGACACACCGTAGGTCTCCGTGTCTATCTGGTCATCTGAGATCATCTGGTCAATTTGGGCGATGCTGATGGCGGAGCTACGCCTGCTCCAAGTGCAAGATGCAGGATCTGCCAGGTAGACCCCATCTGAAGGTTCTGGGAGCGGTGGGCGTTGCAGCTCGTCTTGCCGCTGGCGCCGCCGACGGATCTGGGGTGGACTTGAGCCATCTAGAGGAGGCGCCGCTTGGTTTGACCCAGCACTAGACATGGTGCCGACGCTCCCATTCACCCGCTGAGCAACGCTTCATCGAGTTGGAGAGCGGGCGCGGGCTGGTGATGGCAAGGCAAGAGTAAGACAAACAGACGGGCCGCTCTCGGATGGAGATTTGCCCCCAGGGGTTCTTTGAAACCAGACTTGGACACCCTGGCGACAGGGTTCTGCTGATCGAACGGCCGATGGATGATTCAGCACAGACAAGTAGGGCCATGCAAATGTGATCCATGGGGAGGGTTTCCGAGTGATGATTGACGTCGAGGAAGAAAGGCATCCCGAGACGGGCTAGTTGTAGGGAGGGTCTGGAAATTTAGGAAATTTAGTCGGCGATACCCCACAGCGCCTCTGCGCGCATTCCGGGGCCTACTTGCCTACCCAAGTAAGGCGGAATCCAGCACTAGTACACCATGAATGCTAGACGGGAAGTGGCCATGGCCAGCACGCTTTCCGCGGATGGCGTTGGCACACAGCAAACATCGTGAATTCATAGCCGGGCTTTGAGGCTCTTTTCCGAAAAGGCGGCGATGGGAGGCAAGAGCGGTATCGCCGTCTGCCGCTACACCTTATCGACTCGGCAGAGGTCTTCCGTAGCGAATATGCTTTCGACGTGTAATAAAGCAGAGTCATTCACTCTGGCTTCATTCCGTTGCTCTTGGTATTGGTAGTTCAGCCGTGCGAAATGCAAAAGTGGGGCTGCGAGCCAACCCGGAACCTGCAACGGCATATCACGTGATCTGGTCCGATGTCCCCCCCGGTCCGGTCTCCTCCGACTTCCCCATGACGGTTGCTCCTCCACCAACATCACACCTATCAACCAAGTCCCAGCCATCGAGGCAACGTACAACCTCCCCACTCGGCCGAGCCGCCTCCAAACACGCATATCGCGCCCCGATGGCCCTCTTCCCACGCCCCGTCGCGCCGCTGCGAGCGATGCGATGCGCCCGCCAATCTTCCGTCGCCCTGCGCTCCTCTTTCTCCATGTCTTCGACACGGCAAGGCGGCGGCCACAGCAACGAGTCCCAGTTCGACCCTCCCACCGGCTGGCTCTGGGGCGTCAAGCCCGGCGAGAAACCCGAACCCGAGGGCTGGGAGTGGCCCATGGCTCTGTTTTTCGCCACAATCGTGGCTACCGGCATCGCATTCGCCTTCAAGCCTGACACAACGTGAGTCTTACCCTCCCTTAGTCTTGCCGGCGTACGGCTTGCAGCCATCGCATTGGCCTCATGCCCTCTTATCTACCGCATCCTTGGTGGCGTTGCTTGGCCGCATGCCTCCGCTCCCCGACAATTACGGGCAACGCCATACTGATCAGTACTCATCCTTTTCCAGTGTCTCTACTTGGGCTCTCGAAGAAGCCCGCCGGAGGTTAGAAGCTGAGGGCATCCTGCCCGATCCCTCGCCGAACCAGCCTCAAGACAAGAAGGAGTAAGGAAGTCGTGCACTTCTGCGACGGATAGACGTGGTGAGCCGCCGGTGGTGAACCAGACGACTGGGTTGCGAGTTGCACACACTTGTACATGTTTTCGTTCGTTCTCTTTTCTTTCCATCTTGGGCAACGAGTGCAGATTTCTTCAGGACACGAATCACTAGACTTGACATTGCACGCAATCGATGGCGAGGTCTCCCTCTCTTCTCCCGAGAGGTTAACTCTCGGGTCACAGCTTGACATGCCTTGCACCAACCTCAAAAGGGGTTGCTGCCGAGACATACGCCCTGTGGTGCGTACACTTCCCCGGCGCAACCACCTGCTGCGCAGACAGGAGCCTCGGTACTATATCTTTGTAAATGACTGCATGGCCGCAACACCCCGGAGTACCATCTATCCGTCTCGCACGCCCTGTTTATTCGAGTTTGACGCTCCACTCATGCTCCTCATCGCCGTATTGGATGGCCTCCATCCACGCCTTGATCTTCAGTGCAATCTCACCAGACTCTTCGTTTTCCTTCAACCCACAATCTACTTGCTTGCCCTTCCATGCAATGGTCCGCACCGGGCTGACGATGGCTGCCGTGCCGGAGCCAAAAGCTTCCAACAAGCGGCCCTCGATGGACGCCTCGTAAATCTCCTTCATTGTGAATTTGCGCTCGGTGATTTTCCAGCCCTCGGGGCCAAGGCGCTCCCTCGCCAGCGCCAGAACCGAGTCCCTCGTCACACCCTCGAGGATGGTCCCGTCAAGCGGAGCAGTGATGAGCTCCCTCTGGCCAGTCTCCCGGTCTTTCATGGCGACAAACATGTTCATGGTGCCAACCTCGGTGACATACTCCTCCTCGCCAAAGAGCCATAGGTTCTGCTGGTAGCCACGGCTGGCGGCCTGCAGTTGGGGAACGATGCATGGCGCGTAGTTGGCCCCAAGCTTCTTGTCGCCGACGCCGCCGGGCCATGCGCGGACAGCGTAGTCGGTCGCCTCGAGCGAGACTGCCTTGAAGCCGGTTGGGTAGTAGGGGCCGACGGGTGAGGCAATGACGTACAGTAGGGCTGAGCCAGGGGGGCCAACACCCAGCGTCTTTTGCGTCCCGATCAGGGTGGGACGCAGGTAGAGAGAGTAGCCTTTTTGGTCCGGGATAAAGCGAGAGTCGAGATTGGTGAGCTTGCTGATGAGTTGGATGAGGCTGGTCGGCTCAAAGGTAGGCAGAGCGATACGGGCGGCAGACTTGTTCAGACGGGCCATGTTTCTGTCAGGCCGGAAGAGCCGAATCTTGCCATGCTTGTCCTTGTACGCCTTCATCCCCTCGAAGCACTCGAAGGCATAGTGGAAGACACACGTCGCCGGGTCCAGGGAGAGGTTCTGATAGGGAGTGATGTGAGGTTCCATCCAGCCTTGCTCCTGATTCCACTCAATGGCTAGCATATGATCTACAGGAAATGTTAGAGGAAAGAAGATGACAGGCAGTCCCGGGACGCACCAGTGAACTCCCTGCCAAACACGAGGTCTTCGGGTTTGCTCAATGGCTTGGGGGTCTTAGTCTTGGTGATGGTGAGTCTGGAGGGGTCGAGGATGTGCAGCTTCGATACCGACGCAGCTTCAGCCTTTATGCTGTATAGCCGAGCCGGCTGGCGCACAGGGAGTGAGCGTGAGCACCTGGCAGTGGCCCAGAAGGCGCTCCGCACCAGACCGGCGGAGACGCGCATTGCGACGATTTCGGCGCCCGGTGCGACGACGGCCAATTGTGCGCAAGTCGGGGAGAGTGATTGAAGCAGGACGGGTGTAAAACAAGGCGGGTCTTCAGAGTAGCGACCTTATGTTGAAGCTGGCGCGGACCTCGAGAGGCGCGGACGTCTCTCTCGAGGGTGAAAAAGAGTCTTGACGGCCCCGGTACCGGAGGACGGAGGCGCAGCTTTTGGGGGCCGAAGATAAGCGTCTCGAAAGGAAGGCATACACGCGACTCGCATGTACTGGATACGTTCTCAGCCCCCCATCTCGACGCCATCTGGTCTGTACACAGTACGGATTGTGCAGCAACCTGGCCAGTTGCGAAACAGGGACGTATCCAGTACCTCGTGCCAACGACACCACGCCCTCCACAGCGAGTACCAGCCTACAGACCTTAGTCATAGTCGACGTCGACGTCTGAGCAAAAGGGGCCCTTGGTTGCCATCCATCATTGGACAGCTTCAGGGCTTGGGCGAGGAGACGCCGCCAACTCATCTCTTTAACTCTTCAACTGTCAAGCCAGACGGCACATCTCTACCGACCGCTGCCGAGCTCCTCTCCCACGTCAAGCCGCCAGACGACGACATGATATGCAAGACTTGGCGGCCTCGCTCAGCATAATCGCAGCATGTTCTCCTCCGCGCTCAAGTCCATCTCCGCCACAAACATCACCGCAAACTATTCCGTGTCGCCGAGCCCGACCTCGACGGCCGGCCCGTGGAAGATATACGATGCCAAGAAGAAGTCGACGGGCAAGGCATACAGCGTCTTTGTCTTTGACAAGAGATCGCTCGAGAGCCATGGCAACTCGCTCGGCCGCTCGGCCGCTTCGTCTTTCAAGCGGAGCGCCGAAGAGGTTGTTGAGCGCCTCAAGAAGGAGGCCTCTAGCCTGGCCAAGCTGAGGCATCCCAGCATACTCGAGCTCGTCGAACCCGTCGAGGAGACAAGGGGGGGTGGTCTGCAATTCGTCACCGAGCCCGTCACCGCGTCGCTGGCGAGCGTCTTGCAGGAAAAGAATGATCGCGAGAACTCCAGTGGCCGGTCGAGTCGCTACGTTACCGAAGACGCCGACGGCGTGCGGCGGCGAAGAGAAGTCGAGATTGACGAACTCGAGATCCAGAAAGGCCTCCTGCAGCTCAGCAAGGCGCTCGAGTTCTTACACGACAATGCCGGGCTCGTCCATGGCAATTTGACCCCCGAAGCCATTCTCATAAACTCAAAGGTTCGCAGTATCCCAATGACAAGCCCAATTCCACCAACTGACTGGCCATGCAGTCTGACTGGAAGATAAGTGGGCTGTCCTTTTGCAGTCCCGCCGAAAACTCGACCAAGCCGACCTCAATTCAAGGCATCAACCTGCACGAAGTCCTCAACATGGATCCGAGGCTTCCCGGTTTCGTCCAGCTAAACCTCGACTACACTTCTCCCGACTTCGTCCTGGACAATAGCCTGACGCCTTCAGCAGACATGTTCTCGCTTGGCCTGCTGTCTGTCGCACTCTACAACTCTCCCCATCGGTCGCCCCTGGAAAGCCACAGCAGCCTCTCTTCTTACAAGAGACTCTTTTCCTCCTCGTCTACCACGCCCTCGCCATCCAACAGCTTCCTCTCCTCGCGCCCGCTGCCCAAGGAACTCTCCAACGACGTCTTGCCGCGGCTCATCACCAGACGGCCTGCTCAACGAATGACTGCCCGGGAGTTTCAGCAGAGCGAGTACTTTGACAACGTCCTTGTGTCGACGATCCGATTTCTTGATTCATTTCCAGCCAAGACTCCAAATGAAAAGTCGCAGTTTATGCGAGGCCTTAATAAGGTTTTGCCGTCATTCCCAAAGTCTGTCATGGAAAAGAAGATTCTGCCAGCGTTGCTCGAGGAGCTCAAGGACCGGGACTTGCTTTCATTGATTCTCCAGAACGTTTTCAAGATAATCGAGCTGCTTCCTTCGGCTCGGCGGGCTTTCGGTGAGAAAGTTCGACCCGCCCTGAAAACCATCTTTGTGGTGAACGCGAAGCAAGGTCAGGAGAAAGACCCGGCCAGGGACGCCGGGCTCATGGTCTTTCTCGAGCATCTCCCTGCAGCAGCAGAAAACAGCTCTGGCAAGGAGTTCAAGGATGGTAAGTAGAACACTGCGCCGACGGCGACTCGGCGAGATGACGGCTGACCTGACTTGCTCAATCAGACATCTTGCCCGTCATCATGGCAGCGATAGAGTGTCCCACTCACGCCATCGTGGACGCTGCCCTGAGAACCCTGCCCGCAGTGCTTCCTGTGCTCGACTTTACCACCATCAAGAACGAACTCTTCCCGGTCGTCGCCATGGTGTTCAGCAAGACCAACAGCCTTGCCATCAAGGTTCGCGGCCTGCAAGCTTTTGTCGTGCTCTGCGGCGGCTCGACGGAAGCCGCAGTTGACGATGGGCTGAATGGGCTTGCAACGGAGAAAAAGACTTCCTCGTCCAGCGCTTTGGACAAGTACACGATGCAGGAGAAGATTGTGCCCTTGGTCAAGGCAATCAGGACAAAGGAGCCGGCAGTCATGATTGCCGCTCTAAATGTCCTTCGCATTGTCGGACAGATAGCTGACGCCGAGTTTGTGGCCATGGAGATCCTACCGGTGCTCTGGAGCATGAGCCTGGGCCCATTGCTCGATCTTAAGCAATTTCAAGCGTTCATGGAGCTCATTAAGAGCCTGTCGAGGCGAGTAGAGGATGAGCAAGTTCGGAAACTTCAGGAGACAACCGGCATGTCCAACGGGTCGACAGCGGGCCCTAACGAGGACTTCCTTGCCTTTGGCGGCGTGACGGGGACCGCCTTCGAGCCGAGCAACGGGACTGACGAGAACGACTTTGAGGCGCTCGTCAAAGGCAGAGCGGATGGCAGCGGCGGTGGCGGATCGTCTGGCAACGGCTTCATGGGGTGGGACGAAACACCTTCTGCCGCGTCGCCCGCGACCAGCAAGTCGCCGTCGAGCACGCCTCAAACACCGGCATTTGCCTGGTCCACGCAGAGCACGGCAAGTCCCGCCGCTGGCTCGAGCAGCAGAGCACAGGGTCAGGGGCCGGGCTTCCGCACGGTGACGCCGGACCTCTCGCGCATGGGGACGCTGACGCCGTCGTCGACGCAGTTCAGCCAGCCACTGCAGCCGACACAGTCAAGCTTCCAGCCACCGCCTCGTCCCGCCGTCCCCAGCAGCGGCAGCACCTCGTCCTCCATCAACTGGTCGTCGACCCCCGCCTCCACAGTCAACCCGTGGGCGTCGACAGCCCCCGCGCCGTCCAACTTCGCCAGCAGTTACACCGCTAGCAGCCCCAATGCCATACAGGCTCCCGGCAGCTTCGCGTTTGGGGGCAGCGGCATGGCGGCGGCTGCGTCCCCGAGTATGTCGTTTGGCCAGAGGCCGGCGGCGGGCGCTTCGCCCAACTCGTCCTTTTCGCTGCCGCCTCCTCCGGGCGGCGTCGCGCAAAGCAGCAACGGCGCCCCCGGCTTGAGCATCAGGCCGGCCCCCGCACCGGTAGCGCAAACGGGCTGGAACATGGGTGGCGCCGGCGCCGGCATGGCGAGCCATCAAGCCAAAAGCCCCGTGAGTATGAACAACATGAGCATGAGCGTGGGCGTGGGCGTGGGCGTGGGCGTGGGCGCGAGCGCGAGCGCGTCAGGTGGTCAGCAGAGGTCGGGGCTGGACAAGTACGAGAGTCTGATTTGAGGACTTCCTTTCCTCCTTTTTTCGGTCTATTGATTTGAAGCAGGGTGGTTATTGGGCTGGTCGGTTGGTCGTCATTGGGATAGTACGGAGCGGGCTGGAAACACAGGATGGACGGAGGGGATCGTGCCTCGGAGGCCTCCCCCTTTTCCTTTTTCTCCCCTCAAAGCGTATAGCAGGCTAGGAAAATAGGGTTCACAACACTTCAATAGAGACGGGGGACGCGGGCCTGCTGTAGAGCCTGTCGTTCATGAACATGAGCATTCCTTCACGTCGTTTCTATGTCTGCCAATGAAGATGCCTCTCCAAGAGAGGAACGAAGCCGTTTGTGTAGTAGACAGTCCAGAAGCGTCCTTTTTCCCCCGCAAAAGAAGCAAAACAGGCTGTTCGTCGCGTTCCTTTTAATAATTCGCCACATTGCTCCTCCCTCCCAGCAGTCTCGCTCGCCCTGTCTAGTCAGGGTGGCGCGAGGAGGTGCCGTCCACCAACGGCGCACAGACCTGATCTGAAAATGAGGAAGAATAAGAAGAAAAACAAGACACAAACATGATGAAATGGTCATGGAGGAGAAACTGTAGCACAGATGCCTAGAAGGGGCTGAGAAAGACCGGGGGTGGTTGTGGTAGTCGCCTGGCCACCCCTCAGGGAAAGAAACGACGCCCAACTCCCGTGGTTTCTGACGCTGAAAACTCCTTGCCGAAAGAACACGGCGCTGGGCGAAAGAGCGGACATGGGCTGGGGGAGCAAGGCTGGACAGAGGCGATTGCGGGCATGGGGGGCAACAAAGAGGGCCTTTTTGATCGGGCATGTTTCAAGAAGGTTGTTCAACAGCGAGGGGATCGGTTGCGGCAACTTTCCGAGTCATTTCAACTCTTGGCCGAGCCCTTTTTGGGGACCGCTGCGGCGGAGTCGCCGTTGCTGGCGGGCTCGGCGGCCTCGAAGACGTGGCGGCTCTTGTATCCGGCCTCGGCGCGCACGTCAATGCGCTGGCCCTCGGGGACCATTTCGTGCTCGAGGGGCCACTCCAGGCGGCGGCACAGTTCGGCGACGACGACGTCGCAGTCGCCGAGCAGGTCAATGTCGAAGTTGATGTGGTTGACGGCCTGGCGCGAGACGTAGACCTGGGGAATGTGCGGCGGGAGCCAGCTGACAATCTCGGAGACGGGCGTCACCTTGAGCGAGGTGCCGATGACGACGACCAGGTCCACCTTGTCGCGGTCGTGCTCGGTCAGGCGCCTGGAGAACTCGTCGGGCAGGGCCTCGCCGAAGAAGGTAATGTCGGGCTTCATGACGCCGGCCTGGGGGATGTCGAAGTCGGACGAGTCGTCGTCGGCGCCGGAGCTGTCGTCGGACCAGCGCCGGCGCTTCTTGCTGCCGTCGGCGCCGGCGGAGCGCTTGCGCTTGACGGCGCCGGCGCCGTTTGCGCGCAGCGACTGGACGCAGCGCGGGCAGCGCGGGATGTTGCCGGCGCGTATGTCGGGGAAGATGCTGTCGCCCTGCAGCTGGTAGCCGCACTGGACGCAGCTGGCGGTGCCGAAGGAGCCGTGGCACTGGATCAGCTTGTCGCGCGGTAGGCCGGCCTTGACCTCGAGGTTGTCGATGTTCTGCGAGTAGTTTGTGAGCAGCTTGCCGCGCTGGTGCAGCATGGCGATGAACTTGTGCGTGGGCGTGTAGCGGTCCGTGGCGGGGACAATGTCCTTTGCGACCGAGTAGAAGATGGTGGGATCCTGCTTGAAGACGTCAATGTCGAACACCTCCTGCGGGTCGTTGAGGCCCAGGTGCTCGAGCTTGGAGTAGAGGCCGGTTCCCTTTGAGCGGAAGTCGGGGATGCCGAGCGACGTGGAGATGCCGGCGCCGGTGATGACGATGATGTTGCTGCACCGGGCCAGGAGGTTGACGGCGTCGTCGACGGTGTTGTAGCACGACAGCTTGGCGCGCTTGGACAGCTCGCGCGAGATGGCCAGGGACAGGAGGCTGAAGTAGGCCTCGTCGGGCTCGCCCTCGAGGAAGGGCGGCGGGCGGAGGCCAAAGGCGCTGAGCAGCTTCTTGGCCGTGTAGCGGCCGGCGTCGACGGTCCGCTGGCAGAAGATGGCCGGGCCGTACTCTCGCAGCTCCCGTCGAAGACGACCCGTCTCTTCGGGGGTGCAGCTGTCTGAGTCTAGGGGTTTCCGCGTGTTAGCAAACATTCTCTCGCTCGCCCTTTGCCCACCTCGCTTCGTCTTTTCACCGTCTCTGACAAGACTGAGAAAAGAAGGCAACAGCCGCGAAAACATGACACAAGGCGTGAGGGAGGGGGGATCAGGACAAAAAACGTACTGCTTGCGGGAGCGGCATTCTCGTTGCTCAGCTCTTCAAACGCATCCTCGAAGAGAGAGTCCGTCTCCCACGACTCGCGCACATCGTTGACGCGCTCCTCGAGCTCGGCAAGCGAGACATTGGCCTCTGCCTTTTTGACGTCGGCGAGGCTCGCGTTCTTGGGCAGCTTGTCGAGCGCCGCCGCGTTGGCTTTCCGCCGGGTGAGGGTGACGCCTTTGGCACCCCGTTTCATCGTCATTTGACGAGCCTTGGCCGGAGGATAGCCGAGGCTGCCGCGAAAAAAAAGAGAGAGAGAGCGAAAACGTGAGAGCAAGGGAGGAGGAGGGCGGCCAGAGACGGGAAGATGGAGGCGGTGGCGAAGAGAGGATAAAAAGGGAGAAGAGAGAAGAAGGTGGTTGCGAAAAGGTCAAGAGACAAATAATGTAGTTTGTGTGTGCGCGAAACTCGCCACGCGCCGGCGCCGAAAAGTCACCAGTTGCGTGGTGGGCAGCGATTACGACTCAGCCGACTTGGTTGCGTTCCTCTGCGGTTTCAGTTGGATGGCGGAGGGCGGGTGCAGGATAGTTGGTTGTTGGTGAATAGTCGGTCTGGCGCGAGGGGAGGCCTTTTTGCAAGGGAACCAGGAGAGCCAGGGAAAGACGGGGTTTGATGGGTTTTTGTTGAGTCGGACACGGCGGCGTCTAGGAACCGCAGCCCGAAAGGGGGCGGTGGTGACGAGAGTCTGTCCGAGAGGAAAATGAGTCGAGAGAGGTGGCGGCGGGTCGTTGAATGAAGCGAAAAGTGGCGAGGATAAGGTGCAAGCAAGAGTTTGATATATATGAGAGAGAGAGAGAGAGAAAGAGAGAGACAGAGGGAGAGAGGGGGGGTGGAGAGGAAGAAGGGGGGAACAGAGGACGATGGGAATTGGAGCGGACAATTAATTAAAAGGGAAAAAAAGAGGCGGCAGGAAGAAAGGTGGCCGATCCCAAGTTTAAAAAAGTACGAAAGTAGGTAAGCAGGCTTGACAAGAGTTCAGGCAGAAACTTGGCCATACGTACGGATACGTGCCTTGTTTACGCTCCTCACACGCAGCAGCACGCACACGCAAAGCAACGAGTCAGTCAGACTTTGGAGCCTCTCTTTGCCGCTGGCGCCGTCCAGTGCAGCGCGAACCCTGTTGCCGTTTCCCGGATACCATTCCTGCCCCGTCGTCTTGGGTCGTCTCGGGTCGTCTTGGGGTCGTCTTGGGTCGTCTTGGGGGAGCATGTATATTAATTAATAGAGTGTACTGTAATTATGTACTTGCTGAGTCGGATACGTACTGCGTAATTCAACCTGTGTCACTTGCGCGTCCAACCCGTCCGTCACCGCGTGCGAGAATGGGTGGTGGGGAAACAGCAAATAAGTCAGCCTGGAAGAGACGAGCAAAGGACACATACAGTGTGCGTGCATGTCCGTGTATAATACCGGTACGCCCTCGACAGGCGGGCCGAGCCATGAACAAGTCATGAGCTATCTGGGGAAAACACAACCCCAACCTTCTGCTCGGCGAAATGCATAGGCAACATGCGTAACCTCGGGCTGACAGACGCCCGCAACTCCAGGAAACCATCCACGCCCTCGCCGGCACATACTTGCCTGCTACCAGCGCTACCAAGTTCCATGCTAAGAATACTTCTTGTATTAGCGCCTCCGCGTGACGCCACAAACAGACGCTCCGCAGTCACCTCATTTCAGCAAACCCTGCGGGTCTGACTGTCGGCACGCCGTCTATCAAGGATGCCAACTATCGAAAATAGGGACAAGAATCGAATGGCAACAAGAGAGAATCGAAACAAGAGCCGAGGCCCAGGTAAAGTAAAAAAAAAGACGTATCGGCCTCAACCCTCCCGAGGTTGGCCTAGACAAAAGCAATCCTGCGTGGCACAGCGCCCTGTCTGTCCCATTAGTTACTCCGGTTTTCGCCCCTCGCTGCTGATTTGTGCATCGACCCCTTCGCTTTTTCGGCCCCTGTTCCCCTCGGGCGCCCTCGACTCGCCGCCGTCCCCCTGGCCCTCCGGGCTCACGCGGCCCATGGGTGACCATCCCGCCGCCACGCCTGCAGCCACGATCCCCGCCATGACTGTCGGCGCTCCTAGCGCAGAGTTGGACCGTGATCGCGTCGACTTGGACCGCTGCCGCGAGTCCGGCGTCGCCGCCCGTGACCCGAAGCTGTCCTCCCGGGTCGGCGTCTGCGGCGCGTTGACCGACCCCGACCGTGAGTGCGACGGGCTTCTCGATCGTTGCCGCAGAGTCTCCTTGGGGTGCTGGATCGCAAACTTCAAGTTGTTCAGCCGTCCTCCCTTCATCCGCCTGAGGAAATTGAGCTCGTCCCGCACGTCCGCCAGTGGCTCCGGGTACATGTCCATTTCCTCGTCCGAAACCGTCAGGCCCGGCACCCCGTGCGCCCGCTGCTTGAGGAAGTCGGGAACCAGAGCCTCCATCACCCCGTCCGGGATGAGGCGGAGCACCACGCCCACCGGGATCGAAAAGACGCCCAGGATGATGGCAATACCCCACAAGGCAGCGTCTTGCCCGTCCCTGGCGATCTGGAAGGCTGCGCCTCCGACAAAGATGATTAAGACCTGTCCACCACACATAATGGCGCTAATGGCTATGAAGAACCAGTTCTTCGTCAGGCCCTCAAAGATGTTGAACTTGTTGTCCAGGCGCCGGTTACTATCGTTTGTCCGTTAGCATCTCTCCATAGCCCACGCCCGCCTCCACCAAGAATCAAAGGAATATCAAGCTTCACTTACTTCCACTGGTTGAAAATCTGCATCCATACAAACGTGTTGAACACCAACGTGTTGACCTGGTCGCTGGGCAGGGGATCGTTGCTAATGATGCCGTCAATCAGGCCCTTGGGGACACCGTAGTACAGGAGCAGCGTGATGGCGAGCTGGTAGAGGGCCTGTCCCAGGATCATCTTCCACATGGTCGTCGAGATGATGGAGGAGCCCTTGCGCTCGGGCTTTCTCTCCAAGACGCTGTCCTGGGGCGGATCCGTCGCCAGTGCCAGCGCCGCCAGTGTGTCCATGATGAGGTTGACCCACAGCAACTGCACCGCCGTCAGGACCGACTGTTCGGTCTCGCTTGAGACGGCCGTGATAAAGGTGAGGATGACGGCCGTGATGTTGACGGTGAGCTGAAACTGCAGAAAGCGCTTGACGGCGTCGTTGACGGCGCGACCCCACTTCAGCGCCTTGACGATGCTGGAGAAGTTGTCGTCCATGAGGATGATGGCCGATGCCTCCTTGGCCACCTCGGTACCGGCGATGCCCATCGAGAAGCCGACGTCGGCCATCTTCAGCGCGGGCGCGTCGTTGGTGCCGTCGCCAGTCACAGCCACCGTCTCGCCCTTGTCCTTGAGTCTCTTGACCAGGGTCCGCTTGTCGTCGGGGCTGGACCTGGCCAAGACGTGCAGCCTCGGGATGATTTCCTCTTGCTGCAGCTTGCTCAGGTTGCGGAACTCGGGACCCTCCATGATGATGCTGTTGCCCTGCAGGATGCCGCATTCCTTGGCAATGGCTTGGGCAGTGAGTTTGTTGTCGCCCGTCACCATGCGCACCACCACGCCGGCCCTCTGGCAGAGTTTGACCGAGTGGTAAACCCCGTCGCGCAAGGGGTCCTGGATGCCAACCATTCCGATAAAAGACATGTTCTGAAAGATATCCTCAAACTCAACCTCGTTCTTCCCGCCGTCTCCACGACGGGCGGCCTTTGGCGGCCACGATTCGAAGTCTCGGTAGCAAATGCCAATCGTCCGCAGAGAGCGCGTGGCGTAGCTCGCAATGAGGCTCGTGATCGTGTCCGCGTTGCCCTGCGAAAGCGGCTTGACGGAGTCGTCGGCGGAAGGATCCTGCAGGATCTGGCTGCACTGGGCGAGAACGATTTCGGAGGCGCCCTTGACGAACAGCCTGGCCTTTCCCTTGGGCAGCTGGACAACGATGCCCATGCACTTGCGCCCAGAGTCGAAGGGAATGATTTGGAGCGTCTTCGCACTGTTGCGCTCCTCGCTGACCGGCCCCATTGCGAGGTGCGCCTTGGCGAAGAGCAAAAGGGCCGTCTCCGTCTTTGAGCCAATAAACGTCTTCTCGCCTTCAACCTCTCCCTCGAAAGCGGTCGAGTTGAGGGCGATGGACTTGAGCAGCAGGTCCTTGACGGGAGCGCTGAGCATGGACGTGAATTCCGACGCAGAGATGTCCGCGCTCGTGTCCAAGGGAGCCGTCTCTGCATCATCATCATCATCCACGGGCGCTTGCTGGGCCCCGCCAAACCTATGACTGGTTCCCACGGTGCCTGAGACAACCTGCATCTTGTTCTGCGTCAAGGTTCCCGTTTTGTCTGAGCAAATGGTCGTCGCATTGCCCATGACTTCGCAGGCCTTGAGATGGCGGACCAGGTTGGCATCCTTGAGCATGCGCGTCGTGGCAAAAGCCAAGGCGAGTGTCACGGCAAGTGGGAGGCCCTCGGGAACAGCCACGACGATGATGGTGACGACCACGATGAAGATGTTGAGGAACATCTGGCCCTTCTGCGCAGGCGTAACCGTGTCATCGAGGCGCGGAAGGCGAACAAGGAACTCGATGAAAAGGACAATGAACAGGAGCAGGCCGGCAGCGCCTCCAAGCTTGGCAATATAGGTGGCTATGACGTTGAGCTTGGCCTGCAGGGGTGTCATCTCCGGGTCCTCGTTGAGGGCCATGAGCGTCTTGCCGTACGACGAAAAGATGCCGGTCGAGGTGGCCATGTAGGTGCCGACACCCTCCATGATACGGGCGCCGGATTGGATGAGCGGGTCCATTTTCTTGAGATTTTCATTGTTCTCGATGGCGGCGTAGACTTCATCGGCAGGTCGCTTGCGGATAATATCCGACTCGCCAGTCGTCTGCGACTCGTCGCATTTGACGTTGAAGCCCTCGATGAGCACGCCATCGGCCGGCACCAAGTCCCCCGGCTCCAAATGAATCACCTCGCCGACCATGATGTCGTAGACGGAAATCTCGGTCGTCTTCCCAGCGCGTATCACCTTGACATTGCGGTCCTGTTTCTTCTTGTTGAGCTTGGCGAACTGTCGCTCTTTGGAGTAGTCGTTGAGCGATCCCACAATGACGACAATGACAATGGCCACGATGATGGCGACACCCTCGACCCATTCGACCTGGGGGTCGTCTGGGCCGTGTGCCTGGCCAAAAGTCTGATATAAGCCGACACCAAGACTGATGGCTGCCGCAATCGACAGCAGGATGAGAACCTTGTCGTTGTAGGTGATCCACATGAGCTGAAGCAGGCTCTTGCCCTTCTTGGTCGGCAGACGATTGTCCCGGAAGACGCGGTATCGATCTACAAAAACATTGTCCCTTGCCTTGTCCGACTTGTTAGTGGCCACATTGGCCATGGAGCCCGGGCTTCCACCCTCGGTCGCCCGCTTGTCGCTCTTGGCAGTGGCGTCTTCAAAAGTGACGTGCCCCTCCAGATGCGTCTCCTCGGGACTCAGACCAGCCTTGCGATCGGCCCTCAGGCCCTTTTCTAGCCCGCGCAAACCGCCAAGCTTGTAAAAGGCTGGCAGGCTCTTGGGGTTGAACATCTTGTTGAGCTGCCCGGGCGTGAAGGCGAAGGGATTGTTGTCGACCTTGAAGTCGTCCTCGGTACCGGCGTCGGGACTCAGAGCCTTTTCGTCCTTCATAATCTTGTTATTGCCCAACCCCTTCATCTTTTCGACCTGTGTGTAGCTGGATGCGACCACCGTCGTCTCGCCGTGAGAGCTAACCGATCGCGACGCGTCCTGGGAGTCGACCGAGTTTTGTCTTGATCGCAGGTGGTTGGGGACAGACAGGAAGCCAGCTCCGCCATCGTTGGTGCGCGGCAAGACTGGGCTCGAGACGTTGTGCGGACTCGTGGGCCGGCTGTCCATGTTGTCGAGGGGGGGCTCTTGGTGCGGTTCGGAGCGCTGCTGGTCAGGAGTGAAGCCATAAGGCGGATCGACAATTGTCGCAGGGCTGACGGCATCGTCTTGAGGCGATATGGGCGAGACGGATGGGTTCGGCCGCGACCACGGCTCAGGGGCCATTTCGGCTCTGTTATTATTGTTGTTGGCGCTGACTGCCGTGGTATCAATAGTTATCGTCGGCCTGCGAGGGACAGTCATGTCTTTTGGTCAGCCCGAAACTGGAAAGGTAAGAGAGCGAGCCGGGGCTAGATATGGAAACCGGCCGGGCAAGTTACTCACGCCCTCCTTCGCCCAGCCACAGGGCCAGGAGGCGGCTCGGCGTCGTTGGCGTCGGGCATGTTTAGGCACACAGCCGCCCGAGGCGGATTGCGAGGAGTTGAGGCGAGGCTGCGCCGAGTCGAGCAAGTGACGACACAGCAGAGTACCGAAAGAGATTACGTCGAAGTCGGGGGTCGACGAAGGGGGGGGGTGGGAAGGTTGAAGAGGGAGATGCGAGACGAGACGGTTGAAGGAAGGGAGCGTCGAGGCCCAGTATTGTAGAGTTAAGAGTGCCAAGACATGGCCAGAACGATTACAGGACGGGGGGGAAACATGAGCCGGGGCCACACGCACGAGATGGGGAGGAGGAGCAGGACGAGGACGAAGGCTAGACGATGTGGTTGCGGTGTGTGCGGCCGGTCTCTCACCTCCTCGCAGTCGAGGTTTGGACGGATGGGCTCATGAGGCAGTGCAAACGACGGGCGTTAATTGGTGGCCGCCACTCAGATATCAACACGCCTAGATGTTCCAGGGGAAGGGGGCGCACTCCACAGTTGGTGGCTTGCTGCTGCACAGGGGTCGGTCCTTATTGGGCGGTAGCGGTACCCATGCCTCAGAAAGAGGTACTGTACGAAGCCTCGGGGCTAATAAAGGCTAAAGGCACCTGAGGCGATGCGCCACCTAGATGGGCTCTCCTGCTCCGTGCCTGATCTGATGGCCAGCGCACAATTCATGCTTTCAGGTGCCGGCAGTGCTTGCCAGGGCGGAGGAGCCTCCTCCACGCTGAGCTGGCAATGGCTTCCAAATACCGACTCGCGATTCGCCTCGGGGACACATGCTCCTTGGTTAGGCATTGTTTTTTTGCTTCTGAACACGCATTACGACATGGGCGGGAGATGACGCTAGTGCCGTAGCCACGGGCGCATCTACTTAGTGTACGGCCTGATGGACTGGAACCTTTCCACGGCGACGGAACATCGTATCTGACGGCCCTGCTTTACATACATCTACGGAGAGCCACTGGCGCCGCACTACGCCCATCTGCATCTTGTTGGAAATAGTTATACACTAAAATAAATAGGCCGTTCGTCGGTCCGGTGGTTTTTCTTCAATGTCACCCATCTCCTGTTTCGTTTTGTTTTGTTTGTTGTTATGTTTGCCCCGTCTGCTGCATGTCCTTGTCCTGCATGCCTCCGGCCACATGTCTGGATTGCACGGCCGATGATCGGGCCAAGATGCTCTCCACGTAGCAATCTTCCTGCCTTGGATTCTATGGCGACCCCTCCACCCGTGCCCGGCTGTACAGTAATTACAGTCTTCCCCGTCGCTGCTCTGTCGAGTCGGGTGGTGATTACAAGACGGGATGTGCTTTGGATGCCAGGGTGGGTTTCATTTGGGCGGGCATTGTGGGTAGCAATACCTTGCCAAATAATCTTTGTTGCCTCTTGGCAAGTAGCTCACTGCTCTCAACGCACCCGGCGATACCTTGGCATCCTCCAAGACGCCTCCTTTCGCGGGTACCTCGAGGTAACCCAACTTGTGCCCTCTCGGCTGTTAGCCACCTTTGATGGCGTCGCCTGGTCGGCGCTGCAAACGCCAAGACACACCAGGCACTCACCGTCCACGCACAGTCGTACGTGCTGCCAAAGAGGCTGAGCCGATAAAATCTCGCCGCGAAATGCTATATGTTGACTTATTCGACAACAGCCCATGACGCTGCCAGATGACAAAGAGTCCGTTAGCGCGCGCTAACACAGTACAGTACCGGTACGTACTGCCCGAGCTAGCTGCACACCCTTGTCACCTCAATCTGGGAGTGCCTAGCGCCGCCGACTAGGTTTGTGGCTCAACAACAAAAGCTGCCTGTGGCAAGTAATGTGGCGCAGGCTATCTCAGATGAACCGTCCGCAGCAGGCAGGCCTCCGATGCTCCAACCCTCAGCTGGCGTTATCCGTACTTGGACGGCAGACGGGCACGTGCTCCAAGGCAGGGGGTTGGGCTTCCTGCAAGGGGTTCTTTGTCAAAAAGTCCCGTCGCCAACAATATCAACCCACGAGTGACTACTCCGTATAGGTGGCAAATGCCAAATCGAACCTTCGCATCGAGACACAGCAAGGCATTGACGGCCTTCGCTTATGCAGCTTGCGGCTTCTCAGCGTTCTGCGGCTTGTTCATGACCGGTTCTACCACCTTTCGAGGAGACCGGAGCACACCCTCTTGACCTTTGCTCTGCCCCATGCTCCGCACAAAGAGTTCGCACGTGCTTTCTCGCAAATTGTGGCTCGGTGTTTGAACGTCCGCGACTCCGCGGTGCCAGTCTTGTCCAACCCAACCCAACGCCTTGGCTGCCTCCCGAGCACTGCCCGATAGCCCTTCCTACGGCGCTAGGAAATCCCCCGCGTACTCCTGGTAGTCCTTGAGGAGCCACTCCAGGTCAAACCTACTGCCCATCTCTTTGTCCGCCAGAATCCTGTTGCCCGCCTTGACGTATGCCCGCTCAAACTCTGCAAACAAGGCGGGCGTCTTCTTGCAGTATGGAATGTAGTCCTGGCTTGTGCCCTTACACACGATGCCTCTGAATCGCTGGTAAATCACGTCGACGTCCTCGGATAAGTCTATCTCGGTGTATTGCCTCAAGTCGATGGGGTAGAGCGGGATGTTTCTCAGAGTGAACTAGTCATGGTCCAACGGCCGGTCTTGGGTGCCAGGGTTTGTTCGGGCGAGGCAATGCTGATTCGGCACCTTGGACACGACACGGTTGACCTCGTCGTCGTCGAGGTCCGGGATGAATTCTTTGACGAGTGCTCGACGGACCTTTGGGAGTGACAAAACGCGTTCCATCTTGATGGTGGTCGTGCGCTGTCTGAAATCTTGGGGCAACTTGGGGGGCATGTCGGCCTAGAACTGCTCCTCCGATGACAATATAAGATCGAGCACTCTGGGCACTCGGACCATACACCCGACTGCTTCAGAGGTTTTATCGAAGGCGGCGACAACCCAGCAATGAAGGAGGTGCCCGTGCTGCATATCCCATTTTGTGGGAGGGCAGGGACGCGGCGTGTGCCAGTTCCTTCTTCAGGACAGTTGCTTTGCCCACTTGCTCAAAAACGACGCCCTGGAGTCCGATGCCGATCTCGATAAGGTGCTTGAGGTCGGGCCGGGACGCGGCATGTCCATGTCTTGTGGCAAATGAGGACGTTGTCGAGATGACATTCTTGGTGGTGAGGGAGCGTTGGAGGACAGTGTGCTTGGGGAGCTGCTCAAGTTCAGCAGCGGCCAGCAACTTCGAGATCTGCGCGTCTCTGACAACAGAGGAGAGGGCTGCAGTGGGGTCGTCAGTGCTGCGTTGCTGGTGCCGTGAAGCCATCATAAAGACAGCTGTTGCTGCGCTGTTGTAAGAGGGCATGGATAGGAACAGGAGGGGAGCAGACGTAGCGTTGACGAGATGAACTCTAGCATACACGAGTTGAGTCTTCCGATCATTTGTTCGCAAGCATGCAGAAGCGAAGGTAGCAAGGCGTCGTCTCCTGCGGCGTTGTCGTCTCTTGCCTACAGCTGCCTTAGCGCTGCCTCTTTCCACGCATCGCGAACGGCTTCACTCGCGGAAGGAAATACGTATCTCGATTCTGGCCAATTGCCGGACAGTATTCCCTTAACCTGCATTAGCGTTGCGCTATCCTCCCCTTGTACAACTGCAGAAAGAATGAAAGCTGGTATTTGCATACTTGCTGTGTCTGTCTTTCATAGGTACACAACTTTACTTAATGACGTCTTTGCACCTTGAGTTTTTAGGCTTGTCTTGGCTAAGACCATCATCATCCGTATATATATCTTTATATAACGCCTAAACGCTAAAGCGTATATTACATATTATAGTAAAAGAAACTAGTTAAATAGAGTGGCAAGCCCCTTGAACATTTTTAATCCAAGCTCGTATCTATTTTCATACACGTTGATATTTCTCTTTTGAGGGCCGCCTCGTAGCGCTGGTAGAGGCGGGACCAGCGTCAGGGTAAGAGATGTGTAAACCGTTGAATCTCGGCGCCTCGGTGCTTAAACAGACGAGAGGAAGAGAGTAAACCGCTCTTAGTTTTAAGAAAGTGTCTAGCCATCTTCATTCCATTTTACTTAGGCGGCGCTGTGTCAACATTGGAGAATTGACGGCCAAAGCCGGGCAAAAGTGTCTATACCCAGATATTCATGTCTATGAAAGCAATACTCCTTTCAAGCACCATCAGCCGTCGAGCAGTGGCTTTGCCGTGGCAGGTAAATCCCGCCTCGTTCACCCAGTTGTAGTGTTCGCAGAGTTCGAAGTCGAGGCGTCAGTGGCTGATGCAGATAAAGTTGGAGGCTGAAACCGAGCACACACGATACCCTGTCAGAATTGCGGCAGACAGATGTAGAGAACGCAGCCGCGGATGTACACGCAGTACAGATACATGCTACAATATGTGGCGCACTGATTGCTCGGGCGTGAGCCTAACCAACCACAAGGTCTTGCTTGACTGATAGCCGCCAGCGGCCAGCAGAGCCCGGACTAGGACGGATATGTCCTCCTTGAATAATACAGTACAGTACATGGAAATGCGCACGACTAATGCTGGCTGCAAATAGTCCGTGAAACGCACCCGTGGCTTTGCTGTAACCTAGTCCACGGGAGGCGGCTTGAGGTTGGGATGGACGAGTTACCGAGACGGTCGATCACACGCAATGTGTGTCCATGGCGTCCGTCACCCGCCAAAAGGCCCTTTGTCGACTTTATTTTGGGTTCAAAGAGGCCGCCGACTTGCTGGCCCCGAAATGCCTCGCCCCGAATATAGGTCTCCGAATACAAAGGCCAGCCCGACTCTGCGGATGGGATTCTCCCACGCTCGAGTGGGGGCCGTACGTTTGCCTGTGCCCTGGCCCTCTTTCTCTCCCCTTGCTTCCCTGGGACCCCAAAGCACACCTTAACGTTGTTAAGCTCTGCTTGCGCTAAAAAAAAAATGGCGGGGGATCCGCCACACCATCCGGCCACCCACTGCTGCAGCACATGTCGACGACGAGGAAGCCGATAGGTGGAGAGAGGAATAAGGATTTCATGGGCTGCGGGAAATCCTGCTTTGCTCTCTTGCCGATCGACGGACTTCCTTGAACTTCCGCCGGCTGCCGCTCGACGTGCCCTCGGATTGGAATGAAACGGAACCCCCGCTCTATTGTTAATATGTAACTTAGATGCATGGAGTATCCGTCGATTTGCCTTGGCGGGACTAGTGGGCCACGGCCTCTGTCATAGACTCTTAGTCATATGGGCCGCCAGAGGCAAAATCTGTTTGTCACGGCTGCCCGTCATGAGGCAGCACAGCCTCCTCCATCCAGCATTGGGTAACTTGCTCTGTGCATGTCCCGGGCATCCGGAGCCAGTGCTCACGCGTATCTGTTTTCGCCATGTCGTCTCGAGTTGTATTGGTCAAGCCGAGATTCGGTATGATAAGCTGATTCGCATGCCCGCCAAGCCGGAGCAGCACACCTCTTCGTCGTCCCCTCCTTTCCCGCCGTCCAACTTCTATATTTCTTCCCGTGCTTGGCCGCAGGGCATTTATTGGGTATGCCGGCTGGCGGATAATAGTTCCCCCGCATCCTCTTGCCATTGCCGACCCTCACGTCTGGTTCAAACCTTCAGCGTCGACGGGATAAGTTACAGTACCTCCCGGGTCCCGACCTTGACGACAATCTTCCCCATGAATGCGTGAGGGGTTTCTCAGGTCATCAGATCCCTGGCTCAACCTGTCTTGTCAGCCTCTTGCCCTTTCGGGCCACGTCCAGGGCGCTCCGCCTCCTTCACATGCGGCAGGTCGTCGCCCTCCCTCCGCCAACGCGCTTCTTCGCTCCAAGACCCATCGGCATCTGCCCATGCTTGTTCGGCTGCTCAACGGTCCGAGGCCTCGATGCGTGCTCCGGCTGCAGCTGACGATGGACCTTCCAGCGGACTACGCACATGGCTTCTGGCCACCTGCACGGACGACATACACCCTGGCTGGAATTATTGCTTCCTATGCCGTCAGCCTGCGCGAAGGTTGAGGAGGCAGTGCAAAAGTCTTGGCGACGATTTAGGTTAACGCACGCTCTCATCTCAAAGGGCCCTGCGTCCGCTGTTTTGCTTTGATGCCGAGCTGAGACTGCCCCGATGTCTCTCCATTTTGCCTGCCGCCGACGGAGCTGATCAGCTGTTCTCGCTATCTTACGAACGGGGTGTGCGGAACCAGCAGAGTCTGCGCAACTCTTGGCCGCGTTTCTAGTCGGCATTATCGGCCGTTTCCACACGCATGGAGCGACGTCGAGAGGAAGCTTGCTTCTAAGCCATGCCCATCAACTCTCCTGATGGCTTAGGTGCTCACTGTGATTCTAGCCCCACCGTCATCAGCTCACGATACCAGATAGGATGGACCCCAGGCCAGTGCTCTGCATCACTTATCAGGTCTGCACGCTCGGCATCTTCGGCAGTGTGCAAGATGGTACATGGGCGGGCTGCAGCGGGAACCGCTGGGCTCAAAGCGACAGCTGAGCTCCATCCCACAGCTGCCGTGACGGCCAAAGGCTCCCAGATGGCGCCAGCGCGCTCCCCGGGCATCTTCTCCCGCGCTACTTGATCTTATTAAGGTGCCTCAGCCACCAAATGTCTGGACGCGCGCCGAATGCCGCCTTTACCGAGACACTGGGTTGTGCTTGGGAGGCTGTGAGAGACTCGCATGGCGGAGGCCGCTTTTGGCCACGAAGATTGCCGCGTCAAGCCCGTAGTGAAAGTGACAGGGCTCACAAACTCCTGAAACGACAGAACAGTAAATGCAGGGTAGTCTGGGCCAGGTTTAAGCTCCATTTCTGCGTGAATAAAGTGGCATGGCATACGACCCAGCCTCAACTGCCTTAGATCCTTTTTCATGTTGTCTCTCCCCATCCCTTACAGTGAAGTACGACTATGGTCAATGGAAGCAAGTTGTTTCATCGCCAGTGTAGAGAGCAGCGGTCGAGCCCACGTAGAGCAAAGGCCAGCTCAGCGTCTCCCCAGGTCTATCTGCTTCACACGCACCATGTCCCCCCTATCCTCGCCGCCACTCGCCTCAACCCCAAAGAAGGGCAAGACGGCCTCGCGCACAACGCCCCTCCAGAACCCGCCAACGACGTCCTCGAGGTCCGCGCCCGTCTGCCTAAAGTCGGGAAAGGCGTTTGCCTCGAGCAGCCACACGACACCCGCCTCGTCGACGAGGAAGTCGAGCCCAAACACCTCAAAGGCGTTGGGCAGCGTCTGGAAGTGCACGGGCATGGCCGTCGCGGCGGCCTCGAGGGCCTCGCCCGTGACGCTGCAGATCTGGGCAAAGATGTCGTCGAGCATAGGCTGCGCGAGGGGCAGGTCCCAGAAGCGGCGGACGCTGTTGGCGCCGGCGCCGTCGGAGGGCTGCTGGCGCTGCTGCTGGAGGCAGGTGTTTGTCAGGAAGGAGTCAATGTCGGTGGGCGAGTGTGCCCAGGGCGCGAGGTAGGGCTTGGCGGCGAAAAGGGCTAGCATGGGCTTGTAGACGTGGACGGTGAGGCTGCCGGTGCAGAGGACGTAGGTGCGGATGTGGAATTTCCTTGGGTCGGATTCGAGGAGCAGCGGCCGGTGGATGTAGGGCTGGGCGACAAAGTGGCGGAGGTGAGATGTCGTGATGAAGTCGCCCATCCCTTGGCCCTTTTCTTCGCCAGTTTGGCCTTGCCCATCCTCCTCCTCCTCCTCCTCATCACTATCCGGACGCTCCTCATCCCATCCGTCAAAGATGGCCTGCAGCTCCTCCATGGTGCTAAACAGCCTAATGCCCTGCCCGCGATCACTCATGCCCGGCTTCAGGATCCACCACTGCCTCGCCGCCTCGTCTGCGAGCTCCGCGTTGCGGTCCATGCTCTCGCGGAGATCAAACGCCTCGACAAGCGCGTCGTCGAGGAACTCGGCGTAGTCGACCTCGAAGGCCTCGCTGCGCTTAAAATGTCGCCCCAGCGGTGAGGACGGGTGCTTGGCCACCCAGTGGTCCACCGTCGCCGACAGATAGTGCTTGCGTATCAGCGCCTTGCGGATCATGTAGCTGTTGACGAGGCACGAGCGCGGGTGCGCCGCGGCGAACTCAAAGTCGATGGACTCGTAGGCCGTAATTTGCAGGAGTCGGACGTTCGGATCCGACGGCGTCTCGAATACAGGGGGGCCGCCGCCGTCCAACGGCTGTAGCTCCGTGATGAGATGCAGCGTATCATCGGGAAGCAACGTTTTCAGCGCGGCCACGATCAAGGGTTGAACGTAGGTGTCGTCGTAGGCGACAATGGCCCGTATGGGCGAACCCCCTCTCCCATGCCCCTTGCCTCGGATCGCCATCGATGTCACACCCGCCACTTGCTGGCTTGAACTGCGATGCCTTGCGGTAAGAATGTGATGTATTTTCGACGCAGCTCAACGATGCATATAGTGTACATGCAAGTTGTTCACCTCTGTCGGTCTCCAGTGTCTCCATCCCGCCCTCGCACAAAACCACACGCCCAGGCAAGACACACAATGGGTTTCAACTCACAGCTCAAGCTCCTTTCTACTGAATGAGGCGCTGGTGCCGAGGGCAAAGTTTGCCTTGAGCGGCGTGATACTATACGAGAAAGGGTCAGCATTGACAGGCCTGGTGAGGCATCAGACTCACCTTGTGTTGCCTTCCATGACCGTCCGTCCATCATTGCCAGGCTCTGATTCAGCAACGCTCTTGTACACGTCAGTGAGCCTGGGCGCCCATTTGAAGTGCTTGTGCACGTGTCCCGTCTTGCGGCTCTCTCCGCCGACCTCGGCTTTTCCGCCGCTGGTGCTGTTGACTTGGGCGGTGGGCGCTTGGCTGCCGCCATCGTTTTCGACCTCGCCGCCGGGGCCCTCGCGGATGCGAGCCTCCTCCTCGACCGCGTCCCCGGCCTCGCCGTCAATCTCCTGGAAGCAGCTCCCCTCGGCCCAGTAGTTCTGCAGCACGTTGGTCCACAGCGTCTTGTGCTTCTCCACGTCCTCGACCAGCGGCACGTTGACGCTGTACAGGTCCGCGCTGGCGTCTGTCGGCCACTGCTTGTACAGGGCGTCGATAACCCTGACGCTGTGTCGGCACGCGGCCTCGATGATGACGGGATCGTGGTTGCGCGAGAAAAAGGCGAAGCTCAGGGCAATGGAGCGCCTCTTGCAGACGGCGGCCTCGAGTGCAGCGCCGAGGGTGCCCGAGCTCAGGGCAAAGACGGAGCTCGTGTTCCTGCCGTAGTTGGGCCCGCTGACGACGAGGTCGATGGGGCCCTTGTCGTGGAAGAAGTGGTGCAGGCCAATCTGCACGCACGACGCGGGCGTGCCGTCAATCAGGATCCATTCCTCGACATCGCCCGCCGCCGACGGCCGGTGGTGCGTGGTGTCCTCGGAGTCGTCTCCGTGCACCTTGGCGCCCGGGCGGTAGTAGAGCGGCTTCAGCGTCTGGCCGATCATGTGCGCCTTGCCGATCCATGAGCGCTGCGTGTGCGGCAAGCAGACAGACACGACATGCCCGGCCTGTTGCAGATGCTTGATCAGGCAATGGACGTAGGGAGACGATTCGGGCGACGGAGGCCCATCGTCGTTGGTTACGAGTATGTGCATCGCGAGAAGGGGAAAGAGAGACAGCGAGATCGGAGAAGAGGGCCGGCGAGCAGATTCTCGAGACTGGCCGAGGGGCACGACCGGCAAATCCTCGGACTCCCCCAATTGGCTCGGCAGCCTCAGTGTGTGTGTGTGTGTGTGTATTTTCCGTCCAGCGGCCGTAAGGCCGCTCAGGTCCCGGTGGGGCACAGGACGTGCTGAGCTAGGCTATCGAGAAAATCCTGCCACAGTAGGCCTCACCCAGCGCTTCTTGCAAGGCCTCGCAAGGGCGAGCTGTCGGGCTCAATCCCCGGAGACGGCTTTCCTACCCTCCACCGGTAGGTTGTCGCTAAGCCCGTCAATACAAGTGTCCGTGGCTATCCTCTGCAGCCAGCCTTCCCGAAGTCCATCCAGCATTTCATCGGCTCTAAGGCGCTCAGTGTCGGAGCCTGGTGCCCGTCAGCGGGTCGTCCAGGCGCGTGGCGATTGCCACAATGGTCAACCCTTGGTTTTGTCCGGTCAGAATTCTCTCGCTCTCGCTAACGCTGCTGTCGCAGTCCATGCTTCGGTAACCAGGCGATGGAAATAGCGCAGGAGCGGCGGCAGGAAAACCCTCGAAGGAATCAGAGGCTGTCGTGCAGCTTGCCTTCAGGGAGAAAAACCTGCGCAACCAGCCACCGTTGTTTAGAAGGGCGGGCCTTCCAATACCCACAGCTCCTTGGTTCCGAAGGAAGCTGTGAGGTCCGTGTGGACGTGTTGTCGAGACCGGCTTTGCAGAGGAATATGAACTCTCCTAATGTCTTCCTCTGTGCTGTTAGGGCCACGATGGACCCGGGCAGCAAAAGCGCGGTCGGGTGGCCTGCAAATCCGGCCCCCTGCTAGCGAGCCGCTAACAGCTCTGACGGGGGAAGAATTTTTACAGGGGAGAGTTGTCGGCAGCCTCAGTAGTGCAGTCACTATTACGTACAGGGTAGGTCTCTCCTTCCAGCGCAACGGATAGTCCAGGACATCGAAGGGACAGCCGTTCAAACTCGACGGGGAAAGCACTGCATATCCCAGTCGATGACGGCCTTGACCTCTAATGTGGCTGTACCAACAATGGACGTCCTTCGTCTGTCTCGGCTTCATCGTCGACTCTTGGCGGGCTGAATTGGCCAAGACGATACGGTGGGATAAGCTCACAGCAAAGACGTAAAACGAGCCGTATCCGATGTTGCAATGCCACAAGGACGGCCGAAGACTCAGGCTTCAAGGATATTATACCACCATGGCCACAGTGCCGTTCGCTGTTTCTTTCATCACTGTTTTGTCGTGGCCTTGATCATGACAACAGCCGAGAGTCGGTGACTTGGCTTGCCAAACGGATGCCCAATACGCCCGGGCTGTTGCACTGAATGAAGCGATGGGCGTTCGTATCAAATGGTGGTGTTCAGTTCAGACTTCCAATGTCGGGCTGGATGAGACGGGGCAGTCTGGAGCCGACATCGGCGCTGGCGGTAGCGGCAGCCCAGCTTGACGACAAAAGAACAAGGGCCATGTCACAAAGGTGAGACGATCAGCACTCTGCCCACTGGTCGTCTTATGATTTCATTGCCCTCAATCTGACTGTCTCCTAGGTACAGCAGCCGTCCTAACGCCGTGGTTGCCCCAACTTCAGTTCCTGTCCCTGCGCAAAGGTGGAAAAACACGGGAAAACACAAAATCAACATCCAGAAGTTAAAAAAGAGGCGACCTGTATCAAGGTCCCTGCTGGAAACAGCGTCTTGTGAATCAAAGCAGCGCCGAGACTATCACTAATGGCACAAACCCCCGAAAACCATCATCTAAGACAAGAAAGCGAAGAGAAGATGCAAAGACTCGCTCTCCAAGCAACGGTATTGCTCAAGCACGAGATCGCTTAGTCGTCGACGATGCGAGGCTCTCGCCGTGCCGCTTCGACGCTGATGGGGACTTGAGCTCTTTGGTGCGTGGCCAGGCATCGAACGGGCTTCTTCGCCCAGAGGAGCTCTTGAACGGGGTCCCGTCGTGCGCCAGCTTGTTGGTAGAGCGCGTCGTCCGCTTCGTGTCGGGCGGCGAGACGGGGGCAAACCTGGGCGCTTCTGGCGTCTTTGCCGAGGTCGAGTGGGATTTCTTGGGCGTCTGCGGGTTGGCGGGCTCGTTCGCCACGCTCGTGTCTTCCACGTCGGTCAGGGCCTCGTCATCGTCGTGCTCGTCTGGTTGATGCCTCGGAAACAGCAGCCGAGGCTTGACCGAGGATCGGGTGAGTGGACGGGTGAGTCTGTACTCGAGACTGGCCCCAGACATCTCTTGCTCCTCTGCCTGAGCACTGTTGTTCTTTGAGAACTCGCGGAAGAACTTTTTGCCACGGCTGCAAAGCGATGTTAGTAAATTGTATCGCAAGGGATTTCTCGGATGAAGACTCACAAGACGTAGACCATGCCGTCTTCTCGGCGAGAGGCCTCCTCGATGGACAAGGCACCCTCGCCGGGGATGTTGATGAGTCGGCGCTTGCTCTTGCGGGTGCCTGGCGCGGGCACGTCGCCGTAAAAAGGGTTCTCCACACTCTGGTCCTTGACGGGCACGCGATCCTGAGAGTCGGTGAAAATCTCGATTGAGTTTTCATTTTCCTCGGCGGTGAAGCTCTCCATTGTCATGCCCGAGTACTTTTTCGAGCGTCGCTTGCGAGGAGCCGGCATGGCTTCTTCCTCGGGCGCAAAGAGGTTGCGGGCAAAGGACTGAATGTTGGCGGCAGTCTTCTCGTTTGGCGGCTTTTGGGGCGTCTTGGACGGAGTGGGAAGCATGCCCGTGGCACGCGAGACGGAAGCCTTTTGAGGGGCCTTGGCGTCGTTGAGACCAAGAGCAGCGGCAGCGTTGGCGGTTCCCTCTGCCGTCAACGTTCCCGACGGTTGACGAGAGGCACCAGGTGCAGGATGGGGTTTCTTGCGCGGCGAGGGGATGGGGGAAACCATGGCGGCGTTGGTCTGGGCGTTTGCTCGTTTGGAGATGCGCGGAGATGCAATGCGGCTGTGAGAGGCGCGAGGCGAAGGGGTTCTGTTGGCGGTGCGCTGCGATGAAATTCTCGCTGACTTGCGAGGCGAGTAGGGCTCCCAGCTGTCGGGAAAGCCTAGCCGGGGGGCCGGGGGGGTGTGGATGCTGGGAGGGGGAGAGGGCGTTGCAGAGCCGACGGCGCGCGATGCCATGGTGAATACTGCGACGAGGCAATCTACTTCAATCCGGTCGAACTCGTCCTCGGTTGATGCCGCGCGTGTTGTCGCAAGGGCAGAGTACTGTAACCCAGCCGGACTCGATTGCTGTGATGTCGCGCGGGGAGCGTGTTACCGCGAGGCGAGATGACCTTGTCCAGCCGTCACTTCTCGCGGACGTGTCGACGTGCCCGAAGTCAAACTCGGCCAACTGCCAGGCACGGGGTGAGCAGGCCACAGGATATAATTTGACAGCGTCGGGCAGGGGGTCGTAGAGCGTTGGCGAATTTGGGCAAAGGAGGACAGGAGGTGTGCAGGATGAATGCAGGCGGACAGGACGGCAGGATAGAACAACAAGCACGAGGAATGGGATTCGATGAAGGAAATTGAATACTGTTGTGATGGGAGACAAAGAGCTCTGCCTTCTCGGCCGGCGACGCTGCTACAAGAGGGGGGCTGGGCACTCAGGAATGCACCGGGGCGCCTGCACCAGCCCCCTGCAGATGCCTGCCCGATCCACTATAATTAGTCAACCAGCCAAGCAGCTCCTTCAACGCGTCGGAGCGCGTCCACTTCGCGACATGGACACGCGTATGTGATGACTCCATACCTCGGGTACTTCCATTTGGACGGTAAACACCTCTGCGCACAAGTACCTGGGGCCACACTGAGCTCTGCCTACCTGCGCTGTGACGCCCATTGGTTGACCAAACCCCACCAAAGTGGCACACACAAACGTCCGTCTTCCACGAGGGGACCGACGTCAAGTCGCAACAGATCTCGATACCGTCCTCTCGCTTGCGTGCGTCCCGGCCTTGACACTCTGGCCGTTGCAAAACGTCATACCACCTTCTGCGACCCTCACAGAGCTGTCAAACCTCGCCTTGCGTGCCGGTTGACGATTCTGCTGCCCTAGACGTCTCGAGCCGTCACCAATCCCTTATGGCAGACAACACGGAGAATACCGAGTCCGATATATGGGCGTCGCCCACTCAGTGTGCTCCTCCTGAAGCTCGTCCGAAGACGCCGAAGACGCCGAAGACGCCCAAAACACCCGCCGCTGCCGACCGCCAGTCCGAGACCGTTGACCGCGAGGCGGCTCTCCGCAAAGAGTTGGAGGGAGTCCGTAGCATCAATGAGTCCATCGAGGGCGTCCTCGCCACCCTTGGACGAACCAGCGGGAACATGGAGGTATGAGCCATCGCTGGAAAAACGCACATCAACCGACTCCTATTGTTGACTTCTGCTGACCTCCCTTCAGGTCGTTTCCAAGACTGTTTCCAACGCCTCCGCGCTGCTCAATACCTGGACCCGCATTCTATCCCAAACCGAACACAACCAGCGGCTTGTCCTTCACCCGAGCTGGAAAGGCGCGACAGAGGATCTCGCCGAGCAGGAGGCGGAAGCCCAGGAAAGGCAGCGAGCTTCCGAGCGCAGGGCCGCCGAGGAGATTCAGAAACGAGAAGAGCTGCGTCGTCGGCGCGAAGAAGAGGAAGAGAGAAGGAGACTAGGGGCGCCGACCCCTCGCGGGAACAGAGGAGCCTCCAGGGGTCGAGGGACCATTAGCCGTGGTGCGACTGCCTCAAGGGGCGGCCCGAGCTTGAGCCACCGGTCGGAAAGTAGCAGGGCGGGATCGTCAAGCGGCCGCGGTAGCATTCCGGGTAGCAGCCGAGGCCTGGGGACGGCAAGGGGTCGCACGAGGCCGTCGAGATAGCTCTTTTTCCATCCCCCGTCCCTCACCCTTCTTCCATCTCACATCCCGATTGGAGTCCAAGATACCCATAATTGAATCGTCTTTCATTTTGCCTTGAAGAAATCGCTCATCTTCTTCATCCCGCTGGTGTTGACCTTTTTGAGATCCCTGACCCCCCGGCTCTCGTTTGCCTTTCGCTTCTTTTCATCTTCCAACTTTCTCTTCCTGTCGGCCCTGGCCTCGTCTTCCTCCTCGTCTCGCGAACGCTTGCGCGAGAAGTCGGAAAATGCCCCTGTAGCCACTGCCTCCGCCCGCAGCTGGGCCACCTTGGCGAGGTAGTCGTCCAGAGGAGAGAAGTCGACCCGGGCTGAATCCTTCAACAAGAGCTGCAGTTGCTCTGTGAGGTTTGGCGAAACATAATTCGAGCAGATGAAGTCGAAAGCAACTCGTAACCGCTGGAGGTTGACAATAGCGTGTGGCGCTTCCACAGCGCTCGCAACGACGACATTGGCTTCGTCCTCGCCTGGAACCGACGTGATTGTAGTCGAGGGTTGCGAGGCTGACGATGAGGCGATGACAAGCGACGCCGCCGTGGACTGGGAGTCGGCCAGTTCGGTCCGGGGTGTTGTTCCCTGCGATTCAGCTGTTGCACGGCAAGCTGAGCTTTCGCCAGCATCGATGTTGCGACTTGGCATGAGAGTTGGTGCCTCGAGGGCCCTATTGACAAACTTGTCTTCCATGCTTGGAGGCAGACCTCCGTCGCTCATCTGTTTTGCCTTGTCGAGTATGGCCGTGAGGAGCTTGTCCTCGCTTAGGCGAAGCATGCTTTCGTCGCCGGCCTCGACCGAGTCGCAAACGACGGCCATTCTGTTTTCGAACAGAGCTCGCGTTTTTCGCCAACCAAGGATCTCGGAGAGGTGAGACGACTCCTCGGGGAGCTTGTCTAGGTGGTCATCGCTTGTCAGAAATAGACGCTTCTTCGTTCTGGAGCCTTTGGGGGCTTTGGCGTCTGCCAGCGCAGGCAAGACGAGAAACAACGGGTCGATTTCCGTCGCCATGTACAGGTCCGCATCCATGACGACGTCGGCCCCGGCCTCCTTTGCGCCATTGTCTTGGTCGTGCGTCTCGATGAGCCAGCTGCGCGGGGTGGTCCGCGGAGCAGCGACCTTTATGAACTCGTAGACGCCAGATTCGGGACAGACCAGGTAGCGGCTTGGCCGGCCATGCCTTGGGTTAGGCAGAGAGACGATACGAGCCTTTGAACTTGCATGCTTTGGCAGGATGAGAAGCCTGGGCGGCGGACCGGGCTTGACGCTCAGGGTGATTTGGGACGGCGTGGCAGACTCTGTCGAGGTGGCTGGGCCGGTCTTGGTCGATCTCGTCCTGGCCATGGTGTTTTGGCAGGCTGGAGTGTTTGAGACGTCGATTGGTCGCCAAGAGGAGAGAAGACTGAGTGCAAGTCCGCATTTCCAAAACTGTCCAAGTCAGCCATCCATCAAGATTCAGTGGAAAAGGGTCGAGATACCAAAGTACGTACCTCCCGTTGCTGTTTAGACGCGACACTACCGGGGTGCAGACGCGTAGAGCGCGTCGGGCCCCACCCTCCCACTAAACCGACGCCTGACCGCCAGTGTGCCAGCCAACCACCGACTTGCCTCGCACCCGCCGATTTCTCCGTGCATGCGATCGAATCTACGTCCACACCTTATCATCCGCGAGGGGTCCGTTTCTGATAATAGCCGAACCGTTGGCGAGGGACCTCGAATCATCATTACCGCAGAGACAATTCCTGCCCTGTAGGCCCTTTGGCGACGGAAGAGCTTGCGGCTATGCGCTGTCTTGGACTCTCGACCGCCAGGGCTGCTTGGTACTCGGCTGATTCCAGCCGGCTTTGCCCAACATCATGGCTCTAGGTAGGGCTCCCGCCTCCCCAACGCTGTTCTCCAGACTCAGCTAAACCATTTTCACGCAGCTCCGCACTCTTCCGAATCCCAGTGGCCGCCTCGTTCTCCCCGCGAGGCTCTCCTGAGCACTCCGGCCGGAAGACAGCGATACAAACAAGCGTTTCAACGGACCTCGCCTCCGCTTTCGCCTTCGCCATCGAGAAGGACGGCTGGAGGCATTGTCGACGACGAACTGGGCGAGGGCGATGACGACGAGGACGAAGAAACTCTGCAGTTGAAGCTTCAAGAGATTCAGGCCCGCTTGCGGCTGAAGAAGCTGCAGAACGCAAAGAACAAGGACAGCGGCTCGCTTCAAAGCAGCGTCAACGGGTGGGCTCTGCCGCCGCCGGGTACACGCGCCAGCGAACCAAGGCGAGGGGCTCGTGGGGCCACGCCTGGCGCAGATGGCGCCGCCGGATTGACTCCTCGCAGTCAAGTGCAGGTCCCCGCATCTCCTGTTCGAAACGTACAGGCGCATCAACAGCAGACCTCCCCTAGCAGGGTCCTGCTGGGTATCGACAAGGGCTTGAAAGCCAAGGATATTTCGCTCAAGCGAGCCCCGAGTCAACGAAGCACAAGGGGTTCGGCCAGCTCACACCCCCGAGAGTTCCTTACGAGGTCAAGGTCCACAAACCTCCCATCCACGTCTTCCTTTTCCTCGGCACCATCCGAAGCGCTGAAATCGCAGAGCTTCAACGAGAGGCTGACACTGTCGAGAACAGAGGAAGCAATCCGGGCCCAGAGACAGGAAAGGATCCAACAGGTGAGAACGAATGCCTTTGGCATAGGAAAACAAGAAATGGAGCAGTTCAAGAGGACGGCTATCGAGATCCCAGACGAGCCCTTGAAGAAACCGCCCACTTTCTCCCGTGATGAGATTTTGTCGCAGGACAATTCTACGCTCGGGCACTTGACGAGGAGCAAGACGACCCCAGCTTTTCGCTCGCAGCCACGCGCGGGCTCGGGCGAATCCTATTCCCTTGCCCAGAGTGCATCACAAGTCGCAGCGCCGACAGCAGTCGAAGACGGCGAGAAAGAATCCCCATCATTTGAACCTTACTCGTGCTTTCACCTCGCACGGCGCATTCTCCCTCACCGAGTGCTGGCGCGACACGTGTCCGGCATGAAGTCGCTGAGCATCAAGGAGCTCCTGAGGGACGTCAAGTCGCCTGATTACTCGCTGCCGGACGTCGAGCAGGACATTGTTGTCTTTGCCATTGTTGCAAAGAAGTCTGAGCCACGCGCACACAAGCCATCCGCCGCAAAGAACGGATCACAGGGAGAGGAGCGCGGCAAATACATGGTCATGACCCTCGTTGACCTAGACTACGAGCTCGATCTATTCCTGTTCAATTCTGGCTTCACGGCGTTCTGGAAACTAACCGAAGGGACCGTCGTGGCGATCCTCAATCCTGGTGTCATGCCGCCTCCGCCGGGGCGGCAAGACACGGGACGATTTAGTCTGGTCATCAACTCAGACGCCGACACGATTCTCGAGATTGGGTCGGCCCGCGACATGGGATTCTGCCAGTCCGTCAAGAAGGACGGCGCTCCATGCGGCTCATGGGTCAACAAGAAAAGGACACAGTTTTGTGAGTTTCACTCCAACGAGGCCGTCCGCAAGCAGCGCTCGAAGCGACTGGAGGTCAACTCGAGTGGATTCGGCGGCTGGGATGGTCGGAAGAAAGGGTCCAAGAAAAAGGGCTGGGCCAAGAATAAAGACTGGGAGGACTGGAAGAAAGACGGGCCAGACAACTACGACAGGGAGACGGGGACGCAGTGGTTTGCATCGCGGACATATAGCGCCGCGGAGCTCATCGACGGCAAGGACCGAGGACCCGCCGACAAGAAGGAGAAGAGCGAATTTCTCAAGAGAAGCCTGGAGGCAAAGGAGAAGGAGCGCGAGATGATGAAGAAGCTCGGTCGGGTGGGCAACGCCGCGGGAAAGGAGTACATGCAACGCGCCGGGCAGAAGACGAGCGGCAAATCTCCCCACAACAGCCTTGGCACAGACGCCTCGGACCAGGCTTCGGGGGCCGGCGGCGAGCCGGATGAAACGGGAAAGGCGAACGCAATCTCCCTAGGGTTGCAGAGAGGCAAAGACCGAAGGATTCACCTGAGCCCCATCAAGCGCAAGCGGGCGGAGAGCTCGCAGGCCGGCTCGACGGCGGGCAGCGCCAAGTCGTCGGGCTTTGGCTGGGGCAGCAGCTTGAAGGACAAGCTGTCGAGAATGAAGGAGGGGGAGGAGCTGCGGCCGGGGGGGCGGTCACCGGTGCGCAAGAAGACGAGATTTGTGACGGACAAGGGCATCCGCGAGGCTGGGCGGGAGAGCCTCGGGGTGGAGCTACCCGGCGGCCGGGTGTCGGTCGAAGACGACGATGACGATGAACTGATTATTGTTAAATAGACCAACCGGGATATCGGCACATGTACGAAGTATAGGAGGCTTGCATGCATGGGCGAGGCGCAAGGCTAGCGAGGTTTGCCGTCAGGACAGACGGGGGCGGGATTGGCCAAGGAAATGCAAATGTTTGCGATATTGGTTCCTTGGCGGTTGATTTCACGTCATGGGATGGGATGTTGTCAACGACGTGGTATCCCCCGGCCGGGCGTTGGGAATGAGGGTTGGACGAGCCGTCCCGACGACTCCGGGCCAACAAAGATGGGCTGCGGGGAGAAGCGAAGTTAGCGTCGGGTCAGCATGGCGTCGTGAAGATGCCAGGCACCGGCCCACGTATCACGATTCACGACATACACGATCTTCCTCTCGGTGGTGGGGGGAGCAAAAGGAAAGGCGTTGGATCCGATTTGTCGACAGATTTGGAAAGCTGCAGCAGGCGGCGGGATCAGCAGATTGAATTATCCCGCGAGGGAGGTTCTTGCGGTCAGCTTTCCTCTCGTCACAGCAAAGTTGGCCGTGGGGGGGTGAGGCGGGGAGGCGGAGGGCCCTGGCTGCATGGGTTTCAGGTCTCGCTACCCGTTTACCGGGCCACAGCGGACGAGGCTCGTGGGTCTTGAATGGGCGGCTGCTGCTGTTCAACGGGGTTCAGCAGCGGCGAAGTCCGGGATTCCAGGCGAGGACGGCCGCATGATGATGACACCCGATCCACATGCAGCACAGCAAAACGCGCAGCACAGCACAGCAAAGCACAGCAAAGCACAGCAAAGCACAGCAAAGCACAGCACAGCACAGCACAGCACAGCACAGCACAGCACAGCACAGCGCGGAAGCTAGTCTCCCGTGCATGGGACGTGCATGGAAGGATCGCCGTTGTGTGTATAAGGTAAGAAAACCAGTGGAAGCGAGAGGCAGGGGCGCATAAAAGGGGAGACTGTGGGAAGGGCGGACAGGCGGGCAAGCGCAGGCCAAGAAGATGCTTGCTTCGGCTCCCCCGGGATGCCGTGCAAGCTGTACTTGGCATGTAGGTTATGCTGTTGACGGCGGGGACGTTGGTTGGCCGTGTGTTTCCACGCGGCATGGTACAGTTCAAGCCTTGCCGTGATGACCGTGGCGGTGAGGTGAAGAGGAGACGAATGATGTGCAGAGGCACGAGTGTGTGTCTGTGTGTGTGTCTGTGTGTATGCACACATGCACAAACACACCCGTGAATAGAGAGAGAGCTTGAGAGGCTCATGTCCATACGAGGGATCAACAGAGCCTTGTGGAGGGACGGAGAACTGGGACCGCGCGACACGCTGTCAGTGTCTTAGATGCCGTGTAACCTGGCTTGGATCCGCCACCGACCACGCCACTCGACCTCTCCCTCCAAGGCCAGGAACAGAGACCAGGTGTGGGGAGGAGGGATGCCCGGGTCTGACGTAGGTCATTCACCACTACTGACTACTAGACTGTCGGGCTGTTGGAGGCGGACGCGGATACGTGCTTGCGGCCATGTGACGGTGGACAAACGACGTCCCCCTGGCCTGGAAGACGGATACGATCGAGAGGAAGACAGGGACACCCGTGATGCTGCGCCTGCGGGGTGCCGGCCGGGCGCCCGAAGGGCTTATTATTCTGGGCAGCGGAAGAAGGCGTCTAGACGAAGGAGCAAGGGGGGGAGGAGGGGGGACACAGAAAAGGGATAGAATGGGCACAGAAGCGACAAACTACGGCGCCGGAGTCCCGAGATCGAGCGTGCCGCGTGCTATAAATATATTCAAATAGATTTCTGTTAGTCAACAAGGGCACAGGAGACAGATCCGACAGGGCACAAACAAGCATGTCGAAAGCTCGTATCCGCTCAGCCGTTGTTCCTTTGGGCTGACTTGACAGGCGGTTGCATGCCGCTACCATCTCCATGCTGTGGACGGGCAGTTGGGCGAGCCGCCGGGCTTGACGAACACGAGAAGCACGCGCCGACGTGACATGGCCATGCTTACCTACATGCATACAGACCACAGTGCAGTATGTAACTCAGGTACGGACGGACAGCCCAAGCTGAGAAGCGACGCACGAATTACGGCAGCAAGGCAGCCAAGAAGTAAAGAGCAAACGGCGTGTTGGTCCAGGTCGACGCAAAGCCATCAACATCAACAAGGGTCGTTGGTCTCCTTTTGCTGGGCCCAACGGACAACGGGCAGAGACAGGCCAAGGCTACGTGAAGAGGGGGGAAGGGGAAGGGGTAGGGGGGGGGGAGACAGAAAAGGGAACGGAAATTGAAATGACGATGATCAAAAAGGAAATCATTGCAAGAAAAATAGACGTTGCTTTTCACTCGCTGTGCAACAGACGGCTACCGGCAGGCACAAGACCTCTCTCCCCTTTCGGTCCGCGCCGTTGTCCAATTGAGGGACAATCTGACCTCTCACTCTCATACTCACACTCACTCTCTCTCACTCTCTCTCACTCTCTCTCCCCGTCACTCTCCCCAGTCGCCAATTCAGGGGTCCCGGAAGGGATGAGCTTCCCCCCCCCTGGCCCTCCCGAAAAAGTAATCCCATTCAGCACCCCTCCTCCCCTTGAACCGTGGTCGTCTCCGTGTATTTCTCCTGTACATCACACTGCTGTGTGGCGCAGGCGCGGCCGCGGGCAGAAAAAGCAAAGCCGGCGTGCAAGGGGTGTTCAGCCCGATCCAGACGAGCTTCCTGGGCGGCTCCCCTTACGCCCGCGTGCGCTGGGCCATGCCACGCCCCCCCGTCTCTCTCCCCTGGCTTGAGGTGCCCAGTTAGCGGCAAAATTGTCCGAACAGGATAGGTTGGACGCGGGGGGGTAGGGGGGTGGGCGAGGACACGAGCGAGTTGGGAGGACCAGCAGCGTTAGAGAGACAAGAGCGTCTAGACTGGTTAATCAAGGAGCCAAGGGATCACATCAAGGCCGTTTATTATATCTTTGTTGGCTCATCCGCTCCCTCCCCCCCCTTTCCCGAGAACTCTTGTTCCAATGGCCGGAGTTATTCAATATCCCCATTCCTAATTCTTATTCCCCTTATCCCACTCAGAGTCAGAAGAAGGAAGAAAGAAGAAGGCCGCTCGCTCTCTTCCTCTTTTTTCTTTCCTTCTCGCTCGTCGTCACTCGTTGTCCGTATTAACACAGAGATCCCACCGCAACCATGCTGCCCAAGTTGGCCCTCTGGCTGGCGGCCCTCGGCGGCGCCGCCCTCGGCCCCGTCGCCGATGCCGCCCGCGTTCCCGTCACCGGCGTCAGGACGAACCCCGGCTCGCCTGTCCCGCTCCGGTTGAACATCAACGACATGCAGGCTAGAGGAGGTCCGGTGTGGTGAGTCTTTATCTCTGGCGGTGGCTGCGGTTGGTGGCTATCGTCATGCGCGCGAGCTCCCGTATCCGTATATGCGAGGCAAGCCATGAGGCAAGCCAGAAGACGGGGCTGACGCGTCAACGACTCCAACAGGGACCTGTTTCTTCTGTCGCTCAAGGAAATGCATGAGATGAGCCCGACCGACCAACTTTCTTTCTTTCAGATTGCCGGTATGCAAGCCCCGTCCCTCGAGCAGCCATCGTCGTCGACATCCTCGCGGCTGCTTCTGCGTGCTCTGAACCATTGACCTCCTGACACGTGCTCCAGGTATCCACGGCAAGCCCTATGTGCAGTGGAACGACGCTGGTGGCCGCCGCTCCGACGGATGGGGGGGCTACTGTCCCCATGGTGTAAGTGCTCGTGACGACCTTGATATCGTCGTCTGTCCACTGACACGGCGCATATAGGAGAAAAACTTCTTGCCGTGGCACCGCCCGTATCTTGCTCTGTACGAGGTACGTCACATATGAGACACGGCAAAAAGCCAGCACCGAGTAGAAGCCCGTCCTAACCCCCCTCGCAGCAAGAGGTGGTCAAGCACGCCAGGAGAATCGCCAGCACCTACCCGCAGCGATACCGCGCCCAGTACCAGCGAGCGGCCGACCAGCTCCGCGTGCCCTTCTGGGACTGGGCCTCGGACCAGTCCGTCCCCCAGGCCACCGTCCCGGGCCGCGTCCGCGTCAACACGCCGTCGGGCCAGGCGCTGCGGTCCACCGAGATCGAGAACCCGCTCGCCACCTACCGCTTCCCCCGCAACGTCCTCAACGGCCAGTTCGGCGAGTGGGACTCGCAGCGCCGTCCCCAGATCTATCACTGCGTGGCGCCGTATAGCTATCCCACCTCGGCCAACAGCAACCTGCGCTCGCGCCCCTATAAGCAGTGGACCGTATGTCCTTTCCTCTCTTACATGTATTTCTATTTTGTCCTGGTGTCCTCGTGAACGAATGTGTGTGCTGACAACTCGTCTTCAGTACGATGCCCTCACCCGTTCCGGCAGCTTCGACGAGTTCGCCTCGCCCGAGGGCGGCGGTGTCGGCATTGAGCAGATCCACAACGCGGTTCATTGGGACGGCTCGTGCGGAGGCCAGTTCCTTGCTCTTGATTTCACCGCCTTTGATCCCCTCTTGTACGTGCCACGCCCCTGATCCTCGGCATCTGCTGCAGAGTCTCGGACTGAAGCTGACCGGGTCCCCGTCATCCAACAGCATGATGCATCACTGCAACGCAGACCGTCTGTGGGCGTACTACTCGGCCATGAACCCGCGCAGCAGCGCCATCTTCAGCAGCTCGTACACGGGCGGCGCGCGCTTCGCGACGCCCAGCGGCACTCGCATCACGCCCGACTCGCCTCTCGAGCCCTTTTACCAGACAAACGGGCAGTTCCACACGTCGCGCACCGTCTCCAGCATCCGCAACTTTGGCTACTCGTACGAGGGCCTCGAGTACTGGTCCAAGTCGGAGGGCCAGATGCGCGCCGACGCCGTCCGCCTCGTCAACCGCCTCTACTCGCCCGGCGGCTTCTCGGCGGCCGGCATGCTCAGCGTCAAGAAGCCCCAGACGCGCTACTTTGTCCAGCTCGAGCTCGACATGGCCCAGGTGCCCCGCCCCTGCCAGGTCCAGGTCTTGGTCTCCGAGAAGTTCGCCGGCAGCATGGTGGTGATGCAGCAGCCTGGCCACGGCATCATGCAGGGTGGTTTCCCCATCGACAATGCCGTCAAGGAGGCTGGGCTCAACAAGCTTGGCAAGGAAGAGGCTGTTGCCAAGATCAAGGAGGTTCTCAAGGTCAAGATTATCAAGGTACGCAGCCCCCTCCCCCCCTTTCCCTGCATATCAGAAGCTGACCGTGTTTGTTTGATCCAGGGCGACGGTGAAACCGTCGCCGTCGAATCCGTCTCCAGCTTCAAGTGGGAGCTCGAGGCCATCACCTACACGCCCGCCGCGGGCGAGGAGGGCCTCCCCAAGTTCACCAACCCGCAGAAGCACGCCCTCAAAGTGTCGGGTTAAGCCCCGTGCTCGCAATGACGACCAGAGAGCAGCTCACCCGCGCCAGAAATTTAGAGTGGCGATTTTTTCAAAGTAAATCATCTCTGTAGAGAAAAGGGTTTGGATCGTTTGATAACGGGCTCCGGGGAACGGCCGTGGATAATACGGTTCCTACGCTTTTGCGACGGTTTCCCCCTGTACGTACGTATTCTTCTAAAGGATTTTTCATGACTCCTTTCTATATTTTGAGTGTACTTTTTTTCTTTCTTTTTCTTTGGACCTTATAGATTGATGAGAGCGAGCGTGAATTGTCATGATTACACAGTGAATACACTCGGCATGTTGGGCGCACTCTTGTCCATCTTGCGGGCTCATTTTGAACACGATCCTTGTAGACTACCTTCTCTCATCCAGCATCGCCAGGCTCGGGTTCCTTCTAGACGGCGAACTGGTCTGGACCGTGTGGCGGAGCCGTCACCGAGATTGGCGAGGCGCCGCCGCACGGAGCCGACCGAGGTGGAGCCTCTGGCCGCAGGGGCAAGGGGTCGGGCGGGGGCGTGTTTTTTTCACGGGGAGCCGAACGGGAGGCTGCCAGATTAATGCCCGTTCGGACCTTGTCTGCGGAATGGTTCGTGTGGCGTGGCCTTTCCCCCCCCCCCCCCTTTATTCTGTCCCTTGAAACTCCATTGACAGGGGCGACTGGCAAGGATCGACTCTCTCGCGGCAGACGCACAGACATGCAAACCCCATGATCAAGCGTAGGAAAAGGGGGGGAACAAGATTGGCAATGGAGATGAAAGGGGGCATAGCCGAAAGAGGAGCCTCAGCCCCCAAGATGGGCTTCGACATCGCCGTCCCCTCGGCCGACGAGGCCGCCGCGGCGTCCGACATCCACCTCCGGGCCATGGACGCCAACCTGCTCACCCAGGCCCAGTTCCCCGGCCCCGCCGCGCGGGAATTCTTCCGCGGCTGGCTGACGAGGAACACGTTCCAGCACGCCCGCGACGCCGACAAGGGCGTGCTCGTGGCCCGGGACCCGGCGAGCGGCCGCGTGGCCAGCTTCGTCAAGTGGCTCGTCCACGGCCCCGGCGGCGCCGAGGTCGCGGCCCGGGACCTCGAGGGCTGGTCCGACATCTGCGGCACCGCCGTGCTGCGCTCGTACGGAGAGCTCGCCGAGGCGGCCCGGAGGCAGGCCCTGGGGACGAGCCCCTATTACCGTAAGTCGCCGGCCACACGCTCCGCCGGTTTGAGCCGTGGCATAAGCCATGCCTGGGTCTCTCCAACATCAAAAAGCAAACAAACAGAGGCTCTCCCTGCCACAAAAGAAGTTTTGCTCAGCTGCTGACGCACCCTTTGTCTCCAGACGTCACCTTTCTCTGCACGGATCCGCAATGGGGAGGCCGCGGTGCAGCCACGGCCCTCCTCGGGCGCGTCCAGGAGCTGGCGGCGGCAGACGGCATGGCCATCATCCTCGAGTCCACCATGGAGGGCGTGCCCCTGTACCAGAAAATGGGCTTCCGCACCGAGCGCGAGCTCAACATGACGCTTCCGCCTGGCGCCTCAACCGAGCCCGCCCAGCCTTACGAAGAGCGCTGCATGGTCTGGACGCCACCCCACGCCCTGGGAGACTTTGGCTCAAAAAGACCGGCCCAGGCCTGACGGGCAGGGCAGCGCGAGGAAGCGCTCGGCTACTGCCGGCATTTGACAGCGGCAAGACGGCCGTCCTTTCGACCGCTATGAGAACACGATGGCGAGGCATGAGGGACATTGCAGGAATCAGGCTGTGATGAAACTCTGCACATATGCTTTCTGCAGCCGCACTCTATCTTCTTGTCATCTGTCGAGCCTGTGCGACCTGACGCCGATGCATCTGCAAGGTAAATTCAGCGCCCTCACCCACCGACATGCGTCTCTCACCTGTCCATGTGCCCTCGCGTGGCATTCCATGGCGTCCGATGCGGCAGAAGCTGCCTCCTTGATGGGGGAGGCGCCTGGAAGAAGGCTTCAAGGGATGGCCTATGCATGCTGTGCGAGCTATGTATGCACGTCTGTGTGTCCCGACACGTTCGACATATATGTAATACACCACCAGTAGACCCCATATATCTACATCCACAAGAGCCCGTGAGGTTAACCTGCGCCTATATACTAAATGACATGTGCCTGCCACCCCTTGGCCCATGCCGCCAACGGCTGCTGGCGGTACGTTGGAGCAAGGCAGGAGAGTCAGCGTCGGCCGCATTTCTCGGGCCCCATGGAACGGCATGCACGTCGGGCTACACGCTCATCAGACGATGCCGCCTGTCAGCCGGAGAGAGAAAGTACTTGGGGGGCGCCGACTGGTGTCCTGGACCAGGGCCGTTCTGGGCACATGTCCGAAAGGCCCCCTCTCTCAAGGGCGGAATGGGTTGGAGAACAAGGGGTCCAGGATCCATACCCATCGACAGTAGATGCCGTGGATAGGGCTCAAAACATCCAACGTGAGGCGGCAGGGGTCAGTCATGGCACTGGAGACGGGCCGGAGAAGGGTCGACAATGACGTCGTTTGAGGCGCAAAGTCATGGAGCCGGCGGAAAAATGGGGCCAGACAAGCCGAGACGGAGCCTCAGCAGCAAAGCCGACTGTGTGTCTGTACGCACGCAACGTATACGACGCCGGAACGCATTTGGTCCGTCGTCGTCTGCCTGGAGAGGCCAAGGCTCTGACGCAGTGCCGCCAATGTCTCTCTCCGTGAGCTCGTCCCTTCAGTAGACCTCTCCGGGCAGGTGGGAGTTGCCGCAGCATCAGTTTGTCATGGTCGAAGGTGCCAAGGGAGGACGGCCCGAGAGGGAGAGCACCGGACGAGTCGGAGGTCACCTAGGTATGTGCCATGGAATGGCAATGAGAGGGAAACACGAACGACGAGTCGGGTCGATACAATACCAGAGCCGGCCAAATGACTCGCCGTATCAACTACGTTGGAGCTTCTGCGGGCCCATGCAGTGAGCGAGACGAAAGGTGTGTGATTTGGTCCATGGCAGAAACTGCAGCTCTAGCTCGCTCCTCTCCAGCAGCACTAGGAAGGTAGGTGGTAGTTGCACAAAGTAGGTGAGAGAGTTGCTGTTCAACTCGCGTGCTGGACGACGAGACGTTTCGCACTCGTAGGGTCGCACCGTGTGCATCGCGGAGGCTTGAGGTCTTGGCGGGCCGAGCGTAAGGGTCGCGGGACGGGGAAAGAGGTTTGAGAGGACGTGGACGAGAACGAGGACGAGGACGAGGACGAGGCTGACGAGCGAGTGAGCATGAGCCACGGGGAGGAGGAGCAGAAGATGCGTGGTGTTGAGGAGCAAGTTTCCGAGATCGGAAAGTACAAAGTACCCGGTGTCTGCTATTAAAGAGCCTTATCAGCGCAGGCCGCCAAGGGAGGTATCGCGTACCCGGGGCAAGGTACCGGGCACGAGCAAGGGTACCGAGTGCTAACCCTGGGCCCGAGACGCCGTCAGGTATCTTTGTTGACCTTGTCTTGTCTATGCCTGAGCCGCTACCTTGGGCTGATGACCCTGTACACCATGCACACAGAAGGCCCTAGGGTTCTGCAGGTGAGCGAGGCTCCCTCCCCGTCTATCAGCGGCCTCTGGGTTGCCATTATGTATTTCTTTCTGCTGATCAGAGACAGGCCGCAGCGGAGATAAGGTGGTTGGTGGTGTCGTGGATGGCTCGCCGGGGACCCCTGGGGCCCAAGAGACGTCGTTGCACTGTGCTGACGAGGTCTGACTCTAGTTGTTTGCGTGCATGTGACGAAGGAGGGACGGTTACAGAAATAAAGTCGCCAAGGCCAAGGCCAAGGCATCTACATGTAGCATTCGCAGGCCGAAAGAGTGAAAGAATGAGCATGCCGATGCGACAACATGTACATGCACTCCGCAGAATTATTCTGTAATAAGCCGGCGGTGGTGGTTGCACGAGTATCCCACCAACTTGGAGCAACTCTCTCCCTCTCCCCTCCCCTCCCTCACTGTCAGCCACGAGCAGCAAGTGCATGTGTAGAGAGTAGCCTCCGATTTGGCGAGGGGCCGGCCGACGAATCAAGGCCGCCGTCGAGCAGCGATAAGGATGCAGAGGCAGGCCGGACCTTGCTGCATGTGCCTTGCACGCACAGCTTCAAACTAACAAAACTCATTTTCCCCTCGGAACTAGACTTTGTCCTAATTATCGCTGACTTTCATTACAGTATGCAACTTGCAGTAAACTCCAAGCAATAATACCCGGCGACTTGGGGCTTCATACAGTACAAACCTGCCTCATACTGTACGGGTTATCTCGAGCCAAGCACGTGCATGTTTGTGTTAGTCATAGGCTGCCTGAGGGCCGAGTATTCAGTACGTCAGTAGAGTTGGACAATTCAAACAAAGACACACGGGACAGCCATAAACCCATCTACGTGCAGATACCCGGCCGCGCCATGCACGCACCTCCGCACTGTATCGCTCGTTTCAAGCTCGTCCTCGAACCCCTTCCGCTGGCCAGCGAGGGTCATCCCGGACCGTCGCCCACGCTCCATTCGTCTGCCACTTGGCCGCGCTTTTTAGGACGGCCCTCGAGAGGCGAAGAAAGACGAAGCAAAAGGAGGGGAAAGACAGGGGGGCCGGGCCCAGAGACGATTGAAACTGACAAGCACCCCATTTGCTATCCGCTCTCCTTTACTCCTTCCCACGACTCCTCTCGTCAGCCGCCGCCTCGAAGATAATAAGACACATGCGCGCCCACACCGCATCCCTACCGTCACTCTCCTGACCATCGTCGCCCATCCCCTGTCTGTTTTCAAGCAAGACTTCTTCGCCGCCTGGTCGGACCAAAACACCGCCGGCTCAATGACGCCGATAACCCACGGCTATCTCATCCTCGCCGCCCTCGTCACCTGAATCTTACCTCGACGGCCAGCTATCCTCCAAGCCCAAGGCATCTCTTCGTTCATCGCCGCCCGCCTCCGTCTCCACAGGCCGCGACGCCGTCCCTGTCTTCGTCCACCCCCCATTGGCCGCGGCCCGTCCGTCCGCCCAACACCATCTAGGCACCATCCATGACCTCTCAGCCGGCCAATCAATCAGCCAACCACCGGCGGGCGATCTGCCTTATCGAGGCTCCTGCCTGTCCGATCTCCCACGGCCGTCTCTTCCTTTACCCCCCTCTGCAGCCACTGATTCCGTCAGCTAGTCTGCCACCTCTTGGTTGGAGCGGTTTCAGCCTGTCTGTACTCACGCAGCCTGTCGCCTGTTGCTCCCCAGTCGCAGGCAATTGCGACTGCTACTGCCGTGTCCAAAGGGGGTTGGGTTTCATCAAAGGCTAACGTCCCCCGGCCCGCCAGGGCCATCTGCGGTCCTGAGCGTTCTGGCACAACCAGCTTCAGAGCTACTGCCGCCCTTTCGAGATAACGCGCTGAGCATCTCACCTGTAGCGCCGTACATCTACAAACCCCATATTTATGTTCTCATCCTTCCTTGCCTCGCTTCGTCTCGTCTGATGGCTCCGAGCCCTTCTGTCCAGCGCACGGCACCCATAGCCATCGCGCCCAAACCCTCGCGAACAGGGCCAGCGCCGCATCGTCAACCCGGCGTGCCGGCCGGACTCGAGGCCGATCTGCAGACCGGCGTCACCCCGGAGCCGAAGTCCTTCCCCGGGTCCCCCGTCTCTGCCTGCCGGCCCCATCGCTTCCTCGGTACTGTTTGTCCACCCATGCCCGGTGACGACGACGACGGCTGCGTGCCCTGTCAGCTTAACGGCGCCGACTGCTGCATATCCGCGAGTCCTCGGCCTCGCAAGCGGAAGCTCAACGGTAACTCTTCTGTCCACGAGGCGGGCTCGAGCAAGCGAAGGTCAGCTATTCCCACTTCCCATTTTCTTCCTGTGCCTCGCACCCGCTCTCGGCCTCGTCCGGGACGCGAAGCTGTCGATGCACGAAGGCGAGCTCGCATTTGGCGCCTTGAGGCGTGACTTGAAACTGGTTTTTCAAAGCCCGAGGCATGAGGACTGACCTGTGTCGAACCGTCCCTCAGTTCTCCGGGCATGCCCGCGCGACGACTGCAGCACCACTCGAACCTCTCCAGTCCCGCCGGCAGCAGTTCCTTCCTTGAGGAGATGGCAAATGTCGGCGGTCCAACCCTGCTCAAGAGGACGTTGGGCCTTCAAAACGACCGATACAGCCAATACATTGGCCCCACGACCGATTTCGAGCCGTCCCTCATCAACCTCTCCACCTTTGACCCCCAGGACGAAAGCCTCCTGTCCAGGGGCACTCTCCGCAAAGTCAGTGACGACGAGACGTTTCTCATGCTGCCGGACCATGCAACGCCGGGATTCGAGCACATGATCGAGGATGTCGACGCCATAGAGGCCGTTGTCGCGCCACACGGACGCAAGCTCATTGATATTTACTTTGAGGTGGTGCACCCGGCGTTTCCCATCGTCCAGAAGCACGTCTTCCTCGAAAAGCACGACCGCTCACACAGGGAGTTCTCGCCGCCGATCCTTGCCGCCGTCTACATCCTGGCCATCAACTGGTGGGAGCAATGCGAGACGCTGTCCCGGCTGCCCCGTCCCGACGTGCGGGAGCTGGAGAGGCTAGTCCGAAGCACGCTGCAAGACGCTATGAATAGGCCCAAGCTATCCACTATTCAGGCAGGCCTGCTCCTGTCCCAACGTCCCGAAGGCGACCAGTGGGCTCCCACCGCCCAGTTAGTCGCCGTCGGCCAGGAGCTCGGGCTGCACCTGGACTGCTCCGGCTGGAAGATTCCCCCGTGGGAAAAGGGCCTGAGGCGGAGGCTCGCCTGGGCGCTGTACATGCAAGACAAGTGGGGGGCTCTGGTGCATGGGCGGCCATCGCACATCTTCTCGTCCAACTGGGCCGTTCGGGCGCTCTCGGCCAACGACTTTCCCGACGTCGAATGGGACGAGAACAACCCGGACGACCGACAGGACATTGAGCAGGGCCGGCAGCTCTTCACGCGCGCGGTGCAGCTGTCCGAGATCCTGGCCGAGATCCTCGATACCTTTTACACCCTCGAGTCAACCAACACCATCTCGCACGCGGGCTCGCAGGCAACGCACTTGGTTCTTTCCATGGCGAAGCCGGTCCAGTTGAAGCTCAAGGAGTGGTATGGCGGGCTGCCGGCTTCCCTTCGGCTAGAGTCGTACTCGACGAGCAGCCCTCCGGCGACACAGGCAAGCCCCAGCAGGTGGTCGAGCATTGGCTATCTCCATCTCGCCTATTTTGCCACCGAGATCACCCTCCACCGGCGCATCATTCGCGCGCTCACGTCGAACCCGTCTTCAGTGGATCCGTATATTCAGCACATCTGCCGCAGCGCCGCCAAGGCCCGCCTCATCTCCGCCATGGATTTTGTCAACCGCCTGACGCCGGGCCACTTGCGGTCGTTCTGGTACTTTGCCTCCAAGGCTAACTTCGCCCTGATCGGGACGTTTGGGTCCCTGCTGTGGGCGACGTCTCCCGGGCGAGAGGAGGCCGACTGGTATCGGCGGCGGCTCGCTGAGTATCGCTGGACGCTCTCGGTCAGCTCCAAGCCGGGCGGCGGCAAAAGCTTTACAGAATTCGCAATGACCATGCTGGACATTTCGACTGGGCTTCTAAAGCAGCTGCCGGAGAAGCCGTCTATAAGCCGTAGTGTCAGCCAGGTGGACATGGCGGCTCCTCCTGTTCCATCTCCGCTGCACGCATCTTTTCCCGGGTCGTTTAGCGGTGGGGGCACCGGAAGAAGTATGTTGGACCGGTTTGGCATCATGGCCAGTTCCGATTTCAGCGGCGCGCAGAGCCCTGTGAGCGCCGAGTACACCAGCGATGACGAAGTTGACGACAGATATGCGACGCGGGCGTGATGGTTTGCTAGATTCGACGTTTACGAACAGAAAGGGGACAGCCCTCTTCGTCTAAGCCGAAGCTGCTCCCAATCACTATCCACGGGCAAAATGTAAGACTTGCAGATATCCACTCATTCTGTTGGATTTTCCAGAGGTATGCTTTCATTTTGGCCAAGCAGGGAGGAGCATGGGCCATGAAGGTACGTCAGCAAGAGACAAGGGATCGTAGCAGTCGACGGCCTGGCACGAGGAAGCATCGTGAGCGATGTGGCGTTATTGCAGTGATGCCAAAGTGGATGCCGCCATTGCTATCTTGCTATGGAGACTCCATTTCCTTTTTGGGCCACGGCCCCGATTGCTATTGGGCACCTGCAGAGCCTCTCGGTTCGGCAATTGAATTGCGAGGCCGAGGGCTCGGTATCCATGATATTCGAAAAGGGGAACGGCACCAGGACGCCTGGGAAAGAAGAGTGGATGAAGACAAGGTGTGTCTAACGGAAGGGTAGACTTCCCTTAGGGGACGCCTGGATGTAGGAGCACTTGGTCGAGCATAAGAACGCCAGACTACCACCACGTTTCTATACCAGCCCGCATTGCCTTTGAACCCACTTTGTCCTTATGGGCTGGAAAGCGCTCGCCGACCCCTGAAGAGCGTGCTGCAGCGTCGTTGCTCCTGAAAATCAAAGCGCGGATAAACGCCGCATACGCTCGGTGCCCTGCCATGGTGCAGAAGAAGTAGCTAGGCTGATGACTATGGCCCGTCTTCCTCAATTATATTGACGCCGTCGGTGTGCCGGAGCACGGGGTAGAGATGGATGGCGGACACGGACACGGACAGAATTTCGGAGTAGCAAGCCCCGCATCGCCGCAAATAGGGCCCCACCTGGGCCGGCCGCTTGCTCTAGGCTGTTCGCAGCCCGTGCAGTGAGCCCCTCCCTCCCACTTCGCCCCCTCCGCGCCAGGATGAAACGAAACGAAACAGCATCGCCTCATTTATCTGCAGGTCATCGATCATCAGCTCAATTAGATTCCATCTCTGTTTTCTCCCGGGCACGTCTGCCCATCAATAAATCCTTGCAGTAGTCAGTCGCGCCGCGCGACGCATGCCTCTCCATTCATCCTCATGCCGGCCAAGGACACAAGAAGCGAGGCGGCGGCCTCGGCCGAGGGTTTCACCCCGGAGAGGTTCGAGAAGGAGCTAAAGGAGCTTGCCACAAAGGCCCGGAACGACACCTGGACCAGACGCGCCGCTCGGCAATTGTCCGCCTACGCCAAGGCAGCCTTCCTGCTCGCCCTTCTCGCCGTCTACTCCAACGTCTCGCCTCTGGCCCTGTCGCCCGTCTACGGATCCATCCCCGCCACGATATGGCACTCCAAGCTCCTCATGACGAGCTGCTTCGTCGGCTGGGCTGGCAACGTGGCCCTGCGCCAGTTCCTGCCCGTCAGGACGGCCCTCTTCCTCCCGCTCGTCGCCCTGTACATTCCCGCCGTCCAGTGGTTTTTGCTCGGCTACAGCAGCCTGCTCGGTCCCAGGTGGGGACCCGTCGTGACCGAGGCCGTCACCTTGTTTCCCCTGGCCGTCCTCACCGCCGCCGTTGTGGCCGACCATCTCGAGACGACGCGCCTCAAGATGTTGCCGGCCTTTGTCGCCGACGCCGCGCCGGGCCTCGGATCCTGGGCCTGGCTCAAGTTTGTCGAGCAGTTTGCCGCAAACCACCTGCGGGCCAACATGGGCCGGGCCGTCCTCTACACCCGGCTCGGCTTGGAGCTGGCCCTCGGCGTCGTGTACGCCGTATTTGTCCCCTCGAAGCTCCTCGCCTACGCCGTGCCCCCGCTCCTCCACGCCCTTCTTTTCAACACCCACGTCCCCTCCCCCGCGGCAACCTCGTCTCTCGTCAGCTCCATGATGACGGATGGCTGGCTGCTGCTGGACCGCCGCGAGTCGGTGACGGGCTACGTTTCCGTGCTGCAGAGCATGCAGGACGGCTTTCGGGTCATGCGGTGCGACCACAGCCTCTTGGGCGGAGACTGGATCGACAAGCGCCAGAGCAAACTGCCCGAGCCAATCTACGGAGTCTTCGTCATGCTTGAGGCTGTGCGCCTGGCCGAGACGGAAACCCCCGTGCCGGACAAGGACGCTCACGCCTTGGTTGTGTAAGTCTGCCATCTACCCTCGCACCTTGCCCTGTGCGAGAAACAGGAGCGGAAGAGTCTGAACGAGACCCTTCGGCTAACACGGGGCTTCTCCCAGAGGTCTCGGGGTGGGAACTACGCCCTCGGCTCTCGTCACCCACGGCATCAACACGACTGTCGTGGAGATTGACCCGGCCGTCTACGACTACGCCGCAAAGTACTTTGATCTCAAAGAGAACAACCCTCCTGTGTTGGAAGACGCCGTTGGCTACACCTCGGCGCTGACAGCTACCGCGCCCGAGACCTTCGACTACATTGTCCATGACGTCTTCACTGGCGGCGCGGAGCCAGTGGATCTGTTTACCCTTGAGTTTCTGCAAGGGCTTGCGACGCTGCTCAAGCCAAACGGAGTTGTTGCCATTGTGAGTACCATATCCACCTTTTCTCAATCGGCACGCAGCCCCCTTGGCTCTAACGGCTTCGCCCTTCTTTGTCCAAGAACTATGCTGGTGACCTTGCCCTGCCGGCGCCCGGGATTGTGTTCCGCACCATCAAGCACGTCTTCCCGACATGCCGCATTTTCCGCGAGGTTCCACGAGACGACGTGGCCCTCAAGGAAGTGGGCGTCGACTTCGCCAACATGGTCATCTTCTGCACCAAGACCAGCAGCCCGCTCACTTTTAGGATGCCCACGCAAGCAGATCATCTCCAGAGCGCAATCAGGCAAGAGTTTTTGCGGCTTCAACACGAGATCCCCCAAACAGAGCTTCTGTCTGGGGACGATGCTAGTATCCTGCGCAAGAACGACACCGGCGCGCTGGTCGCGTGGCACGAGCAGAGCGCCCTGGGCCACTGGGCCATCATGAGAACCGTCCTGCCTGCCTGGGTGTGGGAGCGGTGGTGAACCAGCTACACGGAGTCTCGAAAACCTTGCTTCTCTTGGCCAAATCAAGAAGCAAACAAGGGACAGGTTTCCATGCATTTGATGATGTATAAAATTTGCCGTCATGCGCCCTTTTTTTTAAGAAGAAGAGGAGAGTGTATGAGGACGTGGCTCATGAACATTCGTCATTTCTTCTTCATATACCTAGGGTGGGATTTCAAGCAAGGGGTATTTGTACCTCTACTTTCTTGTAGCCGCGATGCTATTCTCTCTGTTGTCCTTGGCAAAGCCGTCGCAGAACGCCGAGGCATACTGAGGAAGCTCGACCCTGTTGTGAGGGCTCGGGATCGGCTCTCGTCGGCGGCTGGCTGGTGTTGCGCCAGCGGCCCGGCACGACGCTATTCATGACGAGCTCCATGGCGTAGAGCCTCTCCTCTTCCGACTCCACCAGGACGCGTGGCCGAAGAGCACGGCCGAACGGTAGTTGCAGCTGTAGCTGTAGTTGAAGGGCGACAGGCGAGGACCAGGCCGTCGACGTGTGAGGCGGCAACACAGACGGGCATGCCGGCAAAGCGGGAGGCGTTGAACATGCGGGCTGAGACGCAGCCGTGAAGGTAGAAGTCCAGCGGGCCGCCGAGGGGGGCGCTGGGGCGGTCGAAGGAGTCCATGTGGTTGATCATGGGCAGGATGACGGGGAAGGGGGAGCCGGGGGTGGTTGTCGAAGAAGACATGAAGGATCTAAGAGGTGTTGACGAGGCTGTGAATATTTTCGAGCGCGTATATGCCTGGACGGGATGGTCAGCGACTCAGTCGACGGTTGGTGGTAGTGGGCGAGGATGAGAATTGAGGGAGCGGACCTCGTTCGCCGTGACGCTTGAGATTAACCGTGTCCTTGGGATGCTCGAGCTCGTATCGACCCATTCTCGTCTGCCTGTGAGGATTGGCGATGGCGTCTTGGAGTCTTGGATTCGTGAGGCAATGGGGGCTTGCTGTACCACTCGATGAACATGAGGGATTGGTGGGCCAGTTTGTCTCCTTTGGCTTGCCTCACATTAATACTTGTCCTTTGTGACACCTGCTGTGATTCCTGAGCGAAGTCGGCTTTGTTACGACTTACAACCCTAGGGGGTTTAAGGTGTGGAAGATCGACATTCTAGTGGCGCACGGGCACGTTTGTTCGGAGGATGACAGATATTTCGATGACAGCACAAACAAAGAGTCTTGGATAAGTCACGGTTATAAAAGGTATCTATATGCCGAGCAGAGGAGACTCGTTGTGTCGGTGGGCCGGGCGTGTGTCCCTTGGCTTTCCGAGAATGGCCGGCAAAACAGTGGAGGTTATCCGCGAGTCTAGGGTAGGGGCTTTTCTCGATTAGTCATGCCATGGCCCTCCTAGGCAGCCGCCTCACAAGGCATCTGCGACGACGGCCGGGCGATCGAGCGCACGCACGGATGGCAAGCCAGCCCAACTATTTGGAAAACTCTCTTCCGACTCTAAAACGCCCACGTGCCGGCAGGCCCCTGCTTCAGCATGCAAACTTCCCGGAGCGACACGGGCTCCAGCGGCGCTGTGTTCCTGACTCGGCCTCATCCTGGCGTTTCGAGTCGTCGTTGGTTGTCGTCTTGACCGGGCCTTCTCCCGTCGCAGACGCAGTACGGGTGGTGACATTAGTCCTTGCATCTCTTTGACAGAGGGAGAACCGGACTCACAACTCGCCCACGCACATGGCTTCGCTGCCGTTGCCCGAGTCTTTGAGCGACTCTCAACGCTATAGCGAGGACAAAAACGGGGTCCACACCCCCTACCCACCAACATCGTCTCCGGGCTAGGCTAACAGCCGTCACAGGTTCGGGTGGCCGTTTGTCCCTACGCTCGAGGTTTCATGCGAGACACCCGTGCCGCAGACTGCCCAATCATGCCACTGGCTGCGCTGGGACCGCGATGACAGCTCGGACGGCCTGCTGTTTGAGGCCCGCTTCTCCCTCGGCCTCTTTGTCAGTCGGACGCAGCCAAATGGATCCCTCTTGACAGACAAAGGGGAAATCTGTCCGATTCCTGGGCCTTGATCGCCATTGCCCGTCGCAAAACGCTCCAGGTCCTGCTTTCCAGCCCCAACTGGGTGGGAGGCTGGCTGGCTATCCACATACGCCTTCTCGCACTCCCCCAACGCCACCCGCCCAACCTTCTTCTTTTCCCAATCCACGCCGAATCGCTGTTGCAGGGCAGCACTCATCAAGCCTCATGGCGTCTTGACGGACCCCGTCATCATGGCACGTTTGCTTGCTGACGCCCTTCTTTGCCTTTCATCCCGTCTTATACCTCATTCCTAACTGGCCCATTGATTGGGCTTCTTTCTCTTCTCCCCGGGGCAGCAGCCTCTTGTCGTCGTCCGCCGTCCGGCATACATCACCATGGCGGAAGCGGGCAACGACCAGGCCCTGGCCACGACCTTTGCCTTGTAAGTAATGTGAAGCTATTCGGCGGGCGAGGATGCTAACGTGTTGAATTTAGTGGCACCGTTGCCATTGCAGCGGTCGCGGCGGCCTCGTTGCACCTGAGAGGCGGCGCCTCGTCGCTCTTTCGAGACGCGCTGAGGCTGGTCCTCGTTGGTTACCTTACGACTTCTTTTCTCTGGGCACTGATAGGCTTCATCGCTACCTTTGTCCAAATGTCGGCTGTTCCGGGATGCCAAGCCGCCGTCGCCTTTGCCGCCATCTTCGATCAGCTCGCGCGCATTCTATTGGAGGAATTCCTCTTCTGGGCCATGAAGTGCGAGATTCAGGCCTCTGTCAGAGTACTGCTGCCTCAAGGAATCTTCCTCCTGCGATTCATTCTGGGCGGGATATTCGTTGGCTTTCAGAGACCACAGTACAAACCTGTCTGTGTCGGCACAACCATTGTCACGCCAATCGCAGTCGTGCTTCTCGTCACTGAGGCTGCAATCGTCGTGATGCTCTTGATACGCGCCTCTTCGGTTGGAATCTTCAGAGACATGCAGGAGAAGACCCCGGCATGGCCTCGGAGCAGATCACTGCTGTTCATCACGCTGGCGCTGGGTTTGTGGATTGCCGTGAGTAGAACCAAGATCCGTCCTTCATGCAGAGCTCCTTCTGACATGACGCTTCAGCTGAGCATCCCCATGATCTTGGGCATGGAGTCCTTCGACCTGGTCGTCCGGACTGTGCTTCCCGCCATTGGCTCACTCGTAGCGATCGGTATGTGTTGTCCTTGACGCCGCATTGCGGGTTCCTTTTACTTACGGAATCTCCTAGTTCTTGTCGCAGTCTTCAGGAACACCCTAAAAAGCTCACTTATAAACACATCGCAGAGGCCTCAGATGACCGAAGGCCCCGCCAGTGACTTGCCTCCCGCCAATGGAGGCTCAGTAACTCGCAACCTACCCAACCGAGATGCCTCTCCTTCTTATACTTCGAACCCATTCACAGCCCCCCCTCGGGATGCACCGTCGTCGAGCGACTCGGAGCGTCCGTTCGCCTCTCGAGACGGGACAACTGGCTTACCCATCATCAGCCGACCGAGCCCCGGACAAGCAGATGCAGGGGTCGGGGGCGTGCCGGTGACTGGCCAGCTGTTTCCCCCCATCAAGGCCCAGGCAGCACCGGCGGCGGCCAAGAGCTTCAACGAGCGACCGACCAAGAAGGCCGTCCTGAAAGGAGGCAAAGTCACGATTTCTTACCCCGTGCCTAATGACGACGAACCAGAGCCCCTGGGAAGAGTCCCCACCGTTGACTTAGCCACCGCAGCCAAGGATCAGAAGGAACGGAGGGATAACACTTTTCCTCAGCCTTCGTCATCGGACTTGGTTGGTTCGCCTAAGGCCTTGTCACCAAGGGAAATACGAAATCAGCCCCAAAACCTCAAGCGCAAGGAGGTTGGGATGTCCATTGATTCCATGGTCGACGATGCCAGGCAGTCGCCACAGCAGACCGAGGAGCCCCTGGCAAAGGCAGAAACATCTTCTGCTCAGATATCCCCCGCAGCAGACAACGTGCGGCGACGATCACCCATCAGGCAAGCACCTCAGGTCCCTGTTCCGAGCTTTCCGTCAGTTCCAACGCAGAAGAGTGATGCGGCTCCCGACGTCGGTACCTCAACTACGTTGACTGCCCCAGCGGAGCCTGAATCACCTCAGAAGCTTGGCCCACGGCCACAAATGGCTGGGGATGAACCCAGGGGGCGAACACTGTCTACCACGGCTTCACTCCGGCGGTCTCGATCGGGGGCTCCGACATTCACTGACCCGACCCCGCCTCCTGAGATACCAGGAAAATTCCCTACCCCGACAGAATCGATGGAAGTCTTGGTTCTTCCAGTCCCCCCTCTAGGACCAAGAGAAAGCCCCGAGCCGTCAAACAAGAACTCTGCTGTTCTTGATAATTCACGAGGAACATTGGCGAATCTCCCGCGCAACGGTTCTGTCAGAGCTGATATTCGCCCATCCCGGCAGAGGCCAGCGTCTCCTCCGAGGGAGGAACAGCCCGAGATCGCCAAGACGCCCGTACAGCTGCGACAAATGAACGGAATACCAAATAACCCCAGGGCACGAATCCAAAAACCTGCGCCTAAAGACCAGGTCGCCCCGCAGGAAACAGTCGAGCTCAGCAAAGGCCCTAAGAAGGAAGATTCCAGTGCCATGCGGGGTATCATGGATCAAGCCCTGAAAAGTATTGCAGAGGAACCTCCTCGAGTCCGGGCACAGGATAGGGAATCTGTCGTCAATCGGCCGAGGCCGGTTCCCCGAAAGCCTGCCGTTGGACACACGTCTCCGTCCAGGGGGGTCTCCAGGCCCCTTCCAAACATCAGCAACCGAATATCCGAATCCATCGAAGCCGAGGCGTCTACTGCATCAGAAAGTACAGTGGCGTTGCTCCCTTCCAAGAATCCTGGAAACGCCACTTTTGGCGCAGGGGTGCAAGATTCTTCTCCAGCTGCACCCAAAGATGAGCGCGGCCTGAAGCAGATATCGCCGTCTGTTTCTGACATGTCCGCTGCGGCGCTGCCGCCTTTGCCTGCACAGGGAGCCGATCTCACCAAGCCATCTCGTCCAAAGGAGGCTTCTGCCACCACCCACACTCCAGAGGCTCCCGCGCGCGACCCTCGTCCACACCACTCAACAGGCAAGTTCTTGTCAAAGTTCAGCCTGGATACGACATTCAGCGCCTTTGATGAGCAGCAGAACGGGGTTTTTGAACCGTCGCAAGCCGCCTCTCAATCGCACCGATCACCTCAAGGAGGCGAGAGAAACAAGAAAAGACTGTCTTCACCCGTGATTCCAGCCGACGATCGGCAAGGCTCTTTGGCCTCGCAAAACTGGGATGCCAACGAGGGCTCAAGGCGCGTTCACTTTCCAGAACCTGTGACGAAACCTCAGGCTGTTCAAGTCGCATCATCCACCGCAACGCCTGAATCGCGAATGTGGCTGGAGCCCAATGATAGGCGCCATATGGTAGAGAGCGCCTTGTTGACAGATGACGACGACGAAGGCAAAGAGACCATGACCGTGATGCTCGACGTGCCAGTTGAGCAAGCTAAACCTCACAAGCAGGATCTGGCTGGCAGCGTGCCGGATCGCGGCTCTTGGCATCGCCGAGTGGGCGATAAATGCCCGACATTCTCGGACAGGAAGAGGATGACAAGGACGCGACTTGTACCTCGGCCACCGCCGCTGCCCCTTGACAAGCCTACAAAGACGAGGAAAGCCGCCACAGCTGAGCTTCCTCCCTTGGAGACACCCAAACAGGCTCTGGAGAAGATTCAGGAGCAGCTTAATAGGCTCGGCGAACTTGTCGAGCCCCCGGCAACCGAGGAGGGTCAGCAGCAGCCGGAGCCGGAGCAGCCTCAAGAAAATCTCCGACGAGGAACGAGTCTCCTGGCCGACCTCGAGATGGAGATGGGCATGCAGGAGGATCACTGGCAGGAGATGCGTCGCGACTATTCTCGAGTTTCCATGTCGACCCTAGCATCTTCCCCTAACACGGAACCTCCATCTGCAAAATTGGAGCGCATGCTCTCGGCAGCTGCTGGCGCCGACTCTGCAGGCCTCGAAGCACCGATTGGCCTGGATGTATCGACCCTGAATCTTGGTAACTTGAGCAAACCTTTCTCCTCGCCCTCCGACCTCGAGAAATGGGCACTCGGTGGCGATAAGAACTTGGGCTCTATTCAAGCTCCCCAAATTGACTCGGCGAGGCCGCCAGTATCGACATCGCTCACCTCGTCACCAGGAATTCGTCACGTCACCAGCTCCGACTTCAGCGAGCGCAGTACCGATGCCGCGATCCAGTCATTGGAGCTGACCCCATCTCCGTCTCGAGGGGATCTGCAAAGGCCGGTGACGAGAAAGGCATCGGAACTGCTTGGAATCGAAAGCCCAATGCTCCACAGCACTTCCTCGACCCCGAAAGAAACTCATCCGGCTGAACGACCGCGCACAATGAGACCCCCGCGACGGAGCAAGCGGATGTCGTCGTTGCCCGACATCTTGGAGGACCCAGTGCCCATGGTAGGCAAACGAGGCACCCTTGGACTCTTCCAATTCCCCTGGGGCGAGAAGTCAGACTCTGCTTCCGTTCCTCTCTCGAGCCAGATGCAAGCTGCCATGAACATGAGTATGGGCATGGGTATGCCTGTCAATATGGCACCCGGTATGCCGGTTTTTCCAACTATGGACGCACAGGTTCGCACGTTGGACTCGCAAGACTACCCCTCATCGTTCTTTGACGACTACGACGACGACGAGGCCGCAGGCGATGAATATGGCGTCAGCAGCGAGGATGATGAATATGGCGAAGACGACGATGAAGATGAAGACGACGACGACGATTCTTTCGACGAAGCGACGCTCTGGGAAATCGCGAATCTCCTCAAATCCGACAAGGTCCCGTCCCGGGGTAGCCTCTTCCCCGAACAGGAAAGGGGGGGCCGACAAGAGCCCTCATCGGGCCCTAGTCGACACCACGCCAGCGTTTCAGCAATCGAGTCTCGGGACAGCGAGCCGCCAGTTGGGTCATCCCGCGTCCCTTCCAATGGAAGGTCGTCCTCGCGAAACCAGTCCATGCAAACCCACTTGTGGGGCGGCAAGTCCAGCCACGCCTCGACGATGCGTTCAATAGGGTTGCCTCAACCCGACAAGACCTGGGAGACGTATCTGACTTGTCCTGCTGGAACTGTTCGTGCTCCTATCCGGGTATTACGACCGGCCACTCTCACTAGCAACACACTCTGGCCGGCAGATTCGGGCGAGCCCATGTCGACGCCTACTCAGCCTGCTATGGGCTTGTGGCAGTCAACCGTAATAATGTCGAGCTCAAGAGTTGCCGGACCTGTCGATGCAGTCGACCTGAAACAACAAGAGACTGTTACCGAAATTCTTCCGTTCTTTCTTGACGCCACTCTACGCTGGTCGCAGCCGAAGTTCCCCGAGCCCGCCAGTGATGACTTGGCTCAACCAGACCAGGCTATGGGAGAGTTGCATCACGCCCCCGAAAACGCACCTGTCCATGTTACGCCTCAAGAAGCCAGCCAAGCCCTGGTTGAAAGCGAACTGCTTCAAGCACCAGGTCCATCATATGCAGTCGGCGCAGGTGGAGGTGCAGTGACGGAGACGGGTAGCGGTGAAACTGTTGCACTGTGGGTGCCTCCTGTGGCCGCCAAGGCTGAGGAGTCAAGGGGGTTGTTCCAGATGCGTCATGTCTGCGACAAGAAGGGGGAGATGTCGACGGAGCCCGCTGCTTTGGAAATGCGACCCAATCCAAGGACGAGGCCTCAGACTTTGGAAAAACTGGAGTCGACAGGCCTCTGGTCCCTTCCACCGAAACACTCTTTCGCCCACGATTGGATTTCGCTGTCGTCCATGAGACCGAGAACCCCGGAGGCCATGTCCTCGGCCTGGAGCAGCCGGTCGCCCTTCACCGACGCCTCGTCTACCCACTCGAGCATCACCAGGCTGTCTACGGCCAGTGGGAGCCTTTTTACAGGCTATCTCGAGGAAACGGCTTCGTGCTCTTCGAGCCAGAGCGTGCATGGTGATGAGGCGGATATGCAAGAGCAGGTGTGGCCGACTCGACCTGCCCAGCCGGCCTCGCAGGCTGAGTGGGCAGCAGCTCTCGCGGAGGCTCTCGCGGCCAGCAGCTCCGGCTCTGTGGTGTCTGTATCTGCTCCGTCGGAAGAGGTTGCTGCGGCGAGCGAATCTGTGTCGCCCGGCGGGGGCTTTGACACTTCGACGATGCATCCCGTCTTCCTGACGTCTGATTTCGACACCAGCGTGGGCGATATCCACCCCGCTGCCCTGGGCTATTAAAACAGCGCCCGGCGAAGTAGACTCGACCGATCGTGACATCTTGAAGAGATGCCTTGGCTGATCATTTCATGTTATCGTTTTTGCATTGCGTTGCTCCGCTTTGTAGTTTGGGCGCAGGAAGAGGTGGCGAGTGAGGGTATAAATGGGGCTAATGTCGAGGGCGAGGATGGGACGCTTGGCGTTATGGGTTGGCTTGGAGATACCCTTTTTAGCTGTATGCAAATTGGAAGAGAGAAGTAGCTGGCCGGGTTTCTTCTTGTGCGACTGATTTACGTGCCGCCCATGGGGCTGTGGGATATTGAGTCGCGGAACAATTTACGACAGCTGGTTCAGTAGCCACGCTCGCCTGGTTTGTGCGACTGTATGTTGTTGAGAATGTCACTGAGAGAGCGTTGCGAGTAAGTCCATGTGTGTAAGTAATAGGTGATCATGGCCCCTTGGGCTCTATCCATGCAATCATCAAATACTCGACAACAACGGATAAGGAGCACACATACTCGACGAGAGAAAAAAAGGGAACCAGAACGCCACGATGCGTCCATGAGAACAGACATCGAATGCCCCCTTTTCCCTCCCTTTCTTCGTCTTCCTCCTCCACCACACCCGTGTGCCCTGTATCCCACGCATTCTATCCCGCCTCCCCCCATCAACCGCTCCCTGTCCTGACCCTTTGCAGGATTTCGTGGTTGGCCTTCGTATGCTCTCTTTGCGTCTTCCCGTCACTCGGGTGAATTTTGAATGGAGTCGTTGAACGTGCCGCTCATTCTCGTGCCTTTTGTCATGCCTCGTCCGGGACGAGCATTGCCAAGGTGCATTAAAAGTCAATCACCGCCCGGTCTTTAGTTCCGAACCCGTCATTCCCCTCCATGGACGTGTCGAAGGGTGCTTCTGTAGAGAATGCCCCGCACAAAGGGAACCGCAAGTAAAATAAGGAAATCGCAATTATTATCACGGCTCGTCACATCGCCGCCAAAGCATCGCCATCAGCAGTCGCCCCGTGGTGACTCGTCCATTCGCCGGCCCTCGAGTGGTCAAAAAGCTGGACGTCGCCTGGGCTCCCCGCATGAAGTAGGCGAGGCAGGCTGGTCATGCCGTGCAAGGGCAGACCTGTGTCGTCAAACGGGGTTGGTGACAGTCGGCTTGGCTTCGGCAGCTGGACAAAGATGAATAGAGCGAGTCCATCTGGTACAGATGGGACACAGCGAGGATCTGGCGTGCAGGACTGTTTCCCGGACGCAAGCCGTCGTCCTTCTCCCAATGCCGACCTTCCAGCCGAGCCAAAAGTCTGAATCGGGAATTTCTCCCGTAAGTATCCCGTACGCATCCGAGATGAGCCGAGGCCTGGGACCGTCGCTATGCAAAGGAAAAAGCAAACAGAAAAAGGAAAGCAAATGTTCGCAAGAGATTAGTTGTTGTATACAAGACCACATGCTGCCCACTTCGGCAGGGCTCGTCGAGGTGCTGCAGAAAGGCCAGGTACGGGGAACCGGAAACCCTGGCCGGACATGGCTAGCCGACCGTCATCAGCGGCATCTGTGGGCTCATTGGCGCTGAAGGGGACTTTTCCGGCGTTGGGGTGCTCTCCATCATGGAGTTGGTGCCGCGGCTCTTGGTCGCTCGTCGCAGAGGACTCGAGCCTGGATCATCGAATACTCGCGTAAACGCGGGGCTGGATTCAAGTCGGCGCTCGCGACGCGGTGTTGTCGCAGGGCTTTGCGTTATCTGGTCGACCCTGCGGATCGCGTCCGACAGGACATCGCGCAATTCTCCGGCTCTCTTGACCAAAGCCTTCAGACTGTTGGTGTCAAACTGCACTCTGCCATTGCTACCCTCCTGCGGCCGGGAGTCGCGCGGCGGCTCGGTGGAAGAGCGGTGATGTTGGCGCATCGACTCCATGACCGATCGCACCACTCCGCTCACGTCATTGGGCGGGTTTGATTGATAGTCTGGCGTCCGGGGCGGCTTCACGCGGCTCGACTGTGCACCATTCGGCTCCACCAGTGGCCAATTGCCACCAAAAATGTCGTCTTCTGGGGAAAACACGGACCGTCGCCTCGGGGACTGACGCTCTCGCACCACTGCGGTTTTCCGCATGGCCGGCTCTGGGCTGTCGAATGCAGCGTCGAACTGGTCCGATGTCGCAGCGTCATGCCTATCCTCGAGCGGCAGGCCCTTGACGTCGCGAGAGCTGGGGCCAGTGGGTGCCGAGGATTGGTGGTCTTCCTTCTCATCGTCTTCGTCGGGCGAGGCGAGGGCAATGATTCCTTCTGCCTCTCTCCACAACCCTGTTTGGTCGCCATTGAGCATGTTCAGTTCCCGGCCATGCCGGCAAAGGCGTTTCAGGTCGTTGACAAGTAGAGACAATTCCCGGATCTGTCCCGAGTGCGCGCGAACACTGGGTTGTGTTGCACGGATAGACTCGGGAACGGCAAAGGCCTTTTCCTGACTCTTGCCAGCAGCTTCGCCGTTGCAGTCCCCCCCGCCAACGCCGAACTCAAAGTCCTCATCCCAATCCTCGGAGACGGTCTTGGCGCCCATCCCCCAGGTACCATATTTTGGTCCCGGTGGTTTTGCAATGGCGACGGAATCGTTGACGATGGGAACACTTTGGCTTCGCACGTGTGTCGGTGTTGGTCCCCTGCGTATAGCCGAGCGGCCTCCCCTAGAGTCCATCTCCGGCATGGCATAGGCTGTCCTCGGCCGCATAGAGATCCCGCCGCCCTCGTGCTTGTCGTGTATGGACGTCTCGCTCCACTCGAATAGGTTGCTCAAAGGGCGCTCGATACGGTGGTCATGGTCACCCATTCGCGGCAGAGTCTCCCCCTCAATGCTGGCCAGTGCAAGTCGAACGTTGGGGTTCATGCCCTTCGAACCAAGAGAGCTGTTGCCCTGGGAAGGAGGGGACAGGGGGCTGCTGAACGGCTTGTCATCATCCCTTGTCCAGTCTTCGTCGTCATCGAAGCCATCCAAAGAACAGCGCTCCAGGTTTTCGGTCATGCGTGCGACGTCGTCATGTGGTGACTCGGAGCTAGAATGAGGCTCGACGATGACCAATCCACGATGGCTTGGGGACGACTTGGCCCCGGCGTATTGAGCCGCTCGAACCGGCGTTGATGTGCTCTCATCGTCCTCCTCCATGATTTTGTTCCCTTCGTCCCAGCCCCTTGCCAGCATCTCTTGTACAGACAAGCGCTTTGTTCTGCCGTTACCAGCAGTGCTTGGGGGAGACTCGTCGTATACAGACTCGAGAGGCGTTTCCACTGCCCTTGCGCGACAAGACGATAGCGTTCGCAGGGAGTCAAACATTGTATCGCTCTTGAAATCGAAGTCATCGTCATCCCCAGACGTAAATCCCCGAGCATCACCGTCGGAGCTTTCCATGACGAAAGACCTCTCATAGTGTGACCCCCTGGCGAATTGCGACAAGGCGGTGGAGCTAGTCGAGCTTCCCGATGGTTGATTAGGCCGAGCATGGCGAGTGGTGGCCCCGCCGCGTGAGAATCCCACTGGACGCGGCAAATTACCAACGCCATACACGACGATGGAATGGCCAAGAGGTGGAGATGATCGATTTCGGTGGTGGATGGGAACCTGGCGACGAACTGTCATGGCCGAATCGATGAGCACAGGCTCTTGCAGCGCCTTTGGAGGGGCCGAGGTTTTGGTCGATGGCTCGGATGGTGATGTTTTCTCCTGCTGGTCCACAGGTGAGTGTGAGGTGCTGAGTTCTGTCGGTTCCGAGACGTGGCGCCGACTGGCGCCGTCGGACGGGTCAAGTCCCCTCTTTGGCCGACGGAGGCTGCCTGATCGTTTGGAGACCCAATTAGTCGCCGACGAGAGGCTTTCGGACAGCGACCGTCTCGTCCGCGTGGGCGGGGCGGGTTCGGGAGGGAGGGTCAAAACCCCAAAAGCCTGGCTGGACGACTGGTCGGACGTCTCCTGGATTTCCGCAGGGGCGGCCAAAGAGACGCCAATCGACGCCAAGGGTGCGGGAAGCATTCTTGGCTTGACTAAATGCACCCTATTCTCCCGATTACCACCTTGAGGGCTGATTCTTTTTAGAGCTAGGTCCCGCAGAGGGGGGGTCGCATCGCCGAGGCGGCCCTGAAGACTAGCACTCGCGGCAATGCGTGTTGTTCTCGAGTGGAAAAAAGATGCCCATCCAGATTCCGATTGAGACCCTGGAAAGACCTGCTCGTCGAAGGGTGAGGCGCCCAGCAGCTCTTCCGGCCCAATTGGCCGCTCAAAAGAGTATTTGGGATGAGCGGTCGAGCCTGCCACATCAATGTCGGCACGGAACTGCTGAAGAGTGGCGGACCTTTGGTGGCTGGTGGCTGGTCGACGGAGGCTCGGAAAATGTCCTCTGGGTCGCCAGCGCGGAGAGACTTCGCCCGAGCTGCTGCCGGTCTGCGTATTCGAGGTCCGCTTGACGAGCTTATTGGGAGGCAAAGGTAGCGCCGCTGGGCTGGGACGGAAAAGTATCGGAGCCGCCGAGTTGTGCGAGAAGGCGACCGATGTGGAATCAGCGATAAGGCTGGACCTGGGACTGTTGTTCTGGGACAGAGGTCGGATGGACAGCCGCCTCATCCACGAGCCATTGGACGAGACGGAATCTCGCGGGCCAACTGAGGGCGCGGACGGCGAAAGCTCGCCCGGCCTTGCAAAAGACAGCCTCCTGCTAAAGGACCTCGGCGACGTGAACTGAGAACTCTGGGGCCGTTGGTGGCGGGACAAGGGCGGCCTCGAGGTTGCTTGCGGATGCGAGACGGCGCGGTGGTGCGAGTGCTCGTCGACAATCGCCGCGGACGTCGTGAGGGGACGAGAGTAAAGGATACTCGTTGGACGGTGGTTCGCCTCGAATGCGCGATCGACAGATATGGTTCGCTGGTGCGATCTGCGCAGAGTCCTCGCAGGGCTGTCTTCGGTGGTGGCGTTGGTGGTGTTCGAGGTGGGGGGAGGCTGGCCGAACACCAGACCGCTGGCCGCTGCCGCAATAGCAGTGCCGGTCCCGACGAGCTGTGGAGAGATGGCGGGCAGTAAGCACAAGCTACACGGTAAAACCAAAACCAAGGTGTGGAGGAGCAGGAGACAATCGAAGCAAGAATGGGCGAGGAACGAGGACAAAGCTTAGTCGAAGCATCTGGACGATGTGGTTGTCGTGACACGAGAGGAAGGGAGGCGGCCGAATCGGAGCAAGGGAGAGAAACCTACACTGGGGACGGTCTGCATGGTTGCCTACTCGAGCAGATGCAGGGAGGGCATTCTAGTGGTTGTTGCGAAGAAGAGCGATGCTGCTGGAGGCGAAATGCTTTGGCATCGTCGGGTGCCACGGCTCGACGCAGCAGGCACACTCCTGCGGTGCCAGGAATGCGCGTGACGATGGCGGACGGATCGGTTGTGGGGAAGAGGGAAAAACGCGCCCAGTTATGAGGCTGCCGCGTCAAGAGACGGGCCGTGCTCGAGCCCTAGGCGCCTGTGGCCGAGCGAGAGGAGGAGGGGGGAGGGGACAAGGGAAAAGAGAGGGAATCAACAGGCGTGCAAGAAGTGAACATGAAGATGGGTAGAGGAGAGAAGAGGAAGACAACGATGATGATGTCGAAGCGGCGATAAGGTACTGCTACGGGCAGCCGCCGTAGGTACATGCCTGCATATAGGTACATGCTGGCCCCCCCCCCCCCCAGGGGTTGGCTAGCAGCGGTTGGTGATGAATGGGCCTGCGGTTGGACCGACCGCGACACGACCGAAAGCCCTCTTCCATGTCTACTGAATCCATTGACGCTGGCACTTGGGTGCTGCAGGCTTGGAGATTGCACTGAGATTCCACTCGGGCGACGTCGGATCGCCGCTGCAGGGATGGGCGGCTGGACTACTAGGGCGAGATCCAATGGCGATTACCTGTATTACAGCGGGCGCAAGCGCGGGAACTGCGCCAAGCCAGGTTGCCGCTGCCCTGCTCGGGTGAGGAACATGAAGCAGGGTAGCGCTTTCAAGAGAGTACCTGTTCCAGAGTGGAGATTCCCGGGGCGGTTCATGTACTTTTTGGGGGCCTCGACCTTACATGGCGTACCGGAATCTGCATCTCCATCTCGTGTACGGAGTACATGCAGCACTGTGCTGTGCTGTATAATGCAGCTGTGGAGAGGACCCGGAGAGGCATTAAGAAACGGCCCACCTAAAGCTGAGTCCTTCGTCGGGGAGCGGAAGCTACGAGCATGGCCTGCATTTGAATGTCGAGGAAGCGGACAGTTAGGACAAGGTACTCCGTAGTGTCTGCGAGACTGGTGAGCAAAAGACGGCCTCTCCTCGTGTAGGTCCGACTTGGGCGGGTCTCCAAAAACCACCGCCAAGTAAGTTAGCCACAGCGGCCAACCACGGAACAAAGGATTCAGTCACCCATGCGCTTGGGGATTATCATCGGGAGCATTGACAAATGGACAGGCTGCCTCGTCCATGTACATGTGTGTGCTTGGTGCATGCATTGATGTGCAGACTTGTCGATTCCCGAAAGCGAGCCTCCAGCCCTGTCTAGACACATGCCAGCGCTGTGCCGCGGAACAGAGGCTCAGATACAGTGGGGGCGCCAGCCTGGAAAAGCACGGGCAGGGGGATTCCTGGGAAGCGCCCCCAGGCAGGATGGGGGGTGGAGCTGCTCAGCAACGCCGTCGCGCTGCGGCTATCCAGTCGAGCGCTAGACTGGCTGATTAGGTACTTTATGCGCCCTGCCTTCTGTAGGGACAGGTCGGTACTTGCCCAGAGGCCTGTATCTACTAACCGACCGACTGCTGGCATCGCGGGCATGGGCATGTTTTGGACGATCAGACATGTTGGAATTGGCAATTTCTGCCATTCTTCCATGACCGCAAAAAGCACCTGTGCTCCACCTAAGCGCTTAGGCCGGTGCTGAAGAGAGTACTGAAAAAGAAGAAAGAGTTCACGGAGAGCGAGTGAGCTGCCGGCATCCAACGTCGCTTGCCAAGCGCTGACGACAAATACATACTACCTTAGGTAAGTACAGCCTGGTGCTTGTACTCCGTACTGTGCTGTACGAATACTGTGTCCATGTACGACTCGATAGCCGCATCGGCGAATATGTTCTGTCCGCATACGTACGGTATGTAATTAAGATGGAGTACTGACGGCCTTTTCTTTCTTTTTCTTCTTCAATTTTGATCGAAAAGGTTGCCGTCGCGTGGCACCAATGGCGATGCCTGCACCTCTCCAAGGCCTGCCTCGCCCGGCTCACCAATCATCCGCCATCCAGCCGCAGCCCCGAAACCTCAAATCTGCGGCCACCATCAGCAGGCGCTGCGAGTTGCTCTCCTGTTTCGCATCTACAGCAGCATCTAAATTGGTACCGGCGAGACCGTTTGCTGCTCGAGAAATCTGCCTCATCGACCACGTGTTCCTGAACAAGATCGAGTCATGGCGAGAGCGCCAAAAAAAAAACCCTGTCTTACCACTGATCGGCCAAAAGGTCGCATGCCCCTGCCCGGACACAGTTCAGTTTCAAACCGCCTCCCAGACATTGCGCCTTGCCTTGCGCGGCGGCCTGGCCCAGCGAGCGGAGACCATCGACGGGAGCCAACAGGCCAAACAACAACAACAATAAACAAACAAACAACAGGGACGATGACAACATCACACAGCCATACTTCGCACATACATGATGTATGTACAGAAGAGTGAGCCACAAGACAATTACTGTACAAGGCTGTGAGAGCGCTGCTATCGTATCATCCGCACATCCTCCTCATCCATCCCTTGAGACATGCCTCCAGATAACGCACCTTACCTTGTCCTGTGTACCAAGTAGTCTGCAAACTCGCCAGTTCGGCCCTCATCAAGCCCCTGTACCACATGCATCGTGGATAGCTGAAGCCTGGCCGCATCTTCTCGCAAGCAGCAGCCTAGCAGCAGCAGCAGCATCATCTCTTTACGTCACATGGCTCATCAGATGCAATCTCAGCCGTTTACGGACCCCCCGAGCCGTGGCAACGAATTGCGGCGTAGCAGGAAGTCGTCAGCCCAAGACATACTTTTTACCACATCGACTCCCCCTCGCGTCCTTGAGATTATTCAAACCGCTACGACATGCTTCGCCGTGTCTCTGCTTGCCGAAACCGGTGGTACCAATAACCGACGCGTACATGTAATAATCATCTATGCTTGTGGTGCCTCGAGATGTTGACGTCAACCAAACCAAGGCACGGCCGCATCAGGCATCTCGACCGGCGCGAGTATGACAAGATTGACCCTGGCCCCCCGTCCGCGAACGCCAGGCTCGAGTGTCCATGCATACCCGCCCGGAGACGACTGCCTGTGGCCAACGCCGGTCCCGAGCTCGACAAAACTGGGGTTCTTGGTGCCGTGCGGGGGTGAAATCATCGTGCGCCTGCCATTGCTTCGCCTCTCCCTCTCGTCTCTTCCTCCCAGCGTCGAGGTGGTCAAAACATTGGACGTCGAATTGATCGTCTCGCCGTCGCCATTGGTTCCGTGTCCGTACTGTACGGGGCCTCTATCGTATCTGGCCATTCGTCGGCCGCGGTTCATCCCATTGACTGGCGACTCCCTCTCTGCCCATTGGCGCTCGTTGCTGCGCCTGGCACCCACAACGCCAGATCAAAGATCTTGTTTGTCTGTGGGGGGCGTCATTCCTTCGGATGGCGTGATACCGCCTTCCCGCTCCCACGAGGCTGCGGCCGATTTGCCTGTCCAAAACAGGCTTTCCCGCTCGAGGTTCGCGTCAGCTGAGCCAGCGCAGCGATCAATTGCCGTGAGCAGTCATGGTAAGACAGGAGTAGCCATCGTAGTCTGGACGATTGGGTTGGCGCCTCGCTCTAACCCCATCTGCAGCCATCATTCGACGCCATGCAAAAGGCTCTCTTCCAGTACACTTCTCCCGTACTCATTCAAAGCAAGCATGAACTGCAGCGCCCATGGGCAAAGCGTGTATACTGTACTCTATGTAACCGGTTGTGTACAGCGTCGCACGTGCCCGCCTGCGAGTGCGATATGGATGAAGCCCGAACGTGCTGGCCTCGCCATGATCCAGACCTTGAGCACTGACTTTCCCACACCGCACGGCGATGATCAAGGGCGGCGGCCCAGGCAACAACGATACAAGGACGGTTGCTCGCCTACAATCGGCTACCCAAGTCGATGCCAGAGGCCCTGGTCCATGTACCCTTCCCTGCTGGGGCTACTACTTTCTTGCGTGTGGATGTCTCAGCCAACCTTTCCTTTTCCCGGCTTTTTTATATCTTTCGACCCTACCGAAATATGGTCATATCTTCATTTCCTCGGGCTCCTACGGTATGTGGTTGGAGTCGCTCTCCCAGCGAGCTGTTTGGATCAGCACCCGGTCCTCGGTAACGCGTCAATTCGTACAAGGTTGAATCCTACTGCCTGTCATGGCTGCTGCAGCTACCAGACATGCTCTGCATGTCGATGCTCCAGCCCGTTACGGTCTAGATTTGCTCCAGCATCCCAGGTTTCCCGCTGGATGCTTATCCCGTTGTCCCGAGAACAAGAAAAGCAAGAGAAACCAGAGACACGACAGAGACCCCAAGATGAGGAAAAAGAAAGGCAATCGGGAAGAAAGGAAGGAAATTGGATCAATCGGCTCTCGCGCAGGCCTGAGTCGGTATGCACACGATGGGAAACACCCTGGAAGTGGTCCACTATTCTCACACGTTTTTCTATTCCCAAGTTCCTGGGCAAAAGGAACATCCACGCTTTCCTCGGGGCCTGGGCATACCCCAGCTGCATGGCAACACCCGACTGCTACGTACTTTGTTCGTATGGAAGTAGGTAGTTCTTGGCCGCCTTTGCTGCGGAGACCGCCATTTCGTCCCCGTACTTTGCGCGACCTATCCTTGAACGCGACAAAGCGGCGCGAAGCTGGCGCGAAAGCTGCTGCTGACCGTTGATTGGCCAATGAGGACGAATCGTCAACCCACCGCCAGAGCGAAAACGGTTGTGCGTAACCCCAGGCTCGCTGCCCGGCTGATTGGCCAAATAGTGCCGAGTTGAAATTACCGACGAGGGTTATCGCCAAGGGTGGTTCGGAGACGATTATTGTGCCTAGATATGATTAATAAGAGGAGACATGGTTGACTCGTGAACAAAATCCAGATTGAGCTGAAGCCACGCGGGTCGCGTGAGGACTGCCGCCTGCGTGGCGTTGAAAGGCCGTTTGAATTACCTACCCAGCGAGGTTGGGCTGTACCACGCTGGGGATGGGGTGAGTTTCCGAGTACTGTAATTCAAGTTCTGGCAGCATGGTGATGGGAAACAACCATAAACCATACAGATCCAAAGTTGCACACCTGATGCGTTTGCTGCGGCACTTTTGTAACGTTTGCATTCATCCGCCGCGATTATTCTCTTCTGTCGAGTGCTCACTGAATGGAGGGGTCGTCGGGGATCGGCGTTTTGAATTGCCGAGGCCTAGGCGCCCGGAACGGGAGAAAAGGTTCCGGTTCGATCCGGGACGGCGTGTCTGCCAAACCGGCAAAAACCAAATTGCGGGGCAAAATCGCCATCGTGTGTCCGGACGGCCATCGAAGACTCGCTAAGCCGACAGTCGTAGCCACGATACGTGCCAGCCAGTCAATTCGCGCATATCTTCCGTCTCAAGCAACCGACCCTGATTTGCCCTAGTTTTCCATTGCTAGCAACCTAAAAGTCCTTCGCCGGGTGACGAGTCCCACCGCAAAATGGACGCCGACATCAAAGCCGTTCTCCCAAACATCGACCCCGTCATCTCAGACTACTCTGTTGGCTACCTGACCCACGCATCTACTGCTTGGTCCGACGATGACGACTCGTCTGGGCTGTCGCCCCTGAACGAAGCCGCCGCCGCCGTCACCGAACTGCTGCTCTCCGCCTCGGGCGCCGTCGACGCCGCCGTCGAGGACAAGATCAAGCAGCTGGTGGAGAAATGGGTTGACAAGTATACCACCGCCAACGGGGGGCAGCGCAACGGCCCCTTGACGGTCAGGAGGCTGGACCAGACGATTCAAGTCAGCTCGCAGCGCAACATGTCGTCCACTCTGGCCGTCGCGTCGGGCGGTGTCGACTTGGAGTCCGCCAATGCGAGAAAGGTCGAGTCCAAGGTCGATCGCAAGAAGCTTGAAAAGGCCGAGCGCAAGATCGCTGCCAAGCAGCAGAAAAAGACGTTCAAGACGGTCGAGTACGAGGCGTCCAGGCTGCTCGATCAGCCCGAGAACACGCAGTCGTATGAGGAGTTTTACATGGCCGTCAACCCGCTTCAGTTGGGCGGCTCCGGAGCCAGTAAAACGAAGGACATCAAACTCGACAGTATCGATGTTTCCATCGGCGGTCTACGCATCCTCACAGATACCTGTCTCACACTCGCATACGGTCACCGATACGGTCTGGTCGGCAACAACGGTATTGGCAAGTCGACGTTGCTGCGGGCGTTGTCGAGGAGAGATGTCGCCATCCCAACTCACATATCGATTCTACACGTCGAGCAAGAGGTAAGCACTCGTCTCCTACTGCGCTCCTCTGACATCGCTTCTCTACTCGCGGGCCATCTGACCGAATGCTGATGGACGCTCTGCAGATCACAGGTGACGATACGCCGGCTCTGCAAGCCGTCCTGGACGCAGACGTTTGGCGCAAGGTTCTCCTCAAAGAGCAAGAAGTAAGTGGCCCAGCTCTGGTTTTCACGTCGCAAGGGAAGACTAACTCGGAAGCAGGAACTCACAGCCAGCCTGGCCGACCTGGAAGCCCGGCGAGCTCCCCTTGCCGACACTTCGACCGATGCTGCCAAGCTCGACCAAGAAAAGGAGGCCAAAGACGGCAAGCTGGGCGACATTCAGGCCAAGCTGGCCGAAATGGAGTCAGACAAGGCCGAGTCCCGGGCGGCCAGCATCCTCGCCGGTCTTGGCTTCTCGGCCGAACGCCAACAAGACGCAACCAAGACCTTTTCCGGCGGTTGGAGAATGCGACTCGCGCTCGCGCGTGCCCTGTTCTGCGAGCCCGATCTCCTGCTACTCGACGAACCGTCCAACATGTTGGACGTTCCTTCAATCACCTTCCTCTCCGGATACCTGCAAAGCTACCCGAGTACTGTCCTCGTCGTCTCCCACGACAGAGCCTTCCTCAACGAAGTGGCGACAGACATCATCCACCAGCACTCGGAACGGCTCGACTACTACCGTGGAGCCAATTTTGACTCGTTCTATGCGACTCGCGAGGAGCGCAAGAAGGTTGCCAAGAAGGAGTACGAGAACCAGATGGCCCAGCGAGCCCACCTGCAGGCTTTCATCGACAAGTTCCGGTACAACGCGGCCAAGTCGTCTGAAGCCCAGTCACGCATCAAGAAGCTGGAGAAGATGCCCGTGCTGGAGCCGCCAGAGTCAGAGTACAACGTCAAGTTCCGCTTTCCCGATGTGGAGAAGCTGTCGCCGCCCATCATTCAGATGTCCGAGGTGGCGTTTGGTTACTCCAAGGACAAGCCATTATTGAGCAATGTGGACCTAGACGTCCAGCTGGACTCCCGGATCGGCATCGTCGGACCCAACGGCGCGGGCAAGACGACAATCTTGAAGCTCCTGATTGGGAAGCTGGAGCCACTCAAGGGAATCGTCACGGCAAATGCCCGACTGCGGATTGGCTTCTTTGCACAACACCACGTCGACGCGCTGGATCTGACCATGAGCTCGGTGAGTTTCATGGCCAAGATGTACCCTGGCCGCACCGACGAGGAATACCGACGACAGCTCGGTGCGTTTGGCATCACAGGCACGACGGGCCTGCAGAAGATGGGACAGCTCTCGGGTGGTCAGAAGTCGAGGGTCGCGTTTGCCTGCCTGGCCCTCACGAATCCGCACATTCTGGTGCTCGACGAGCCTTCGAATCATCTCGACATTGAGGCCATGGACGCCCTGGCGGAGGCGCTCACCGAGTTCCAGGGCGGTGTGCTGATGGTGTCTCACGACGTCACCATGCTGCAGATGGTGTGTACGTCACTGTGGGTATGCGACGGCGGAATGGTTGAGAAGTTTCCCGGCGATGTGCAGCAGTACAAGAAGAGGATCGCGGCGCAGGCAGACGCGGCTGGTGTTGTCAAGGCCCATTAGCAGCTCGGAGAGAAGGTATCTGGGGCGAAGATATCCATCCTGTAGCGAATGGAAACGGCTACTGTGGTGGTGAGTGATGAGCTGCTCGTCAAGGAGAGATCTGATCCTTTCTCTTTTCACAGCTGCGTGCTCGTAGGAGCGGGAGCTTCATCGCGTCTCGCTCTTCTGTCCCTTGTGGCGACAACGCGCCGTAGATATCGTGATGCCCTCTTTCTTTTCGCGGCAACAGGAACAAAACTCTCCGCGGGACAGAATACCAAGCCCGTAACAGCCTTTTACTCTGATCTTTGTCTGTACGCGAAACATTCTCAAAGCACAGCAGCATGCCTTACGTAATTCACAAACGCTGGAAATGAATTGCTGCCGTGCACGGGCCACGCTGTAAACAAGCGAGGGTGGTTGAGGGGAGGGAGGCCCGCACCTGTCTCCTGCCGCCCAAGTCAGGAGCCATGGCGGTGAAGAGGTACCTACCCTGACCTCCTCCTGCAAGAGTGTCCAACAAAATCCACTCGCTCAACCTCTCACTTCCCTCATCACCACATACCACCCACCCCTCGGATCGTGAAGCCCGCCCTCGACCCTTGCGACTCTCGCCGTATTTCCTGTCCTGCCCAGCACGTCTTCTCGACGATAGTCTTCATCCGCAAATATGCGTGAGATTGTAAGTCCTCTGCCGCCCCGACGAACTATCCGCGCGACGCGTCTCGACGCCCAAGATGCCCCTGATTACCTCTGCCCCACCAAAAACATTGCACGCCCATTTCGGCCCAACTCGAGAAGCACGCAGGCACCTGCGACTTGCTGTCGATGACCAGTCTGCTGACCGAGCCTTTTGAACGACTATAGGTTCATCTCCAGACTGGCCAGTGCGTAAGTAAATTCGCGGCCACGGCACCACACAGTCCCCGGAAGCTCACTGTTGTCTGTAGGGCAACCAAATCGGTGCTGCGTTCTGGCAGACCATCTCTGGCGAGCACGGACTCGACAGCAATGGCGTCTACAATGGCACTTCGGAGCTTCAGCTCGAGCGCATGAGCGTCTATTTCAACGAGGTGCGTTGCGTTTTTCGTCTTTTCTGCCCCGCTTGAGAGTACCGTTGAGCAAAGCCTAACGCTGGCGGCGGGTGAATAGGCCTCAGGCAACAAATATGTCCCTCGCGCCGTTCTCGTCGATCTCGAGCCCGGCACCATGGACGCCGTCCGCGCTGGTCCTTTCGGCCAGCTTTTCCGCCCCGATAACTTCGTTTTCGGGCAGTCCGGTGCTGGCAACAACTGGGCCAAAGGCCACTACACTGAGGGCGCGGAGCTGGTCGACAACGTCCTCGATGTCGTTCGTCGCGAGGCCGAGGGCTGTGACTGCCTCCAAGGCTTCCAAATCACCCACTCCCTGGGTGGTGGCACCGGTGCCGGCATGGGCACCCTGCTCATTTCCAAGATTCGCGAGGAGTTCCCTGACCGCATGATGGCCACCTTCTCGGTCGTCCCCTCCCCCAAGGTCTCCGACACCGTCGTCGAGCCCTACAACGCCACTCTGTCCGTCCATCAGCTTGTGGAGAACTCGGACGAGACGTTCTGCATTGACAACGAGGCCCTCTACGATATTTGCATGCGCACCCTGAAGCTGTCCAGCCCCTCGTACGGTGACCTGAACCACCTCGTCTCGGCTGTCATGTCGGGTGTCACGACCTGCCTGCGATTCCCCGGTCAGCTCAACTCGGATCTCCGCAAGCTCGCCGTCAACATGGTTCCCTTCCCTCGTCTTCACTTCTTCATGGTCGGCTTTGCGCCCCTGACCAGCCGTGGCGCCCACTCTTTCCGCGCTGTCAGCGTGCCCGAGTTGACGCAGCAAATGTTCGACCCCAAGAACATGATGGCCGCCTCCGACTTCCGCAACGGCCGCTACCTGACTTGCTGTGCCATTTTGTACGTGCTCATGACGTTGTCGGTCTCGAAGCTTTTGCTAACAAGAAATGCAGCCGTGGCAAGGTCGCCATGAAGGAGGTCGAGGACCAGATGCGCAACGTGCAGAACAAGAACGCAACTTACTTCGTTGAGTGGATTCCCAACAACATCCAGACCGCCCTGTGCGCTATCCCTCCCCGTGGCCTGAAGATGTCGTCCACCTTCATCGGCAACTCGACCTCGATCCAGGAGCTTTTCAAGCGTGTTGGTGAGCAGTTCACTGCCATGTTCCGTCGCAAGGCCTTCTTGCACTGGTACACGGGCGAGGGTATGGACGAGATGGAGTTCACCGAGGCCGAGTCCAACATGAATGACTTGGTCTCCGAGTACCAGCAGTACCAGGATGCTGGTATCGATGACGAGCCGGAGGAGTACGGTGAGGAGGATGTTCCGGATAATGAGGATTAGGCCATGTCTCCTTAGCCAACGGCGCGCCCTCTCGCAACCACGAGATTGCACAGTGGCCGCCAGCTGAGTGTGAATTCGCTTCGGGGTGTCGAGGTTGTTCCGTGCAAGGGTGTTTTCTAGATACCTTGTTCCGACCGCAGAGCTTTTAATGCAGTGCGTGGCCTGGAAAGATTAAAACTAGTACCTGGTACGCCAGCAAAACATATTCGACGTACAGTCTAATTTGTACGTATTACAATTGATGGCGCCAATGGCCACCGAGGCAGTGAGCGGTGTAGAGTCCCGGCACTTGGACTCTTTGTAACTGATGGCCCCGTCCATGATGCTCAGAAGGGGAAAACACTTGGAGCATGTATGAGACTGAATTTGGGGGGTGTTTTAGACAGACAGAGGCGGTAGAGCTAGAAGAGACGTGAATGGCTCGAGCTGGCGAGGTCTTTTGAGCGACTCAAGTAGTCTTCGTTCGGGACGTTAGAGAAAAAGGTGTCCGAAAAGGTGTGATGGCAGTTCCCGCCGTAGTAGCGCTCCGAGCTCTGGTGGAACAAGTGTCTGCCGCGTATCCATAGTATACTTTTATAATTCACTTACGGACTACGGAGTATAAATGATATGAACTATTAATACGTATTAGAGCTAAAAAGACCTGGCACCCTCAATCCCGGCGCAGGGACGCCCATTGGCTTAGGTAAGTGAGGTAGCACAAGAAAGGCACGTGACTAGATGACTAAGCGACCAAAATGCTCCAACCCAACGACAGGAAGCTGCTCTCACTCCCAAGGCCAGTATCTGCAATATCGAGCATATCCGTCTCTGCACCCATTGGCACCGTTGGGGCAAACTCCATGGCCGCAAAGTTTGCTCCCGCTCGGGGTGAGGCATTGCGCCATGCCCTGCGTGCCTCGCCGGCCGTGACGCTACCGGGATTCCTGGTGCCTGCGTGGCAGGGATTCGCGCGACGCCAAGGCCAGCAGTTCTCGACGACGACACAACAGCACTCGAAGCTTGGGCGGACGCCGATATCGATACCTCCGGGGGTAGAGCTTATCGTGGGCGGGACCAAGACGCTGAAGAGCATGACGTCGTACCGAGCGGATGTGAAGAAGACGATTACGGTCAAGGGACCGCTGGGTGAGCTTGGTTCCCCTATTACTCCTTGGGCGCGAGGGAGTGGACTGCGGGGATAGTAGACACGGGGGCTAACGAGATGCGTACGATGGCAGCCACGCTGGAGCTCGATGTTCCCGACTTTGTCAGCTTGAGCCAGGATATAGAGGACCGGAAGGTGGTGCTGAGCGTCGAGGATGCAGATGTAAGGCATCAAAGAGAGATGTGGGGTACGTTTTTCTCTTGCAACGTGTGCGCCTCTGCCCGTTTGCTAACAGGCCCCCTCTTACTCTCCAGGAACAACGTGGTCCTACTTGAACAACTACGTCATGGGGGTCTCCGAAGGCCACACGGCCATCCTGCGCCTCGTCGGCGTCGGCTACCGCGCCAGCGTGGAGCAGCGCGGCGCAAAGGAAGAGTACCCCGGCCAGCGCTTCCTCTGCCTCAAGCTGGGCTTCACGCACCCCGTCGAGGAGGGCATCCCCAAGGGCGTCACGGTGACGGCGGTCACGCCCACGCGCATCCTCCTCGAGGGCCCGGACCGCGAGGCCATCATGTCGTTTGCCGGGCGCGTGAGGCTGTGGCGGCCGCCGGAGCCGTACAAGGGAAAGGGCATCTTCATCAACGACCAGACGATTAAGCTGAAGCAGAAGAAGATTAAGTAGGCGGTGGGATGGAGGCAGCTACTCGGTCCGCGTGTATGGGGGTGCGGCTCTGGCGGCGGTGATGCAAAGTCTTGCGTGTACGAGTATATACGAGCCATTACCGCACAATTCCGATATTGTTTCGTTCCATTTGTGTCACAATGGGAGAAATCATGGTCAAGTAGAGTCAATGAAGACGGGAAAGGGGGAGCCAGCATTGGGAAGAGAGGTGTTGCGGACAGCTGCTCTACCGTGCTGCCAATCTTCGGCGGTAATTCCATCCCTCAAGCTCTCCACCTAGGCGGGCCACATTTTCCCGTACACATCAATCAGCAGGGAAGCCGCTTTCTCTCCACGCCTCTCTTCGGCGTCGTCTATTTCTCGAGGACCCCCTGCACGGCCTGCAAGACGGTCGCGTGAATGGCCGCGGGGGCAGCGACGACGCCCTTGTTGTTGGCGAGGGTGCGCCCGGCGCCAAAGTCAAGCCTCTTGCCGTGGATGTCGGTGACGTGGCCGCCGGCCTCGCGGACAATGAGGTCGCCGGCGGCGTGGTCCCAGATCTTCTCCTGGTAGGTGGCCTTGACGGGGAGGCGCAGGTAGATGTCGCCGGCGCCGCGGGCAATGGAGCCGTACTTTGCCTGGCTGTCCATGCGGACGCTGGGGCGGGTGATGCCGAGCTTCTGGGAGATGAGGGCCTGGTCGTCGTGCGCAGAGTGGGCGGCCTCGAAGCTCTCGCAGAATGTGGCCTCGGCCAGGTCGCGGATGGGCCGCATCGCGATGGGCTTGTCCGTCGGCGCCCCGGCCGACTGGGCAAGGGCCCGGCTGGAGGCGCCGTGGCCTTGGACGGCGGAGAAGAGGACGCCGTGGCTGTCGTCGTCGGTCTGGTTGGCGCCGATGTCGGCCGTCAGGCGCGCGGCGTCGTCGACGGGGAGGTTGGGGCAGCCGAGGACGCCGACCTTGACGTCGCCGTCGACCAAGAGGCCGAGGCAGACGGCGTACTGCCCGCCGCGCAGGAAGCCCTTTGTGCCGTCAATGGGATCGATGGTCCAGATGCGACCGCGCGAGCCGCCCTTGCTGTTTCCCAGGTCAATGAGCTCCAGCATGGTCTCGGCATCCTTGACGGGCCCGCCCAGGACCTCGCGCTCGGCCTTGTCGTCATCCAGCTTGGTGTCACGGACGAGGTTCCAGATCTGCTCGCGCAGCCCAGCGTCCTGCCGCAGCCGCGCCGCCTCCTCCTCGGCCACAATCTCGTCGGCGGGGAAATTGTGCCGCAGGGCGGCCGTGATGAGGGCCTGGGCGCCAAAGTCGCCAATGGTGACGGGCGACTTGTCGTCCTTGTCGACGGTGCCCTTTGCCTTTTCGCGGAAGACGCGCCGGGTGAGCAGCGAGGCGCGCTGCACTGCCAGCTGCGCGACCCGCAGCTCGCGGGCAAAGGCCGGCGCTGACGAGGAGGATGAAGACGAGACCATCGAGGAGACGGGACGTAGCAGCAGGAGGTGGCTCGAAAGCTGCCGCAGACGTGAGGCGGCGACGGCGGCGACGTGGGGGGCGAGGAGAGCCACGGCGAGGATGCAGAGAAGAGACGAGAGCACGAGGGAGGCCAGAGAGAGTCTGCGCTGGGGACGAGGAGGGGAGGGTTGCGAGGGGCGCCGGTGGGGAGGAGCGGGATGACGGCGACGGCGGGGGACACTGGCAGCAGGCATGCAATGCAGCGTGCAGCAAGCGAGCTAGAGAATCGCAGATGGTCGCGGGTCAATGGGTTGATTGGTCAAGGATTGCGAAACAGATGGCTTGAAATCGAAGAAAGAGGGAAGCATCCGTCGACGAGTCCGGAGAAGGGCTCCGGAGCCCCTCCCCCACACACGCCGCCGCCGGAGGTACGGACGCCGACAAGCCGACGAGCGGGCCGAGGCGCCGACTTTTCGCCCCCTCAACATTCTTCTCTCTCGTCAGCCATACATACAGCCCACCCCAACGCATCGCGAACCACCTTCACCATGCCCGCGCCGCCCTCCACGCCCGCCCACCTCCGCGCCCTCTACCGCGCCCTCCTTCGCGAACTCCCCGCTCGTCCCACGGCCGGCACCAGCAGCCCCCTGCACAGCACCTCCCGCTCGCCGCTCCACGCCCGCATACGCGCCCCCTTTGCCGCCGGCAACATCAGCAACGGCGCTGCCGAGGCCGAGCAGCTCGTCACATATCTGCGCTCGCAGCGCCAGTACGTCACCCTTCTCGAGCGCTACAATCCGGGCATGGACATGGACGAGGAGGAGCGCGTGCGCCTCTCGGCCCGCCGCGTCGGCATGGAGATGCCCGTTCTGCACAGGCCCGGTGGCGGGAACGAGTGAGCGACGCGGCTGCGCAACTTTCGAAAGAGCCAACGGGGAGAGGAGGGACGTACACCTATTATTCGAGACTTGATTTCGTCGCAAAGCTCGTCGGCGTCGTCAACGACGTGGACCCAGACTGGCTATCGGCAACCACAAGTCTGCGGCTTGAAAACAGCCTCGAAGCCCTGCAGGCAGGGCCTGCCTCGAACAGAAAGCGAACATCGCCGACACGCCGTTCGCTTGCTCTTGGGCCTATCGTCCAAAGTGACAACCAAGTCCATGTACAAGGCCATCTACCAACGCCGCGCAATTTTGAGAACAGTCAACATAGTCCAGCGCATCACGCACCCGTTTCACTTCATATGTGGCTCTGCATGGCATCCATGGCTACCACTCTCAAACAATGCGCGAGAGTATTCTTCAAATCATGACAACACCACTTCGCCTTCGCAAGTACCAGACGTGCCTGTGGGGGTATCTACTAAAATCTCACATGACCAGTTCATACTCATAATAAAAACCGTGCTCGTCCTTCTGCTCAGCTCGCCATCTCATCTGTCTTGTGCGTCATGGCTGCCCGCCGACTACATTGCCCCGAACCCTGCCGACTCCTCGAGCGTCTCGTCCCAACCGCCACTCTGCAGCAGACACGCGCCGATCCGCTCCTTGACGTTCTTGATGCCCTCGCCTAGCGCACTGTTCCACTGTTCCTGCACCACGCGTACTTTTTCCTTGAGGTCGTCTGTCAGGCGCCTGTTCTCGCTGTGCCGCATTGCACTGGCCTGTTTTCCGCCATCCTCGGCATCCAGGGCGGTTCCATCAGCCGCCTCCACCCGTGTGGCTAGCACCCTGCCGTGCGCGTTCACCACAGCCTCCTTGACTTCATGAAGCAGGCACAGCAGGTTGGTATGCGACTCGATGAACTGATATGTGCTCTTTTCCGCGTGCTGCAGCAAGCTGTATAGGTACTGCAAGGGGTGGTCGTGGTATGAAGGGTTTTCTGCCAGTTCGGATGGGGGGATCTGGACGCTAAACACCCCTAGGTTATCAGGGATGCCGTCCAGAAGCTGTCGAAGCGGCGGGGCAATGTCCCAGAACGCAGATAGCTGCAGGGCCACGCCACGTTCGACGGCTTCTTCCACCGCCGTCTGCAAATCTCGCGCGCGATCCAGCATTTCGTTGGCATAGGCGTGAGCTCGCTTGGCCGCGTCCTCGGCAAAGAATGCTTCGGCCAACTTGAGCTTCTCAGCGTTGCCCGAAAGCTTGTACGGAGCCACGACAACCTCGCGATAGCGCCGGTTGCGGTCCGAGATGATGTCATATATGGCCCGGTGGAGAGTCTCACGCGTCTCGAATATCCACTTGAGCAGCGTCAGCTTCTCCAGGAGCTCTGGCCTATCGTCCCCTTCCTCCTGGGGCATGTCGGCGTCCATTTGTCCATTGTCGAATAGGTGCCGTGCCAGATCATCGAACAATTCCGTGGTGCGGGAGATGCGTCCGGTCAGCAAGTCGTTCAGAGGCAACACGACTTCGTTCTGGAAGTGTTCGTATTCCGTCTTATCCAGCTCCTTTTTCTTGCCCCTCTCCTGCTCTTGCGAATCCGCCTCGATCGCGGCCGCGTCCGCGTAGTCCAGATTTCCTGCAAGGATTTCCTTTTGGAGATTGGCCCGGAGGGACTGCTGTCTCTCTGACGCAGCCTGCGAGAAGCCTTCGCGACGCTTAGAGCTGGCCACGGCGAATCGCTCCTTAGCCTTGTCAATTTCAGCCAGGTCGCTCATCGAGCGCACAGAGCTTCGCATAGCAGCCAACTCGGGATGATTGTTGTTCACCGCAGGGTGGTGGCGCGGGTACGGCGGAGGCAACGTCACCAGCCGGGACACGTCCAGTGACTGGGGCTTCCTGTTAGATGCCGGAGGTATGGTAGAGCTCGCCGTCGCGGTGGACAACCGCCTCAATGGCTCTGGCGCCCAGGACTGGTCTTGGCGAGCGTGCCAATCTGCCTTCTCGGGCGGATACTCGCTCGGCAGTTGGCAGCACTCACTCTGTCCCCCTTGTCCCCCCTGTTCCCCCTGCGCCATCGAGTCCTGCTCTTCTTCCACCCACTGGTTCTTGGGAACTCCCATATACTTTGACTCGCGCTTGGATCTTTCAATCACCCGACTCTGATCGTCTTGGGAGCCCGATTCCCACCAACGGCTGGGGGGCCGGCCGCGAGAGCTGCCCCTCTCGTAATTCTCGCTAACGCTCATGCTGAGAATAGGCGAGAGCGATGGCATGTAGTTTGTCGCCCTGTTGGCGTTATTTGGCGCCCAGTCGTCACTTGGCGTGACCGGTAGGTTGGCCGACGCCGGGGCTGAGTTGGATAGTCCATCGGCGTCAAACTCCAAACTACCCGCAAGATCGTCCCCTGGCGAAGGATTTGGACCTGCTGAAGAGGCGGGGGTCCATTCACCCCGCGAGGTTCCGCGCGCGTGGCCCGTCGGGGCGATCAACATCGGCCGGAACAAGTCCCGCGTCAAGTCGAAGATCTCCGAGCCCATTGCTCCGATGGCAGTGGAATATCTCTCTCGCCGAATCCTCGACTCGCTAACAATAAAGTCTGCAAATAGGCGGACTCGCTCGGCATCCATGGAGGCAGCCGCCTCTCTCTCGGCAAAAGCACGGAACCGCTCAACGGCTGCGGCGGCAAACTGATCGGAGCTCTGGGCCAGGACTAGGTGCCGGGACGCAGGCGATTTGTTGGACGACAGACGAACGCCATCACGCGGTCTGGAGCTTGACGCAGATCGTGTCTGAGGCGGAGGCGTAGGCAGCGCTCTGGGTGCAACAGAGCCGGAGCCATCCGATGGCTGACTTGCTTTGGCTGGATAAGGGGAGAATGGTGGAGTTGCCGTGTCGAGTCGAGGTAGCCGAGCGGAACCCGGAGCACGAGGGGTCAAGGTGCGAGGTTCCTGCTTCCTGAAGGACGATGACGGTTCGCCAGCATGGAGAGGGGCGACCTGAGCCTTGCCACCGCTGCTGCGAGGGTTTGATCTCGTGGTGGCGGGGCCGCAGACAATTGGGTCCGTGGTTACCACAATATCCGAAATCTGGTTTGGCCTCGATGCGGCGTCAACCAATCCGTGCGGCGAGGTGGGATTCCGATGTCGGCTTTCCGCTCTTCTCTGAATAATTGTCTTATCGTGACGTACCGCTCCGGCTCGGTTCAACACCCCACATGCACTTGGCGATGATGCCAGCGGCTCGGCGGCGTCTTTGTAGCTGGCGGCGGCCTGCGGGTCAATAGTGAGTTCCCGCCCCCGGACCCTTTCCAGCAGACAGGGCTCCACGTCCTCGTTGACCCAATCGGCCGGCGTTGGGGGGACCGGTCCCAAAGACGAGACCCCGCTGGGTGGTTGACGGCGCGTTGGAGGCGAAATGATGGGGATAGAGTTTCTATTTGCGCTCTGGACGCTCTGCGATCTCGGCGGCGGCGGACCGGGTGGCGGCGGCGGCAGCGGCATCGTGTGCTCCCATCCCGGCCGGGAAGTGGACCGGGAACGGGCCGACGGCGGAGTGTCAAGTGCGCCGGTGGAAGCGGCGCGGCGCGCTGCTGGCGGCCCGGCCTGTACGGCGATGGGGGGCGAGGCCATTCGCTCCGGGTCCGGGGGTACCGTCGAGGTGCCCAGGGTCCTCCCTAGCGGCAGCACGGGCGGCAGCGGGTCTGGCGAGCTTGCGAGCTGATCATCATGGTCCCTCCGCCTGCCCAACAGAGGCAGGCCGAACCGGCGCTCGCGAGAGCATCCTCTCATGGCCGTGTCAGGAGGGGCCGGAAACCCATGAGCGACCTGGGGCTCGGGAGAGGGCCATGGCCGCATTGGCACGGTTGTTGGTACATTCCGGGGCGAAGTTGACTCCACGGCGTGCTCGAACGCCGTGCTTACCGGCCGCTGCCGGCGCGTCCTCGGCGGGCTGTACGGAGGAGGGGGAGGGGCCGAAGCTTGGGTTCAGTTAGCAGGAGAGATACATGGAAACCGAGGCTCAGGCCAGCCATCATCACCTTGAGAGTCGTGTTCGAGCTGCCGCGACCGTTCCGAGTTTGGCGGCGGAGTCGATGCAGGCGGCGGTGATACCCATTCCTGGGGGTTGTAGGGTTGTATGAGGCCGCCCGACGTGTTTGCCGAATGGATGTGCGAGGAGGCCATGGACACGGCAGAAATGGGTGTGTGGAGATGGTTGACGACATGAGATGGCAAAGAGCTCGTCGTGAGAGGACTGAGGCCATGACGCAGGCGTGCTGCTGGGTCAACAGGAGACACCATAGTGCATGGTTTGGGTCAAGGAGGCGCCTCAGATGGCCCGCATTTGCAGCGCTTCTCCGACGCAGCAACAGAGGTTCAACGATAGGCTTTGGGGGAGAATGCCGATGAAGCACCGGCAGGCGCGAACAAGATGCCTTGCCTCGTCGTTAGACAGGCGCCCCAAGCCGAGGCGATCAAGGGCGAGAAACTATCTCGAGCCCATCTATCCGTATATACGACGGACGGTGGGGAGCGCGGCATGCATGCGTGGCTGCTGCTAATGAGATGGCCGGAGGCGAAAAGTAACGAATGGGAGGTCGGCAGGCAAAGCGCCCAACGAGCAGATCGACGGCTATGAAGCACGAGAAGAGCGGCTGAAGCGACGGCGGGCAAACGAAGGCATGCGGGGAGGAAGAAGAGGAGGGCAAGGTCCAACCAGATAACTAAGGTGACGGCGGCAGCTGTCTCGGTGGTGGTGGTGGGCGGGTTAAGGTTAGGCAACGAGGGACTTGTTTGGCCAAGGTGTCCCGAGTATCTGAGTAGCCCTCCAAAGGTTCCTTGCTTCTTGATCCAGGTACCGACTTGGGTTGCCGTAAGTGGAAAGGTCACCATGTCCAGGTCACACGTGTACAACCCAGCGAGAGCGCTTTCCAGCTCGCCTTGCATTTCGATACCAGGAGACGGGAAGCTCTCCTAGTACCTCGCCAGGTACAATGGTCTGTAGGTCGTAGCTGCCGCGGGTGCTACTAGTAATTTGGTGCGTAGTGTGTAATTACTGTGGTAGTCAACTTGGAAGATGGCCAAGGTCGTACTGTGCAAGAGCGGCTAAGCTCTTTCAGGCTTCCCCCAGTGCCTCACGTACTGTAAGCTGCTCGTAATAAACTTGCTGTGGGTGATGACAGGTAGCCCCCGGTGTGCTTGCATGATGCATCGTACAACTTTGACTGTTCAAATCATGTGCTTGTTACTCGTTGTACCCATGGGGCAAAGGAGAGAGACCAAGGATGCCCATATGTCGATGGCAGATGTCCTCAAAGAGCCGCCTCCAATGCTGATGAGGGGGCGGGATGGTACGGAGCAGGACAGTACTGTGCAGTACCTAGGTAGCTTTGAAGTTTGAAGCCGCAACACCATGTCGTCGTCGTCGTCCAAGAGGGATGCTGTAACACGGCCCCTGTTCGTGCGCGCCAAGTGCTTCTTTCAGTCAGGTAGCTCCCTCCAACGTGGGCTGATTCGCAGGGATACATCAACTGCTGTGGACCAAGCAAGGGCCCAACTGGCCCGCCTCGGGGCCGTCTGTTCTTTGCACGCCATTGGGTATCACGAGGCCTTCTTGCGCCTTCATAGTCCTGTGACTTGCTGCTTGGAGAGCCACTGCAGAAGAAGAGTCACTCGCCTATCGACGGACATTCACTGATGACTTCGCAATGGAAAACAAAGGACTTGGTATAACGTGAGAAGTCCCGCAACCCCCTCAGCGACTGATGAGGAAAGGCGTTTCAGAACTCGTCTCCCGTTGGTGTATCTGGTTCCTGAAGTGGGTGACCATGTTCATGGACTGGGAGCCAAGCTGCATGATTGGCCGCTGGCTGACGGGTACATGCAAAGAGGTTGGCGGCCGGCGCTTAATAGCGTCTCCGTCCAAGACACCCTGCTTGCAGTCCGGCTGTCGAGAGCATGTACTATTATTACAGGAACAATGGTCAAAAACTCAAGAGACGAAGAGACGGGCTGAGGCAGCCCTGCCTACCTGAAGCCTCGTCTCGCCGCCGCTCTTGTCAGCGCGATGCACTCCCTAGGCTTCAATCCCATCCACCTGGCCGCAATAACGACGGGGTATCAAGGCGTCTGCAGCTCCACCCATCTCGTCAGCTACGCGCCGAACCCTGCCTTTGACGTCCTATGGCTACATATTTCTGCATAGTAGTCCCATGCGGCTCGCATGAGCCAAGCCGCGGCGGACCTAGCTGGAGCGGCCCTAAGGGTTCTATTTCGGTTACGCTGATGCCTTGAGAGTCGACTGTCTGCTCACGGCTCGATGACTTGCTTGGGCCAGGGCAGCAAGAACATGATGCCTTGTCAAAAATGACATTCCAATCACTGTATTCGTACCAAGCTGCAGAGTCACAGGTTCAGCATGCAAACTGACTCCCCCCACGCAAAGGCGTCAACTTACCAATGGGTGAGGTCGTGGATATTTATAGAAAGAGGCGCCTGCCGTCTGATATGCGGCTGCATCGCCCAGTATGCAAAACTGCGGCGCGTTTACTGTACAGGTGCTTTCAGAAGTCTTTCTGGGCGGCACAAGCGCCATCAGTGAACCCCGTATCCGTACTTGATCCTGGCTGCGTCTCCGTCTCCGTCTCCATTCTGCGAGCCGTGTTGCAGCAATATCCGACGGGACTCGACAGAGAGCAGGTGTCTCGAGAAACGTCCTGCGCAGATACGGTGCATCTCGTTCAGCGACAAGATCCGGCCGGGTACCAGAAGCTGGCGGCTTCATCGGTAGTTTCCGTGGCTGGAGGCCAACTCTGTGGCGATCAGCACCCAAAGCTGCCGATCTATAGAAGCTTAAGTTGAACTCGCGCCATCTGCTTCGGCAAGACTGGCATTGTTAGTCTTGGGGGAAGCTGGTCAAGGTCTGGAGGAGCCATGGCTGGCACCGAGCGGCCGTCAAATGCACATTCGAGAAGCCCCCCAACAATGACTGCCCATGTTAGGCAAGCTTAACGAACGCTGTGCTGAGCCAACAACATCTTCGCGTCACCGAGGCGTCCTTTGAAGGATTCTTGCGGCGGCTTGGAAGGAAGGCTGGGCTTCGTGAGTGGGACAGGGCAAGGAGCAGGTACCAAAGTACTTGGTACCTATTCCGTGCCTACGTATCCGTAAGGTACCTAGCTAAGGTAATTAGGCACATGCCCGAAGCTCGCTCCCCGCTTTTCTACGGTGCAGTGTGGGGTGCACAAGCTCTTGCGAAATTCTAGAGGATTCTGAGCTTTTCTGCTTCATCACATTTTTTTGCGCCTCAACAACCTCCTCCCTGCCCTCCTTTCACCACCACCCGCCCTCATTGCTTGCCCACCGAGAAGCATCGAGTCTCTCTGCTCGCGACACACCTGTGAGTCCTACTGCCCTTTCAACGGACACATCTTTTCCGCCGCCATCTTTACCATGATGAGACTCCAGCTGGCACCAGTCATAGAGTGACTTGTACTCCCTTTCATTGATGACTCAAATTGCTGTGGTCCTTAGACCGCCTCTGATAAATGGCAAATCTCAATTGCTTTCTGACCTACGCACTCGTTGATCGCATTGTGGCACGCACAAGCTGACGATTGAGTACCTTTGGCAGATTCTGCTCTCCTCTTCCGCAGGCTTACCTCGGGCCGTCACGATGGTACTGCATAACCCCAACAACTGGCATTGGGTCAATAAGGATGTGTCTCCGTGGGCGAAGCAGTGGTTCGAGGACAACCTGACCAAGCTTGATGTCCAAGATGGCGATATCGAGGCCAAGGTTAGCCGGATCCAGAGCATGGACGGCGATGTCGATGTCAGCCAGCGGAAAGGCAAAGTCATCACCATCTTCGATGTGAAGCTGGTTCTGGAGTATACAGGTAAGCAACGCAACGCTGCGCATCCTAGAGCTAGACGCCCCCCTGCTAACACCCACCACAGGCTCGGCCCCAGACGTGGATGAAGTGTCGGGAACCATCACCGTGCCTGAACTAGCACATGACACAGACGAAGACGAGTACGTGGTACGTTTTCAGCGCTCAGGTACCTTATAGCCCTGGCACCGCAAGTGCATGCATCTGCAAGCCTCTCTGCACCTCCTACTCCCCATTGTCCGCACCCTTGACCCAGGCTACTCCCTGCTTTACTCGGCTGCTGACTGGGTATGGCCAGTTTGATGTCGACATCTTCTCCGAGTCAAAAGAGAAGCAGCCAGTCAAGGATCTCGTCCGGTCAAAGCTGGTTCCTTTGCTGCGAAAAGAATTTCAAAAACTTGCCCCGGCCTTGATTGCCGAGCATGGCAAGGATATCCAGCACGCTTCTGGTTCAAATCCGTCCAGCGGCTTCTCAACGCCCAAGCTCCATCCGGAGACGTCGTCTTCCAAATCCTCGCAGCCAACTAGCGCTCCAACCAGCACCAGTGGCATCGTCAACACTGTCACGGTGACCGACAACGAGGAGTTCCGAACAACCGCAGAGGAGATGTACCAGACCTTTATAGACCCTGGACGGCTAGCCGCCTTTACCCGCTCACCTCCGAAGCTCTTCGAAGGCGCCAAGAAAGGTGGCAAGTTCGAACTCTTTGGTGGCAATGTCTCTGGCGAATATCTAGAGCTGGAGTCGCCGACCAAGCTCGTGCAGAGCTGGCGCTTGAGCCAGTGGCCTGCCGGTCACTACTCGAGACTTCAGATCGAATTCGACCAAAACGACGTGGACCACGTTACTGTCATGCGCGTGACGTGGGAAGGTGTTCCCGTGGGTCAAGAAGAGGTGACCAAGCGGAACTGGCTTGAGTACTACGTTAAGAGCATCAAGCAAACCTTTGGGTGAGTCCCAGTGTACCCCTGGTGTGTATGGGCAGAGGGCCAATGCTAACTTGACGTCCTACAGCTTCGGCACCCTTTTGTGAAGCAGTTTATAATATATTAGAAGGCTAGATAGAATCCATGGAAGCGCTCTAGACGAGGGTAGTTGCAAAGGGTTGCTGTTTCTACTGTGGCGGCGGATGAACCAATGTGCCAGCCCCGTTGGGGCTTGAGCAAGGCCTAGATGCGTGTGGATATGACGGACATGAGCGACGGGCTGACGAGAAGCGAATTGAAGTGATTATTACCATCACATCTACTTGATTGTATCCATGCCGTGTGCTAGTGACTGCATAGGTAGCTATTGCGGCGTGCCAATGACTCGACACACTCGACGATGTCTACAGAGCAGTAGGATGCCAGAAAGTAAATGACATTGGCCCGCAATCGCTCGATGGGCAGTCCTATGTGAGGCGCCTTTTTCTTTCCGAAGGCGGATCATCCACTCTGCATCCAAAAGCATAACTGGGGATAAATGAGTCGAGTAGATTGTCCCGGAAGCCCATGTCGTACAGGTTCTCGACGTGTCTCAGCTTCCGAACACGTTCCCATGGGCCCTGCCCCGGCAGACCTGCGTCTCCCGCTGGGGGGTTCCCGTCGGATGTCGCCACGAGTATGTGGGCTGGCTCAACCGGCCATCTTCGGCAAGGAGGCTCAATCCGCCCGTCTCTCTGCCTGCCTGCCGGAAGAAGGCGGCGGAAAGCGTAGCCGTCGTCCATATCCTCCTCGAGGACGGACCACTTGAGGGACTCGTTGGTGGTGGTGCCGGCGTAGACCTGATAAAGGGTATAGAGGAGGAGCCCCCAGACCAGAGGACTCGTGAGCAATGCGAGGAGGGTCGTAGCGCCCAGACGCACGTTCCTTTGTATGGCCCAGGCCCAGACGGCCAGGTAGCTGTTGACAGTCATGTAGGCTGGCTTCCACAAGGACCAGTCCGGGTAGTGGTCCTTCATCATGGAGGACAGGAGCGACAAGCCGAGCAGGCCGCCGTAAGTGGTCAAGACCGCAGTTGAGAACAGAAGCAGGAGGAACCAATGATGGTTGCCGTATCCTACACAGGAATTGATGAAGACGCAATGGTGATCTGCCCTGGCGATACACCGCTTGCAGATGCTGCAATGCTTGGACCTTGCGGGCTTGAGCAGGCGACACGTGCGGCAGATGTTTCCGGGGTGAAACAGGGCGTAGTCGTAGGGGTAGAGCGACATGTGGTGGGCGTAGTTTTCGTGGGTGATGTAGCCTGGGTCGCTGGAACAAGCAAGGAATAGAAAGAGATAGGGCATGAGGACGGCGGCGAGGACACACAGCTTGGTGAACCAGCCGATGAGCGGCCAAGCCTCTGGCAGGTACAGATATTGAGCAACCATGAGGATGGCTAGAAAGAAGACCTAGCAAGGGGCGTGAGCGAGGGCTGCAAGACACGAGACATGCCGGGGAAGACTCACTACCACGGTTGGATGGCGGTCATGCATGACGCAGTTTCCAAACCTCAACAGCGATCTTGACAGCCTGCCTGAAGAGAGCCTGATGTCCAGGGCATACAGGGCGGCGGGTAGGCGTATCCATATCAGCCTGTGCAAGGCGGCTACAGGAGTGCGTCTAAGAAGGCAGCATGAGCATCAAAACATGAGGCGCCGTTGTCACTCACCTGAGGGCGGGCAGCCTGCCGAAAAAGGTGACAAAGACCATGAAGGAGAGACAGAGCACGAAGACTACCGCCCATTTGAGCGTGGCCATGGCGGCGGCCACGGAGACGTAGCCGCACAGGAGAGAGTGGTGGGAGTGAAGCCGAGCCTGTAAATATTAAAGGACATGGAACGAGAGTGCATCAGCCGACGCTACCGATGATTGGACAGTAGACACAATGACATGATGGTTGAGCAACGTCGAGGGGGTGCCAGCAAAGTGTATCCTTGAGGCGCAGAGTCTTGGAGAGTCACGAGCACCAGCCACTCTGGGGGGTGACCTTTTGCAGTGACTACTGAGCCTCATGAGGCATGGCCCCGAGATGAAGCCTAAATGGGGGGTCACGGGTGCCACGTGACCGCGCGACCACATCACGCGTCTCCGGTGGGCCTGGCTTTGAATTAGCACACCATTCAGGGAATGCGGGCGCTCGATATAGACCCGTTGATCGGTTGGAGAAAATGACAAGCACGGCGTTTCCAGGCCGTATCTTCAACTCATGCTGACACTGCGCGCATCTAAGCCTCTCGAAATCTGACCGCGCCCCGCCCTGCTTCGAATCGACCGTTGACGCGCATCGGCATGGCGGCTTCTGGCGTCACATACGACGGCGTGCCCAGCGCACAAGGCGGCAACATTTTCAAAGACATCAAGTTTTGGGTCTCTCATAGAGTCCCCCAGAGACCCGCCATTCTCGGCCATATCACGGCAAGCTCCACTTGCAGCACTTGCTCCGCGGACGAGACGGCTAACTTCTGCTCAAGAGCAATGGAGGCGTCATCAAGCCACTGGAAAAGGACGCCGACATGCTCATAGCCGACTGCGCGAGAAAGGACGCCCCTGCCGACTCGTACTCGTGGAAATTCATTACCGATTCCATCGCCAAAGGCATCATCCAGTTAGAGGATCGTTATTGCATCGGGGTCAATCGAAGCGAGCCAAGGCCAGCAAGGCCAGGACGCTCGACAAAGTCAACAAGAACGCCATTTACGCTTGCAGATGACGTTTCCCTGGCCAGATGGGTGCTCTCATTCAGCGGCAATCGTACGGGAAACGCAATCTACCTGGAGTTTGAGGGAAAGGTATGTCGTATCGCCTTTCGCCGTCTTGGCCCAGCCTACTGATACCACCTAGAACTCTCGGCACACGTGGCAGTCGTGGAGGAACAGGTATATGAAGGCCCTGATGCCCAGAGGAGAGGACAGTCTACGGAAACTGGCAAACCAAGAGCTGCCCGCGGGTGACCCAGAAGAGTCCAGAAATGCGCCCCGGGCCAACCAGGGACCGAGCAGAGTCGGAAAACCCAGTGTCAAAAGTCGCCAAGACCGAACACCCGGCCCTGCAGCTCCTAGAGCCTTCCTCTCCTCACCTGCACAGGCTGCTACAAGAACCCCGAGAACCGCCTCTCCCATCGGGAAGGAGAAGGTTCCGCCTGACAACCAAGCACCTCCGCCCGCGAGTCCCGAGACTCGAGAAGACGATGGCTCTTTTGTTGAAATCCAGTCATTTTACGACAACTTGCACATGTTTCGCGAAGAAAACAACTTGGAAACCCAAGACGAACATAAGATTGGACGCAAGATCGTCGGCCTCTGGGAACTTAGCGCGGCAGCCCTCAAGCAAGACGTGCCTCGTGTCTCACTGGATGATGTGGATTGGTCCCTGGTCGCAAAGGACTTGGGTTATGATCCTGACCTGGAACATGAAGTACCTTTCGAGCTGCGGCAGTGCTTCGAGGCCAACCTCGCGGAATTCTGCGAAGCAATGGAAAGCTTCGACGGGGATGCCGACGAGTCTGACCAGGTATCCGAGTTGGCTTCCCCGCGGCAAGCACACCGAGGACTCGGGAATGACTTGCAATCTTCGCCTCTTGCGCAGGTCGTTGGCAGGAAGCGGTCGCTGGATTCTGGGCCGTCTTCATCCGGACGTACCACCAAACGAAGACGAGGCCCCAGCCGCGATGTCGAGATCCCTGCAACTCCAGAGGACAAGGTTGGATTCACGGACCGTCGAAAATCCTTGCAGACACAGTCGCCGAGCATTCGAAGGAATATCGTGGCAACCGTGGAACAAGCTCGAGGCGCCGGAGCATCCCGTCGAGTGCCATCGCGACCGAGCGCGCAGCATGCAGACGAGCGCGCAATGTCGACCGAGCGTGGCGCGGGTTTTGAAAGTCAAGCTCGACCATCGGCAGATTCGGAGGCGCCGCAGGACCAGGACGACATGACGCCCTCACAGCAGCTGCATTTCGAGGAGTTTGACTCAAGCCCAATCCCTCTGCACATGGCGAACGGACGCAGCGACGCCGCATTGGAACCAGCAATGGGGACTCCTCGTCCTCGGCACACGGCAAACGCTGCTGCCTTGACTGCTGGACCGCAGGCAAACACAAAGGCTTCGAGACGATCCCTGCCAGCATCTTTCGGTGCGCCCGCAAGCCGAGCTCTCGGGAGACCTGCCGACGAATCTGCAGGACCTCATCGACAATTCCAGGCACCGCCAGCGGCCGAAAGTCGGAATCCCCCAAGAGAAGGACCCAAGAGAAGCCGAATAACAGAGCACGTTGAATATTATGAGTCCCTCGGTTACTCGAACCACATTGTCGTCGAAGCCCTGAAGCGCACGTCGATGACACCAGGCGGGCTCGCTCCTTTGGTGATGCAGAGCCTCAAGGATGGCCAGGGCGTGCCGACTCACCACCAAGGCGTCTGGACCGACCGAGATGATAAAGGCCTGCGGATGGTGGACAATGTCAATGTCAAGGACGTGGTTTCGACGCCCAGGGAGTCGAGGAAGGCGAGCAAGGAGCTTGCGCGGCTGACCCAGAAGCACGGCCTGGAGGGCATTCAACTCCGGCGGCTGTTTTTGGAGGCAGATACGGCCGGTGAAGACTGAGGCTTATAATCTGATTATGGAGTAATGGGGATTTCGAGGTGGACTGCGTTGGCATTGCTAAACGTCTTGGCGAGGCGAGGCTTGTTGCTCGCGTACATGTAACCTACACATTCAGATTCTGATGGCATCGTCTGCTTTGGTTCCCTCATGCTCGTCACGCCGTCTTCTCATCTCCCACCCCCCGGCCCGCCACCTGCTGCATCCTGGCATAGTGCCACCCTTCCTGGGCCATGTCCCTCCGCACCCGGTACACATCCTCGGCCGCGTCCAAGACACCAAAGTCGACAGTAACGACGCTCATGCCCTCAGCCGCGTCAAGCCTCCCCAGAGCGCCCTGCAGCGGCATAGCCAGCTGGCTGCGGCCAACGTACTCGTTGCCGCGCGCATCAGTAGCGGCGGCAGCGGTGGCGGAGTCGGCGGGGGCGCCGACGTTGACGAGCACGACGGCGCAGGTGTTCTCAAACGCGCGGGCGACGCACACGCTGTCGAGGAAGACGCGCTCACAGGCCGGGTTGATGGCGGCGCCGGCGTCTCCGCCGTCCGAGGCGAGCCAAAAGGCCGGCACGATGATGACGCGTGCTCCTCCTCCTCGTCCTCCTCCCAGGGCGGAGGGGGCGGCGACGAGCTCGCGGAAGGCTTCGGGGAAGGCTAGGTCCCAGCATACGAGCAGGCCCATGCGGCCCCAGGGGGTGTCGAAGGCGGTGTGCGCCGGGTGCGGGCCGGGGGCGACCAGGTGTGGGCGCTCGGGGTGCCAGAGGTTCTTCTTGACGTAGCGCGCGAGCAGGGCGCCGTCTGGGCCGATGAAGTAGGCCACGTTGGCGAGTCGCGGGACTGCCGCCGCGGCCGCGCCTTGGCCGCCACCCTCATCATCGTCCGCCTCCTCCTCCTCCTCGAGCAGCGTCCCCGGCACAATGGCCACGCACAGCTCCCGCGCCAGCTCGCGGTACCGCTCCAGATAGCGCGCCGCCTCGCGCGCCGCAGCGCGCCACGCCGCCGACGCGGGATCCCAGCCGACCAGGTGATACTCGGGCAGGACGGCGAGCTGGGCGCCGTGGGCGGCGGCCCTGCGGACAAAGGACGCGGCACGCGCAAAGTTGGCTGCCGGCCGGGCGACCTGGTCACACGAGGGCCTCCGAATGAGCGATGGACGGATGCCGGCTTTCGTCGCATGGGACCAGGGCAAAGGGCCGGCTGTCTTCAACGTACCTCTGCGTGGAGCTGTATCAGCGCAATCTTGAGGTGCGAGGCCATGGGGTCGGGTTGGGACATGGTCTCTTCGCAATCCTCGGCCGCTGTTGGGTTTGGGGATGCGAGCTGGATCCGAAGTGTTCGTGCTTGGCAACGTCTCCGCGGGTGAGCCCCCACTGGGGTGCGTTGCGCGGCCAGGCATCTCTACAGCTTGGGAGGAGCATCTACACCATTCACGTTCACAGTCGGATATTTTATGCCGCCGCACGCTCCTTTAGTCAGTGATTGTCAGGCGCTGGGCTCACAGGGCGGTAGCCAAAGGAGAATGCCATGGACAAGCCGATGCTTGATGGATGTGAGGCAAGGTATCAGAGTTTCAATGAGGGAATTGGCGTTCTGGATTCGCGGAGCCAAACCGGCAGACTTCAATATCTCTTGCCTTGGCATGGTCGTCTGCCGCGTAAGAATCCCAAACCTTGTGAATCTCCCTGTTGTCGCTCCTGTCCAAGTACTGACCCAGTCGACTAGCCGTACTCGACAAGTGCTATATGTATCCGTGGTCGAGGGGACCAATATGGTGATTCTCGGCGCAAAGTCATTGTGCCTGACGCCGTAAAAGGAAATCTTGGATTCCGCCTCCATGGCTGCAGCGAGTATGTTTAGGCGCTGTTCGGGGGCGATGTGGTAGACTTTGTCGCCGCCCATGAGGGATTGCAGGCTGACCATTCCATGAGAGCCATCCGCACCGGTCGCGTCGCTTGATAGCCAAGCAAAGCCAAGTTAAAAATCCAAGATCCGTAGTAATTGCGGGCACCATTCGTTCTGGGTCACGGGGGAAAGGGGGGATTATTGACGCTCCGGCCCCTTATGGTGCATGGTCTTCAGTTGCCGTCAAAGTCTCGATTCAGCGCATAGAACTATCCTCACTGCTGAGTTCCCAGCCTTCCCAAATTCAAGGAGCAATGTCTGCGAGATGCCCATTCCCGTAAAATCGTCGAAAAAAGAGTAAACGCCTAACCCAGCTTCCGGATATCTTCTGGTCCAAGACGAACCCAACCCATTTCTCCCATCGAGGGCCAGTGTCCCAAGAATCATTGCTCCGCGCAGCCAATAAACCGTGCTCCATTCGCAACGCTGTGGCGGAGCCTGTTCAATTCCGGCTCGCATGGACCATGGCCTCTTCATCTACGTCGCTGTCATGACCGTGGTGCTCTCGTTTGCAGAAGCCATCGACCTTTCCAACATATCGAGGCCGTACTGATTTGCCACGAAAATCAGAAAGCCCACAGCTTCTCCTGCGCGCAATCGTCAGTATGTTTCTCCAAGTTGTCCAACTAGGGCACTCACCCATGCCAACAAGGACAATGTTTCTGATGGTCGAAGGAGGAAGACCATATGACCCAACGATGAGGGACATGACGGGACAGAAAACATAAGGCCACCATTTGGTCAAGCCGAGCCCCCCAAGCAAGGTGCTTTTGAACGTGACGGCGGTGGCCGAGACTGAGTCCAGGGTCTTCAAAACCTGCAAGGCTTGTTGCTGAGCTTGTTCGAGTCGCTCTTGGTGTCCTTCCTGCTTCACGGTCAAGGCGTTTGCGAGCTCCGAGAGCCTCTGCATGTCCTGCCGTTCTCTTCGTCAGCAGCTTGTCGGAGCTCAATGGCACATGGCAGACTCACAGCCTCGATTCTCTCTTGCCCTCGGGCGATCTCGGCGACTCGAAACTGCGACTCAGCCTACAAAGGTCAGACAGTGGCCGAAGAGGGCGTAATGGGGTGAATAAACGTACAATTTCTCGTTGTAGCCCTGTTGTCGCCGCAATTGCTGCCCCGAGCGTTGTCATGACAGCCCCGACGTCGTCGCCGACCCGTTTGTGGACCAACTGCAGTGCCGACTCGTGAGAGCGCGTAATACGCTCATTGCTCTCCAGTGCTGTTGCAAGAAGCCTCTCCAGCAGCTGTTGCAGTCTCTTGGCGCTCTGCAGCCCGTTGTTTGCACTAGTCGCCGCCTGCTGTCCACCGTCAGTATGCAGCCGACTTTGCCAGGGTTGGGGGCCAAAGACCTGTGTTCCTTGAGACAAGACTTGAGAGATCATCTGCTCGACTTGAGATAGTCCAGACTTGAGGTCGTTTATCTGTGGGTTGATGCTCTCCACGTTGGTGTTGGCGTCTCGAACCATCTTGTTTAGAGCTTCGAGTCGGGCTTCAAGCTCCGCTTCTACCTGCATTGTCAGCCTGTCCATGACCTTGGTAATTCTTTGGAACAAGAGTATGTTTCGGTCTGTGAGCAACTGTTAGCAGTCCATTCCAAGACTCAGCAACGGGGCGGGGGAAAGAGATGTCTGGTCCAACCTTTCTCGTTGTCGGCGCGTGCAGCCTCGCAGAACCTCAACGCCTTGTGCCTGTAGCTGATGAAAGTGTTCCAAGCCGAATCAGATTGACCCAGGCCCTCGAGGCAGCCGTCGATCTCTGCAGGCGAAACGTGAAGGTGCGGTCTGGAGGGCATGCGCATCTCGGCGAGAACTGGTTCTCGGAACTTGAAGCAAGACGAAGGGATGAGAAAGCTACCTCGCTCCAGGTCGCAGATGGCCAGGCTGGCGGCGAAAAAATCTACAAAGTCCCGAGTGGCTCTCCCACTGTCAGTCAAGACGGTCGCTTCGTCCCGGCCGTCCAGTAGCTGACAGTTGTTGACGAGCAGACGCGCCGCAATGCGGTGACACAGAGGCTCAGACTCGAGCTCCTGGAGCTCATCCAGTGCCGTCGTGTACATGTTGGAAGAAGACCTGCCGTTGGATGGGATCTGCTGAGAAACAACGTGGTGGCTGATCTGCGGACCCGTCAAGACCTTTGCGCCTGATTCTCCGCGGTTAGCAGTGGGACCCTGGATGCTCAACACTGACGGACTTACCACGGCTTCCAGCCCACGAAAACGCCTGGACAAAGGCGCCGGAGAGGCAGAGAAGGCAGATGGCTTGCAGCCAGAGCAGAAGCCCGGCTGGCCGTGCCATGTCGAACGAGGGGGATTCTTTGGGCGCGGTGTGAGAAGCAGGCGATTTCGTCTGGTGATCAAGTGTCACCTCCTAGAGCGATGGAGAGCGATGAAAAGCTGTTGTGCCGCCCCGTCACGGAACCGTTGTGAGCAGGTATGCCGTGAAGCTGCAGCTGGTTGGAAGTCGAGGTTATAGAACCGAGGAGGGCGCAGAGAGATGCGTGCCGAGGTGGTGGTTGAAGTTGGAGCGTGGAGCTTCCCCGGTTTCTATTGTTCACGGCTGTCAATAGGCTTGTGAGCAGTGTGTTGAAAGGTTTCAAGTCCCGGGGCCAAGTGACGTCCTCAGGCTCGCGTTCAAGAGCGGTGTGGGTGCGAGGCTTCGGGTGGCGTGAATCATAATGGCTTTCGAGGGCAGGAGCAATGGGCAGCCGGTCCATCGCGCCTTCTGCTTCGAACTTTCCATGCAAGTGGCACTCGGTGCAGGTCGCCAAGTAGACCCTTGCAGCTGGCAGGCAGGCACCGAAGTCCCCCCTTTTGCAGAAATCTTGTCACTGATTTGCATTCATCTACCTCGTTACCGGCTGATTCTTTTGCTGTTCCGGGCTCATCCAGAGGTTCGGCCTTCTCCCTGAACCCCGCCACGCCAAGGCAATGTCGAAAGGGGCACTCCAAAGCGAGCGCGGGCATGACGGTATCGTCGTCTACCGAAGCCTTGGGCGAGTCCTCGATACTGGGAGCGATTCACGGTCGCTTATTGTATCTCGGCAATAGTCCTCTCAGGAGTCTCCGCGCACCCTCGTGTTCAATGGATTCTGACGCAAGATTCTGACCATCTAGCCATTCACTGGGCGTGTCCAAGACGGGCACCGACCGGCAAGGAGAAGACGGCACAGCTAGGGGGGGTGTCGCATTTGCCGGGTGTCGGTCGGACAATATTCTCCAATGCAGCAACATGGATGTCGCGGCAGCCGTCGGCACTGGGCGCCGCTTTATGAGTGTGGCCACGCTTGCGACGGGTCAACAACCAGCCCAGTCAGGGGGCCAACTACGGCGGCGGAGCCACAGGCGCTGGGAGGAAAGGTGGTCCCGCAGAAGGTGCGCTGTTCGTAGCGTCATGTAGGCGTCTGTAGCTGATGAGATGGCTACCACTGTCGAGAGGAACGACATTCTGGGTACTGCACCTGGTAGGTAGGTGATAGGGAAATGTCGGCGACGTAGCAAGGTAGAGAGTACTTGGAGACAAAAGTCCACGTCCGCGAGGATAAACTATAATATCATCCTAGTACTCTCTGCTTCGGCCTGCGGCGCCGAAAATTGAATTGCCAATCCGGCACAGAGCATGCCATGCTATCGTGCCGGGCTCAAAAAGAGCTCTGGAATTTAAAGTACTAGATACAAACTACCCAGCACGTCGCCTTTCCCTTTTAGGCGCGAGCGCCACAGCCCCCCACTTTTGGTCGGCTCGTTAGGCATAGTGGTCGGCTCCTTACTCCGTAGTCGAGGCCAAACAAATAGAAAAGGAAGACAAAAGCCTAATGATAAGTGGAGGCACCCTGACAAGTTGAAAACGCTGGGACAGTGTAATGTAAGCACCGGCTATTTGAACGGCCGCCATCCCTGGCGCGTCCGTCGCTTGCCGTCACCCACCTCTTCCAGATCATCAACTCCCTCGCGGTCTGCTGTCGCCATGTATTAACGTCGTCGCTGCCTCGCCGCCCGTTTCCCCTAAGCAGGCCCAAGGCAGATGCTGTTATTAGACAGTTGCCAGCGAAGTATGCCTTGGGCTCAGAGACACCATTGACCACACCGACTTCTGACTTGCACTTGGCCACCAACTGCCAACAGCCCGATACATGGGGCTTTTCGCAGAGCTGCGCTGCGGCGTCGTTTACGGCCTGCAATTCCCGCTGACCGTCACCCGATAGACGAACCCGGTGCAGTTGTTGGCCTGGAGTTGGCTAAGGCGGCGAGCAACGAGCACCGCATCGCCGCTACCTTCCTCGTCACGGGGGAAGCAGACACCGAGGAGGCCCCTGAAGGCACTCAAACCCGTTCAGCGGACCATAGCCGGGCAGCGCGAGGACCATGTGCATTCAGGTGGACAAGAGATGGGCCTGCGGGCACGTTGGCTATTACTGCATCAAATGGTGCGAGCGGCAATTCAAGGGCTGCAAGGGGACATCTGCCAAGCACGAGATAATCGAGGAGCCCCAACAATGCGGCGACTGCAAGCGCCGCTACACTCTCCCGAAAGGCTTGACGCCTAAACGATGAATGGAATGGGCACAACGGAGAGCGAACGGGGAGTCGAACCGGCATTGCAATTGTAGGCGTGCGTGCAGGACGGGACGGGCTCCGATCTGGTGAATGGCACAAGTCCGTCCTAGCATACTGACGCATTGTTTGCGCAGGACAGCAGGCAGAGACACCCCTACGATTCATAACTACACGGCGGCCAGGGGCTGGGCGCGGACGTGCGAGTGATGCTGGACGACCCTTTTCGTTTCAAGTTTACACTGCACTTGGTAATCGCAAGAGGAAAATGGGTGTGTGCGTGGTGTCAGATGCGGTGGCGGACGTACGAATCGTATGCGATATGTGGCCACGCCCCCTCGTGGAACAAGGCCCGTCTTATCCTGGCCTCGCAAACCCCCGTCTTTGCCGAGGACCTGCTGCGTTCAGGGCACCGGCTGGCAATCTTTACTTTTGGCCCTGACTAATTAACCTACCTTTTTTTGGCTCCCGTCGAGTGGGGCCGAGGACGACAAGACAGATGGTGTCGTGGGGGGGTGGTAAAGAAGCAAGCAAAAAGCACGGTAGAATCTTGGATCTGGCGGTTCGCGACGGGACGCAGCCTCGGAGCCGGTGGCGGCGGAGCCCGCCACGGTCGGCCGGCGGGATACGACGAGGGTGGGCGAGAAGCGAATTTGAACCTCTCAATGAGACCGGGTGCATGTAGGGCGAGTCGGTTCATCTCGGCTCGCCAGAGTACGAATAGTAGACGGAAATGGAGATGCTCCGTATTCTGTACGCAGAGCGCCGATGCCTGCGTGAGTTGCCTGCGTGAGTAGCAGAAGCCTTGTAGTGGCATCGCGTGACACGGCCTGTTTTCGAGAGGGAGGCTGAGGCTTGGTGCAGAGTGTCGGCGTGGCTTTGATGGCCAACATGTCCTGAGTCATGAAGACGAGCCACTGGGTCATTAAGTTACACGCTACGAGAAGTGCACAAAGCCCGTCTCAAGCCTCGGACCCGGCAAACGACATGTCGTTGACAAGTACTCTGTAGAGAAAAATATGACGGACAAGAAAAACAAGCTGATCTGTACTGCTGTGGCACTAACCGGGAGGGGAAAGGCCACAAGGCTGAAGACAAAGAAAGGGACCGTTGTCAAGGCATTCTGTCATTGGGCCGCAGCCAATCAGCGGCGGCGCTTGGCACTTCGGTTCGCTGGTTAGGCTACATACAGCCTCGCCCATCATACGACTTTTCCCCCCGGCCGCCCCTGGACCGGAATGGCTGGCCTAATCAGCCCGGGTCACGCCATTTGGGCGTCGGACGGCCTGGAAAGCCGGATTGCTGGAAAAGGGCCACGCCAGAGAGCCAGGGCACGGTCTTTGCCGATGTCGTTGTTGCCTTGCCTGTTCTATCAGCAGCAGCAGTCATAGCGGGCGTCGAGGATAAGGCGGGCAAAAGGGGTGGAGACGGCCATTTTCCCTCATGTCGGCAAGCCTGTGTGGGAGCCGTTACCTTTTCATCCCCCCGCCCTTTGGCCCCTCTACGGAGTAAGGAGAGAAAACAAAAGGGAAGCAGAATAAACCGACACAAAGCAGCAATCCCAGAGGACAAGAGTCCCTTTGTCCCAGCTCCGTATGATGAGGCTCTGACCCGGGCAGCGACGGAGCGGCCGCGTCGATCGATTGCTTGGCAGACCTTGCCTTTCCAATCCTTGCCATTCTCTTCTCCCTCTTCCGCGACCGGACCCGAATGCGCAGGCTGCTGCTGACGGCGCTCTAAATCACTACCGGCTGTTTTGTTGTTGTTGGGGAAGGGGGCACATGTCGACTCATCCTGCCTCTGCCAGCTCAGCATCACCATCAGTCCTTAGTCCCATATTTCTATCCAGCTGCTGCAACTTTGCGCCTGCTCGTCTCGCTTCGTACATACATCCGTTACATACTACTACTCCCATTCATTATCCGCCCCCCCCTTCCTCTTCTTCCTCTTCCGCTTTCTCTTCCTCTCCTCCTCCTCCTCCTCCTCCACCTCCACCCACACCCACACCACCACCACTACCACCACCACCACCACCACCATCACGTCAGAGTGTGCTGGCTGGCCCTGCGCTTGGTGAGCAACCGCACCGGCTCGTTTCCAGTTTTTCTCCGCCCTCGTCACTGCAACACAATTGGCCGCCGCTCGCCAGTTTGTGACCCATCAACTCTCGACGCGCTCGTCTCCATCTGTCCACCTCGTTCGCCCAGTACCGAGGGACGGAAAGCACAGCAGATAGGAGGAAACGAGGCCGGGAATAAAGAGAGACTGGGGGGGGGCGAAAGCAAAAGGGAGTGGGTGAGTACGCTCCTCCACCATCTGGGTACTGCTCCTCGTTGCCTCCATTCTGTGCCCCTTGGCATCACAACCCTATACTTTCTTCACCTTCATCTCACTTCGGTACCCCAGCTTGAAATTCCCTGCACTGCCGGCTAACCACCATCGTTCAACACGGCATAGTCGGCGCACACGTTACTCGACAACGCCTTCTTCGTCTTCCTGATCGCCTGGCCATGGAAGACAATGCTGGCTGCACGCAGCAATCAGCGGCAGCTATGGACCAGTCGCCATCCATGGTCTCCCCCGCCTTGACTTCCCATCAGCCCTCGGTCCACCAGCAGCATGTCACCGCCACGAGTGCATCAACTCCTGCCTCTAGTTCTCGTATGAGCACCACCTTCGAGTTCTCGTCTGCCCCTTCGGACGATTCTATGCCTTCCTTCGACCCCACCATTGCCGCCTTCACCGACATGTCTTTTACCCAACCCTCGGTGCCCTCGACAAGTCTCCAAGACAGGGGCTCCTTTACCCCCGTGTCGCGGCAGCCCCAGTGCTTTCGCAGGGCAGACCTCGGCTCGCACGATAAAAAGCGCATCAAGGTCGACCCCGAAACCCCGGCTCTCGACTCCATCGACTACTGGATCCGATTCGACGACGACTTCGACAAGATGGGCAGCTTCGAAATCGACTACTCCAAGCGAAACGACCCCACGGGCCAGAATGGGTGAGCTTCGTCCCCGTCCTTGACACGTGACAGGCGTACAAGAAACAGCGCAGTTGACTTTGGTTGCCTCGAATGCAGGCCAGGCACGGCAACCAGTACGATGCCCGGCTTGGGCAGCGGCCTTTACTCGACGGCCATGGCCCCTTTCAGAGAAGAGGACTTTATCGACGATGCCGCCTTTGACGAGCAGGTTCTCTCCGACGATGAAGACATGTTGGACGCGGCACACGCCGGCGATCGACCCCCAGACACGGGGAACCGGCACCAACACCCCGATTCCGCTCCCGCTCCACTTCCGCCGCCTCAGCCTGAGAAAGGCATGCCCAGCTCGATGCCCATGGCTTGGGCCAGCAGACCTCAGCCCGGCCTACGGCTGAACCCGGCTTTGGAGGAGACTCCGAGGCAGATGCGCCGAGACATCTGGGGGGGGATCCCTCGCGGCATGAACCTGGTCCTCAGTCCCGAAGAGCAACGGCATCTCCTTGAGATTGCGCTCAACTCGGGCCAGATGCCAGCCAGTTTTATTCCCCCCAACGGCTTCGGCATCGGATTTGGCGCCGGCTTGGGGGCACGTTCTCCGGCCGAGTTTGAGCGAAGAGCAGGCGGCCTTCCTCTCACCACCATGGAAACTGCACAGCAAGCCATGGTCCCCGGGCCTTCCTCTCAACCCGACGAAAGCCAAGAGCCGGCTGCGCTGAAAGACCTACCGAGGCGTCCCGCAGCACCCAGGTGTGGATCGTCAAAGAAGCCATCCGGGCACGCGGCGACGGACACGAGTAAGCCTCGGTCGGCCGACAGAATCGCCCACAACGACGTCGAGCGAAAGTATCGGACCAACCTGAAAGTCAAGATTGCCGAGCTTCGAGACGCCGTGCCCGCGTTGCAGTCGCCGGTGCCGGGAACAGAGGCAGCCGAAGGTCCCGGGCAACAGGGCGGCCCAAAAGTGAGCAAGGTGAGTCGAATTGAACTACGATTTGTCCCGCGATCACCGTGCTCAAAGACCCGCATCAACAGGGCACCGTCTTGACAAAGGCGACCGAGTACATTCAGCAGTTGGAGCAGCGGAACAAGGCCATTATGCTAGAGCACCAGCAGCTGGCGCGCCGGCTTCAGGCATTCGAGACGCTTTTCAACAGCGCCAGCAGGCAGCCAGATCTAATGCCCAACCCCAGCATGACGCTCTTCGATCCGAGGGGCTTCTGCTAGAGGCCTGCGGACGGGGCGACCTCTATTCGCTCATCCGAGACTGGGACGAACGAGTCGAGGCTTTTTTTTTCTTTCTTGTTCTGTTCTGCCTGGAATCTACTTGGCGAAATGAATGTGTATGACTACGAGCATCAAGGGCGATGGTACGGGGACAAGGGAAACCCACAGAAAGGGAGGGAGAAGGCCTCCATCTCCACACTACCCACAGCATACCTGCAGCGCGGCGGTTGAAGGTCAAGCCAGACGCACGATCCACTTTCACGAAATACATGAATTCCGGGCGGCGAAATGTTGACCCTTTGACGGCCGAGGTTTCCACCAGGAAAGAAGGGCGAGGTACTGTACAGGGTTTTTGTCCTGCCTTGAGTGGTCACACTTGGCGGCGCATGGCATTTGTTTTTCCTGTCCCCTTACCCTGTAGCGATGGTGTTCCCCAAGTTCGAGGGGGGAAAGCGAAGGAACCGTAAATCGCATCATAGACTTGGGCAATTTGGCATCATGGTAGCTTCTGTGTGCTTTGACATGCCTCAGTAGATACTTGAAGTCGAGGCTTCTTGATATTGTTAACATCAACTCATTCAGCCAGTTCATAGAAATGGCCGCTAGGGACCAAGCTGCGGTCCTGTGGGGTATTTCTTTGCTCTATTTGCATGTGCCCCGAGAGGAGATGTATTCTAGGTATATGTTACAGCCACTACGTATATTGATTACAGTACGAAGAAGGCAACGCCGTCAAGGCCGCAGCGCTTCAATATCGTCGACCTCCTTGACGGCCTCGGTCGACAGGATGAACGGCGACTCGTCGTCGACGCATACGCTGTCCTCAATGCGGATGCCCATGCCGCGAAAGTGCCTTGGCCAGCGCTCGTCGTCGGGAACGTAGACGCCCGGCTCAATAGTGACGCAGTGGCCGGCCTGCAGAAGCTCTCTGCGGCTGTAGCCGGGGCAGTCGTGAACGTCGAGGCCGATGTAGTGGCCGACGTGGTGCGGGAACAGCTGGCCGAGGTTGGCCATGGAGACGTCGAAGCCGATGCCCTGAAGCTGGTCGACGAGACCGCGGGCGGTGACGCCGTGGATGTCCTCGAGTGACATGCGGGCCGAGGCGCGGCAGAGGGAGACGCTGGTGCGCTGGACGCGGAGGACGGCCTCGTACAAGTCGCGCTGGGCAGCGGTGAATCTGCCCGAAGCGGGCCACGTGCGCGAGATGTCGGTGATGTAGGAGCCGTACTCGCCGCCGGCGTCGACGAGGATGAAGTCGCCGTCGCGGAAGACGTCGTTGTTGACGGTGTAGTGGATGCAGTTGGCGCGCTCGCCGCCGGCCACGACGGGGATGTAGGCCGGGCCCTCGCAGCCGTTGACGACGAACTGGTAATCGAGGAACGCGTGCAGGTCCTTTTCTCTGGTCCACGGTCTCCTCATGGCCTCGGTGATGGCGCGCCCGGACAGCTGGCCGGCGCGGCGCATGTTGGCCACCTCGGCCGTGCTCTTGACCACGCGCAGCTTGTTCATGACGGGCGACAGGGGCATTTTATTGGCGGCGAGGCTCGAGCTATCATTGGCGGCGAGGACGCCGGGCATGGCGTCGGCGTAGACGAGCTTGGCCGACTCGAGGATGCGGGGCAGGGCCGTGGCGGCACTCTCGAGCGGGAGCGCCTTGTCGGCGTTGAAGACGTCCTCGGCGGCATCGACGCCGTTTCTGTAGCCGGACCACTGCTCCTCGCGAGGGTCCTTGCGCTTGACAAACATGTGGAAGAGGTAGTCACCGCGTTCGGGGCTCGTCTTCTCGATGACGGCAACGGCGTCGTCCTCGTTCCAGCCTGTCAGCCAGAAAAAGTTGGATTCTTGTCGGTACGGGTGGAAGACGGCGCCCGACTTGTACTGCAGGGCGGCGGCGGGCAGGACGGCGACGGCGCCGTCGGGCAGGGCGCGCGCGAGATGGGCTCTGCGATTGGCATATTCCTCGGCGGTGATGCCTGGCGTCACTGCAGGAGCCCGTCAGCGACGCTGAACATGGACAAGAAGAGAGAGATGGAGGGGGAGACTAGCACTGGCCGGGCCCGAGTATGTGGGGATGCGTTTCGTGGACGGGCTGCCCGAACTTGAGGGCGGCCGCCGAGACCGAGGCATAGCTTCTTGTTCTGCAGCTCCTCAGTGAAGAGGCTGCAATTTGGAAGAGGAGTGGTCTGGCAGGCCGTGATGGAGCGGTATGAAGTAAGGATGGGCGCGGGAATGACAGCCGCGGCAGCCTCATTGTGGACGGCAGTGGTGGTTTGTTCCAGAAAGGCTTGGGGGAGAGACGGCATGCATGGACGGGGTATTGTTATGCAAGGCCACGCGAATCGGAGAGATTGCATGCTGCACAATTGTTCTGTGACGTAGGACGGGCAGGTACGAAGTACAAGGTATTCAGACAAGCTGGGGATAGGTAACTTTCGGAGGCATGTGCTCCGTACAGCCGGTACTGTCGGTAACTTAGGTACTGTACACATTCCGGATCGCGGAGGTACATCGTCGCTCTTGCTGGCCATTGTTGACGCAGCAGCGGGAGCTGGAGGCTTTACCTACTACATAGTGGAGGAAGGGGTCGTCTGTTGGACACTGTCACATTGGCCTTGGATTTTTTTTGGGCTTGCCGACAGATAGAGAACTCTGAGTTTGCACAATTCTCGGCACAAGTCCATGGGCGCTAGTGGCGGGCCCACCGTTTTGGGATAGCAGAGCGGCTGTCGCACGGAGCATTTCCTTTTTAGACGAGCTGCGGAGACTTGACGGTTTGGTAGATTTGCGGAGCTGCGGGCAACTTTTAGCTCCGTTTTTGCCATGCCGTGGAAAGGAAAAGAAAAATCAAAATGATAAAAAAATCTAAATCAAATAAACCAGGCGCTGCACAGATTGCTGCACAATTTCTAGAGCCAAAGTCGGCTAACAGGGCCGGTGTCTAGCCTCAGCCCGGGCAGTGAAGACGGCAAAAGTAAGAATAGCCCCGTCTGATGCACATGTATAAATAAACGCAACGTGCCACACCACTTCTCCTCTTTGTGTATCCGAATCTGCTGACAGCTTGAAACCCCCCGGACCCAAACAATGGACGGGATTGGACGGCGGCAGAGACGTAATAACCGGTTGCTGGTGCGGCGGGCTGGCCCGTGCGTGTTTTTGGCCCTCGCGCCCGAACCAGGCATAGCGCTGTTTTGGCAAGCGCGAAAGCCTTTCGCCCAATCAACACCAAAACCGGCCACAGAGCACGACTCTTGCACGTCACGACAACCAGTTCCCTCTCCTCCCCCGCCCTCAGCGTGAAGACTCACGAGAGACCAAGACGACGACGGCCTTCTCGCCCCCCAAGGCTCAGTCAAATGCCTGCCTAACATCGTTACCCGCGCGCTCTCCGCCATCGTCGACGTGTCGCCCGCCCTTGCACGTCGCGTCAACGGGCTTGGCCCTCTGGCATTCGGCCTCCAACACCCCCAGAGTGAGTCGGCCTCCTCCTTTCCTCCCCCACCCTCCTCCAGCAGCTCGTCGTCACCCAACAAGCACAACACGACACCAGGCGGTGGTGTTTCGTCTCGGGCCTGCGTCCCCCTCCGGAGCCCCCGTCCGGAGCCCCCAGGAGCCACCTTGACTGACGTGGGGAGGGGAACCAAAATAGGGCATTGATGGCAACCGTATCCCTATCGCCTACGCCAGCTCCCATCTCGGTCATGTCCTCGCGGCGAGCGCCCCTCACCAGCAATCCCAATGTCGTCAACTCGCCTCTACGCGGGGCCGCCGCCCTGGCCGGCTACGCCAAGCAGAAGCGCTCGCACGCCACCATCCAGCGGGAAGAGGCCTACGGGCAGCCTCCTCCCGTGAAGAAGCAGGCTCTCGAGAATGGCTCCCAGCGTTCCATCCGCTCCCCTTCCAAGGTACCCGTGTCCCGAACCCAGGTCCTCGTGCAGCGTGCCTCCGCCACTGCCACCCGCTTAACGACGGCCGCTACCAAGGAGCGTGTGTCGAGGGCGGTGGCGGCACAATCGGCCGGGAGAGCTGGCCAGGATGTCGACAACGAAAAGGAGGTCTGGAAGAAGCACTACAGGGCTAAGTTTCCCAAGATGGTGTTTTACTTTGAGAGTATCCCCGATGACATCCGGGCCAAGTTGACCAAAAGGGTCACCTACTTTGGCGCTGTAAGTCTTTCCCGAAATTACCACCGGGCCTGTCTTCTAACCATGGCCCTCAATAGCGTCAAGAGGCTTTCTTCTCCATTGAAGTGACGCACGTCATCACCACGCGGACGATTCCCCCGGAGCGAGTCGATGCTGGTGCTGGGGACCCTGCAGGAACAATGTCTACGGAGCCCGAGCAGCAGAAGCAGGCGCGACAGCAGCAGACGGCCGAGGAACAACCTAAGACAATCAACCCGTCTCTGCTCGACAGGAACACGGCTGCGAGGCGGAAGCTGCTATTCGAGTTTCGCCACGCACCCATGCCCTCGCAGCAGCCAGACGAGGCCGCCAGGCGGAGCAGCAACAGCAGCAAACCTCGCAACAACGACGTGCTCCACAAGGCCCGCGAGATGGGAAAGAAGATTTGGTCTCTGGACAAGTTCCAGACCATGCTGGCGGTTCTGTTGGAGTCTGAAGTTCACAGTGGCAGCGGCAGCTACGCCTCCCGGTCCATAAGCATGCGGAGCCAATACGGCGCGTCCAAAAGCTCACACGAGCCCAACCTGCTCCAGCTCCTCCATAATGAACGCATCAACGGGCCCTCGGACCGCGACCCCACCGCTGTCAGCAGGGAGCTGGTGTACTTCAAGGGGCCCTACATCTACGTCTGGGACATGGACGAGAAGCAAAAGCCCATCATGGCCCGCGATTACCCCAAGGTAGCTAATAAGACGGACGGCGAATGGCCCCAGTTTCGGAGCGTGGGCAATGGACGCTGTCCTTTTGTAGAGGAGGCTGATCCCGCGCCTGACAAGGATTATCGAAAGACCCGAGAACGCGAAAAGGCACGAGCTACCGCTGTCGCGGCGGCGGCAGCGGCGAAGCGAGTAGACGATGCCGTGCCCACCTCCAAGCCACTGGAGAACCTTTCTCTGGCGAAGTCGGTGACCGGTAAGCGAACGCTGGCTGAGATGGAAGACGGCGATAAGAACAGGGTGGCAGGGCGTGCGGCCACGCCGACGGCGACAGCGGACCTCGGCCCCATCAAGGCGGCGGCCGCGTCCAAAGGCGCCGACGCACCGTCGACGCAAAATGCCTTCATCAGCCGCGCCGCTGGGGGTGGACGGCTGCTTGCGGGCGAACCGGTGGCATCGGGTATGCAGCCCTCGAACATAACATCGGCCATTCGCTCGCAGATGATCTCGTCCACCTCAGGCATCAACGGCGCCAAGGCTGGGACCAGCAAGGAGGTTCATGGACTGCAGAGGAAAGTGCTGCAGAAGGCGACGACCCCGGCCTCTCATGACCACAGCTCTCGTCGGCTCGCCGAGATCTCGGTAGATGTCGCGTCTAGCCGGTCGACAAACATGGGACGACAGACGTCACGGACGGTTCACGCGCAAGACGAGGACTGCCACTCGCAGCGTACCGCGGCGGCCGCGGCGGAAGGCAAGGAGAGGAAGCTGCGCTCGCAGCAAACCCTCAAGAGCAAGAAGGACTTGAAGCCTGGCTACTGTGAAAACTGCCAAGACAAGTTTCGAGACTTTGACGAGGCAAGTTCCAATGGCATGCGAGACGAGGGGACCAAGTACTAACACGTGGCGACAGCACATTGCATCTCGAAAGCACCGCAAGTTTGCTGAAAACGACGACAACTGGACCGAGCTCGATTCGTTACTGGCTCAGCTGAGACGCACGCCGAAGCACTTTGCGGGCCCCGACTCTGATTCCGAGGACACGTGGTAATCCAGGAATTGGACTACGCCTTCTTGGACCGGGGGTCTTTGGCAGCACGACGCCCGCATCAAGGCCCAGCGATGGCGCTCGCCAACGCCGTGTCACGGAATAGGAGACACCTCTGGATCACTGCCATGGGGTCCAGGACATGCGCGCACGCTCTCACGCAAGCCTATCCCGCGACTCGACTCTGCATCTTCGTTCCCCTGAACACTCGCGTCAGCACACGACCCTCCCTCCCAACCTCCCGGAAACGATGCAACCTCGACCGACAGAGCCTAATCTTTTTAACTACCTTTCTAACTGAACACATTTCATTATTCTCTCGCATTTCGCTGTGTCATCTTGCGCAGACTCCGGCATGAACGCCATGGTTTCGCCTTTATTGGGACCTTGAATCATGGCTGAGGCGTTTATTATACCTGCCCCTTTGGACTTGCCCATCCCTCCTCCACAACTTATTTCTTTTTTCCCTCATCCATTTCTTTCTCCTTTCCATCTCTTCCGGACGGCCAGCGGGCGGCCCGGGGGGTTGGAGGTGGCATGGTCGGGGCATCATGATTGAAGTCGTTTTGGGTGATAAGAGGAGAACAGTGACTCGAGCGTTGGGGAAGCAGACGTAGCACGAAGGCCGTGGAAAAAAGCGGTGACTGTAGATATACAGATTAGCACATGCATGTGTAGCTAACATGTTACAATGATGACGAAGTGCAACTCGGGGTGCGTTGGCCCGCGCCGAGAACAGGTTTGATGTAGCGAAGGTGTGTCGATGTCATGTGAGGATGGCAGCGATACGGGATGCTCGGTAGGCGCATGAGACATTTGTTTTGGACGAAGCGCTCACCACGGGCCAGGCTTTCAAGTCGACGGTTGTTTGTGTTACTGCTTACGGAGTACGGCTGGCCGTCCGTCTGGATATTGCCTGCAGACCACGCGAGCCTGTTCTCCGCGTGTAAGTGGCCCGAACTGCTCTTTTGTCTCGCCATAACTCGCATTGCAGCTCAGCCCCCGTCGAGTGTGAGCACCTGTCGCACAAATCGCGGCGGCGGCGTGTCGATGTCAATGATAGATGATACGATGACCATTGGTCTTGCCTGATCAACGACTTTGCCGTCGCGACGCATGGCGCGCTGAGTATCTTGCATACACACGCACCGGTGCGGACCATGTTTCTATCCTTGCAGCCTTGCATCTCCTTTTGGCCTCTGCCCCGACGCCTCCGGCCACGAGCGGCGCTGGATGCTGGAGAGACGGCTGGCCCCCTGCTCCCGTTTTGTCATTGCGCGTCTGCTTGGCGGACGACGGCTCGTTGGTGCCATGGGGTCGCAAAAATTCGAGAACACGGAAAAGGGGTGGGGTGTACAAACAGGCTGACGATATATGCAAGCAGGAGGGTGTTCCGGAGCGCATGCTGGGCCGCATGCTGCTGTGCCACGTCGACGGACGAGTCGAAGCGGCAGACGGCCGTGTCGTCGGCATCGATGGAAGGAGTGAGGATTTTCCACGCCCCGGTCGCACAGAATACGGGGTTTCTCGCCATCGACGTGGACGCCATGCACGTCAGCGAGAGAGAGAGGGTGTGCGTGAGGGAAGGGTTTGCTCGTCTGGCCCGTCGAACCTCGTGTTGGGTGCGGCAACGAGAGGCGTGCCCGTGATGGAGGAACGAGGAGAAGCTAGAGGAGGCACATGATGAGGCGAGAAGGTTTGTTGCTGGTCGAGTATCAAGGTCGAGTCATGACACCACCGCCCGAGGACGGACGGATCCTGATAAGAAGAGGCCGGCGTGTACGAGATGCAGCAGGCTTTGCCCAATTGCCGTTGACTGCGTGCCGGCAGATACAGTTTAGCATCACGTTCTGGTCCAGCTGGAGGGGCGTCGAACCGCAGAGTGATTGGCCCTGGGCAAACACATCTGTCCGCCCTGCTGAGCAGCTGCCGGCTGGGCTGGCAGGCATCGAGACCCCGGCATGATGCAGAGGAAGAGAGAAAAGAAGAGGCCGCCACAACTCGTGTGCGGTGTTGTGTTCCCCGGCAAAGGATGGAAACTGGGACGCAATGGTTTTCTACTCAAGTCGGTCCGAAAGACGGAAACCGTTGGCCGTGACGGGACCAACGCTTGCACCCGAATACAGGATTACACCAGGTACACACTGATTCGCAGGTGTACGAAATGGCATTCGGTTCTAAGTGCCGGGAGGTGCGAGGATAGGGGTATAGGTGTGTGTGCTTGATCTACACCACCAGGGGAGCCTGCACATGACGCGATCGGCACGCAGTTGACGGCGTGTAGAAGACTAGGAAGTTGGAGATAAGACAAAAAAAGCAACGGCGAGGATGAGTCTCGGGGGTCAAGCCGCTGACGACGAGCGGCAGGCCTGGCAAGGAAGCCCGATACCGGGGGCTCGGGAATGGGGCGCGGCGTATTCGTACTCCGGGGCGAGCCCATGGTGCCCCTGCTCTCTGGTATAAGGTTCGGGGGGCGTTTGTTTTTTTCTTTTCTCGTCGACGCACATGGGTTCGCCCGCGTGCCCAACTGTCAGCCGGCTTGTCTCTTTGCTCCGGACGTGGGCTGTGACACGTAGCGCCGATTCGGCTCCCTGGGGGGAGGGGGGGGTGCTGCACGCAGAGGCTGTACAGTACGCAGAGCCGGGAAGACGCACGCGTCGGAGGAGGCTTTGACACTCTGCGAGTACGCGGAGGCTGTATGTAAGTGAGAATCACGGCATGCGTGTATGGAGATGATGTGTAAGTCATGTCGAGGCACCCGACGGGGGCCCTGCAGATGATACGGCGGAACGCGATCCAATGGAGAGGATCTGCAGCCCGGGACGGGCGGCCCATCTCTGCTCGCGTCTATGGACCAACCACGCGCGGCCCGGGAGTAGGGACAAGGCAGTTCTATCTCGATGCTTTGCGACGGAGGAGATGGGCTGGGTAGGCTCGATGCAACGCTGGCACTGCTGGGATGGGGGAGCCATGATGGGAAGATGGGAAGGATCCCAGAGCAAGATTCAGAGCTGGTCGTCGGTCGATCGGCAAGACGGGAGGAATATTACTGAGCCTTGTCCGGGGCCGGGATCCCCGGGCCGGGAATGGGCCAATTCGGCCCCCTTGCCACCTTGTGATGCCTGCAAAAGTGCGCGCGTGCCTGTGGAGTAAGACTGAGCCCGTGCCGTTCGTTGGCCTGTAGGTGAAACGAGAGGCAACAGCGTCGGCGGGCGTGTGTGTGTGTGTGTACCGAGTATTACCAAGTATGCTCGGCAGCCTGGCAAGAATGCGCCGCAACTCTTCGTCGTCATGTCTTGGGGGCCGTCAGCCAGGGATGGAAACTCCTTGGTCCCCGGCGGCGGGCACGGGGACGCCGGAACCGTCGGAGAGCGACGCGGGCGATGCGACGACGAGACGGAAGTAAGACCGCCTTTATCTGGGCGCTGGCTCGAGAAGCTCGCGCTGCGTGTTATCGCTGCTTGGCAGAATCTACAGGGTCCCGTACTAATAATTATCTATCTGCTACGTGGATACGGCGTTGCAGTTGGCCATCTGGAGTGAGGATTTAAGGTTTCTGTACGAGAAAACAAGAACAAGGCAGAAGGCAAAAGATTCCATCCAGGGAATGCGTCCAACAAGGCACAGACGGCTGCGCAGATGGAGGCCAATCGGGGAGCTCGAGCTCGCAACCAACACCAAGGCAAAACGACGACAAGAAGGGCAATCCCAATCTATGCATACCCTGGGCAAGTACAGCAATAAGCCCTGGGCAAGTACAGCAATAAGGTAGAAGAAAAAGTACCCCCTTTTGGGAACGGGGACGGCACACGCCGCACGGAGGGCCCAATCTTTTCCCCATTGCTCATTCAGCCTGCGCCATCCAGAGGCCAAAGTCCCTTTTTTTCCTTCTTCCTCTGCTGCTGCTTCTCCATCCGGCCCCTAACGCTTTCCTCCACCTTGACCCGGAGAGGCAGATCGACCAACGGGGGCGTTTGCCGAGCGAGACGGCCTTCAGCCTCGCTCCCCCACGCGTGCCGTGCCTGATCGACCACCCCTCGGTCTGTTTCCTGCTTCGCGAGCCAGCTCTCTCTTGCTCGCTCGTTCTCTTGCTCTTCCTTTCGGCCTGCTGCCCGCCCACAGCCGTTACACCGCGGCGTGTGACGGAGGGGGGGGGGGGAGTGAGCAAGGGCCGGCTGGGAGACGAGAGGGCGGAAACAACGGTCCGTCCTGTATCCTGGGTCCAACCAGGCCTCTTTTCCCCCCTTCTTAATTGCCACTTGGCGCCGCGCTCTCTCTCTCTCATCTGAATCCCGAACAACCTTACCTTGGCATTGCCCGGCCATCTCTGCCTCTGTCGCTCTCGCGCTTTGCTCGTCACCGCATTCTTGTCCTTCTGTGTCAGATTCTCTCCTCTCTCGTGTGTCAGACTCGTTCTCTCTCTCTCCCCTTCTGCCGGGGTCGAACAGGAGATAAAAGAAGGACGAGGCCCCCTCTTGGAACGTCCTTGTCCTCCCCAACTCACACACTCACCCACCTGGCTCCCACCAGAGACCCTGCCCTGTCAAGAAGCAAAACAAAACATAACAGAGACAATGACGGGCCCCAAGTCGTTGGCTCACACCAACGCCACCCTCCAGATCTGGAGGCGCCTGCGCGACCTCAGGGCCAAGACGACGGCCATTGTCCTCGACGGCAACAGCCTTGACATTGCCTCGGTCGTCGCCGTTGCCCGCCACGACGTCAAGCCCGTCATCAGTGCCGATCCGGACCTCGCCAAGCAGATCGACCTCAGCGTCGAGGCTCTCGCCGCCTATCTCGCCCGCGACTGGGTCGTCTATGGCGTCAACACGGGCTTCGGCGGCAGCGCCGACTCGCGCACCAACGGCCTGCTCGATCTGCAGATCCATCTGCTGCAGCACACCCAGAGCGCCATCATCACCACCGCCGACAAGGATCCGGCCGCCAACTCGGACCGCCAGGCCCCCCATGTCATGCCCCCGGAATGGGTCCGGGGCGCCATCGTCGCACGCGCCAACCAGAACCTGCGAGGCCACAGCGCCGTCCGCCTCTCCGTCCTGCGCAGCCTTATCGACCTGCTGCACCACGACCTGACGCCCCTCGTGCCCCTGCGCGGCACCATCTCCGCCTCGGGCGACCTCATGCCCATGTCGTACATCGCGGGCGCCGTCACCGGCAACCCGGACATCTTTGTCCAGACGGGCCGCGGCACGGATGCCCGCGTCATGCCCGCGTCCGAGGCCCTGCGCGTCAGCGGTCTTGCCCCCTCGGGTCTCGGCCCCAAGGAGGCCCTCGGCCTGATCAACGGCACCGCCCCCTCCGTCGCCGTCGCCAGCCTCGTCCTCCACGACGCCCAGCATCTCGCCCTGCTGTCCCAGATGCTGACCGCCTTGACCGCCGAGGCCCTGGGCGGCAACGTCGAGTGGGTCCAGCCCTTTATCCACGCCGCCCGCCCCCACGCCGGCCAGATCGAGGCCGCCGGAAACATTCGTCGGTTCCTCAAGGGCTCCAAGATGGTCGTCGGCCTCGAGTCGAGGAAGAGAAAGGGCCATGGCCTGTGGCAGGACAGATACTCGACCAGGACCGCTCCCCAGTGGATCGGCCCTTACCTCGAGGACCTGCTCCTGGCCCAGCGCCAGCTCGAGGTCGAGCTCAACTCCACCTCGGACAACCCCCTCGTCGACGCGTCTCCCGACCCCATGCAGCAGCAGATGCGCAACGAGGCGCCCGGCGCCGGCGAGGTCTACTCCGGAGGCAACTTCCAGGCCACCGTCGTCACCTCGGCCATGGACAAGACCCGCCTGGCCCTCCAGATGCTTGGCCGCCTCCTGTATTCCCAGGTGACGGAGATGATCAACCCATCCACCAACAACGGACTTGAGGCCAACCTCAACGCCAGCATCCACGAAAACTTCACCATGAAGGGCATTGACGTGAACATGTCGGCCTACATGTCGGAGCTCGCGGCCTTGGCTCATCCCGTCTCCTCGCACGTCATGTCTGCCGAGATGCACAACCAGGGCATCAACTCGCTCGCCCTGCTGTCCGCGCGCCGCACCGCCGAGGCCGCCGATATTGTCGCCCACATGTGCGCCTGCCACATCTATGTCTCGTGCCAGGCCGTCGAGCTGCGCGCCAATCACCATCGCTTCCTCGACACGCTTCGCGACAGGGAGCTGAGGGACCCGACGCACTTTGGTGCCCTGCACGGCCTCGGCCTCAAGTACGCCGACATCGAGAGGCTCGCCGAGGAGCTGTTCCCCGTCATCGAATCGACCTGGTATCACTGGAACGCCCACACTTGGAAGCACCGCGCGGCTCACGTGTCCGAGGCCATCATGGCTCCAGTGACCGAGTTTCTCACCGTCGAGGGCCACGAGTGCTCCGTCTCGCAGCTGGCCGCCTTCAAGAAGCACTTCGAGGGCGTCCTATCCAAGGCCGCCGCCTCCAACTTTGGACACTGCTCGCTGTTGCCGCCGTCCGCCGTGGCCGCGCGGCTCGGCAACGGCAGCGCCCGGCTGTACACCTGGCTCCGGTCCAAGCTGGGCGTGCCTCTGCACTGTGGCATCGACGACGATCCGCTGTACAACGCGCGCAAGGGCCTGCCGACGTACAACAAGAAGACGGTCGGGAGCTGGGTGACTATCGTGTACGAGAGCATCCTCACGGGCGGACTGATGGACATGGCCATGGACGGCGTCGAGTCGTCGCTGGAGGCGCCGCGGACCGTCGAGGAGTTCGACAGCCTCTGCCGAGAGATGGCGGATATGTATTGATTGCCCGTCGGCATGCTTCAATCTCGATGGCCTTTGAGCCTTGACAAGACGAGGCGAGGGCGGAAGAAGGGGGAGGAAGGAAACATATACGCGGTTGACTGCAGAAAACGCAAAATTGATCGACTAGAGGGAGGAGACGTGATTTCGGATACCACCAGCATGGTGAGAGGGAGAAGAGAGGAGGCGAGAGAAGATGAGGAGGGAATCTGAGAGGGGCGTTTGGCGGAGGTGCAGGCCATGTATTGAGCGAGTCACACAGGTGACGCAAAGGGGGTACTTGAGAGCCTGGATGATTTCCAATCTTGACTGTCGTTTTCTCGCCAGACGCGGCTGTAGTATGTGAGATGTCAAGTGCGTGTGATGAGCTGCGTCAGATTAATGAATGCTGCGTTGGCATACCAGTGTGGAACACAGTGTGGCACTGTATCCGCGTCGTCCAAGATGCTTCCTCACTTCCTCCCGTCTCCGTGCTCTCACCAGCCTCGCAGCAAAAGTCTGCCTCACCGTCTACCCGCTGAGCGGACCCGCTTCCTCCTTGCAGCACCTCAAAGCACGGCTGCTTGAGGAGTCTGACGGCCTTGCAAAAGTCATGGATTCCAGATCCAACCAACAGCGAAAGCATCCACCACCCGCTTCACCTCTTCCCTCCCATCGCTCACCGGCCTCGCCCGCACCCGCAGCAGACGACGACGACGGCGGCGACGGCGACAGCGAAAATGACAACGGCGGGGACGACACGCCCGAGCTGCCCCTGACCATGTCGGCGTCGGTCGTGCTCGCCGACCTGCCGCGCGATGCCGCCGCCGCGCTCGCCAGCGTTGCCGCCTTTGGGCCCCTCGACAAGGTCGTGGTGCGCTTCAAGCCCGTCGGCGCGGCCCCGGCGCTTGCGCAGGACCTGTGCAAGATCACGGCGACGCGCCGCTTCGAGGAGGTGGTGCGCTACCTTCGCCGCAAGCTGCGCTGCGGCGACACGGACAGCGTCTTTCTCTACGTCAACAGTGCCTTTGCGCCCTCGCTTGACGAGGTCGTGGGCAACCTGCACCAGGTGCGACTCCTTTTTGGTCGAGAGGCTTTGATGTGTCATGACGTGCTAATCTCGAACCGCAGTGCTTCAAGAACGCTCAAGATCAGCTCGTGGTGGCCTATTCCATCACCCCCGCTTTTGGATGAATCATGGCAGAGCAGTCGGGGCAGAGATTGTGTGTTCGAGGATCAAAGTTTGCTCAGTGTGTATATGTGAGAGGCGTCCCTCCCTTGTCTAGCTCCCTGTCACCGTCTAACGCGAACTGTCAAATCGCCTCTCTAGCTCCCGGATGCCGCTGTCATGCAAATAAAAAAAGAAGAATAATCAACGCTCTCGCTCCCGGAACATGTGGAAATCAGACCGCCCACCCAACCCCTCTCAAGCTACAGGTCCTTGATGGTCTTGGAAAACACCTCGAGTTCCTCCTCGGAAATCGGATACGTGTGCTCCCGCGCGGGGTATTGACGGCTCTTGACCTCATCGCGATAAGCCTCGAGGGCCCTGGTGGCCTCGCCCCACACGTTGCCGTACTGCTTGACAAACTTGGGGAGGAAGCGACCCGGCGGGAAGTTGCCCGTCATGTCGGTCTGGACCAGTACCTGGCCCGAGCAGCCAGGCCCGGCACCGATGCCAATGGTCGGGATGGACAGCTTCTGCGTCACGAGCGCCGCCACCTCGGCCGGCACCGCTTCGATGACGACGCCGAAACACCCGGCCTCCTGCACGGCGAGGGCGTCCTCGAGTACCCGCAGGGCGCCGTCGCTCGTCTTGCCCTGGACGCGGAACCCCCCCAGGGCGTTTTGTCGCTGGGGTGTCAGGCCGACGTGGCCGAGCACGGGGATTCCAGCCGTCGTGATCTTGCGAATGGTGGGGGCCATTTCCCTTCCGCCCTCGAGCTTGATGCCCTGCATCCTGCCCTCCTTGATGAAGCGGATGGCGGTGGCGAGAGCCTGCTCCGGGGCTATCTCATACGTGCCCATGGGCAAATCGCCAATCTGAAACCTGGTCAACCATGTCCTGATTGGTCTAGGGGCCCAAACTCACGGTAAACGCGCTCCGAGTGGCGCGGGCGACGGAGCGGCAGTGCAGCAGCATCTCTTCCAGGAGAACCTCGCTCGTGTCCTCCATGCCCAGGGCAACCATGGCGAGGCTGTCGCCGACGAGGATGACATCCATGCCGGCGTGGTCGGCGGCGTGGGCGCTGGGGAAGTCGTGGGCAGTGACGACGGTGATGGGGTCGCCCTTTTTATGCAGGGATCGCAGGGTGCCCAGCGTCACCTTTTTGCGAGGGATGGACGGGGCCGCGCCCATGGGGGAGTGAGAGCTGTGCCGGGCCTGCTGACGGGGGGCTGCTGTCGGTAGCGGGGCCGGGCGGGAGGTGAGCTGGGAGGCATGGCACGGCCTGAGGACGACGTTTGGTCGCAGGACTCGTGTCAACTGGGCCCATGACCTTGCGGCAGGGGAGGCGGACATGAGGGCCATGGGTGCGGATGTAGATGGGAGACTTGGGTGTGGGGTGAGTGCGTTTGCTGTTGGTGTTGTTGTGTACGCGTGTGTGTCCAACTATGTTGAGCGATGAATGATGCAATGTCCGTTCGGGTATGTGAATGGTACGATTGAGTGGACAAGGCGTGAATCGAGGTTTCTATCGTGGTGCTCTCATGTAGTTGCAAGAGGACTGCGTTATGCATGTACCTGTAATGCAGCACAGCAGCACACGGCGAGCGAAGTACCGTGCTGACTGACGGATCTGGCAGAGGTGGGTGCACTGGAAAAAGGCGGGCAAGAGCCGACGCCACCCGACTTAATTAGTCGTCGCTTGGCAGACTGAACAGAGGAGGATGAGGATGAGGATGAGGAGAGGGTTGAGAAGAACAGAGTGTCAGGGGCGGAAACAGCGATTTTTAAAAGGGGGGCCCAGTCATGATGGTTTTTACGATGTAGAATTTGGTATTTCCAAGGCGTTGCGCGGTGGTAACTATTTTGGCGCGTAATAATACTGCGCACTATTCTGGAGGCTACGGCGCAGATGCGAGCACCACGGCCCTGGCGTCTGTCCCTCGGCTGCCCCGCTGTGCCTGCGCCTGTGTCTGGAACGGTGGCGCACATAGGTTCCAGCCTGCGACGACCGGGATCCGCACGGCCGAGGTGGCGGAGACGGCGACCAGTTCGGGACGGCCGGCCGGGGTGGTGCCTTGCTGGGCCGAGGTACAGTACCTGCTTTCGGGGGTCCGGCGATGGCGCTGCTGAGTCAGCGTGGCAGGTGGCGGGCGGTACCGCGGTTGCGCATTTGCAAGAGGATTTCTACTTGCTTCCCTCGGAATATGTACCCGGTCTGTTCTTGAATCTGTTGCTTCAATGGCCACGGGTGCCTTCTGCGCGCAGTCTGTACGCGGTGGTGAGCAGTCGGCTGCGCGGTTGCACGGGCGGTTGGATGAACTGGTTCGGCGCTCAGTGGCGTCGATCGGTCAGACTTCCAACGACTCCTGATTTCCATTCCGCTTTCTTCCACTTTTCCGTACTAGGCGGCGACCTCCCCCGCAAAGAGGCAAACGTGTCCCGAAAATGGCAACCTTGCGCGCTCCAATGCCGTTGGTCGATCCGTGGCGGTGTCTCCCGGCTCCAGCCGCTAAATCCTCGGAAAAGCCAAGGACGTGCAGCCCCTCTCCCCTCGTGACTCGTCCATGACCTCGTCCGCGACCCGACTTCGCCCTTTGCTCCGAACCCGTTCGTCTCGCACTCGCTGCCTCTTCCTTTCTCCCTCTTCCCTCCTCTCGCGCGCCCTCCCCCGACGCAGCACTGCTTTCCCGCGACTCGCCCCGCAAACTATCACACTGACACCCCATCTCCTAGCCGTCCCCGCGCAATCCCGCCTAAATACCCCCGAGCCCATCGCCGCCGCGTCCGACAACTACAGCGACGTCGCTGCGCCGCTTTGTGTGGTTTTGCCGACCGCCAGCTGCAGCCATGAGCAGCCCACGCCGCCGAATTGAGACTGATGTGAGTCGCGATGCATCGTCCAGCCCCGTCCGATATCGGGCGGCGCATATCCAACCGTCTTCTTCTTGGCGACGCTGACCTTGACTCTTCCTTCTAGGTCATGAAGTACGTTCCGTTCGTTTTATTTGGGCACCCAACGGCGCACAGGCGATCTGCTAACATGAGTCCAGGATGTACGACGGTCCCTCCGAATGAGCCCCGGTGACGCCGCAGCTAACAGAAGCAGGCTCATGAGCGATTACGAAGTCACGCTCGTCAATGACAACAGTATGCAACCGTCACCCCTTCCTCCTCCGCCTCTGCTTGTTTCCGAGCCCCCACGCTGACAGCCAGCAGTGTGAGTCACATCGTCGGTCCGCCGCTCGTCGCAGGCCGAATTGCCCGATCCTGACACTACTCGCCAGGCAAGAGTTCTTTGTCCGCTTCAAGGGTCCAGCAGAGAGTCAGTCTGCCCGCTCACATCACCCTCAAAACGGCGACGCGCGCTGACATGGTCCCGATAGCCCCCTTCGAAGGCGGCATCTGGAAGGTGCACGTTGAATTACCGGATTCGTACCCCTATAAGAGCCCGAGTATTGGATTCGTGAACCGCATCTTCCACCCCAACATCGACGAGCTGTGAGGTGCCTGTCGCCTTTCCGGACTCGACTGCTTTGCTGACACGTGGCTTCAGCTCCGGCTCGGTTTGTCTCGATGTCATCAACCAGACGTGGTCGCCAATGTACGACATGATCAACATTTTCGAGGTCTTCCTGCCGCAACTGCTCCGATACCCGAACCCAACAGATCCCCTCAACGGTGAAGCGGCGGCCCTGTTAATCAGGGAGCCCAAGAGCTACGAGGCCAAGGTCAAAGGTAGCGCCTCAGACGATGCCAGCATGTGGGGCGGGACAAACTAACGCGCGCTAGAGTACGTTCAGAAGTACGCCACAAAAGACGCCGCCGACGAGGCCGGTGCCGAGAGCGAGGAAGACGACGACATGTCATCGGTGGCAAGCTTCGGCGACGAAGACGAAGAGCCTGCCGGCCCCATGGACGACGTATGAGGGCCAGGCTGCCCTTGGTCTCTTTTTCTGCAGCGCCGCGCGGTAGGCATGGGCGGACTTCATCACACTATCTCCATTGGATGGCGTCGAATTGGTAACGATCAGGCCTCGGAAAGGATTTTATTATTTTGTTTCTTGCGTCTACCCACGGAAAGGAGTTGCATAAGCCAATACTGTTTCGTTTGCTTCATTTACGATGCGCGTATGCGCGTTCTGCCGCGCTTGCGCGGTGGGCAATGGCCCCTGGCAGGCACGACCATCTACGCGACGAGGACGATGCACGGCCGTTTGAGTGGGATGGGTTGCGGTTGAGGTCGGCCACCTTTCCAACAAAGGACGAGAGGGGGTAGGAGGTGCTCGATGGGTCTCTGGTTCACTGTCTCCCTTGACCTGGGAAACGGGCAGATGGGATAGATTGAATCGCCGAATGAGAAAATCAATGCCCCCAACGCCATCTAGTCTCTTGATCTTCCGAGTGTGTAGAAAAAGGGGGTATCTCATGTTATCCTTTTATCCAGACTCCAGTGGCGACACGCAAAGCAGGCGTCGAAATCAAAGAGGTCAATCCGAATCGTACTGCACGAGGCTGCACGGGGCGCTCGCCTCCTGCGCCGGGACCTTTGCGGGGGGCGGCGCGGCCTCTTGTCCCTGTTGTTGCGCGCCTCCGACCTCTCGCTTCCGCTTGAGTCCGGGCCAGCGGGGCGGAGGCGGGGGCGACGGCGACGGGCGCTGCTGCTGCGACTTGAGGTGGTGGTGGGCGGGCGAGTCCCAGAGGAAGGGGTCGTGGGCGGCGCGGGTCTTGGTCACGAGCTCGGAGACGAGGCTGTCCCTGGTCCTGGACGGCGCAGCCTTTGACGAGGGTGGCGGTCGCCGCCGGCGATGCCGTTGCTTGTCGCTGTCGCTATTGCCGACGGGTGCGAAGAGCGGCTTGGAAAGGGCGCTGCATGCGCTGACCCGGTGGTGGTGGCGGTGGTCATTATTAGAGTCGTCGTCGTCGTCGTCGTCAGAGTCGCCGCGGCGGGCGCCAAAGTCGACGAGGGCGGCGCGGCGGGCGTCCTCTTCGCTCGCGGGCAAGAGGTCCAGCGCCAGGCCCATGGACTCGCGGAGGCGCTCGGCGGCAGCAGCGTCGCGCTCCCTCTCGCGGCGACCGGAGCGAAAGGCACGGCGCAGGCGCTGGTTCTGGGCATAGGGGTCATCCCACTGGCGAGCCGACGCCTCGAGCAAGCCGACGATGCGCTCGTCGGCGCGGCGCAGCTGCTCCCGATCCTCAATCGTCTTCTCCAAGCTCGCAAAGGCATTCCTGCGCAGCGCCTCGCGCTCCTCATCCACGACGGCCGCCATATTCCTAGCCTCGTCAGCGGCGCCCCCGTCATCGCGCCGGGTGCCGCCGCTGACCACGACATAGGCCGTGTTGCGCGGGTCGGTGCGCATCTCGAGGGCGCCGCCGCAGTCGGCGTGGCGCAGGCGGAAGCTCCAGACGGGGGTGCTGTGGTAGGCGCCGACGCGGCGCTTCTCGGCGTTGAAGCGCACGCCCTGCCCGATGAGCGTGGGGCGCGGGCACGACGCGCACCACACGGCGAAGGGCATCTCGAAGCGCACCGTGGGCGCGGCCGACGCGGTGCGCTTGTTGTGCAGCCGGTTGCCCGTCGTCCTGCCCTCGAGATCGGGTGGCACGTAGCGCCCCATGTTGAAGCCCTGCATCTTGGCGGGAGGGTGACACCCCGGCCGGGTGACGGTGCTGCGTGCGTGCTCTGGGGTGTGCGTCGTCGGGGGGGATGACGAGCGTAAATGCCAGGCGATGGCGCGGACGAGAGTGAGTGTGTTGTCGGAGTTGTCGCCGTGGAGGAAGAGGATGGAAAGTGATGGGGATGAGGACGTCGGCGGCGGGGCAGGTTTATCCGGTCGCGCTGTCAGCCAAAGCACGGGGACCCACCAGCCCTGCCCCTTTTTTTCCAAAAGATCTCGGATTTGTTCACATGACTTTGTTTCGATGCAGTAGGCGAGTTCAAGAAGCGTCTCATGAACTTGTGCGCCCAAAGTAAGATGGATTGAAGATTCCTCCAGAAATCTCTTCCCATAAATTCCAAGTCAACTACGCAAGCAAGCAAATATAACATTACGGTCCCCGACGCAGACATCCACTTACAGACGAGGTAAGGAAGAAGAAAAGGCTGCTACGACATCCAACTCGGCGGCCGGTCTCCAGGCCTCGTGCCCCAGTCCGACTCGCCCTCGCCCAGAAACAGCTCCAGCGTCCCGCCCCCAGTAAAGAACTCGTGACCAACCCACGACCTCGTCCACGCCTCCCCATTGAGCGTCGCCCGCTGAATGCTCAAGTTTCCGTACTTGGCGTCAAAGCCCACGTTTCGAATCGTGGCCGTCTTGCCCGTCTGCGGGCTGGTCACGTTGACCTCCTCAAAAAATGGCGGGCTGATGAGGTACACGTTCTGCCCGGCGATGGGGAAGAGCCCCATGGTGGAGAAGACGAGGAAGGCGCCCATGGCCCCCGAGTCGTCGTTGCCGGGCAGGCCGCCTGGCGTGGCGTTGAAGTACGAGGGGATATAGCTGTGGGCGCGCTGCGCGGAGAGGGCGGGGCGCCCGGCGTAGTGGTAGAGGTAGACGGTCAGGAAGACGGGCTCGTTCGAGATGTCGGCGAGACCACTTGAGTGGAAATAGTCGAGGCGAGAGATGAAGGCTTCATCGCCGCCCACGAGGGAGATGAGGGAAGCTGTAGCATGCGGGACAAAACTGAAGCAGTCGAGAAGGATGAGTCCAAGGCACTGGGCCTAGAGGGAGTCAAACTCACAACAGGTACTGCCAGATGCTAGCCTCAAACGTCTCGCTCGGGTTCGTCGTTAGGGAGCAGAAGCCGGCGAGAGCTGAGCATGCAATCGGATCCTGAAACCCCCAGGTGCCGTTCATGTACCGCGGCTGGAAGAAGCCCCTAAAGCCCGAGTCTTTGCCCCGAATCACAGACGTCTGGTCCTCTTTCCAGAGATTGCGCCAGTTCATGCTGCGCTCCATGTACTTGTGCCGCACAGCCTCGGGCTGGCCCAGCCCCGCAGCCAGCGTCGCGAGGCAAAAGTCGTTGTACGAGTACTCGAGGGTGCGCGAGATGCTTCGCGAGTCGGTGCCAAAGCCTACGGGATCAAAGTCGAGGTACGGAATGTACCCGAGCTCGCGCCAGCTGCGCAGGCCGCCGCGGCCGTGGTGGGACCACTCGAGGGGCTCGCGCTCGGCGTCTACCATGACGGCCTCAAGGGCGAGGGCCCAGTCGATGGGGGACGAGGCGCTGATGTTCTTTACGTAGGCGTCGACTAACAAGATATCCGCGTTGGAGCCGCCCTGCGTCCAGCCCTGGCACATGCTCATGTGGCAGTCGGGTAGCCAGCCCTCGTGCTTGTAGGTGTCGAGGAGTGACTGGATCATCTGCGCCTGGGCCTGAGGGTCGATGATGGTGAGCAGGGGGTGCTGGACCCGGAAGCCGTCCCAGATGCTGGCGTGTGTTGTTAGCTCATTGGTCTCAATGGTGTTCGGTGGGGGAGACGAGTGAGCGCCGGAATCGGGCCTCCTCACCAGTAAAACGAGTCAAAGTAGGGCCTCTTTTCATCCCAGTACGGGTTCTCGCCCGTGTAATTCTGGGGCGAGATCATAGTCCGATACATACCACTCCAGAAACTCCTGGCCAGATCCCGCGTTGCGCCGCCGCTCTTGATAGCAATGGGGCTCAGCTTCCGCCGCCACTGGTCCCGGGCCGTTTCCTCCAGGGCGTCAAAGTCGTCGAGCGGGTGGGGAATCTCGGCCTCGGCGCTGCGGCAGGCCTGCTGGGCGCTCTTGAAGCTGATGCCCACACGAGCCGTGACGGACGCACCGGGTCCGCGGGGCGCGAAGCGCGCAAAGGCGCCGCCCTCGAGATAAAAAAGGTTGAAGCCGCGCGTGAGGAAGAGGCGCTTGGGCTCGGTGCCGGCGCGGCTGTTGACCCACACGCCCGTGTCGACGACGTCGGCGCCGAAAAAGTCGACGCAAAAGTACAGGGCATATGAGCCGGCACCGAAGCTGGGCAAAAAAGTCCCGTTGCCGACCATGCGGCCGGAGTGTTGGTCGACGCTGACGGAGGCGTTTTGGCGGCTCTTCCACAAATCCGTCAGGTCCAGCAGGATGAGCGGATGCTGGCCGCCGTCGCCGCCAGGGTCAGGGAATTGAAACTTGTACAAGGCGGCATGCTGCGACACCGTCATGTCGGCCTTGACGCCGCTCTCCAGCTCGAGAGAGAAGCGGCCCGGCGCGGCCCTGACGCTGCCATGCTTGTAGGGCAGCTTGCGGTCGCCGACGCGGAATCGGCAGCGGTTGAGGTCATCGCCCGGACACAGCTGGGGAAAGAGGGGGAAGTTTCCCAGGCTCGGGTTTCCCCCAGTGCCGCTATCGTGAAGAGCAGAAAAACCGGTAACGTTACTGCCATCGAAGTCAAAGCCGCCAGTATTCTGCCCGTCGACGTCGGCCACAGCCTTGGCGAGGGAGTAGGGCAGGGTTGCTCCGGGGAAGACGTTGCCTCCTCCAGTGGAGCCTATCAGGGGATCCACCGAGTCTAGAACATCGCATCTGGCGGGAGCGAGCACGACGAGGAGGAGCGGGAGGAGTCGCATCTCGCTTGCCGAGGTTTTGTTGTCCTCGGAGCTCGACAGCAGAGGTTGACGTTGCCGCTTGAGGAGGCAGGATGACGCGAGCCCGCGAGCCGGTGCCGCTCAGTGCAGCCCAGAGAGGCATCGCGGTTCTGGACATGGTCGTCTGCAGTAGAGAAGAGGTTGGAGTTTTGCCGCCCCGAGGGGTGAAGCCAATCGAGACGCCCCATCCGCCCCACTCTCCCGCCCTTCCCGCCCTTCCCGCCCCCCGCGCCCCCCCGGTTCGTTTGCGGGGTAGGCTAGCAGGGAGGTACTAGGAGGTACTTTGTACTAGGAGGTACTTTGTACTAGGAGGAACTTTGTACTCGGAGAAGACTGCCCCGACGAGGAGTGGTAATTAGCTAATTACGGGACGAACAGGTCGGGTAGCTAATTAGGTAATACAGTAATTACAGTAGTTACTAAATAGCCGGTCCAGTCGTCGATCGGCCAGCTACGGCGCATAAGGCAGCGACGGGGAAAGCAGGGCGACATACTCTATAACTTGTGTGCTAATGGCCAAATAGAGGACTACTCTTAGGCAAATAGTAATACTCTTAACAATTTACTAGCGAATTAGCTAGCCTCTGCTCAAAATGACTTGAAAAGAAATGGCATCTTGAGATATTCTGTTAAAAGACTTTGCAAAAAAGACGGACAAGTTCAGAAGCTTCATCGAAGCCTGATCTTCAAGGAATCAAGAACGAGTCAAGTGCAGATAGCTGTCTTTCGTCTACGAAAAAGTAAAACATGGCCAACTCCACCAATACAAAACGTCAGCCGTCTAAGCAAACACATCTGCCCAGTAGCGGTCGCCTTTCCTGTCCTGCACCCACTTGAGCGCACTCTCCTCGTCGCAACCGGCTGATTCTGCCCGAATCTGCGCAAACGCCTTCTCAAGCCCAGACCCCACGATGCCGGCGCCGCAAATGTAGACCTGGGCGCCTTTGGAGAAGAGGTCCACAACCGCCTTCTTGTCAACCAAGACTCGGTCCTGTACAAACTTGCAGTTCTCTGCCGCCTCTGGCTTGCACGTGTAGGCACGCCGGACGCTGACGACGCCTTCCTTCTCCCACGCCTCGAACTCGTCTCGGTACAGGTCGTCCTCGTCCGGTCCGTTGCAGCCGTAGAACAGGAGGGCTGGGCCAACTTCACGCCCACCGCTCTTCTTGAGCGCACGCTCGGCCACGAAGGCGTGGAAAGGGGCCAGGCCGGTGCCCGCACAGGCCATGATGATGGGGCAGGCGTCGTCAGCCGGCAGATGGAAGCCGCTCCGGCTCGGCCTCAGGCTGACCTGGAGATGGTCGCCGCTGTTGAGGCGTTCGAGGTATGTGCTTGCGACGCCGAGGAAACGGTGCCCCAATCGACTGCCTTTCGATGGTGCGTCTATCACGGTATAGGTGAGCGAGCACTCGGACGGGTTGGCCAATGGCGTCGACGAGATGCTGTATTGGCGCACACGCATCGGTGGCACAGCCGCCAGGTACTGTCCAAGGGAGAAGGCCGCCGAAGGATACTCCTCGAGAATGTCGAGAAGAGTGACATTAGACTTCTGGAAGTCTTCCTTGGCAGCGCGGCCCTCGAGTTCTTTGGCCAAGTTCTCTTCCGGGATCAGTTTTGCCAGAGCAGCTGTCATGCGCCCCGTCACAGGTTGGCTGAGTTCAACCATCCCAGAGAGCACGTCGTGCACGCTGATGGCCTGTCCTGTCGGCAGCGATGTGGCCTTTGTGGGATCGATGGTGATTGTAGCATCCCAGGGCAGTCCGAATCTCTTCATAACGCGAAGAACATTGTCCTGGGGATTGAGTGGGAGAACCGCCAGGTAATCCCCGGCGCGGTAAGAGGTGCCGGACGGGAGGCGAATGCCGATATGACGTTTCCTGGGAGCCCCGGGCTGCGTCAACAGACGCGACTCGCAGACTTCCGCCGTGACTACATCCTGACGGAGTAGTTTTGATCGGGTCTGGACACCGATCTCGAGCGTGAGCTCCTTGGGGGCGTCATTGGCACCGTCTCCGCCGCCTGCTGCTTTACCAAACAGCTTGCCCAGTGCTGGCCATATCTCCTTGTCCTGCCATTCGTCAAAGGCGTCGAAGATGTTTCCTTGGGCGACGTTGGCCGCATATCGTGGGACGATGCGGCTGGCGCCGGCATTTGCGAGGGTTTCGTCAACCACGATCGGAATCTTTTGGTATGTGGCATGCCACTCCTCTGGAAACGAAGCCGCTGTCAGCAAAGGCAGCAGATCGGGGACACGAGCCATGGACTAACTATTGCCAACGCCGAACACGGCGTAACGAACGCCGGAAACTTCTTCCTTGGAAGCCGACTTCAGCCATTGGACAAAATGCGCGGCATTATCAGGCGGCTCCCCTTCATAGCTCGCCGTGACGACCACGATGGGAGCTTTGGATGTCAGCGACGAGGTCACGCTATCCATGGTCTTGACTTCCGGCGAGAAGCCGTGCTGCTCGGCGGAAGAGGCCAGAGACTGCGCAAGGGCTTCACATGTTCCCGTGTTTGACCCGTACAAGATCAAGAGCGGCGACAAATCCTTGGGGGCGACGCTTGCTGTGGGCGCTGCCGGCTTGGCAGCGCTGTCTGATGAAGGAACCTTGGCCCCGACACCGATGTGCTCCAGCAACTCCGGATCACGAGGTCGAGCACGAATGTAGAAGCCTTGTGGCTTGATTGTCAGGGCGGTTCGGATCTGGAGCTGATAATGGCTGTCTTTGGTGAAGCGAAACGTCTGCAGCAGCGTTGCTACAGTAAGGAGCGACTCCTGCCATGCAAACGGTCGACCAATGCACGCTCGAACGCCATTCCCAAACGGCTGTATATGTGTCAGCTGAGGTTCATGTTGTTGAAGGGAAAGGGAGACTTGCCTTCCAAGCATTCGGAGGCAGCTTCTCGAAATTCTCGCCAAGCATTCGCGAGGGCTCAAACGCATCGGCGTTGGGGCCATAGACGTCGGGATCCCGATGAACACGGGTGAGAAGAACGTTTACGCATTCCTTGTCCTTGACGAGAAACTCGCCGTTGAGGACTTGGTCGCCTTTTGCCTCGAGAGTGAATGCTGGGGCGGTTGGGTGCAGCCGAAGAGTCTCTCGGAGGCACGCCTCAAGGTACGGGAGCTTCCCCATGTGGGCGACGGTGACTGGTTTCTTTCCAACGACTGAATCTACCTCATCGACTGCCTGCTTGAGCGCCTCGGGGTTCTCGAGCAATTCGTAGAAGAGGAAGGACAAGAGTCCAGAAGTGGTTTCGTGCCCTTGACAAAGAATTAAGTAAATTGTCCCCTTGCGGGCTATGGGGGAATACTCACCGGCAATTAGAAACGTAATCATGTTGCGTATGATGGAGTCATCGCTAAGCTGTTCTCCAGTTTTGGGGTCCTTGCCGGCAATCATGGCGTTGAGCAAGTCCTTCTTGTCGGAGGGGTGGGCGCGTCGTTCTTCGAGAAGGCCTCTTGCTACATTCTCCAAGGCGGCAATGTTGGCACGGTATTGCTGGTTGCTCTCTTTGTAGAAGGCCCCGACGATGTTAGGACGTCTGGATCTTGCAAAGGACTCGGCGAGCATGCCCGTCATGGCCTTGACGAAGGGGTGCGCTTCGTCACGATAGAACGAATTAAACCGATCACCCATGGCGCATCTACGATTCACGTTAGCTTATGCGGGACGACACTTGTCTTACATGTTCCGTGGCGAGTGGCAACATACAAGGCAATGGAGTCGAGCGTGAGCTTGGTGAAATCGTCAGACACATCAATAGGCGAGTCTGGACCGAACCGGGCCCATTTGAGCACGAGCTGGGATACAATGTCCTGCATCTCTGGATTCACCGTTAGTAGGCCGACACGTGAGACGGTGAGGCGTCACTTACCCCCAAACATGGACCTGATTGAGAGAGGCCCAAAGGCAGGCATCAGCGTGCGGTGCGCAACCTCCCAGCTGTGCTCGCCTGGATAGGCCGTGAAGAGGCCATCGCTGGTGGCGTTCCGGACCTGCTCCAAGGGGCCGGACACGGATTTCTGGAACTTCTTCTCGTCGAAGAGGTCGCGTGCCAGAGCATAGTTTGCGACGAAGATGCGCTCACGCGGAAGACGGAGCCTGAATATAGGCCCTTTCAGGGAAGGGTTGTCAGCCCAAGCAATCGCGGCAACAAGCAATGCTCGGCAAAGTTACCGTATATCTCGGCAAACCGGGCCAAGCTGTCATGGGGATGCTCAGCATCGACCTGAAGGACGTTGCCCAGAATGGGGTAGCCCTCAGGGTTGGGGATATCTTTAGGCATGGTGAATGTTGGAGGCTTTGGGGGTGGAAGAAGGCAGGTGTTGTTGTGTTGCGTGATGCTCTACAAGCTCATGGGGAACGCTGTGTCTTTATATCTCGACGTCTGTCTAGCTACGGCGGCACGGCCTTGACGCCGGCTGGCTCTAGAGAGACGGGCAGTGCGGGCTGTTTCAATCCTCGACTCAGACCTCTGGCGAAACCTTGATGCGTAACGCCCGGCTCGAGTTCAAGTTCATGCGATCCATTCGCCACTGGACGTGCTGAGCCCCGAGCCCAGCCGTATGAGGCTGGCGGTTCTGGACACTATGCTTTGGATCCTAGGCCATAACTCCTATCCAATTGACTTGTCGGGCTCTTTCCGTCCTAGTACTAGCATCTGCGGGGACTGCTTTGCCGAGCCTCGGCCACCGGCGCTTCAAACCCCACGTCGCCTTGAGGCCCCAGGCCTCCACTTATACATGATCCGTGAAACAGTTATGCTGCAAGGACCCTGGACATCGAACTTTACACGAATATACTTGACTGAGCAACGTTCGAACCGGCCCGTTCTACGAGGTAGCAGAAGCCGCGATGCTACTCTGTAGTAGAACTGAGTATGAAGTCGATAGAATGGCAGTCTCCTGCAGTAGGCGGCATCCGTTGATACTGGAGTAGTAGAGCACTATAAGCTAGAACCATGGCCATAAGCGGGCGTCCAATGAGCAATTCCCTCTCGCCTACGTCAATATGCGTGACTATGGTCCGGTGCCCCAGACCGACTCGCCACTACTCCGGGCCCGCAGTCTGAGCTCTCGTGGGTTCGCACCGACCGGGGAGCAGCCACTCGCCACGGCAGCGCCTTACAGGGCAGAGACAAGCTTTATGCCTGGCGGAGCCGGCCCGAGGTTGTGCAACCCCCCACCGTAGCATCAACATGCAGGCTGACACGTCGCGGCACGCACGCAGCCTGGCCATCGGATCTCCAGATGGGGCTGCAAAACGACATCCTCGGTTCTGGCTGGGGCTGTCTCCACGGCCACCGAGGCATCGACTCGTACTGCGGATGCGATGAAGCTTTCCAAAGATATATAAGTCGCCTGTTTCTTTCTTTCGCACACCCCAGATATCGCCCAAGTACTCGACTCTTATTCCCTCCACCAACACCTGCCATTGTCTTCATCTACTTGCCCCTGCTATCCTGTCTTCCTCCGAACAACCCTACCCTCTTCTTCGCCTTCCAAGATGGCAAAGCACAGCACCGTCAAGGGCACCTATGGCCCGGGCACCTTTACCGACGCCGCCTATACGCCCCTGCCCGCCGAATGCCGGCGGTTGCTCAAGTACTTTGCCGAGTCCACCCCGGGATTCACCACGGACGATGCCGCCCTGTCCAGCGTCGAGTTCCACGGTGGAGACCTTCCCATCATACCGGGCCCGCTGAAATCCCAGGCCATGGTGAGTCTTGTCGACCCGGCGTTGCCTAGCCGTACCATGTTCTAAACTCCCCTGCAGTCCGCCGTCTGCCAGGCAATGATTGGAATCGTGGGCAAGGAGATCTGCAGCTTGAGGGGCTTTGACACGGGAAACATCTCCGTCGATGTCGACAAGTCGGGCCTGTACCCGGCAACGCCTGCCTTGGTGTCGGTTGACGGCAAGGGCTTGGCCGACATGGAAAAGGACGGCACCTTGCTCAAGGTCGGCAAGGACCTGGACAAGGGTGTTCTGACCAAGAACGACATGCATTACCGGTCCTGGTCCATCTACCCAACCAAAGACCCTCATGTCTGGTACCAGATCATGGGAAACCTCCACCCTGCCGACTTCCTTAGAGCATATGGACTGGACCCCACGGCCAAGACGTCGTCTCGGGAGGAGGCCTACAACATCATCAAGGCAGAGATGGTGAAATACTCGGCCGCCGAGCTTGAGCAGAAGAACATGGAACACGGCTTTTGCGGCCAGACTTGCTACACGCCCGAGCAGTGGAGACAAACCACCATGGGCCAGCGTCTTGCCGGACACCCTGTCGTCAACTACAGCCGGAAGAGCGAGACTCCAGACCTCCCGCCGGTTCCGTTTCCCAAGTCGGATGACAAGCGCCCGCTGGCGGGGATCAAGGTGATTGAGCTCGCCAGAGTCATTGCCGGCCCGGCCATGGGCGCGGCGCTCGCCGCACTGGGTGCCGACGTCATCAAGGTGCAGTGCCCAGACTTGCCGGATCTTCAAGTAAGTGAAACGTGCCAGGCCTCGCCATGCTGGCGGCTTCTGCGGCTCATACTGACGCCGCTGTGCAGCCCTTGAGCGCCTCCCTGACTGCTGGCAAACGCACGTACGGGCTTGACCTCTCCAAGGAAGCCGATAGGGAGGAGCTGCACAGCCTGATGGCAGACGCCGATGTCATCATCCAAGCCTTCCGCCTGCGTTCACTCGAGCGGAAGGGGTTTGGTCTTGACGACCTGCTCGCAAAGGCCAACAAGCGAGGCAAGGGCATTGTCTACATCGACCTGAACTGCTACGGGCCCGACGGCTACTACGCCGAGCGACCTGGCTTTCAGCAGATTGCCGATGCAGCCTCGGGCTGCTCCTACGTCTGCGGCAAGGCCTACGGATTCGACGAGGGCGTCAGCGTCCTGCCCTCGCTGCCCATTGCAGACATGCTGTCCGGCGCCGTCGGGGTCATCGACACGATGCTCGCACTGCGAGACCGCGCCAAGTTTGGCGGCTCGTATCACGCGACCGTTGCCCTCACCTCAGTCGACGCTGTGCAGCTGGAGGAAGACGTCGGTCTCTACCCCCCCGAAATCGTCAAGAAGATCCAGGACAAGTACAAGTTCGCGCCAATGACGCCTGATCTTCACGTCGAGGAGCTTCTCTTCATCCTGGGAGAGTCCTGGATGAAGAATTCAGATCTGCTAGGCCGGGACGGATACATGGCCAGCTTCAGCTCCCCGTGGGGCAAGAATCATTCCATCCTGGCGCCCATCGTCAAGTACGAGAACGACGCGGCGAGCCCGCACTGGAATCATGGCCCTGTGCCTTACTGCTCCAGCAAATCCGTGGCCTGGGCATAAAGGCCAGCTGACAGACGACCCATGGTTTCACGCGTGTACAGCTATCTGACCTTTGTCCCTCTTTGGGTGGCCTTCTTGAATTGTCCGTCGTTGAATGAAGCAATCATTCGTTATCGTGTATTTATGAGCATAGTGTAGCAAGAACAATGATTTGTCGGCACCGTGTCCGCAGTTGAGTCTGTGCGTCGAAGCCCAAGAGTTGCGCGACTCATACTGCAATAAGATGAGACGAAATGACAAAAGTGGAAACTTGAACATCGCAGCGAAACTGCTGAAACATTCTAGCCATATAAAACCGGGCAGAAATGATAGAGCAACTGTAAGCAGCTTTGGGAAGACGTGGCCAACGATCCTATTAACGGAGTATAGTAGAATGATGTTACTTTTACCACCGTTCTCGCGGTGGAAGTTTTGAGTTGTTGCCCAAATTCATCAGCAACCTGGCTGCTACGTTTCGTTGCATTCACTGGTAACAGGATAGCAAACAATCAAGATAACGGAATAAATTCATCCAAGCGTCCAGCGCCACGCAGCTAGTTCCAAGTCCTTGCTAGCACAATACCGGTAAAGGCACGGTCCTTGTCCTCGTATATCCTGGTCTTGTTTTTGCCATCGGCCTCAAACGCCCAGACGGTGCCGCCCATGTCCGAGACAAACCATCGACCAGTGTCCGCGTCGCGGGCCAAGCCAATGGCTTCGTCAAAGTTCTGGACCAGGATTTCGTGTCTCAGGCCCGTCTTTGCGTCCGGGTGTTCCGCGGCTGGGCGGGTGCCGGACACGTCCAGCTGTATCCGGTTGAATGTGTTCCCGTAGGGGATCTCGCCGCGGTCGGTCCAATAGAGGGTGTTTGTCTTCTCGTCAATGTCCAAGTCAATAGGCTCGGGAAGATTGTCGAGAACGCAGACTGGCTCTCTCGACCCGCTGGCCTCCATGGGGGCGCAAAAGATCCTGCCCTGGTTCCCCTTGGACGGCCCTTTCTGGGTCCAGTAGAACATGCCCGTGCGGGGCGACACAGCAATGCCGACGCACCACTTGGTATAGTCGTGCGCATCTTGGGCATTCTTGAAGTCTCCCGTCTGTACGAGTGTCTCCAGGGCGGACCCGTCCAGGTTGCATCGCATGACGCGCAGGCCCTCGCGGTCCGAGATGTAGAGCTTGTTGTTCTTGGAATCAAGCGCCAGTTGCTTTGGGGTGTGAATCTGGCCCGGGGCCAGGACAGGCTGGGCGCCGGTGCCGTCAAGACGGACAGAGCAGACACTCCCATCGTTGAGAGGAGGCACCCCCATGTTGGTGTAGTACAGGCGTTGCGTCTGCTCACTGTAGACTACTCCATCGGGAAGAGCCACAAACTGGGTGTCGGAGAAGATTGGGGTTGCCTTCTGGCCTTCCACCGGGAGCGTGATGATCTCGCCACGCGATATGATTTCTTTAAACGACAACCCCGCGGTAGGCCCGCTAAGGCCCACGTCGAGGACCACGAGGGTTTTGGAAGCTGATTTATGCGCCATTGTGAGTTTCTTTGCGCAAGGCAGGGGTTGAGACGGGTTGTTGACGAGTGGATAAAGAGGTCTTGGCTTTGATGAAGAATGGGTTGCTCAACAAGGAGAAAGAGGGAGTTGCCGGACTACCTTTATTGCCGTGGTTGGCGCAATTACTTTATGTACGCAGTTGACTGTTCCCAGAGGCCCGAACTATCTGCCATATAGCGCTTTGGGCTCCACAGTTGCGTAGACAGTTACAAGCATGGAGTCGTCCGCGGGAAAGAGCCGAGGCAGATGGATCTAAAATGCGGCAACTGAGACGATGACATCCTATGCCTTGTGCTTGGGCACGAATGCTACATCTACTGCCTCGCAAGGCACAGCCTAGTTCTGCGCCTACTTTTCTTGTTAAAGCAAACCCTAGCTCATTACGTGCCGACCTCGGCAGAAGGCAGAGACGCCCACTATTTCACGAAAGGGGTGGAGGCCAAAATGCACGTAAATGCAGGATACTGCCTCTTTCCGGTTTACGACTCGTCGCTACGAGTATGGAGTAAATAGGCAGCAGAAACAGAGTTGAAGCTTGACCGGGCGACTCGTGTGGTTACATTGCGATGCGAAGATTCGTCGTTGTGCCAGATCGGGTCAAGGAGGCCAATGCTGTCCAACCGTTGCTTAAGCTTTCCGGCCCTCGGCTTGTGGGGACCGCAGTGGGGAGCCAGATCGGTTTGCCGATGCCTCGGGAGTTGTTTGATGATGGAACTTTGCTAAACGCGTGGAACCAGCACTGGGGACTCGACTGGTGGCATTATCGGACGCGGCACCTACCTAGTCGGGAATAGGCGGCGCCGCCCGCATAAAGCTATTGAATAATTACTACTGTACTCTATAGTGCAGAAAGCTGGCGACGTAATGTCCAGCCCTACGGCCCAATGTGCCGAGGGACCCGCTCCCCGCCCAACGTGCCGAGGGACCCGCTCTCCGAGGGACCCGCTCCCCGGACGCCCGGGACATGCCGGAGCTCGGCCCACTTGTGGGACCCTGATGTCAACGCAGGCTCTCCTGGCCTCGGTCTCGAAACAAGCAACAACGTATGGCTTGGATCTGGGATGCAGCCACGGCGGAGACGGCTCTCGCACGAGGCGAGTTAATGGACCGCATCGAAGCGAGTCATCGCGGGTCGCCACCGGACTCTCGGATCCTTCCTTGCCTCGCTGAGACGGGGCCGAAACGAGGCGGTCCAACTTTGTCGGCGGCCATCGGCTCTCCATATCCCGATTATAAAGAGGCACCCTTCTGTCTCTCCGTCAACTCCAGAGCAAGCCGCCTCTCCCAAATCAACAAGCAAAAGATCCTTGCACAGCATAACGCCAATCAGCAAGATACGTATTCTTTTTACCTGGTCATCAACCCTCCTCGCCTTCAACATGGCAATCCAAACTGTGGGTGTGGTCGGCACGGGTGTCATTGGCGCCTCGTGGACGGGCCTCTTCCTTGCTCACGGGTTGCGAGTTCTGGTCTCAGACCCGGCTCCCGGGGCCGAAAAGAAGCTGCAGGACTTTCTTGAGGGCATCTGGCCTACCTTGCAGAGCATTGGACTGAAGCCCAACGCCTCGCTGTCCAACTACACCTTTGTCGGCGCCAGCATGGATGGACACTACGCAGAAGTCGACTTCATCCAAGAGGTGCGTTGCGTCGCGACAACCCATTCCCCCGTCTTGCACGTTTTGCTGACATTGGCGTAGAATGCACCCGAGCGACTGGACTTGAAGACAAAGTTGCTCGGCGAGATTGATGCCGCCACGAGGCCCGAAGTCGTCATTGCCTCCTCCTCGTCGGGCATCCCGAGCTCACAGTTCATTTCCAAGTGCGCCAAGAACCCGGGAAGAGTCCTGATCGGCCACCCGTTCAACCCGCCGCACCTCATGCCGCTCGTCGAGGTCGTTCCCCACCCAAAGACGGACAAGGCCAGTGTCGAGCAGGCCATTGCCTTTTATCAGTCTCTCGATCGCAATCCCGTGCACATTCGCCAAGAGGTCCCCGGATTCGCCGCCAACCGCCTGCAGGCGGCCTTGTGCAACGAAGCTTACAGCTTGGTCAGCCGAGGCATCCTCTCGGCCCAGGATCTCGGTGAGTTTCTCCCCTTCCACCACGTCTTACTGGCGATTAATCGCTGACGTGCGCCCAGACGCGTGCGTGACCACCAGTCTTGGCCCTCGCTGGGCCGTGACTGGACCACTGTTGGCAAACGCAATGGGCGGTGGCGGTGGAAGCGACGGTTTCAAGCATCTCCTGGAGCATTTGGGACCTGCGTCCCAGAGCTGGGCCCAGGATATGCAAAAGCATGCTTTCCAGTGGGATACAGCGAGCCTTGATGCGCTGAGCTCGAGCGTTGCAGAGGAGCTCAAGCTGAAGGACATCAAAGATCTTGAGCGCCAGCGAGATGAGCAGCTCGTCGAGCTTTTCCGCATGAGGAGATCCAAGACTGGAGGCAAGTAGTCAAATAGCGCCCATCATGTGTGTACAGGCACGTGAATGCGAGAATGGTTATTTTGCGAGAGCATATGCGTGAACCCTACGCTGCAGTGTGAAAAACAGTCTATCCCGCCTATAGTACTTCCCGAACACGAGTTCGAGAGCATAGTAGGGTGCGTTGGAACCAGGGATCGACGGCTTGCTTAATAGAGCATATGCATAATTTAAGGGTTATAAAAGATGGGCTCTTTTATAGGTTAAATAAAGCCTTAAGTTTAGAGACTGCACCACGGGACGCATTCATATGTACGACTATCGGTGCCGGAGGCTCTGTTTCAAGGATCATGGGGGGAGTGCGTTAAAACCAAGGATTGGCATTGGGAGTGCACTGGCTGCATCGAAGAGCGAGGCTTAACTAACATGGCATATACCAGCATGTTTATATAATCCTTGGTCGCGAGTCTCGTGCCGACGGTGCCTGGTGTAGGTCACTTCAGTTAACCTTCATCCGCGCAGGGCGGCCGCCCAACCTTATCTAGTTCTCTGTGCGGCTGGGCAGGCGTCTGATCTCGGGCGAACGCCCTCCGTTCTCTTCATAGAGTCCAAGTATAACGATGCGAATAGGTGTCGCATGGCTCTTTATCTGTGCTTGCCGTTAAGTGTTGCGATGAGTTGGGCCCGAAAGGGGTCGAGGCCCCCCTGGAATGAATCCATGTCACGCGAGACGTGCTGGCCAACCTCTCCCGCTGGAGTTCCAAAGAGCCAAGTCAAGTGCTTGTTGTGAATACGTGAATAGTCATCGGCCGGCCACATCCCCGGCCACGCTTGCTTGCCCCCGCTATCCGTTACACCTATTTTCAACCGGGTAACCATCACACCCCAATCCCGGGGCCCAGATCCCAAAGAGCCCCGCGGGTATACCTTGATTATTCAATGAAAGAAAAGACAGGAGGCAAAGGGGAACAAGCTCGCTCGCTCCCTCGACCTTTGGCACCTGATCCGGCTACTTCTCAAACTCGCCATCCTCCTTCATTCTGCCAATTACAGGCTCCAGGAGCAACGGCAGGCACTCGGCCGCGTCCCTGCCAAAGGCAAAGTCGCCGGGCCCGATGCGCTCAAGCTCGGCCTCGTCCTCGGCCTCCAAGTTCACGGTGGCTATGCGGGCGCCGCACCGCTGGGCCTGCGAGATGTAGCCAGCGGCGGGCCAGACCTGGGCCGACGTGCCTACGACCAGCATGAGATCCTGCGGTGAGCGAGGTTAGCCGACGTCGTGCACAACAGGGGAAAGGAGGCGCGACGAACCACTTTGTCCTTGCCCATCCACTCGCCGATGCCCTTGAGCATATCGTTGTCGAGTGCCTCTCCGAACCACACTACGCCCGGGCGCTGCAGGCCAGCCTTGCACTGGGGACAGGCCGGCAAGTCCTCCTCCGAGATGTGCTTGATTCGGTGGTACGGATCCAGCAGCGGCAGGGCCTCTCCCGGCGGCGGGTCCTCCGAGGCCGGGGCCAGGGCCGGGCAGAAGGGGTCGTCCTGGTTGTTGCGCTGCATCCAGTCGCAGCCATCGGCGCTGCACTTGATGTCGAAGAGGGAGCCGTGGAGGGTGGAGAGCTGTTGAGGGGGGTGGCCAGCGCGTTGGGAGAGATCTGTCAGACGTGAGAATGGCGCACGGATTGTAATACAGGGGGAGCATGGACTGACTGTCCACGTTCTGGGTCAGGCACAGGAAATCTCGGTTCTCCCTGGCCAGGGCCGCGAGGGCTCGGTGGGCGGCGTTGGGCTTGGCGCGCAGGCAGATGTGGCGGCGGTAGCCGTAGAAGAGCCAGACCATGCCCGGGTCGGCCTTGAAAGCGCGGGGCGTGGCCAGCTTGGTGGCATCGTGGCTCCGCCAGTAGCCCCCGGAGCCGCGGAAGGTCGGCAGGCCGGAGGAAGCGGAGAGGCCGGCCCCACAGAGGGCGAGGATGCGGCGGCTGGACCGGAGCGCCTCGTGGAAGGCCTCGACGTCGTTGTGGGGTGGCATCGACGCGGAGGCCCCCGGCTGGAGTCGGTGCCCTCGACTAAAGGGGGGTTGGAATTGCCGACAAATCGGCCTTGGGACTGCGGCTGAGACGCGGGCGAGAGAGGATGTCTCAGGGCCCCGAGGGGATTGGGCGGGACGGGCTGTTGGCGTGCAGAGAGGGGGGCGTGGACGCCCGTGTGCCTCGGCGAGGAGGGCGAGGAGAGAGAATGATGACGGTGAGGAGGTGAGGAGGAGAGGAGGCAACGGGGGAGTGGGGGAGGAGGAAAAAAGTGAGGGTTTGTGCGGATGGCAAAGGCGAGTTTGCAAGTAATAGGGTAGCGGGTAGCAGCATAAAGCCCCAGTGGCTTGCGAGCTACAGGACAGTGCATGGCTCTGTAGGCATTCGTATCCATGCCGACTTCGTATCGCCCTGTGCTCTCCACCTCTGGCCAAACACTGCGCACCATCCCCCTTCTCTCCTCGGCCGCTGCCACTCTCGACGACGCCCACCAAGCCCGCCCTGGACAGGGCCGCACGGAAGCATCGAGGATCCCACCCCTACTAGTGCTCCTCACCGCAGAACTCAAACGCGAGCACGGTGAAACGAACCCCTCATCCTGCCATGTCGTCGTCGTCGAAGCCCTCCCGCGACGTCGTGGGGATTCTTACATGGTCGTTGAGCAAATATTTAAACATGTCGAAACGGCCTCTCTCTCTCTCTCCAGGGGGAAACGCAATGCACTCCACCCACCACAGAAGTTACCTACTCCTCATGCAGGGCAGTCTGCCTTGTGGGGAACACCTGTCAAGTTCCAGCCGTGATATGCAGGCAGCAGAGTTCCTCCATCTCCCCGGCAGGCGAGCGAGTCGCCAAGCATTTGCACAAAGGGGAAGAGGCCGCCAGCATGAGGCTCGACTATGCATGTTCCAGCGGCGGGTCCACAGCCCAATCCTCTCCAAACGAGTCCGTCGATCCTCCAACCGTCCAAAGAGGCCCAGGCAAGGTTGACCGTTGGTGTCAAACACGTCCAGAACGTGCCTAGATTCCGGCTCGCCAGACGACGCGAGCCCGTCACTGTGGTGTGCGCATTCCACGCTGCGGGTGCAACTAACGCTTTGGGCAGTGCCCGGCGAGAGATGCGGGCTTTGGTCGAATGCCCTTGATGTGTCCAGCTTCACCGACAATCAAGGCCTGTTGAGCGATGCTGGATTTTGACTCACCGTGCTGCTCTTCGGGGCGATGGAAGAGGCCTCCCTTGCCGGCCAGCTGGAAAAGCAAGGCGAAGCTTTCAACCCGATCGCCGTAACGGAACACAAGCTTCGGATGGTGAAACGGCGAGCGGCCGGGATAGTCCATGTCGCGGGAGAGCAGCCGATCAACCGCTCTCGCGAGTCGAGGGTCGGCGGGGACCGAAGGAGTCGACCAGCAGGCCGGCAGAATCACTCATGACGCCCCGTGCTCACGCTCACCCGCGTCTGACAATAAGGCTGTCAGCTGGTGTTTTTGCTGCGCCCTGTGGCTAAAAGCTGGTGGTGGTGTCTGGTGAGGGAGGGAGGGCTGGATATATTTAGAAGCCATGGCAGGGCCTTGGCCTCGGTCCGGCCAGTCATACGAGCTCTTGTCACGAGAGGGTGGCTGCCAAGAGAAGCCGACATCTCGGGGAGGGGGCATTATTGAAGCCAAGCCCGGGTTACAGTTGGTTGTCCACCAAAGCGGCGACCAGTTTCATGCTTTTTGCCATTCATTTACTTTTGCCCTCCATTCTTTTCGCCGTTAAGCTTTGAGCATTTCCTTTGAATTGAGTTTTTGTCATTCTGATGTTTACGCTGATCCCGGTGAGACGGCTAATACGGATGAAAGCGGCGGTATTGGCGGCACCGGGAAAAAAGAGAGACATGCAAAAAAAATGTCACGTTGGATTGCATCAGCGTATTAGCCGACAGATAGATCCAGCCACCCCCCGGTCGGCGGGGGAAGCCGGCCTACAGTATACGGTAAATACGTTGGCGGCTAAAACCAACAACAAACACGAGGGCTGGACGTCCACCTGCGCTGACGTTGTTTTAACATTCTCCGCATTTCGGCGCGCGAGCCAAAGCTTTTCGTCGCGTGCACCGGGGGCGTCTTGTTGGCTACCGGGTAGGTACTAGATGTGCTTGGGCTGCCTCCTACGAGGTCCTGTGGCACCTGCAACGGTGGAAAGCTGGGCGGTCATTCTCGGTCTCGGCCCTCGTCGCCGCGGGAGACATGGGGGGATTTTTGACACCAACCCACGACAGGGCAAAAAAAGGAAAAAAAGGAAACGGCGTCTTGTCCGTCAAGGGATGCAGGGAGGGCGATACTGCTGTTTTATCCTCCTTTTGCCCGGGCCGGGGGTGTGGATAGAAGGCATCGGCTCGGCGGCAAAGTCCACAGTCACACGGCGTCGGAGATTTCGCCCGCAAGAAGAAGCTCGCGTCACCTCGTCCGGATGGGCTTATGCATCTGTCGTGTACATGGCAGGCATGGCTGCAAACAGGTGGCTGGCAGAAACTCTGATGCGGCTGTTGCGGCTGGGCACCTCGGACTGAGAGAGACGAGAGAGCCAAGACGGCGCGGCGCGATGGGCGGGCTGCAAGTCAACCAACCGTACGGATTCTCCGTAAGGCTGAGCGAGCCTTTTAGCGGTACGAACGGGACAATGGGGCCTCCCTGGTCAGACATGCTCGGTAAGAAATGTCCAGCATCGACCGGGGCAACGGCAGAAAAGTCTCTTGTTGGTACGCGTGGATGCCGTTGGTCGCCGCAGAGGCTGGATGGGCCTACGGATAGCGCACATCGCAGTCGGATCCCCCTGCCGACGGGCCCTCGGGCGCGCATCACGACGCCTATTTCGTCAATTCGCCCATGCTTTGCGCCTACGGATACAGTGCACACACACACACACTCGCAGAGCCTCCATGTACATGCTCCGTCCATACGGATATATGCACTCACACGGAGGTGGGGGCTGGTGGTTGCCGTGCCGCCCAAAGAAAGCCAAAAGCTCACTCGCTCGCAACCTTGAGACCCATGGCCAACAACGCAAGCAGGCGTCGGCGATGACTGCCCGCAGCAAGTCGGGCGGGCGGGCGCAGGGGCTGGACTCAATGCGAAACCCCCGTGATCGACTGGCCATGCCCATCATCATTCTGCCGTGTGCCAGTGGCAGTACGGGGTACAAACGACACGACACGACACGCACCGCAGCGCGACCGGAGCGGAGATCCTAGGATGGAGGGGTCCTGCGGGAAGAAGGCATTTTTACTGCTTTTGCCATTCTCCATTGGCCCGCAGACGACGACGCTGATGTTCTTTGTCGAGTGCGACTGTAATTCCATACACATACCTACTCTATTACATAATTACTCTGTACTGTACTGTAGGCGGTTAACCCTCCACTGCACCTGGGTACTGTACTGTACTGAACCGAGTGCGGCTGCATGTACATCATCCCGCCAGCCAGCCTCTCCCCTTTCCCTCCCTCCCTCCTCCCTCTCTCTGCACGTGCATGTCGAACAGAACAACTTGGGAGTCGCTAGGGGGCCTTTGGAGTCGCTAGGGGCCTTTGGAGTCGCTAGGGGTGGCTGGGCTGCCATCCTGTTTCAGCAACCAGTGCAGCTCGCCGGTGCCTGGACCCTGGTTGGTCCGCAGAGCCCGCCGTGAACCGTTCATGGCCCCACCTGTCGTGGCCCCACCTCTACGGATACCCCGTGGGCTCTCCCCCCCCAAGGCCCCACCACCACCCACCCCCGTAGGCTCGGCGCGGCGCCCTCCCCCCCCCTTCCTGGCATTAGGCTCGGTGGATAATCCCATCACGGGCGGGGCCTTTTGGGAAGGTTGCGCTTGTCGATACGAAAGGAGTGCTGAGCTGCACAAGCAAGGGCAGCCGATCCGCTCGGACTCTCCTCCTGTGCTGTGTGTGTGTTCATATGTTGGCAGTCGGTATAAACACCAGGGCTTGTCTCATCCGTCGTCTTGTCATTCATCCCTCGTCCTAATAATAAACACCCACCCTCTCTTATTCATCCCTCTTTTCTCTTCCTCCAGCTCTTCTTGTCCCCTAGCAACCTCGTCCTATTATCCCTTCGCTAGGCTACTTACTGATTTATTATTACTCGAGTCCTTTGTCTCTCGCTTGAACCGCCTCGCTCCCCGGCCGCTCAAAAAGACGTCCCCCGCCGCCGCTGGCATCCGCCTCCGAAGCTCCCACCACCCGCGCCTCTTCTCTCGCATTCCACACACGCAGACACAAGGAGCCATGTTCTCCAAGCTCCCCTCGGCCGCTCTGGTCGCTGTCGCCGCCTCGGGCCTCGTTTCTGCCCAGACCTCTACCGCATGCAACCCTCTTCAGAAGAGTGAGTTTCTCTCTCACCTGTTACTCGCTGCCTTGCACCAGAGGACAACCGGAATATCTGACAAGTCCTTCCCGCAGCCTGCCCTGTCGATCCCGCCTTTGGAAAGGAGGTCAAATGCGACTTTACAAAGGGCGAGTGCGGCGCCTTCCAGGCCGCCCAAGCCACCACCATCAAGTACAACGACCAGGGCGCCGTCTTCACCATCAACTCCGAGGGTGATGCTCCCACAATCCACACGGGCAAGTACATCTTCTTCGGCGAGATCGAGGTCGAGGTCCAGGCCGCCCCGGGCCAGGGCATCGTCACCAGCGCCGTTCTCCAGTCCGACGACCTCGACGAGGTATGCTTTCGACCCGGCTAAGCCCCCTCCCTCCCAACCAAGGCATCCGAGGCTAACAAGAACACGCAGATCGACCTCGAGTGGATCGGAAGTGACCCCGGCCAGTTCCAGTCCAACTACTTCAGCAAGGGCGACACCAGCACCTATGATCGCGGAGCGTACCACCCCGTAGCCAACGCCGTGGCCAAGTCGCACACGTACGGCATCAAGTGGACCTCGGACGCCATCACATGGTCTGTCGACAACAACGTAGTGCGCACCCTCAGGGCCTCCGACGCAAAGGGCGGCAGCGCGTTCCCCCAGACGCCCATGCAGGTCAAGCTCGGCACCTGGGTCGCCGGCGGCGAAAAGGCCAGCCCCGGCACCGTCGAGTGGGCCGGCGGCCGCACCGACTTCAACAAGAAGCCCTTTGTCGGCATCTACAAGAGCATCAAGATTGTCGACTACGCCGGCGGAAACCAGCCGGCCAATGGCGCCATCAAGGAGTACACCTACGGCGACCACACGGGCTCGGCCAAGAGCATCCAGGTGGTCCGGGGCCAGAGCGACAGCAAGCAGGTCAACGGTGAGAACGGCCTCGAGGGCGGCGAGGGCCAGGCCAATGGCAGCAGCAGCCACAACGAGAACAAGTCGCTCATCGAGGCCGAGTCGTCCAGCACCGACGACTTGTCTGCCACCCGCGCCCCTTCTGGCACCTCGGGCCGCCCCCTCCAGACCGGCACCAGCGGCGGCGACGACGAAGGCGACGACCGGGGCCAGCAGCCCCAGACCACCTTGGCGACAGTCACCGGCGCTTCTAACTCGACCGCCACGTCTCTTCCCTCGAGCGGCTCCAAAGGCTCCAGCACTTCGGTCCCCACGTCTGCTGCCGGCCTCGCCCGTCGCGACGTTACCTCGTTTGGCGCCGTCGCCGTCGCCGCTCTCGTCATGGCCCAGCTTCTCCTGTAAGGAGGTGTCGTGAGTCGATGACGTAGCAAATTTTGCGCCCCCTATTTTATACTCTTTCACAATGTATACAAATTTTCCCCCGCCGTGGTCACAACAAGGAGCGCATCGGAGACGCACATGAGCAGATCTTGTCTGTTATTGCAGCATTTCGAGACGATCCTTTCCGTTGGAGACGAAAAACAAAAGATCAGCCATGATCCGAGAGGAGGGTGCATATAACGCCCCCCCCCCGGAACAAACAACAACGCAAAAGCATGCGGTGGGCGTGCAACCCTGTTGGACTTGGCCCTTTCCACACGTCTCGCATCAAAGAAAGACTCTTTCAGCAGGTACACATACTTGTAATAAGATTGGCGGTTCTTCCTTTCTTTTTTCTTTCATGTTGGGTGAGGTGTTGCTGCGTGCGGGAATGTGTTTACGGGACTAACCCACCATCGGTGCGAGTGGCTTCACGAGCGTGGTAGGAATGCACATTGTCCGCCAGGGAACGAGACTTGGTCGCGGGGGGCAATTGTGTAGGAACGGCGGCTATCATTAGATCTGGGCCTGTGCTTGTCCGGGACAAGCTTCAACTAGCACGGAGTACAAGTACCTGAGTCCAAGACCATGTCATTCCCGTGATATATCGGTCTTGAAGTGGGGGCGTCAAATTACCCGCGCGGGGGTGTCGGACCCGATAATGTCTCCATCGCGCTGCGACTGCCAAGCACCGGTGGCTTACGACAACAACGGGTGACGCGAACGGCCGCGTCCATCACTGCCATGGTGACTTCCCGAGATCAACAGACTTTGCGTCCGTGGGAACAAGCACAGCCGGCGCCCGCTCCCGAGGGGGGCTCAAGCGTGTGCGGATCCCGTGGGGCCGCTGCACCGTGCGTCCGTACCGATAAAGACGGGCGGGTCTTTCTTTGTACCCCGGGCTAAACGGTCTAGCTCAGGGGGAGCCGAGCTGAGGATCATCGATCATATGTCTCCGTAGGTGGGGTTCCTGCTGAGTGGGAGACAGCGCCCCGCCACCATTGTTCTGGCCCAGGTTCTGTTTCTGCCCGGGGAAGACGTGCATGCACGCCCATCAAATCCAAGGGGATCCACGCAGGAGACCTGCAAGGCACCAAAGGAAGGGGAAAAAAACAAGGCGCCCGCCGTGCCAGGTATCACCAACCGGGGGAAGACGCCCTACCTGCAACACAAACAGAGACACGCATATGTCGGGCGCGGTGCCTGACAGCGGCGGGTCGCGTACCTGCATTCGAACCCGTCGCGCCAATGCGACCGTGCGGCGATTTGTGGCTCGCCAGAAGAAAGCAGCTTAAAAGCCGGGCAAAGGAGAAGGCACGACAAGCCCGGCTGCCCGGCTAAGTTATAAGCGCATGCGGTGTAAAAGGAGAATTTGGCTCCGCCCCCTACGGAGCCATGCGGGGTGAGAAAAACACGCCGTTCTACTCTATCCCGACTTCTCCCCCCTTGAACAGAACGCATTTTCAAGCAAAGTCCACCGCGTTATTGATCAAAAAAGGACTATTCAGATTATATACTAAGTCGTGTGTTTGCCGCATAATTGAATTTAATTCCGCGGCCGCTGCGGCATTGATTTTATCCTTATTGATTGTTTCTTACGAGAGCTTTTTACTCTGCTGTAGAACGACGTGTTTTTTTAACACCAAATGTCTCGTACAAAATAGGTGAAGGAAGGGGGGGCCTTATTAAAGCGCTATCCGACGTCAATGGGGGAGCGAAAGGAAAATTCCGGGGTACAATGGAGAATTAGTAGTGCAAAAAAAGAAGAGTTGCGGCTGATCGCCAAAAGATCAATCTTTGGCATCTCCGGTACTGGGAATCGAACCCAGGGCTGCTCGGTTTAATCAACGCTTGTTGAGAGCGAGCGATGTTAGCCACTACACCATACCGGATCTTAGTCATCGTTGAGGGTATGCCCCAATTTGAAGATTATATAGATAACTGCTTTCCAGTATGCAGACCCTCGGCACCGTGGAGATCCCAGCGCAGTCTCAAGGTACAGATTTACATGGACTCCTTGATCATCATGCACATCACTCTTCAAGTACAACCATCATGCTGATGTTGCATATTACTCTCCCTTTGTGCTTGACTGCTTGACGTTTCCCTGACTCATGCTCCCAAACCACACTCAGCTACTCATGCTAGGCAACCTCACGATCCATCGTCAAGCAGGCACTCGCAAGCATCAAGAATACAGGCCTTTCCTGCTACAAGGCAGTGCAGGGCTCGGACTTCTAGACGCTCCGCATCACCCCAACGTCGTGCCATGCCTTGCGCACAGTCTTGGCTGCCATCTCCCCAAACTCCTCCTTGGCGCAGTCAACAGTCACGTCGGCAAACTGCAAAAAGTTGCACTTCGGAGGCACGCGGCCGCTCGTCATTGCCTTCCACCAAATCTGTCCCGCCTTCTCCCACGAGTAACCACCAAATGCCACGGCCGCCAGGTAGAACGCCTTGTTGGGGATGCCCGAGAAGATGTGGACGCCTCCGTTGTCCTCGTATGTTTCCTCGTACATCTTCATGTTGTCCACCTGTGGGTCTTTGCCCTGCGACTGGCATTAGCCACGAGGAGCACAATGGAGTCGCTTGCGACACGTCAACGGGGCTTACAAATCGAGGATCATCGTAGGCTGTGCCAGGACTCTTCATGCTTCGAAGGGCGAGCCCCTTGATGCCCGGCAAGAGGCAGCCCTCGCCGACAAGCCAGTCCGCCTTGTCGGCCGTCTCGTCCTCGACCTTCTGCTTGATCATGATCCCAAACACGTCCGAAATGTGCTCGTTGAGGGCGCCAGGCTGCGCCCTGTACTGCAGCGGGCTGGTGTGCTCCGTGATGGCGTGCGTCAGCTCGTGTCCGATGACATCGATACAGCCGGTGAAGTTCTGAAGGAATTCGCCGCCGTCTCCAAATACCATTTGCAGCTTGTCGGGATCCCAGACTGACGAGTCGCAAGTCAGCTCCTCTCGTTGCCAAAGAGGGAGAACAAAAGATGCAAAGGCTTCCTTAACGAGCACTCACAGGCGTTTTCAAAGTGGCGTCCAAAGTGGACGGAGCTGATGATATCGGCGTTCTTGTTGTCAATTGAATTCCACTTGAAATGCTTCTTGTAGAAGTCGAGGACATGGCCGACGTTCTCGTACGCAAGGTTGACGTCCTTGTCTTTCACCTTGGCTTCGCCCTCGGCTCGGACAAGCTCGCCAGGCAAGTCGTCCTCATCTCGCGTCATCTTGGCGTCGTAAACAGCCCGGTAAGGGGCATCTTTGGGTCTATCCTTGTGAGGGTCCTTGGCTTCAGCTGCCACGATTGCTAGCAGATGTATTAGCAGTCATCATTGCGTTTGGGGGACAAAGCTGGGTGACGGTCAACGATGCCTCGCACGACATACCTTGCTCTGCGGGTGGGGGCTTGGCCATGAACGTCTGGAGATGCTCCAGATCTCGCTTGGCACGTTCACGGGTCACCTCGTCTACGGCTTCCGAGACGGAGAGCCGGGTCAGGACACCTTCGGGGATGAAGGGCGAGGGTCGATACGGAGGGGCTTCGGAGCCGAGAGGCTGGGTCAGCATCGCCATGCGCTGCTGTCGGGAAGCACCGATGCGCCCGTGAGCGGCAAGGGACGCATGAGCCGCCTTGCGGACATGCTCGGGGTTGCTGCTTGATTCGGCGATGCCGCGAAAGAGGTGAGGCGGCACGATGAAGCAGGGGCACGACATGATGGCCGGCTTGGTGTCGCTTTGCCCCTTGCACTGTTGGTTCAAGATAGGGGCGGGACGAAGGATGCAGTTCCAGTAGGAGGTGTGGTGCAGGTGTATGGATGATGGTGGAAGTTGAAGACAAAGAGAGAGGGAGAATGGTGGAAATGCAAAAGGCGTCTCTTCTATGAATAGGCAGGTGGTCTGCTAGGGCGCCTGCTCCAAGTTCTCTCGGAAGGCGCTCTTTCCATGGCGTCACACACAGACGGCTGTGCTTTGGCAATCACAAGGTGCTCGGAGGAGACAGCACGCAGTCCAGACTGAAGTCCCAGAGGAACAATGACCCGTGGCTCCACGACGACTGTGCATCGTGATCCATGGTGTTCCCGCGGTGAGCACAGAAGCACCTGTGCAGCAGGCGCCTCCAGTTGCCGCTCCATTGCACCGCCGCGACCGGACAAGTTTGCTGGGTTCTGTGATCTGTCGACGAGACGGTGGACCAGCCTAAGCGAGCTTTGAGATGGAAAGACTCACGAGCTGCTATCCACGAGACAAGCGTTCCTGGCCGTTTTCCCTAAGGCATCTCAAAAGCTGTTGGCGCGTGACTTTATCAAGCAGCAAGAGGATCCTCGAACCTGCCTCCGTAGAGCCAAGTCGAGATGTTGTTCAATATATGGTTACGTACCTCTTTCCCCCTCTCCCCCTTTCCTTCTTCTCTAGCAAACAGCATAACGGCCCCCCACCGCCTGCGGTTGCTCAACGGCAAGAACCATCGCGGCCTAAGGTTACCACTTCATTGGGCAGTCGGTGGGCGACACAAAGGCGCACTACCCGAGCACACGCTCGTTTGCTTCGCTTACTGGCCTTCACGTCACTCGTCAAACGTCCCCCGAGGAATTCTGTCTCCTAAGCAGCTCCAACATTGCGCTGGTCCAACATGGCCTGTCAAGGCAACACCACGTCTTCTCGCCCGAGTCAGCAGCTCCAGCTGCTTCCGAGCCGAACACCAGTCACCGAGCAGCCACCGAACAACGCATCGGACATGCACGAGATACAATTGCGGCACAAGCTGGCCGCCCCGACCTTCAAGCTCCTCTGCGGGATCCCGAGCTCCCCAGATCGAAGAGAGGTGCTTCACAGGGCCTGTCTGGCAGCCGAGTTCCGCTCCTTTCCCATGAAGCAGGCTGAAAGGGGCTTTTTCCGCCATGTCAACGACCACTCACCCGTCCCGTATCCCGTCCGCGAGACCGTCTCGGAGCCATGGCACAAGGTCTTCCTGCTTGTCCAGATCGACTTGCACGGAGCAGGCTGGCCGAACAAGGTATCCGCCGACGCGCGGAAGAACCTTCACCAAGAGAGAGGCCGAATCTACGTCCTTCTCGACCATGTCCTCAGATGCCTGGTCGACATCCTCGGCCGCGGACGGGACGGTCGGGGCGTCAACGTTGCTCTCGATGTCTTGCGCAGCGTCAAAGCCGGGGTTTGGGAGGGAAGCTGCAACGAGTTGCTGCAGGTCCAAGGAATAGGCCTTGCCAAGATGGGCAGGTTGGCTCAGGCCGGTATCAAGAGCGTCAAGCAGCTTTCGAGACTCGACTTCTTCCATATCGAGCGCCTGCTGAGTCGTAATCCCCCTTTCGGGCATCAACTGCTGCATCAGATTGCCGGCTTTCCGCTCCTGACTTTGCAATTTGATATTGTTGGCCAGCATCTCGCGTCCTCGACGTCGGGCCCGAGTGGGTCAAACGCGGCCCAAAAAGAGTCGCTGTTGATCGCCCGAATTGTTTTGGGCCATGAGAATGAGGACAAGCCGTTGTGGAGGAAGAAACACCCCTGGACTACGCTGGTGATAGAGGGCGAGGGAGGAAAGCTCCTTTGGTTCTGGCGAGGCAGCGTCAAGAGACTGGCAGGCGGCAAAGAATTGGTCGTTGGCCTGGACGCTACAAGAGGCGAGCAGCTCAAGGTGACCTTTGCATGCGAGGAAGTCGTGGGGACAATCATTAGGAGCACTCACCTAGTCTCAGAGGATAGCTTTGCGATGAAATGAGGCCTCAAACTTTCTTCCACGGTCGGACAAATACTGGGAGAAGCCATGATCCCGATGAGAGAGGGTACCGGATCAACTTGGAGTCGACCTAGCCGCAAGGTACAGAGTCTCATCGGGCTGTTCGTTGGCCCACTCAGCCACCCCTTTTGAAGCCCAGATATCGCGCCGCGCACAGGGAGTGCAACTAGACACCATGCTTCCAGTACCGCGGCCGTCTCCCAACGACGGGCAAGGGGGTATGATTGGGCAAGCTGTTGCCTCCAAAAAGTAACATACCTAGGCAAGGTAGGTAAGGTATATGTTTATAGTACACGCCCTGGACATCTCCTTGCCACGGATTCCAAGGTGCACCACATAGGTATGCACAAGTACAATTCGCCGTTCCGCCGTTCCGGACCCTTGCGGAGAGAAGCCGCTGCCTGGTCGACAACCTCTGTCAAGGAGATGAGGGGAGGGGGTGCAGGGAGAGGAATTGTTTGCTCCATATTGACCTTTGCATCACTGTTTTCACGCCGGCGAGCGCGAGCTCCTCATTTCTTAGCCGCAGTTTGGTTGAAGCCGTCGAGCACCGTCTCCTTCATCTGCTTCCTCTTGCTCGCCGCAGCGTCGAGCACGTCCTCTTGTCCCGAGGCGGGCTGCTCAAGCGCCTTCCTGCTCTGGGGGTAACCATCCTCCTCGGCGGCATCGGGGCCCACGGCCTTCTTTGCCATGGACATGGCCTGGGCTTCGCCTACCTTGCCGTAGACGCTGAGGGCCGTGGCAATCATGCCGCCAATGTCGCCGACGTTGCCCGGCACGACGACGGCGGTGCCCTCCTTGGCCAGGCGGCCGAAAGCGTCGACATACTTTTCCGCGACAGTCAGGCTGACGGCCCCCTTTGCGCCCTCTGCGCCCTCGGAAATGCTGTGGGCCACGGCGTCGATGCCCTGGGCGGTGGCGCGCGACTTGAGCAGGATGGCCTCGGCCTCACCGTCGGCCATGTTGATGCGCTCGGCGCGCAGGGCCTCGGAGGCGAGGATCACGCTCTGCTTCCGACCCTCGGCAATGTTGATGGCGCTCTGCCGTTGCCCCTCGGAGTCGAGAATCTCGGCTCGCTTGGAGCGTTCGGCCGTGACCTGGCGATGCATGGCCTCGACGACGGCGGCGGGGGCGTGGATGTCGCGAATCTCATAGCGCAGGCAGGTAACGCCCCAGGCCTCGGCAGCGTCGTTTATGGCGGCGGTGATGTTTGTGTTAAGAGCGGCACGCTCCTTGAGAACGTGGTCGAGGGTGAGCTGGCCGATTTCGGAGCGCATCGTCGTTTGGGCGAGCTGGGAAATGGCGTACTCGGCGTCCTCGACGCCGTAGCTGCACGAGATGGAGAGTCAGAACGTGTCTTCTTTTCCGTTTCCATGGGGTACTTTGGCCCCTGATCAACTAACCTCGCCTTGTACGCATCAAACACCCGCGTGTAAAGCACGCCGTCAAGCTCGAGCGTCACATTGTCCGCAGTAATGGCGCTCTGGCTGGGAATCTCAATAGCCACCTCCTTCAAGCTCTTGACGTACGCGATTCGATCGATAAATGGCGCGAGAATGGCGAGGCCGGGCTCGAGGATCCTATTGAACTTGCCCATGCGCTCGACGATCCACGCAGTCTGCTGGGGCACGAAGCGCACAATCGTGTTGGCAGGCAGCCGCGGCTTCTGAAAGTACGACGGCAGCGGGCTTGCGAAGCTCGAGGGCAGCAGGGCGCGCGACGAGCTGGTGAAGAGGCGGGCTTGAGAGTGCTGATGACGGACGGCGGCGGCCAGAGGCATGCGTGCGAGCGCCGTGACCCGCACAAAGGGTGTAGTGGCCATGGTGTGCTGGGGCGTACGTCAGAGCTGCGGAGAGCAAGTGACGCTGCCGATCATCGGCCAGCTGGTGTCGGTTCTCGAATCCGGACCGCAGGCGGTTGCGTCGTTGGAAAGCAAGAAGCTCGAAAGACTTGCGTGCGTCAAAGTGACAAAAAGTTGAGACGAAGTTGAGCTCGGAAGACGGGCCGATGTTTCCCCGTGACCGCTGTAGTAACTTGGGAAGTTGACGTCGGCAGCAGAGCAGGCGCGGGGTGGGAGCGTAGGACACTGAGAAGAAAAGTTGCCCCGCGCCTGCCCGCAGTTTCGCGGTCACCGGTTCCACTCTCTCCTTGCTGGCCAACTGACTTGACACAACACACTTGCAACTCCAGCAACAAAAGACTCACACCACTACAGCTTCAGCACAGAAACACAGACAGAAATCATGGGAGCCAAAGTCCCGCGCAACTTCCGCCTGCTCGAGGAGCTTGAAAAGGGCGAAAAGGGCCTCGGCGCAGAGGCGTGCAGCTACGGCCTCGAGGACTCCGAGGACCTACTCATGAGCAACTGGAACGGGACGATTCTTGGGCCGCCACACGTAAGGGCAACGCCTCTCTTCTCCTTTCTCCTCTTCTGGCACTTGCTTGGCTGCCGCCATCGGCGAGAGAGAGCACGCGCCAGGGGACCGTTTACCCCCACGACGCAGTCTCTGTAGACAAGCATGGGGGCAAGAGCTGACTCCCTGAAACCGGCCCCTAGTCCGTCCACGAGAACCGCATCTACAGCGTGAAGATGCACTGCGGCGAAAAATACCCCGACGAGCCTCCCACCATTCAGTTCGTCAGCCAGGTCAACCTCCCCTGCGTCAACCCGCACAACGGCGTCGTCGACCCCAAACAACTGCCCTGCCTCGCCCAGTGGAAGCGCGAAAACACCATGGAGACAGTCCTCATCGAACTACGGAGGTAGGCCTCTATCTCCCCTCTGCTCCCTTTCCCCCTTTCCCACCTTGCAACTCCCTGGCAAGATTTTGGGTCGACGGCCTAGGAAAGGACGACCAAAGAGCAAGCCGGTTGACGATGATCGCATACAGGTACATGGCTGCTCCGGCCAATAAGAAGCTGCAACAGCCCTCCGAGGGATCGACATACTCATGATCTTCAACGGGCGCGGGACCGATGAAGAGGAGGCGAGGAAGCGGCCAGGGCAAGACGTTTCAAGAGGATAGCGGCAGTTCTGTCTCTGCATCCCCAGAAGCCTACCATGACACGCAGCAGCTGTGGATGAGTCGAGTCAGAAGTACAAGCATGATGCATTTCTTAGATTTCCAATTCTGCGCGCGCGCATCACCATGGAAGCAACTTTGTTTGCCGTGCGGCTTGTAGGTGGAGTGCGATGGCCGGGTACAACTGTGACGGCTTTACCTATCGACAGAGCTACAAGCAGCGATGCAGATTCAACATCAAATGTCACTTGGGTGCGCTTCCCGACATGCAATCCTATCCCATTTTCTTCATGCTCAATTCTGTACATCAGTGCCCAAGCCGCTCTCAGTGTCGGACATCCCAGGAAATGGCCATATATGCCCCGTGCCCAATAAAGTCCAGCTTAATGCAATGGAAATTCCAGCTCGTCAATCCCATGACAGAAGAGACATCGATATATGTATACAAAGAAGGGGCGCTGGGCCCAATGCACCGCCAAGCACGCGTCCCGGCCCATGTGCGAGCCCGTTTGTACGTGCCATTGAAGCAAATCCTTCTCTCATCAGAAGGGACATTTGTTATCCAATTAATAATAGTAAAGGAAAATCAAAAAGGGAAATCAATGGGTCAGTCAGCGTTGTGTTATCGTGAATCTCATGCTAGATCGATCGTCTCTTTCCTCAGCCCCTCTTCCGGGAGTGACTATGGGTGCGTCATGTCGCCAGCCAATAGGCTAGATCCCACAGCACTCAGGCGCACCAGGTTACATCCGGCCGCTCGCCCATGTGGCACAGCGGGGAAGGACTCTGGGGAAATGGGGCTATCGGGCCGGGGGATGTCTGCCTCCTCTTCGGCATCACCGGCCGTCTCTTCTGCCACGCCGGAAAGACGAGCGAAGCTGTCGGGGTGGAGCTGAGTCGGCGAGCAACCCGAGCTGGACTGAGCGCTCCCACGACGCTGACACCGAGACTGGCTGCCGAAGAGGTCGCGTCGGGAAGAGGGCTTGCCGGCCGGGGTTGTGCCGGCAGTCATGGCCGCGTGCCAGTCCCTATAATCGCTCAGGTCCGGGCTCGGGTCGGCGTCATCGAGGATGAAGGGCACCTCTTCACCCATGTGCTCGCAGCTCGACCCCTGACTGAACCGCTTGCTGCCGCCACCGGGAACAGCCGCCGTCGCCGACCACCGGCGGTGGAAAGCCCGACTTGTATCCGATTGACGCTCAAACGAGTTGCCCGCGTCATTGGTCGAGAGCCGAAGAGCAGGCAAATCAAGGTCAATCATGGTCAACTCGGCGGACGATGTCTGGGATACCTTGGGGCGTTGATCCCTAGACCCTCGCCGTTGAGCATGACGAGGCGCCTTCGTTGCACTGTGTCTGCGGCACTCACTCCGCTCCCCCTCTTTTCCATCGTGCTCCTCGTTTCCTTCCCGCAAATCGGTCAGTGCACTCCCGCGCATGGCCTTTTGCTTTTGTCGCAGCGCAGACAGGAGCAACTCCTCTTGGCGCGACACGGCCATGAGCCGGTTGTGGCTTCCCGGGCCATCGATGGACGAGCGGGCGGAGCGAATGTAGAAGTCAACCGAGGTGGGACTCAGAGGCGGCGTCAGCTGGTCGGTGGAGCTGGCAATAGACAGTCGATGCAGAGACTCATTCCAGTCCAGCATCTGCTGTCGCGCCTCGTCGGGATCGTCCCTCTCTGGACTCAAAGGACGACGAGCTGGCAACACAGTAACCGCACGAGCTTCCCGAATGCTATACCCTGATCTTTTGCTTTGCCCAGTGGCTGTCGAGCTTGCTGAGAAGTTGGACGCGAGTGATGCCCTCCGGGAGGACGAATCAGTAGCGGCCGATACACTGTTGGTGCTGGATGACAAAAAAGTCGTGCCCCGGAGAGAGTCTGTGGGCGGCGGCCAGACGCCGCTACTACCTTTAGCTTTAGGGGTTGTGATGTAGGTATCTGCCGGCGCGAAGCTCGCCCGCTTAATCGACTTGCTCGGCGGCTTCTCGAAGCCCTTGGACTGTTTTTGGGACGGCCTCGAGCGGGAGGCGACAAGCGGCGGCACGTCATTTTCGAGCGTGGGTAAGCGCCTGGCGGGAGCCGGAGTGGCCGGCGAGATGTCGTCTATGATGTCATCTCCCTCAGAGTCGGACAACACTAGCACGCTCGTCTGCTGCAAGTCGGCTGATCCGAAGCTCTTGTCGGTCGTCTTGGACGTTCTGGTGTGCCGGCTGGAAACGCTCGTCGTCGACGTCGCCGGCGGCGGAGAGGTCTCGGTATACTTGGTGTGAAATGCAGTTTGCGGTGTTGGCGGCAAGGAGTCATGAACCCAGTCAAAACACTTGCTGCTGCGTCGAGCCAGCTGCCACTCAGCCCTTGAAAATGAGCGGGCCGCTCTAGGTCCCGCCTTGGGCTGAGACATGTCGGGCTGCGAATACTGCTTCATGACGTGTCGCATCGACATCTGCTCGTAATGGTCGTAGAGGGTCGGCAGCGCACTCAGGGCGTCGTTGGTCCGCGGCCACTGGTTGCCGCTGAGACCTCTGGTGGCGTCAGGTCGCGAGGCTGGAAAGGCGGGAGGCGCAAGCTTGCTTCCATCGGGTGATGGCCGTTGGTGCGAAATGCTGTCCATGGGGGTGATGGGCGACAGGGTAGCAGGGTATTTGGTTGTACAGTCTAAAGCCAGAGCCAGTTGGCCGCCCCCTCCCAGCTGCCTTTGAGAGACCTTTCGGATGAGCCGAGGACCGGACATAAGGCTCGAGAGGTCCAGCTTGGTGGGCTTCTTCTTGCTCTTGCTCTTGGTCCGCACGTCGGGCGAGCTCAGGCTGTGAAAGTCGAGATCGAGCATGCTGTCGGTCTTGACCGGGGGGCCCTTTGCCATGGCTGAAGACGAAGTTTGCTGCGAGATGGAAAGAGGGAGCTTGGACTTGTCGTACCACGACTTGATTGTGGAAGAGGAGCGGCTCTTTCTAAGGATGCTCGAGGTAATGGTGCCAGCGGCGTCGTCGGACCTGTCGGCGAGATGGTGAGAATGGGGGAGAACGCCTGATTCATCGCCCCATCCGTTGTCTGACTTTGCAATTCCCACGGGGTGGTCGTCGAAGAAGTCCCCTGCCTCTGAATCGGGATCGTAACTGGTGGCCGTGGTGACGGATCTGTCATCGCTGAGGGCCGACGACGAGGCGTCGTCCCGATTGGAGGGGGGCGAGTCGATGCTGAGGGGCATGGAGCCCAGGATCCTGTGCGCCTTGCTCATGGGTCCCGTCAAGGGCGGAGGAGGAGCCATCTTCCTGCGGCCGGGCGCGGGAAAGGGAAAGAAAGCCATGCTACCCTCTTGTCTCGGGACCTGGGGAAAGCAGCCGGCCTTTTGGCTATGCTGCCAGACAAAAGGGTCCGGCCGAGTTGCGAGAGGGCATGTGCGACCGGGACTCAAGACTTTGGAGGTGGCAAGAGATTAAACAAGACGCCTCCGGCGGTGGGAAGAGAGGGCCGTGCCGTCTTTTGTCTCTCCACCGGCATGGAATCCCAAGCAAAATGGCTTATGCGGAAGACAGCCACAGTCGACGAGGACTTGCCAATGGCTCAACTCCTTTAGCGGGTCGGCAGCGGTTATACCGTCACGTATCGTTTTCCCTGGCGCAACCGGGCCCCATGTTCAGCAGACAGGCCCTGTCGGTCTTCCTTTGCCTTGTTCGCGGGCGGTCTTGGAGCACGCGCCAGCATGAAAGAAAGAGGCAGAATGAAGAAGCGAAATGCGTCAAAAGGAACAATTCCGATGCTCAGGGCAGCGAGACAAGGCCAACAGCGGTCCGAAAATATTCGTCGGCCACTTGATGGCACCGAGAGGTGTGTTCCCACAGTCTAATTAGAAGCAATCTGCAGATGCGGGCAGCCGATCAAGGCACGGGTTGTACTAGACGAACCTGGGGAGGGGGGGTAGACAGGGGAGACCGGGGGGAGGGGGGCGTGTGGCTGTTGCAAGAGAGGTTTGAGTACGGGGTGTGGAGAGCAACAAACGGTTCCAACGTCTAACGAGGCTGACGCCGGCGAGAGGACAATAGTACGGCAGACAGTCGCGGGAAGACGGCGAGGGGAGGGGCGAGGGGCGGTGGCGAGAGAGGGAGGGCGGGAAAAGGAAAACCGGCGAGTCGGCGAAGACGAAGTGGCGGAGGAGGCGGCGGCGGAGGAGGAGGCAGAAGAGGAGGCGGCGGAGGAGGAGGAAGAGGGGAATGACGATGATGATGGGGAGAGAGACCAAGGAAGGGACGGCCGAATGGAGGCGGCATGCTTTGGGCGGCGGCGGCGGGCTGGGCGTCATGATTGGCGGTCTTGCGGTGGCTAATTACAGTGGACATTGGATGGATCCCAACGGACGCTGAGGGGCCCGACGCTTTGCGGTTACGTACTATTATAGAGAGGGACCACTGGCTGCGAATCTGCATCGTCCTTGGCCTGCAACCGGCGTGTGTGCTCTCAGTCGTCTGATGGGCTCATGCTCAGTCGGGCATTTACTAGGTACCTACCTAGGTAGGTGTCTTTATCTGTTCCTTTCGTACAGTAATTACTCGGTATAACTGTTGCAGTCATCATGTGCATATAGGGATACAGATACACACAAACACAAACATCAGCCGTGCTGCTACCTAACCTACCTATTTACCTACCTACCTACTTACCGTACTGTACCGTACCGTACTGTACTGTACGTGCCACTCACTCACTGTACTGTAGGATCCGGAGGTGCTAACAAACCTGAACGCTGCATGTAAGCCTTAGGCTAGCCTTGCTTATACTCCAGCTAGTCCAGCCGACAGGCAGGTCCAACAGCGACTCCCCGTAGCGCTCATTGTCTGGCAGCCGAATCGGTCCGTATTGTAACTTAGGTACCTTACAGCATGCGCGTAATAAAGCCTCGTGCACGGCTTACAGTAGACGAGGCAGCGGTTGACGCCAACCAAAGCGCTCGCACCCGATCTCTGACGGGCGAGCACGCCAGGCGAGGGCCATTTTCGGCGGAAAAGCCCTCGCGCGCGCACGCTAACAATAAGGTCCGTCAGGGATGTCAAGGATGTCAAGCGCCCGCGGCGATCTGCCCCCTTTCCTGTCGTTGTCGTCGTCGATGTAAAAGCGACAGCATCAGGGGTCTTTGCATCAGGAACGCATGGGAAAAGGAAGGAAAAACACCGCCAATGCCGACGGGCAGCAGCGTCGCACTGCAGCTGGGCCCTGCCAACAACGCCCACTACAACGCCCACTACAACGCCCACTACAACGCCCACGAGACAACGAACGGGACCTGGCCTGCTACCTTTTTTTTGTGTGTCTTGCCCTGCTGTCTTGCCTTGCCTTGCCCTGTCTTGCCTTGTCCTGTCTTGCCTTGCCTTGCCTTGCCTTGGACAGCGGCGGGCGGGGCAGTACCTACCGTACAGCCAGCCCACTGTACACAATGGCCGCCAACGACTCCTGCGCACCATCTGTACAGCCGCCGACAATCGAAAGGGACGGACACGACACGCACGCACGCACACGGCTGTTCGTTCGTTGGCTTTTTCCACCTTTCCCTCCCGGCACCCATGCCACAGGTCGTTTCGTCACCCGCTTCCTTTTTTTTCACCCTATTTCCTTTTTTTTGCCTTGCCCCCTGATCGCCGTATATCTCTCTCGTCTCAGTAACCTGGTCGGGCTGGGCGTCATCTAGCTCGTCTGTCTCTTCACCCCTCCTCCCTTGCATCCGTCATGTTAGACAGAGACACGGTGGGCTCCGCTTTGGATGCATCGGTGCTCTAAATCCGTATCTGTGCCTGAAGCGCCTTTCTCTCTTCACGGACCTCCCTATTGTGCTCGAAATGGCCGCCGTGGCGAGGCTCCCATTCACCACTCAAACAAAGCCAACCCAACCGTCTTGATGGGCTCGCTTTCGCTTGCACCTTGTTGATAATCTACCTGCCCTGGAAGAGACTACCCGACATGATCTCCTCGGCTCTCCCCAACGGACTGGATCGGCTACTTTACCTAGCATGGAACGAGCTTGGTACCTTGCCTTAGCACTCGGCGCCGGGCCTAGAGCCAACGCCAGACCGAACCCATGGCGGCGGCACCCGTTGCTAGCACCTCTGGCACGGGCCAGGTTCGCCTATCCGACGGCTGGCAGCGGGTGGTGAGGCCAGGGCTTGCCTTAGCACACCTGGCATGCTCCGTATCCGTAGACGCCTACGGGAGAGAGCACGATACCCGGCCTCTTGCAATCAACCTGCCCTCTTCCCCAACATCTCCTTTCCACTGACAAAACACCTTTTCCAAGCACCTTCCTCTTTTTCCAAGACTCCTCTCCCTGGGGAGGACCCTGTTGCGAGCGGGCCCTGCGGGGAGGGGATCCAGAAGGGCCTTCCTTACCCACGGCCTCTAATCTCGACATGGCGCAGACGCCCCAGGTTTCCCTCATGCTCTGCTCCCTCCCTCCGGTGCGCACGTGCGTCCACCGGCTGGCCAAGCCGGTGAGGCCGAGCCTTCGTCTCCCCATCGAGGTCCCCTATCGAGCTTTGGTTGGCTGGACAGAATACCAAATAGGCCGTGATTTCACCGTTGGCTCCTCCGGCTGAACACAGAACACACGTTACGCGAGCGCTAATGTAACAGAGGGGTTCATGGGTATTCGGCACCGACTTCCCACATCGAGCTGGGCTTGCTGGGCTCTTTTCCACCCTCTCTTATTAGAGCGGAGGAGAGCGAGACTCTGAGAATAGCCCTCCTCCCTCTCGATTCAGTCTGTCCGCATTCGTGCTCGAGCCGTGGGTCTCTCCAGATCTGTGGCTATGCCGGCCGGCCGCTTCGACATGTCCAACCCATCTGCGTCTTCGTCATCATTGCCCGTCAAATTACAGCCGTGCGCCCCTTGCCCATCGTAATCATAGACCCCAAAAGCCCAACAGACCTGTCATATACGCACTTGCGCCGTCCGTTTCCCCCTGTCCCGAGGGGTCTCATAATTGTTCCCAGAATGCCCAGAGTGCACGAGCTTGTCAACACTTGTGTCCCTGGTCGGGCTGCTGCGGATCCTTTCCTGAGATTAACCTGCCTCGGCTCTCTTCCCAACTGCCGGCGCCGGACCGGCATCAGCTAAGACAATCTGGGATGTTGACGTTGTCGCCGTACCATAGCCACGGGCGTGGCATTCTGGTCCGACGCACATCCATCCTGACGGGGCGGCCTATGCATGCTGGTGCGTAGGCGGGCACCACACCTCCCATGGATCTGGTCACGGCCCCGGGACCGAACTGTCATTCCGGGGCGTCAGCGTCATGGGAAAATCGTGTCGCGATTACTTTTGCATCCTGTCTGTTGGTCCCGTCCACCATTCACCCTCCTTGCTGCCGTCCTGTCCAAGGTAGGTAACCAGTCCGTCGCTGTTGCTCCCCCGAGTATACCGGCTGTTGGTCCCCTGATGATGCTGTCTCATTTTGTGCCTGATGCCTGCAATGGCCCCAGATCGTGTGTTTTGTTGGAAACGACGCCATCGAGTCAGTGCTACCTTGTCTGGAGCTGCGTCTGCTTCCTCCTCATCCCGAGGTCCTGACCGTGTTGCGCCCACCACCTCCTTGCCCTGCTTTCGGAGCCGCTGCTGTCCTCGAGAACCTCTTCCATGTTGCTAGCGCGGAAATCGACTGCCTGTTTCCGCCCGTCCATGCCCTCCAACTCACCTTGCGCGAACCTGCGCCACCACTCGAGCACCTCGATATGCTGGTGGACGGTCGCGCTGACGAGCGCCTCGGCGTCTAAGAAGAGCTTCCCCTCTCCCTGTAGCCGCCGCCACGTCTCGAGCACGTCGACTCGTCCCCATCGGCTGGCCGTCTTTGCCACGCCCTCGCCGTGCGCCGCGGGTATGCCCGAGCCGTCCCACCATCGAAGAACCTCGGCCTGGCCATGCTGCGTGGCCCACAGCAGCGAGCGTCCCGGCCGCAGCACAATCTGCTGGTCCTGCGCCGCGGCGTCGCGCCACCACTCGAGCACCGGCAGCTGGCCTCTGCCGCTAGCCTGCTCCAGAGCCGTCTCCGTGTACCGCAGAGGCAAGCCGGACCGGCGCCACCACCAGTCCAGTACCCACACGTGGCCGTTCCTCGAGGCCCCGTCGACCGCTTCCGCGTCGTAGACACGCTTGCCGCGGAACCATTTGCTCTTCCTCCAGTACTCCAAAACGTCCACCCGCGGGTAATGGGCCGAGGCGTTAGTCGGCAGAACCGTCCCGTCAAACACTCTGAACAGGTCCGGCCGATTGACCTCCATGAACTCCAACACCTCGGTGAGGGCGAATCGTATGACGAGCTTGACAACTAGGGCAGACAGGTCCTGGAAGTTGGGCGGTGATTGCGACAGCTTCTTGCAGGCAGCCGTCGCGCTGCCCGCCAAGACGGTCCACTCGAGCTCATGCTCGTAGACCTTGAGGGGGTCGCCCGAGTCTTTGGACGCCAGGCACCAAGACTGCGGCACAGGCAGGTTGGTGTAGATGCCAAGTGCCTGCGCCAGCTCCCAGTCGCCCGCGAAATCGAGCACGACGGTCCAGATCTCGGGCGGCAGCCTCGCCTTGATCTTGTCGCCGGGGCTGCGGCTATCAAGGAATGCCATCCCCGGGCCCGCTGCAATCTCCGCATCACGTCCCAGACCCAACAAGTCTGCCTGGTTTTTGATCATGTCCAGGACCCCGTTAAAGCCGTTCCAGGTCAGAACTCGCCTCGGGTTGAGCGTTCCCTCATAGTGCCACAATATCGGGGCCATGACCCGGATCCAACTCCATTTCCGATGCAGTTTGTTCAGTTGGCACTTTGTCGTTGGATTCGCCCACATGTGAGTGCTCATGCCCGGCACCAAGACGACGTTCTTGCGAGTGTCCCAGCCCCTAAGGACTTCGCCCAGAAGCGTGTCGGCAATGCCTGCGAGCATCTTGGCGATGGCGTCGGCGTCCAGCGGAACGCAGACCATGAGGTCCGCCCACTCGACCAGCTCGTAGGCTTGCTGCCTGTAGAACTCGATGTCGTCGGTGCGCTGGCCCTGACCCAGGGTCAAGCTCTGGTTTCCCATCACGATGATTGTCTGCGTCAGTCTAGGGACCACGTCGTCTACAATAGCCCTTGCCTCGATCTGCGGGTGCTTGGACAGCCGCACGACGAGCGCCTGCGCCCATGAGGTGTCACGCGGTCCGGTGGATGCGACGAGAAGACGGAGCCTAGCATCTCGAGCTTTCATCTCGTGGAGCGACGTATGGGAGGAAACGGGTGACAAGGTCGGTGGCGGGAAAGACGAGCAGTGCGTCATGATGGAGCAGGCGCTCGATCTGGGGACATGGTTTCATGGGATTTTGTTGCTCTCGGATGGCGACAATCCACAGCGAGCGTTGGACGAGGCCAGCTGTTGGGCTGCGGCACAAGCAACGCGCCTAATGAGGCTCAGAGCACGTGCAGCACTGGATGAAATGTTGCGCATTCGGCTCGTGCTTTATCACAGAAATCCAGGCCATGTCGCTGGGACGCAAGGGCGGCCTAAACTATCGACATCTGCAGAAGAGTTTTCCCACCTAGTCGGAAGTTCGTCAGCAGAAGTCATCGCGCCAAAGACTAAAGGCTAACCTTGTCTCAGCGCCACGCTGTGAGTCGGTCAGATCAGCAGCAGAGTCGTGCACTCATTCGGCCATTACGCTGCCGTGATGCCAATCATTGCAGACCTGGCCTTGTGGCGTGCGCATCTGGACCGTCGTTGCGGTTCTCGGCACACACATTGCTCTGTGCATTTATGCATCGTCGCCTGAGCTGCAGAGAATGGCGACATGTCTTGCGAAGTTGAAGAGTGGACACTGTCACATGACTCGAGCGGCTGGCGCCGACTCCCTCCGACGAGGCCAGCAAACTTCCCGCGCCCGCGAAGCTTAGTGCAGCCATGACGACGGGGGCGACACGGCAACTGGACAATCAAAACCTTGCCTTTCCCTTCTTTGCTCAGTTTTCATCCGCGGGCGGACAAGGCCAATAAATATCGGTTCCTTGCCTTGCTTGTCTTCAATCGCCGTCACGTCCATCGTCAGCGACCAAAAAATTTCTCCCCTCAACCAAGACTCTTCTCACGCAATCACCCACGACAATGTTGGATCAGATGGCCAACGAAATCAAGCTCATCTCGGGGAGCTCTCACCCGGAGCTGAGCGGCAAGGTTGCCAGCCGGTATGTCCAGGTCCTTCTCTGCGACGGCTCGGCTGACGTCGGCGCAGACTGGGCATCTCGGTCGCCAACACCATGAGCCTCAACTACTCCAACCAGGAGACGAGCGTGTCCATTGGCGAGTCTGTCCGAGACGAGGACGTCTTCATTCTGCAGTCCACCGCCCCGGGAGACGTCAACGACGGCCTGATGGAGCTGCTCATCATGATTCACGCCTGCAAGACAGCCTCGGCCCGGCGCATCACGGCCGTCATCCCCAACTTTCCCTACGCCCGCCAGGACAAGAAAGACAAGTCTCGCGCCCCCATCAGCGCAAAGCTCATCGCAAACATGCTGCAAGTCTCCGGTTGCGTACGGCAGCCCCCCTTCCGCCTCGCGCATGGCCCTGCCTAACGTCTTCACAGAACCACGTCATCACGATGGACTTGCACGCCTCTCAAATCCAGGGCTTCTTCAACGTGCCCGTGGACAACCTCTACGCTGAGCCGTCCGTCTTGCGCTGGATCGACCAGAACCTGGACGTGGACAACTGCGTCATCGTCTCTCCCGACGCCGGCGGTGCCAAGCGCGCAACCTCCATTGCTGATCGCCTGAACACGGCCTTTGCTCTGATCCACAAGGAGCGCCCGCGTCCCAACGTCGTGGGCCGCATGGTTCTCGTCGGCGATGTTCAGGACAAGGTCGCCATTCTTGTCGATGACATGGCCGACACCTGCGGAACGGTACGTGGACTCGTCACTCGCCCCGCTCTTATGCCACAGGGCCAAGGCGCTAACGGGCACATCCACACAGCTCGTCAAGGCGGCCGAGACCGTCAACGAGCATGGCGCTCGCAAGGTCTATGCCATTGTCACGCACGGCATCCTGAGCGGCAAAGCAATCGAGAACATTAACCGGTCATGTCTCTCCGGCCTGGTCGTGACCAATAGTGCGTATGCCTCCATGGCGCGGGAGGGCCCCGATGATGCTAACTGGACCTCAAAGCTGTCCCTCTAGGTGACAAGACGGAACGATGCCCGAAGCTCAAGGTCATCGACGTGTCTGGTACCCTAGCTGAGGTTTGATGGCACCCATGAGACGTGCTGATGCATGGACTAACTTGGCCTCTCAGGCGATTCGCCGAACTCATAATGGGGAGTCGGTGTCGTACCTTTTTACCAACGTGCCAGTTTAAGTGAGATGGGCGTGATTTCATAGCAAGAGTCAGGTTGACTCTGAGGCGTTAGTATGTCGGCCCGGTCCGCGGTTGCAGTGCAGCTATTAACAGTTGGCCTCAGGGATGATTGCATGAAAGGGGCTGGCTTTCTCAATCATTGGCGAGATTTGATTTGTTCTCTTGGTTGGAGAGGAAAAGCACAGCAGACAGTTTAAGCTATTTGAATGGCACGTAGCCGCGTGTGCCAATGTTGCATCAAGTCAAATTGCCGCAGGGCCCATGCATCTGCAGTTGGAAAGCACACGTCGAATTCGATGCTGCTGGCGCCCCGTGGCTTACTTGCTGCGATGGGAATATCCATTGTATTTCTGGCGAGAGGGTTCTGCACTTGCGAGCCTCCATTTGCCTCGCCTCGCAAATCCGAAGCGCAGTAGAATGGATCCGGACATGTTAAGCGTGCCATGTAGCAGCCACACGGTCACGACTCACTCAGAACTGCATCTCCAGCCCCAAAAGCTCATGTCTGGTTCCCGGATCAGGCAAGGCCTCCTTCATACACATAGTAAAAGGCGAATGGTACAAAAAGGAATTGAGCGCAAAAGAAAATCAGCAGCCCCGGCAAAAACTGCCAAGACAGGGGTTCGAACCCTGGAATCTCTCGATAATGGTGTTAAAGCACGCAAAAGGCTTAAAACCATCGCCTTAAACCACTCGGCCATCTTGGCTAAACGAAATGTCAATACGTCGTCTTATGTAGTTATATATGCCAAAAGTTGGCGAGGCCTGGGCGGTGTGGCTCTGGGAGATACTGCCACGTCTCCTTGTACGAAGTAGAGGTACCTGCTTGACAGTTGGCGCATGGTTGAGCAGACTGCCTGGAAACCCCGAGTAAGGCGTCGTTGGCATTTGAAAAAGGAACAGTTGCCGCGTCAACCTTGTCGCTGCATGGATGAGGGACGGGCTTGCAAGCTCACCGACGGGCGGACGGACGGGTTGCATCGCCCATCATGACGACGCAGCTGCTGATGACGGAGCTGGTCAACCTCGTTCAGGAGAGCAAGAGGAAGCACAATGACTTGCGACAGGTATGGCTCCCGCCAGAGCATCCAGTTCCTTTTCTCACAGCCTCGCGCTCTAGGCTGCCGACAAGTCTCTAGAGGAGCTGAAGCAACTCGGAAACGTCTCGGAGCAGGCTGCTGCTGATCGTGCGTCCAACCCGTCCTGTCCCCCCCAGCATCCTTTCGCCCCGTCTGACCACGCCTCTCAGAGCTGTCGCACAAGCCCAGCTTCGTCAATCCCTTCATCATCGCGTGCGGCACCAAGAATGCAAAGTTCACGGGCATCGCCATCGTCTGCTTGCAGCGGCTCATCGTCGCGCGCGCCCTGCCGCGCTCAAAGCTGAACCAAGTCCTCGAGGCGCTGATGCAGGCATCGTCGGCCGGCTTGGACGTGCAGCTCAAGATTCTCCAGGCTCTGCCGTCCCTGCTGCAAAACTATGCGCCTGATCTCAAGGGCGACCTGTTGGTGACAGCCTTGAACGTCTGCTTCATTCTCCAGAGCAGTAAGAACGCCATTGTGAACAACACGGCCGCCGCCACTCTGCAGCAGTTGGTCGTCTCCGTGTTTGACAAGGTAGTAGCCGAAGACAGTACGTGCCTGATCACGCCATGACGAAGGAAACTCTGGCTGACTTGGCTCAGAAAATGCGTCCGATGCACCGGTGGCCGGTGAGGCCCCGTCCGCTGCCGGACAGGTCGCCCTTTGCGCGTCGGCGCTGGACGCGTACAGAGTAAGGGTTCCTCTCCTCGAATCCACCATTCACGTCCGAATTCTAAAGTAACATCAGATATTCAACGACTTGTGTCTCATCACCGAAAATCAACGACCGGAGTTTCTGCGCTTCTCGGGCCTACCGCAGACGTTCGGGCTGGAACTCATCGAGTCCGTCATCACTAACCATGCCACTGTCTTTACGACTCACCCGGAGCAAGCCCAGATCCTCCGCGCTCGGGTCATACCCTTGGTCTTTGGCGCGCTCAAGGGGAAGCCGCCGTTTGCCACAACGGTAAGGCTAGTCCGCATCCTGTACACGATGCTGCGACGGCACATGGGCATTCTGCCATCAGAGTGCGGCGAGGCCTTTGAGATCCTGACGCAGCTGCTTGACCAAGACGCTGCCCTGTGGAAGAGGGCGCTCTGCATGGAAATGTTCCGGGGCATATTTGCCGAACACGCCCTGGTGCGGCGCATCTATGCTCTCTATGACGCCAAATACGGCCAGAAGGACATCATGAAGACCCTTGTGGCTACATTTGTCAGGCTGAGCACCGAGAAGCCGGCCGTCATTGGCCTCGGTAGCCAATCGACGCTGCCGGCGGCCGACACGGCCCATGCGCCCGGCGCTCCATCCGATCAGGCCATGCTGGAGGCCAGTGGCATGACCGGCATCATCGGCGGCGGTCCGCTTGGGCCCGAGAGCTCTAATGCGGGAATCAGCGTCCAGTGGAGCTCCGTTCGCGTTCCATGCATCGATCAGCTAGACAAGACCGAGCCGCCCCCCATCCCTGAATCCTACATCTACAGTCTAGTCTTGACCTGCATCTCGTCCTTGTCTGATGGGCTGGCCAAGTTCATTCTCCCGCTCACAGTCCCTGGCGAAGGACGAAACCGCAGAAAGGCACTTGCCAAGCATGACAATGGCCATGCCTCGCCCGCTTCGACTCATTCTGCAGCGGAGAGCCCGTTGCCAAAGGGGGGAGGTGGTGTAGAGAGATCAGCGTCCTCCTCGTTCAAGAAAAACCCAGTTCCTCTGAATCCCCTCGAACTAGAGGACCACCCGATGCATGAAGACATCAAAGTTTGCGCCTCGATTGTCGACGAATGCTGGCCTGCCATCCTGGCAACTTGCTCGACGTTCCTTTACGCCTCCCTGGACCAGGAATACTACCACGGACTGGTGCGGGCCTTTCAAAGATTCGCCCATGTGGCCGGGCTCCTGCACTTATCAACGCCTAGAGATGCGTTCCTGACGACGCTCGGCAAGTCCGCCGTCCCACCCAACGTCCTCACCGCATGCCATAGCTCGGGTCTGATGAAGCCGTCAACACCCAGCCCGCAGCCTGAGACGCCAACGAGCACTTTGTTCAGCAACGCCCGCGGGCTTCTCGGCGTCGATGGTCTCACGCCGACGTCTGCTTCGTCCTCGGCAGCAGCGGAGAAACAGCGTCAGGCGTCCATGGATACCTCGCCGGCACCGTCCCTGAACACGCGCAATTTGCTCTGCCTGCGCGCTCTCCTGAATCTTGGCATTGCTCTAGGACCGACTCTCGGCCCCGCTTGGGGAATCATTCTCGAGACGCTACAGCAAGCTGACTTTGTCCTATTCACCACCGGCAAGGCTACTGGGCGGACGCCTTCCCTCGGTCGCAGCCTTGATCAGACGGGCGAGAATGACGCCAGCTCGCTCATGACAAACTTTAGCAACGAGGTGCGGGCGGTGGAAACGGCGGCGTCGAGACTGATCGAAAGCAGCGTCGACTATCCAAACGCTTCCTTTGTCGAAGTTGTCGAGGCCGTGTGTGGTCTCCTCGAGCAACAAACTACGAATAAGTCGCAGGCGGACGGTAAACCGCGGTCGTCACCGGTTGCCGCCACCCCCGAGCCACGCCGGCCAGGCTCGGACAAGCACCGGCGCATGCTGAGTTTCTCAAATCAGGCTTCGGGCGCGTCGACCCAGGAGTTTCTCTTTGCCTTAACCAAACTCGGAGAAATCGCCACCATCAATATCGACAGGCTGCTTACAAGCGATCCCGACGCATCCGGCTGGCACAAGCTGATCAAGGAGCTCATCAACAAGCTCGGCTCGTTGTCGATGGCTCCACCAGTGAGAGTCAAGGCGGCAGAAACACTGTCACGGCTGATGCTCGAGGCCGCCAGCGTGGCCGCTGGCATGCCGGGCGATGGCGAAGATACCAACGGCGACTCTCGGGGTCCGACTCAGCTGCGGGTGTTGGGGGCCCTGAGAGATGCACTGACTCCCCTGCTGAGGCACGCTCGTGGTGGCTCGGTCGCGGACCACGCCACCGACATTGACGTTCACAGAATCCTGCTCGAGAGCTTGAAGAGCATCATTGAGGGCTGCGGTGAGAATCTCGTCTGTGGCTGGGACACGGCATTCGACATCATTGGAAGCGTCTTTGAAACGGAGCAGCCAGTGTTCAAGGAGAAACTCAAGTCAGCAACCAGTGCCGGCATTCTCACAACGCGATCGTCCAAGCTCGTGCGGTCGTCTTTTAGCTCGTTGCAGCTTATCTGCTCGGACTTTCTTCCATCTCTGCCCAAGTCCTGCTTCCTCACTCTGGTGGATACGCTTTACAAGTTTTGTTCGCAGGACGACGATCTTAACATTGCGTTGACGGTGAGTCTGGACCTGCGCTGTAAATCCCTCATACAGGTAGAAGTACTAATTGGTCTCGCTGCAGACCGTCACCTTCTTCTGGGTTCTGTCCGACTTCCTATCTGCCAACGAAATGTCTCTTGACATTACCGAGGAACTCATCATGAAGCGCGGCGCTGATGAGTCCGGCCTCGAAAGGCTGGCGGCTGATCGGGGCCAAAAGGGGTCAGATGCGGCATTGTGGATGCTGCTCCTGCTCCGGCTGACGTCGGTCACGACCGACGAAAGGCTCGAGGTGCGCAACAGCGCAATCCAGACACTTCTCCGAATATTCGACGCCTATGGCGACCGCCTCAGCGCGGAGGCTTGGTCTGCATGTGTCGAGTCGGTCATTTTCAGGCTCCTGTCCTCGCTAGAGGCGGAGCTCAAGGCCGCAGCAGACGAGGACGACATCGCAGAAAGCGAGAGATTGGAGTGGCATGGGACTGCCGTTGTCGTCATCAACGGCATCTCGGGCTTGCTCGCTGACTATCTTGACGTGCTCACGACCCATCAGTCCTTCAACCGTCTCTGGCGCGAGCTGCTTGAACACTTGACCGGGCTCCTCGACTTTCAGGTCCTCGACATCAACACAGCAACCTTCAAGGCGCTGACTCACATTCTGTCGCAATTTGGCGATGAGAAGAAGGCGACCTTTAATGAGACGTCGGTTGAGAGCGTGTGGGACCTCTGGTCTCGCGGGATCCCGACGTCGAAGCGCCCGGCCGACGCCAGCGCCAAGGCCGAAGACAACCAGAATTGTCTGATTGCGTACGTCGCTGCACTCTGCAAAGTGTACATGCTTTTGCAGGGCAGCATGACGGTAGAGAGGGTCAGAAGGATGCTCACTCTGCTGCGTGAGACCGTCGAGGAGGCATCGATGGGCACCTACGTGCTTGATGTGGAGCACGCCACACCTCTCCAGACCCAGGTTCTAGCAGCCATGCAAATGATCCGGACTGACGTTGATGGCGTCCCCTCGGCGATTGTGAACCAGGTTTCCGAGTTTGTGGTCTTGGCGTACGAGAGGGGCCGAACCAGCGGCAACGCAAAACGAACCTTTGTCGCCATGTCCAAGGCGGGCATGAAGATGCTACATGAACTCATCTCGAGCCATGCCTCGGTCGAGGATGTCTATACAAGCGGCGCTCTCGCAAACGCCTTGTCTGCTCTGTGCATGCCCATTGCGCTGAAGTACCGGTTCCCCATCGTCACCAAGTCCTCTCCGCCGTGGCGGTTAGCGACTTCTTCCGTGCTGGAGGTCCTGGGGGCCACACTTCCCCAACTGGCTGCTCTTGATATACCGAAGGAGACAGTCCAGCGCATCTGGGCCATTGTCGTTGCAGTGGCAGATGGCATCCTCGGCGCAGACGCAGACAGCGCTCCGCCCGGGTCCAACTTGGCAGACGACGAGGATTTTGACATTGAGTCGTTCCGTAAACTTCGTACACTCATCATCCCATCTCTCGGCGGGGATACCATCGAGGACAAGACTCGCAGGGCATACACGGAGAGCCTCTTCCGGACGTCGATAATCCACGGCGTCAACGCGGCCGAGAGGTTCCTCGTTGACAAGCAGGGCGACGGTGACGGTGCGGGGCCCGATGCCGGTGCTAAGCTTGTGTCCCTTTATACCCTGCCCCCGGGCCGCACAACGGCGGTTGCGCCCACGGGACGAATGCGAGTTGCCTATGTCTCCTTTGACGAGCTCTTCTCGCTCGCATCAGCAGGGCACGGCAATTCCACCGAAGCCGCAGCGCCCAAGCCAGCCTCACAATCGGAATTTGACTCGTCCCAAGTCCTCCGGCTCCGGATCGCCAGCACAGCCGCGCCACTCCTCATACTGCGATGCGCACTGACGATACGCGGCTACGCGGCCGACCAGCCGCTACGGGGGAAGATGCCGCAGCCGCTGAGCCAGCGCAAGGAGCTACTCTGGACTCTAAGGAAGTTGGTGGAGCTAGAGAGCGAGGGCGAGGCCATGCCGGCTCTCGGCGGCGCCAGGGGCGAGGGGAGGCGGCACCTGTTGAAGCTGTATCCGCTGATTGTGAAGTCGCTTGGGGTGGAGGGGGACAGGGAGGTGCAGAAGCTGCTAAGGGATGCTCTGGGGGTTATTGGCGGAGAGATGGGCATTGTTTAAATTTTGTGTGTGTGAGCGGCGTTGTGTACGAGACAGTTGATGGAAAATGTGGCTTCTAGACGATGGAGGATGAGCTGACAACGTGGCGATCCTCAGGGCAGTGTCAGTTTCGTACTTGGAGACGGGCTGGCAAGAGCTGTCAGACGACAAACTGGACAGGACTCGTTGGTATTGCATCTTGTTTCCTGGCGGGTATTTCAAAACAGAAATCCATCATCTTATTTGGTCAGGAGCATCACCAACGCGCCCTGTAAATCCGGCACCCGGAGCTATAGGGTAGCCCCGCCCGCGAAGCTATGAGGTTTATTCTGCCACCCCCCTCGAAAATTTAGCTCGCCGCTTCCTCCTCCAACCCCCACGACGAACCTCTCTCTCATCGTCAGCGCCCGTCGCCCGCAATAATGGGCAAGTCATCCAAGGACAAGCGCGACGCCTACTACCGGCTGGCCAAGGAGCAGGGCTGGCGCGCGCGAAGCGCGTTCAAGCTGCTGCAGCTCGACGAAGGTACCACGCTCCCTCCGTTTCCTCGGTGCCTGCTTTACCACCACACAAACATACAGAAAGCAGGTCAAAAGGAGGGAAGAAGATGGACGGAGCTGTGCGTGAAAAAAAGAAAAAAACACTGACACGCCTGTCTTTTACCCCCAGAATTCGACCTCTTCGCCAACGTCTCGCGCGTCGTCGACCTGTGCGCCGCCCCGGGGAGCTGGTCCCAGGTGCTCTCGCGCGTGCTCATCCGCGGGGAGCGCTTCGGGCGCGCCGCGTGGCAGGACCGCGAGGCCCGGCTGCGGCAGCAGATGCTCGGCATCGTCGCCGGCGGCCAAGATGCAGCGACATCGGGGGCGGCTGAGCCGCGGCGGCAGCACGACGACGAGGTGGAGCAGCAGCAGCAGCAGGCCCGCGCAGACGTCAAAATCGTCGCCATCGATCTGCAGCCCATCTCCCCCCTCGCGGGCATCACCACGCTGCGCGCAGACATCACGCACCCAGCCACGGTGCCGCTGCTGCTCTCGGCCCTGGACCCGGGGGGCTATAACACCGCCGACGCCGCCGACCAAGACGAAGCCTCCTCCTCTTCCTCGCGCCACCGCGTCGACCTCGTCCTCAGCGACGGCGCCCCCGACGTGACGGGCCTGCACGACCTCGACATCTACATCCAGTCGCAGCTCCTCTTCGCCGCCCTCAACCTGGCCCTCTGCGTCCTCAAGCCCGGCGGCAAGTTCGTCGCAAAGATCTTCCGCGGCCGCAACGTCGACGTCCTCTACGCCCAGCTCAGCATCTTCTTCGAGAGGGTCGTCGTCGCCAAGCCCCGCAGCAGCCGCGCCAGCAGCGTCGAGGCCTTCATCGTCTGCCTCAACTTTCGCCCGCCCGCCGGCTTCCGCGCGAGCCTCGAGGAGCCGCTCGGGGTGGGACGGCGGTTGGAACACTTGGCCGGGGAGAGGAAGATGCAGCTGCCCGTTGTTGCCGGGGCCGTCATGCAAAATCCATCGACAGGGGCATGGGCCTGTGAGCCCAGCCCGAATGCTGACCCAGGACATGCACCAGGAATCTCCGAAATAGAAGTATACGACGAGACGCTCGAGGAGAACGATGTCGGGACGAGAGCGAAAAGCACAAGGTGGATTGCGCCTTTTATTGCTTGTGGCGATCTATCGGCCTTTGACTCCGATGCCTCGTACCAGCTACCCAAGGACTACGTCTCGCTGGACCCCGTGCAGCCACCCATTGCTCCGCCGTACAAGCGCGCCGTCGAAATGCGAGCCGCACAGTCTAGGCGGTGAACTGATATCAATGAGGGACTGGAACGAACAAAAAGGGTCGAAAAAGAAGGCGGTCGCGCAATGTCCCACGGTCCCTGTTGAAGGACGGGGACAGGAGGAGCCAGAACAAAAGAAGCAAAAATCCATCCTCCAAATTGAATGCGCAACTATCGAGCATCCACGACTGCCAGCAGGTTGGAACGCAGTCATTTCGTCACGTCATCTCAGTGGTCCGCCGGCACGTCCTTCTTGCCGCGACCGCCCATTTCGAGCAGGACGAGCCCAGCCGAGGGCCCCTGGTCAAAGTCGACGGCGCCGAGCTCGCGCTGGTACATGCGGGCGGCGGCCTTGTCGTGGGTCATGAGGATGAGGCCGCGCAGGTTGGGCCACTCGCCGACGAGCTCCTTGAGGGCGCGCATCATCCACGAGGCGAGGCCCTTGCGCTGAAACTCTTCGAGAACGAAGACGTCGGTGAGGTAGGCAAAGGTGACGTAGTCGGTGACGATGCGGGCGAAGCCGACCATTCGGAAGTTTGGACCCTTTGTGTTGCGGGGGAGGCCCCCGTTTCCTGGGTGGGCCTTGTCAGCGGAGGACTGTGGGCCGATTCCGAGACACCAAGGAATGGGGAGAGTGGGGGAGGGCATGGAGCGAGGTCGGGGACGCACTCTTCATCTCGTCTGCCGAGTCGGGGACGGCGTAGATGCTCAGGGTGAGGCAGTTGTCGAGCATCTTTTGCATCTGCTTTGGCTCGAGCGGGTCGTTCCACCACATGAGGTCCGAGTCAAAGGCATCGTTGACGACGGCCGAGTCGAGGAAGGACTTGTCGGTGGTGAGGAGGAAGCCGTCACGGAGCCAGGAGCGCTTGTCGGCCACGGGGGGCTGTTCGAAGCTGGCGCGGGAGCCCATTTCGGAACTCTTCTGGATGGAATCGATTCGTCCCCTGAGGTTTACGGCGCAGTTGGGCCCTTTGTTCACAGGGGGGCGGTCCGGCGGTGGTAGGTGTAGAGGTCGAGCACAACGATGGAGGGAGGGACGTGCGTGATGGATGCAGCAACCATTCTCGAGGGGGCAAGGGAGGTTTTTTCCCCAAGGGAAAAAGGAGGCGGCTGTCGGGATCTGGATGTTGTGTGAGAGCGTGGTCTGGCAGTGGGAGCCAGGAGATGTGAAGGGGAGAGAAGGTGGGACGCCAGAGGGGATGAGAGGAGGAGGGTGGTGATGCTATCTCGGCGGTTTAGGTTGTCCCGGGGACAAGCAGCACGAGGCAAGGCAAGGCAAGGCAAGGCAAGGCAAGGCAAGGCAGAGCAAGAAGCAGGAGCGAGAGAGAGAGTTGTTACCTGGCTTAACCGGCTTGGCGTTTGTGCGTTTCTGGGGGGGGGCGAAGAAAGCGTCGTCACGGGGCTTCTTTGCTCGACGCAAGAGAGCGAGTCAGTCTCGGTGGCACAAAGCAAAGCCAAAGCAAAGCCAAAGCAAGGCAAGGCGACACAGGCGACGAGATGCAAAAGGCGGTCGATGTCGTCGTCGGCGTTCGGGGCGGCAGGAGGAGGAGGAGGGTACGGTATGAAGTGTATTTTTGGTACCGTACAGTCAGTCGATACGGACGTGCTTTGAGCTTCCGGCTGGTCGCAACTCGGCTACTTACGGCCTCTTACGTACTCTTGTGACCCTGTGACGCGCCCAGCTGTGCCTAGGGCGAAGGGCCAACCCCAGGAGTCGTAGGGGCGGTGGCCCGGGGCGGTGGTGGCCTGGGGGCAGAGTCAGGTGCATGTTCCTGTCTGGGGTGTGGTCGTTTTGGGTATCTGTTGTGAGAATATGCCAGGGGCAAGAGGGCCAAGGGCGCCAAGCAAGCCTCTGGACGCATGCACTGTAGATGCACGTACCGCAGGGTATTTCCCGCGGGCTTGCACGCGAGTCGTGGACGGGCACTACGTACCTACCTGGGTAGGTAGGTAGGTAGGTCCCAGGTACTGTAGGTACTCCGTACTGTACCGTAAAAACTCGTAACAGTCGGACAGCGGGGCCCCCACTAATGGCTTTTTCTATCTACCTGTGGTTTGTTTCATTGGCCCCCCCCCCGCGTCCGCCGTCCCCCGCCAAGACTGTCCGAATTTGATGAGTTCCTACGGTACGCAGTACTGCATCTCCGATTGCAAAGCCAAATGTAGATCTGTCACTCCATCTCCTCTGTCCATTCATTCACTCCGTCAAGTATTATACGAATACCGGCCCGTGGAAAAGATCCAAAAGCATAATCTAGCCATGCACCTCGGGTTGCATTTGCTCAACTTGCTCCACCCGCGCATGCGCCGTGGCTGACTGCCTGCCGCCGGGCTCCATCACGCCGCGTCCGACCATTGGCCTCCGGCTCGCAATCCGCGGCCTGCCTCTCTTGTCTCCCTTTTGTCCTCCGCTCAGCGCAATGGACTTGCACTGTACATGTAGCCAGCATGCATGTATGTATCATCTATCCAAGGCAAATGAACACGCTTCCTTGGTATTTACAGTCAATACGAGTACATGGATGCAACATGCACCTGCCCGGCCGTCTCCAGCCTCACTCCGCTCCGCCAGATGCCCCCGGGCCGTTTTGCCCACCCCAGTATTGCCAACGTCTGTCTTACACCTGGCCACCAGTGACATAGCCACGTTCCCGTTACAGCAGGCTCATGCCGGCCGCCACACCGGCCAAGAGGGCGGATCCGAGCACGGCACGCGTCGTCATCAGCCCGGCCGCAGCGCTGACGGGCGTCGAGCTGCTCGACGGCTTGGCCGCTCCGTCTCCCCGAGAGCCCGTCGACGACGCGGCCCCAGAAGACGCGGGCCCGGCGACGGCGGTGCTCTTGGTTGTCTGCACGGCCGTGAAGCCGGAGCTGGACGACGCCTCCTCCCGGGGCAGGCTCGTGGGCGCCGCCGTCGTGTGCACCACATTGGCGCTGCCGCTGGTCACCGTCACACGTGCCGCAGATGCGTGCGCCAAAGACCCAGATGCCGAGGATGCGTGCGCCGATGACGACGGTGTGTCAGTCGCCGACACATCGCTGCTGGCCGGGCTCGTGCGAGCGGCCGTCTTCACATCCAGGAAGCTCGGCGAGTACGTCTCGGTGCCGCTGTACAGGGGGCACCCGGGCACCGTCGTCTTGGGCGGTGCGCGGCCGCCTCCGCAGTCGAGAAACTCGCAAATCTCGCCCGATTCCGGCACGTACCAGATGCGCTTGTTGTAGGGAGCCATGCTCGAGGGCGCCACCACCTCGTCAGAGTAGGTGCAGCCCTGCAGGTTGGTGCGGGCGAGCGCCGAGACGGCCAGCGACAAGAGGGCCAGGGAGCGAGCGATGGCGGCCATGATGGCGTAGGTAACGACAGGAACTTGCTTCGGTAGGAAAAAGCGACGGGCGGAAGCCGGCGAGGAGGCTCGGGCAGTGAAAAGAAGAAAGCGAGCGTGTGTGACTGGTGGTGGTGGCACGGAAAAGAAGCAACGTGAGCAAGACAAGGCGAGACCGACGACGCTTATTAATAATTGAGAGAGAGAGAGAAAGAGAGAGAGAAAGAAAGAGAGAGAGAAAAGGAGTCTGTGCAAAAAGGAAAAAGGGGCAAGGGATGACGGGAAGGAACAAGCACCGAAATTGCAGCTGACGGAGCAGCCAAAAGTCTGGCTGTAAGACCGGGGGTTCGGACGAGGCATGCGCAACCAACAGCCAGTAATTAGCCAACAGCCTCTCGCTCCTCCTTTGGGGGCGCCATCTGATTCGGAAGGCGCCGGCCAAGCGCGGCCAACCCCTTGTTATGTCAATCTACCGTCTCTGTCCAACCTCTTCCAACGGCGACGCAATCACGACTCCCCTCCAGCAGCCCGTCGCCACGCTCTCCCAATGGCCGTCCAGTACTGCGCCGGGCTCTGCCGCATGTGTCCGACGTGTCCGCTCCCCTGGAACAGCTCCGCCTCGGCCTCCCAGCCGCGCTCCTTGGTCTCCGCCGCGTGCCGCTCGATGTCCTCCCACGAGATGAGCTCGTCCTCCTTGCTGTACATGTACAGCTTGCGCGCCCCCTTTGCCTCGTATCTCTCGTCGTTGACGGCTCGGCGACTCCAAGCCCCCGCGCTTTCCCGCCCCAGCATCCACCAGTACAAGCTGTGGACGCACAGGAAGACGCCCCAGATGGCCTGTGTCACTGCAGTCGGCCACGGAAACCAGCTGGCCGTGCCCATGGCCATGGCTCGTGACCAGCGCATCACGTTGGACGGCGTCAGGTCCGTGCTGCCGGGCGTCGAGTCCATGATGAGCAGCTGATGCGGGAGCGCCTCGTTGTTCCTCAGCCGGTAGGCGTGCAGCGTGGCGGCGTAGTTGGCGGCTCCGGTATTCGACATGGCGTGGACCAGCGCGGAATCCTCGTCGCCCATGGCCTCTACCACGGGCACCATGTACTCGGAGCGTTGCCGCAGGTCCGAGAACATGCCCTTGATGATGGGCGACAGCACCACCACCTGCTTGGCGTGGGGGAACAGTCGGCGATAGCCATCGGCGTATTTGGCCACGTGCCTGCCTTGGCCGTCGCCCCAGCCGTAGATTATCACGGTGTCGGGATCGCTCGTAGATGGCTTTACATCGACGCTGCCTGGGCGCACAAACACCTGGTCCGAGAGGGCGCTGAATCCCGGGATCGCGGGTGACTTGGCGGCCATGGCGATCTTCGAGAATAGGGATCAGGCGACAGGTTTCAGGCTCCGGCAATGTAGGGCGGTCAACTGGAAGGTGATGGGGGTCCTCTGTAACGAGGGTGTAAAGGAATTGAAAATCAACAAGGCAAGGAAACGGCCGAGGCCAGTGGTATAAATGGGCTCATTGTGCGCCACCATTGTTGGCCTCGACGGTGGGGACGTCTGGAGGGCGCCCTAGCACCGTCACGAATAGCGACATTACGATGGTTTGGAGCAAACGTGGCTGACTCGCGGCCGGCCGCGTCGGTCCAGCAGCAAGGCACAGCCCTGAAGTTTGTCTGGTCGGTGGCCCGGAAACTCTGTTGATGAAGGAGCCCGCGCGGCTGTCGAGGGCGGTGCCGTCGACGACAGCGGAGCCGTGCCGAGGTAAACACGGAGCCGACAGCTAGGGACTGGAGCCGGTGCAGGACCCAACAAGACATGAACAACTCCGATCCCTGCCAGAGGGCGTGTGCCAAGGAGGCGAATGCGCAATTTTTGACGACAGGCGCATGAATATGTATACGCTCACGTACGCTATCCTCAACAAAGTCGGGGCTCGGGGACGTCGGTGTTTTCTTGAATCCCCTTGTCTCCCCTCCCCTTTTTTTGGGTTTGGCTATGCTGCTGGTCACGATTCAGCTTCCTCGCAGCCAACCAAGCTATTCGTCTTGGGCAAGATTTTCCCATGTAAGAAGTTGAGTTGAGTTGCCCGTCTGGACATGTTTCCCCCCCGTACCGGGCCAGTGGACAGAGTGAGAGACACAATGGAACCGCAAGTGAGCAGACTGAGAGAGTATGGACACCCCGGAGAGGATAGAGAGAGTGGGCGCACGCAAGAAAGAGAGGAAGACACACACATAGAGAGAGGACACAGGAGTGAGTATAAAGGAGAGAGAGAGGGGGGCGTCATTTCTTCACCCAGGCCCCGGGAGCAGCCGGCATCAAGGCCCCCTCGGGCGGCGGATTGTCGCGGCGAAACTCGTCGGCCACCTGGCCCATGGTGCCGAAGCGCACGCCCTCGTGGGCGGCAAAGTACTCGATGAGGCGCTCGTGCATGAGCAGCGCGTGCGGGCGGCCGCTGACGTCCGGGTGCAGCGTCAGCGGCAAGACGAAGCGGTCCAGCTCGCGGTACAGGTAGTCGAAGTGGTCGCGCCACGTGTCCTCGACGTCGCGCGCGTTGACGAAGCCGTGGCTGTTGGGCGCGCTCTTGACGAACAGCAGCGGCGGGAGGTCGTCGAGGCACCAGTTGGCCGGCACCTCGACGATGCCCGTGGGCACGCCGCGGTCCAGCGGCCGCATCCACGTGTGCGCCGGCTGCGCGTAGTCGATCTTGGTCCAGCGCGTGTCCGTCGGCAGGTAGTACGGCTGCGAGTCGTCGTGGCTCATGGAATGGTCGTAGTCGATGCCGTACTCGAGCAGCAGCCGCGTGCCCTCGGCGCTCGCCTCCCACCACGGCGCCACGATGCCGCGCGGCGGCCGGCCCCCCGCAAACGCCGTCAGCAGCCGCCACGAGTGCTCCAGCACGTCGCGCTGCTGCCGCGCATCCATGTCCGTCGGGTTCTCGTGCGAGTAGCCGTGCAGCCCGAGCTCGTGCCCGGCGTCGCGCACCGCCGCCATCTCCTCGGGGAAGCTCTCGAGGCTGTGGCCCGGCACGAACCACGTCGCCTTGATGTCGTACTTGGCAAAGAGCTTGAGCAGCCGCCGCGTGCCCACGGTGCCCGCAAAGATGCCTGCCCCGACGGCCGCCCGCTCCGTCGAGTCGGGCCGCCTCTCGTCAGAAAATAGGGTAGCGAAAGGGGACACGGGGGGGGGGGGTTGGAGGGGAGGAGAGAGAAGAGAAGAGAGGAGAGAGGGGAGACAAAAAGAGAGAAAGAGAGACGGGGGAGAACCTCTGCTAATGTCGTGGGACGAGTCTTGCCCGCCGTACGAGCCAAGCCACCCAGCGACGGCGTCCACATCCACCCCATAGCTGATGAGAACGTCCTTGCCCATGATCAAGAAACTCCAAGCGTTGCTGTCAAAGGGTGCAGTCGCCCCGTCGGCAACAATCCACGGCTATCTCCTCTTTAACGTCACCTCCGCACAAACGAGGGGGCGCGGGTCGGCATTCGCTGTTGGAGTCGGACAAGTCTAACCGAGTACGACGGCAGTGGCAGACCCGATGACGACACACGCGATGGACAACGGAATCATGACAATCAAAACAGTACAGTAATCTCTATTGCAGAGTTTGGTCAAAACTAATAACACACTGCGCAAAGCATGTGCTGCACACGGCAGACCCTTGTATCAACAGGTGATGGTAAAGGAGAGAAACAAAACAACTTTTCCCCTACTGCGCATCCGTTTGCGACAAAGCAATGCGCTTCCAATGGTCGCGCTCCGCCTCTAATTTTGCAATACGCTCCTCCAGATCCTCGAAGCGTTGAGCCTTGCGCTCACGCGACTTTCGCGCCGCAAGAGTGTTGCGCGCCCGCTTCATGGCCACGGTATCGTTGGGATCCTCGACAATGATGGGCGGCAAAGGCTTGTCTCGCTTGCGCGCATTGACACCAGAGACAGAAGAGTGGCGAGCGCTACCCGTGGGCGAGCTGTCTGACTTCTTGCGTCCGCTGGTAGATGTGCGTTGCGTTGAGTCCTCGAGATCATCCGACTTGTTGGCGGGAGAGTTGTCCAGGCTTCGCGCCTGTTCGGCACCACTGCTGGAGTCGGGCGGGAATAGAGGATACCAGGGATCTGCCGAGCCGTCAAACTCAACGCCGTCGAAGCTAGGCGAGACGTCGAAGCTGTCAAACTCGGGAGACTCGTTGTAGATGGAGGGCGAAGTCAAAGACGTGAGGGCGGTCGAGTTCGGCGCTGACATAAACGGTTCTTGCACGAGGAGATCTTGCGGCGAGACAGTACCCAAATTGGATGTTGAGCTCGAGGTGCTGCTGGTGAATTCCATGGCAGACGGAATAGCCGGGGAAGAGAAGCCCGTCGAGGCCCCGCCCTCGAAGGCGGTGAATTCATCCAGGTCGACGTCTTGAGGGCACGGATTAGCAAGGGTCAGAGCCAAGGCAGCGTCCCAGGCGAGCGGAGACAAACCTGCAGCGTTCATCATCTTGGCGATTTCGAAGATATCAGTGCCGGGATTTTGGTTGAAGAGCGGCACGGGAGGCCTGGACGTGAGACGATTCTGGTTCAAGGAGACGGTCGATGAAGGGGCCGAAGAGGCGTAAAACTGGTGATGGGCAAAGTTGCGTACTGGCGACAGAGATTGATTTCCGATACCCTGGAGCTGGGCCACTCGTTGGTTCTGGACAGCGGGTGAAATGGGCTTCTCCCGGCGGTTGTGGTACGAATGACGGCGCTGGCTGCTGGACAGCGACACGGCAGGCCGATTAAGGGACGCAGGTTGTTGATGAGGGCTGTCGAACAGAACAAAGTCCTGCTGCGAGCTGTCCAGGTCGGGAGTCTGAAGGGGGTGCGCGGATGGTGCCGGCAGGGCAGAAGCTGATTTGGGAAGCCATGTTGATTGGGAATCCGTGGTGAAGACCGTAAAGTCTTGGGCCGAAATGTTGGCGGTTGAGTGGGGAGGAGAGCTTGAGCTGATGCTGATCAAAGCAGAGCCAAAGTCCAAATCGACCGGGTGGTGATAGGGGGGTTGAGGGGAGAAGGTTGGATAGTTGACAAAATCTGGAGACGGAATCTTGGCGGATTAAGGAGCACACTCGGGGAGAAATGGATTTACAGCATCTTGGTGGCCGCCTGAGGCGTGACGGCTGAGAGAAGGTCTTCTGGATGCTGGGGGGATGAGGAGGAGAGAGAGAGTGAAAGCGTGCTGTGGAAATTTGGGCCGTTTTGTAATCTCTAGGCAGCCAAACTTTTGTCCCTGCGCGGTGCAGGTGGTCGGGGGTAAGCGGTACAAGGCTAGACATGTGAAGGACTTAGCGCAGTAGCACAACATCGAAGGTATTAGGTGTGCTGACGGTAGGCCGCTAATAGCATCTCAAGTAGCACCGCGCCCTTGCGCTCGCAGTGGAGCCTGGCCGGTGACTCACACTTTGCGCGGTAACCTGTTTGGGACTGGCCGCTCACTCTGCTGCAAAAAGGCCTGCAGCTCCACAGCCCCAGGGCGCAATTGAAGCCTGCACGGGGCCCTTACTGTGCCGGGGCGATTTCGCTGCACTGTACTGCACTGTACTGTAATGCGCTGCGCTGTAACTGTATTCGCACGCGTACGCGCAATCTTCTCTCGCGTCTACTGGTGTTTATTGCTCAATCGACGACGCGTTGCAGAAGCACATGGGCCAGGCACTTGGATGCTACCGACATGGCGGGATTCCGACAGAGCAACCGTCGCCGCACTCCCCCGGTCTCGTGCGACACGAGGGACGGGGCAGGCTGTGGTTGGTCGAGCCATCTCGTATCAGCCCCAGCCCCAGTCCTCGCTAATATCTCTCCCCCCGCTGCGCGCGAGCCATGCCTCAGTGCAGCATGGAGACTGGAGATGAAAGAGCGGATTTGTTTCATAATTATTATTTTTTTGGCCAGAGTTTTGGCGGCGTTTATCATTACTCTCTCTCGCTTCTCCATGCACAGTACGGAGAGACGACGGCTCCAAAGTCTAGAGAGGGCTCGTGTTGGCCGTGTCGCTGTCCGGCTTGCTGCAGCACACGAAACAGATGCCACCAATGCTTACCTGCGCCAAGCAAGTCCTGCACTACTCCGTCAGCCCGTCCAGAAAGCTGTCTGCCTGGTGCCGCGCTCGCCGCGCCCCCATTTCTCTCCGGCGCTGCTCAATCTGCCGCTTGCGCAACTGCTTTTCCTCCTCGCGCGCCTTGAGCGCCCGCACCGTCCGCTCCCTTTCCTCCTGGAGCGACTTCATCTGCGCAACCCGCTCCTCCTCGACCTTGCTGAACTTGAAGAAGCCCACGCCTCTGTCCCGAATCTCCGCGTCGGGGTCGTAGTGGGTCGGTGCCGGCGGCGTCTCGCTTCGGTCGCGCTTACGCGCCAGCGCCTCCATCTGCTCCGGAGCCTCGGGTTTGAAGGCCATGGACTGGATAGTGTTTCCGTAGATGAGATTGCCCGGCGCCGAGGGCCGCGCTGACATGAGTTCCAGCTCCTCGGCTCCCAGCAGGGCTCGGCGCGCCCTCCGCTCCATCTTCTCCTTGTCGGCCCTGGTGCCCTGTCGCCGCCGGCCAAACTCGTCATCCCACTCAATCACCTCCTTATCGTTGTCGCCGTCGTCCTCGTCGGAGCTGCTGTCCGAGGCCGAGAGGGCGCCCTCTTTGCCCTCGGCCCATTTCCGATCAAAGTCGACCAGCGGCTCTACTTCGTTTTCCTTGGGCACGTAATCGCCGCGTTTCATGGCAGCGTAAAGCCGGGCCTTGTTCTTCATCTTCCGCCTCGCGCGGGCGAGCTCCTGCGCCTCCTCCTCCGTTCCCGCCACGTCTCTGAGCACCAGCTTGGAGCCGGCGCCTTGCGAATTTGCGGGTCTGCTGCTGCGGAAAATGTCCTGCTTGGACCCCTTGGACCCCTTGGAGGGCCGAGGTCGCGACGTCGGGTCCTGCGTGGCTGCAATTGAGAGAAGCGATGTTAGTTGGGCGGCAAAGTCCATGGAAGTTGACATGATTTTGCCTCGTATCTGCTTCTTGGCTGGCCGCTGGCCGTACAAGTTGGAATCCTGCGGCATCCTGTAGCGATCTTTTCGAGCTGGATGGCGACGATTTCGGCGGTTTCGGCGGTTTCGGCGTGCGCCCGCGGTCCAGGACGAGCTGGCTGTCTGCAGCCGCCAGATAAGCAACTCTTGAATGTAGCGCGCCTCAAAGTGTGCTTCTTTCAAACTTCATGTTTCCGCGATGGGCTTTCTCGAGTTTCTTCGCGACAAGTTGTAGGTGGCGAGTCTCAAGGGTGCCGGGTGCCATGGTCAAGAAAGCCACAAGGTGGAGCCGGCAAGCAAGCCACACGGGCGCTCGAGCCATCAGCCCCTCAGCCCCTCCGCCCCTCCACAGACTTCAGCGTCACAGCTTCCCCGCCATGATCGGCCACGCGCGAAAAGAAAATCAATTCCCTCGACAGCATTCTCTCTCGCAAGGACAGGCAAAGAAACATGGCCACTAAGAACCAAGTCTACATTGCCGTCATTGGTCAGCTACTTGCCATCGTCCCCCATCAGCAGTCAATGCTAACCAGTCCTTGACCAATGCAGGCGCCGGCGGTGTTGGCAAATGCTTCCTCTCCCAGCTGCGAGGCCTCGCTGCCCGAAAGCCGTCCCCCAAGCTAAACCTCTGCTACGTCTCCACCAGCCGCAAGGCGCTCTACAATGACGATTACAGCGAAGTCAACATGGACGGCGTCGCCGAGGCCCTGGCCGCCTCGTCAAAACCCCCCCCTGCCCTTTCCAAGGTCATCGACTACCTCGCGGCCGCACCCGCCAAGGCGGTCCTGGTCGACAACACCAGCTCGCAAGATGTCGCCGAGCTGTACCCTCTCGCCCTCAGCCGCGGCGTGAGCATTGTCACGCCCAACAAGAAGGCCTTCTCCGGCTCCTACCAGCTGTGGCAAGACATTTTCACCGCGGCCGCGACCTCGGGCGCAAAGGTCTACCACGAGTCATCGGTCGGCGCGGGCCTGCCCGTCATCTCCACGCTCAAGGACCTGGTCGAGACTGGCGACAAGGTCACCAAGATCGAGGGCGTCTTTAGCGGCACCATGTCCTTCCTCTTCAACTCGTTTGCGCCCACCTCGGGACAGGGGGGCTCGTGGTCCGACGAGGTCAAAAAGGCCAAGTCGCTTGGCTACACCGAGCCGGATCCGCGAGACGACCTCAACGGGCTTGATGTCGCACGGAAGCTGACCATCTTGGCGCGCCTCGTCGGGCTCCCGGTCGAGTCTCCGACGGCCTTTCCCGTGCAGAGCCTGATCCCCAAGGAGCTCGAGTCAAGCAGCAGCGGCGACGAGTTCCTTGAGAAGCTTCCGGCCTTTGACCAGCAGATGGAGGAGACCAAGGCCACGGCGCAAAAGGCCGGCAAGGTGGTGCGGTTTGTTGGTAGCATTGACGTGGCGGCCAACAAGGTCAAGGTGGGATTGGAAATGTTCGATCTGACGCATCCGATCGCCGCGCTCAAGGGGAGCGACAACATCATCAGCTTCTACACGGAGAGATATGGGAGCAATCCGCTGATTGTGCAAGGCGCGGGAGCTGGCGGAGAGGTGACGGCCATGGGTGTGACGGGAGATTTGCTCAAGGTGGTTGCCCAGATTTCATAGGATGCTCGCTTAATCCAATGAATCAATGACGGAAGGAAAAAACACGGGTATTTCTTGCATCGGTGGCGGCGCTCGTGACGGGTTTCGGAGGGATGCGTTCATCACTCGCGTGAGCTTTGGTCTCGAGCGTCCTTGGACGTTGAGGTGGCCGAGGAGTCGCTGGGCACAGGTGTCGATGCGCCTTGGCGTTCCGGGGCCGAGAACAGATTACTCCATTGCCTCCATATCCAGAGGAACAAGTCGTATCCGACGCAGAAGAAGAGGGGCAGGATGATGACGGTCCCCAATGCGAGCTGGGTGGAGGTTAGCTTGGCGCCCAGGCAGAGGTGCTTGGTCCGTCGGGCTTACACAGATGACAGAGATGGCGCGGACCAGCAGGGACGACAACAGATCCATGGCGGCCCACGACGATGCAGCCTCGACGGCCATGGCGGAAGATGGACAAAGCAGTGGCTGCGGGTGAACTGCTGCAAAGGGCCTTTAGTCCAAGGGCTCGGAGCTTGGGGCGGGGGGAGGTTTCCATATTTTAAGTACCAAGTTAGAGGAGAGAGAGAGAGAGAGAGAGGGCGAGCCGCGGTTGGTTGGCTGCTTGGTCCGAGCCAGCGGCGGCAACTACAGGCTTGTGAAGCTCTAGCTCACCGCCTTCTCCATTCGTACCCTTTCCCCCTCCAGCAGCATCTCAACTTTCGCACCCTCGACACCGATCCGACGACAAGATCTTTTCCCTCATCGGCGTCGCATAGACTCGGCCGGAGTCGCAGCAAAATGACCAAGACCACGGCGAATAAGCGGGCTCACCGCGAAAACCACCATGCGCGCAAAGGCCAAGGCGCAGTCGCCAAGCTGCCTCGCAAGAAATTTTACCGCCAGCGCGCACATGCGAACCCGTTTTCCGATCACGCCCTCGTTTAGTACGTCGCATTCCTGCGTTCATGGCTCGCGGGAGAACCCTATTGACTGTTGTCCCCAGCCCCCAGTCGCCCTCTGCCATGGACTGGTCGACATTTTATCCCACCTTTGTGGACAAGGAGGCGCCTGAGGATTCTGCCGACCCGCCGCGGCTGCGGCAAGACGTCGAGGTCGTCGACATTGGGTGCGGGTTTGGAGGCCTGCTCGTTGCGCTGGCGCCCCTCATGCCGGAGACGCTGATGCTGGGTGCGTTTGGATGGGCAGATGCCAATTTGTGCGCCCTGGTCTGACTGTCGCAGGCATGGAGATTCGAACCGCCGTCACCGAATTCGTCCAGGAGCGGATATGGGCCCTACGAGAACAAAACAAGGGGCAGCTATACCAAAACGCAGCCTGCCTGCGCGCCAACTCGATGAAGTTCCTGCCCAACTTCTTCAAAAAGGGCCAGCTGAGCAAGGTCTTCATTTGCTTCCCGGACCCGCACTTCAAGGCGCGCAAACACAAGGCGCGCATCGTCTCGACGACGCTCAACTCTGAGTATGCATTCGTCCTGCGGCCCGGCGGCATCGTGTACACGATTACCGACGTCGAGGCGCTGCACGAATGGATGGTGTACCATTTTGACGCGCACCCTGCGTTCTCGCGTGTGCCCCGGGAGGAAGAGCAGGCCGACGAGTGCGTCGAAGTCATGATGCGCGAGACGGAGGAGGGCAAGAAGGTGGAGAGGAACAAGGGGCCAAAGTTTGTGGCCCTATTCCGACGCCTGGAGGACCCTGCGTGGTGAATCCAAGATGGGACCGGTTTGAAAATTACTGCGGCGTCGACGGGCCGGACCCTGCATATGCCTCGGTTACGACGATTTTGGCGTCTTCGGGCATGGGGTGGACAAGGTGCAGGCCGCTGTCTTAGCGGCCAAGGACAACGGCCAAAGATGTCGGCCAAGGATATCGGCTTCTGGATCAGGAGTCTTTTTTTTTTTTTTGCGATGCTCGACAGCTCAACCGGGTGCCACTTCCTGGTTACTGAGGACACGAATGAGCACGCAAACCGACGCAAGGATGGCGATCAGCACCGCGGCGGGCAATGTCTCGTACAGTGACGTGGTGCACAGTCGGGATAGGAAAAGAAGGCATCAGCAGCAAGCTGGATTGGCAGCCCTGCGTGATAAATGGAGAGAATGTCTGTGATTCTTGATGCTACCGACTAATTCGTCACCTAGATAGCCCGAAGCCTCGGGAAGTCATCCGACTAAGCTCCTTGTTTCCCAATCTTTCACGCCGGAGCGTTGAGCGGGAACAGGAAGCGCAGCTCGGTGGATGCAAGCTTGAGGTCAAAGGGAGACCCGTTACGAGCCGCGTTACGGAGACGTGTACTTGTAGCCATACTGCTCCTTGGCCTGGTCGACGAGCTTCTTGAGCTCCTGGGACTTGGCGGCAGCCTCGCCCTCGTCGGTCTTGAGGGCCGAGATGCTGGAGGGCGAGGGCACGGCAAAGCCGCGCTGGACGGCCGGGCGGTCCCGACAGCGGCGCAGCCAGGCGTGGACGGCGGGGAACTGGGCGACGGAGACGGTGGTCAGGGGCAAGAAGTCGACCCAGCCGAGCAGGGCAATGTCGGCGATGGTGTACCTGCCGCGGCCCGGGCCGACGACGTAGTCCCGGTCGGCGAGGCGGGCGTCGAGGATGCCGTAGAGGCGCTCCGTCTCACCGACGTAGCGCTGCATGGCATAGGGGATCTTTTCCTTGGCGGCGCGGACGAAGTGGTTCGCCTGGCCCTGCATCGGGGCGAGTCCTCCATGCTGCCATGCGATCCAGCTCTCGGCGCGGGTGTAGTCGTCGTCGTCCGGGGCGAAGCTGAAGCGGTGGTCCCGGTCGTAGCGGCGGGTCAGGTAGGACAGGATGGCGGCGCCCTCGAAGACGGCCAGGCCGGCGTTGTCATGGTCGACGATGGCGGGAATGCGGCCGTTGGGATTGATGGCGGTGAACCAGGGCTCCTTCTGGACGTTTTGGCCGATGTTGATGGCTTGGGCGGTGTATTGCAGGCCGTAGGCGTCCTTGAGCTCCTCGAGCAGGATGCTGGCCTTGAAGCCGTTGGGGGTGCCTGGGCCATTGGTTGGTCAGTCAGTCAGGACGGTCTTTATTTTCGGCCCTCCGAGGCATCTTGTCTGTATAAGCGTCGTGATACGAGGTCGGACATGATGGTGACACCAAGTGTCGTGTGTGTGCCGGGGGGGCTTCGGTGGGACGGGAGGACAAAGGATAGAGGGGGTGATGACGACGACGCACCCCAGGTGAGCAGCTCGATGCCCTTGGAGGCAACAAGGCCGGTAGGGCGAGACATGGACGGCGTTTGGTTAGCGGCAGAGGCAGTGAGGACGAGGTCTGGTGCTGGTTGAGGAGGGCTCTCGCGAGGCAGACGGGGAAGGTGAAGCAAAGATTCAGTATTCCATCATTGACCAGTGCTCTCTGCAAAAACGGCCATTGGTATTCTCCAGTTATACTACGCGGTACGGAGAAGGCTGTGGGCTGTTATAACGCCAAGACTACTGAACCTTGATGCCGATTCCGTCATGGAACGATGGAACCCCATCCGCCGTCGGTTTATAAGCAGCAGCAGCAGCAGCAGCAACTCATCCGTCCACCCGCCGAAGCAGCCGCCCTCTCTCCTCGTGCAGCAGCAGCAGCAGCAGGCCGAACGGATTTCCAATCACCATGTAATTACTGTACATGCTTGCATGGCGCTGTTTGACGAATCCTCCTCCTCCTCCTCCTCCTCGTCCCCCAGAGGCATAAACAACAAGGGGGGCCTATTCGATAAGTTTCAAGGTGACTGACTGACTGACTGACTGACTGGGCCGGGCAGGGGGGGGATTTGGGTATTTGTCAGCGCCTTAAAATGGTTTCGAAACGTGGTTTGGCGTTGCACTGCAGTCTGCCATGATCACGATCCACGACCGGGGTGAGGGAGAAGGCCGGGGGGGGGGGGCTGGTTTTCCGCCAGCCAGCCAACCTATTCTCGGTCCCAGGCACTCGAACGGTCCCGGGTAGTCTGTTATCCGTGGTAATAAATAACCGCAACGGGCGTGCCAGGAGCCGAGACGATGAGGAATCATGGCCCGCCCCTGCCGGTGTCGACGACGACGACGCCAGGCCGCCGGTTGGTCGGCGGTTTTTCTTTTTTGTTCTTTTTGGCATGGGAAAAAAGGGGTCATCATTCATGGTGATTTGTCCTCCTAAAAATATCCTCGGGCGACTCCCGCACAGCGCTTGTGTACAGTACGCAGGCAGCCCTGCGGAGAGATCGTCGCCGGCTAGGGAGGAAGACGAAGGGGAAGAAGAAACAAGGCGAGGGCGGAACGGGGCCCAAAGAGGCGGAGAGTTGTCCGCTCCCTGGGGAGATGGCCCGAGAAGCAAAAAAACAGACGCCTCCTTGGTGTCTGTCTCGTGCATGCCGACATTCCGCACACTCCCCGTCCGTCACGATGTCATCTACTCCGCATGTACATACACCAAACGCTGTGTCTCTCTCCGCCATTTAATCTGTATAGATAATTAGATATCCATGCCCCGAGTGAATGTCATATCGCTGACGTACTGTACGGCAGGCAACATGCACGGCGCGGATAACATCCCAGCTTGGGGAGGTGGTTTGAAACACACCGGGGAGAAGGAAGACGATGGCATCCATCCACAGAGAGCAGCTTGCAGGCCGCGGGACCCCCACTCATTCACTCACGGGGGGGGCGTGGAATGCCGCCCTACGATGGTCCAGACTGGGCCCAGAAGAGAGAGAAGCCGCTTGCTCGACGATCCGAGCCTAAGTCCTAACTCCGTCTTGGGAGAAAGGGGCACAACACGCAAGGGGCACACACACTCTTTGCTTCCGAGTAGAATGTAGATGTAATTAGGGGATAGACAGGGCAGCGTCTTGCTCGGCCGAGAGAGTTGGCGATGCTTACCACTCCCGGACCATGAGTCGGTCCTCGCCCGTCAACACCTTCTTGTTGGCTCCCGGCCGCCCGTCCAACTCCCGCTCGCGAGCGCACGTCTTTTGCGGGGAAGGAAAGAGGGTCCGTCCGTCTCCGCCCATCCATCCGTAGCCGGCCAGACGACCATGACGACGTTGCTCCGTCTCGTCGTCGACGACTCCATCTTGACGGACTCGACCCGCCTTCACGACGCAACCTTGCAATACATGGCCTCACCAGTCGCACTCCACCAGCCACCAAGTCCCCCCCAGGTTCCCTGCGAGCCAGTCTAACTTACAAACAGGTCCTAATTATAGCCGCCGGAACGGAGCAACGCCCCGTCACTAACTAGCCAGGCCCTGCGTCGGCCGCCTCTATATCCGGCCGCCTCTGGATGGATGTATGTGGCATTTCCTTTGGCCACCGGAAAGCAAACAGAGAGGCGTCAAGCGCAAGATAATGCCTATTGCGGGCACACGGGATTCGTACATGTAGACGCGTCGGGAGGCGCAGGCAAGGTGAGTTGGGTGCTGCCTGACGGGGGTTGTCGACGAGGGGGCAGACTCAAGACACACACCACTTCGTAAACGGCCTGCATACAGTACATACCGTACTCGATACTCGGTCAAACTCATGGACCGACAGGCAGAGGGAGCCAAAGAGAAAAAAAGAAAGCAGGCAACAAAGGCAGCGTCCGCTACAGAGGCGCCCTGTTGCCCCCCCCCCCGTCACTGCAATGTGCCTACAGACGTCTGTACCGTACAGCACACAGCTATGTACCACATCCTCCATGCCTTCAGGGGTCCCCATTGTCGGTGCCTGTTCTGTCCTACATGCTCTCGTACCGAGGCAATGTGCCTTGCCGCAAACAAGTACATGCATACGGACGTATATACATGTCCCGAGGCCATCGTCACCGCGCGCTCCGTTTTGCCCGAAAGGGGAGGGGGTGCTCACCTCCGGTCTCCCGTCCGAGACCCTGTCTGCTTGCCTGTTTTCTATGACGATATAACTATCCATCTGTCTCTCTTCCTCCTGCTCTCCCTCTCCCGCCCCGACAAGGAAGAACAAGAGTTGGCAGGGGTTAAACGAGGGGGGGCGTGTGATGCATTGGCATGGATGGACGGATGGTGAGTCCGTCCCCGGACGCCCGCCAATCTGCCTGCCCACACAGGAGGATGCCCTGGACATCGACTGACAAATACACGATATGGTGTCAGTGCCCCCAATGGTTTATGTCTGCGACTGCACACGCACACGCTCCGTATCCTGCCATGTGTCTGTGTTGGTTGCCGAGGGCATGTGTGCATGTCCGGTAGTCGCCCACCGAAACACACACACATCACGACACCCTGTTTCTTCGTGAGCGACCTCGTCTTTCCTCAAACATGGGGACAAGCGAGGCCAGGTCGATGCCTGGATGGTTGGTCTTGAGCTTGAGAGAGAGAGAGAGAGAGTGTGTGTGTGTGTGTGTTGTGTGTACATACACACACGTCCTGTACTGTACAACTCGTACGACTCAGGCCCATGGATTGATTCCACATCCAAAACCCTTGCTTCTTTTCATCTTCTTTCTCGGCATGCGCTGTCGTCAAGACCGGCAACGGCACCCAGGCACACAGCACCAAGGTGAGAGAGATCCGAGATGCGACTAAAAGGGTCCCCTCAGCCTGCGCCGTCCACCCGGAAATAAAGGTAAACGGGCCCATCTCCGGCGTGCCAGCATGGCAAACAAAACAAAAACCCCCAATGCGATATACTGGATCCGTTAGGACGAGGGGGGCGTGGACCGTGTGTCATCCGGCAACGGTTCGCAGAAGAGTGACGACGATCCCGCCTCGCCCTCTCTCACTCTCTTCTCTCTTCGTGACTCTGCCGATGTCATTGATGCACGGTCCCAGCGTGACGAGGTGAAACATACCTCCGCAGTCACAGACAGGGGGGGAGGAAAGAGTCAAAGGCGGACCGTCTCTGGTGGCACGGCTTCAACGCAGGCCTTCGGAAACGGCCCCCACTGTCCGGCAATCGTCCCATCCATTCCCCATTGGCATCCCCCATTGGCATCCCCCAGAGGGACACCCCCCCTTTTCCGGCACCGCACCCTCCCCCTTTTGCTCTCGCACGACGAACCACCGGGCCAACAGCAAGCCACTTTGGCTTCGGCAGCGTGTCGGCGAGACCAGCAAAAGGGTTTGTCCACGCCCCCTCCCCTTCCCCGACTCCCTTCTCCGAGAGGCACCCAGCACCGCAGCCGCACATGCACACAACCATCCCCCCCTCAAGCCTCCAGGTTCCCAACCGCCTCGATTGGACCGACCCCCAGACACCAACCTTGGCCCGTCCCCCCCCTCCTCCCCCAGTACCGCCCGCCTTTTCGCCAGCAAAACGGCGCCTCTCCCAGCCAGAACTGGCGGTCGCTCTCGAGGCAACTGGCGGGGACTCGACAGGCACCGCATCGCGACTGGGCGCGGGGCTTGCATCGACGCAACGTGCCAGAGATGCAACCTCGATAGATTGATTGCTTGCGCGTGCCCCGACTTTTCGCTGCCACTGCAAGACATGTCCCTCTGTAAACTGTCGCGGGCCTTGGATGCATCTTCTCATCATGCTTTGCCCTCGTGGATTTCCGCCCCCCCCTTCATCTGCCGATCGGCCACTGCGGTTCCCGGTGCCGTCCCGCTGGCAGGTGCCATGTCGCCGTCGCGTCTAGTCCGACGATGACCCTCGAGGCAGACTTGGCAGACAGACGCCCGCCTTTTCCCTCCAAGGTGCCCGTACTGTATGCATGTGCTTTGTACTGCCTTGTGGTGTTGTCGGTCGGAACAGCACCTTGTACTCGTAGGCGCACGCCGAGGCCATCAAACTCAAATCTCCAACGCCCATCCACCACCAGTCGACCATGGCATTGGCAGCCATGGACTGGCCGGGCTCGCTCTCGCGCCGGCTCGCGTTGGGCCCAGCGCCGATGGATGACAGGGTCCCCCCCTACCACATGGTTCCTGTGACCCCAACCATTCCCCTCCCCTTCTCCTCATCCCCTTTTCTCGCTGCTGGCCACGCGTGTCTCCCGCCATTTTGAGTCGCCGTGATGCCGAGAAACCGATGAGCTTTCAGAGGTCCCCCTTCGCCGCGATGCCGTTCCCCGACTGGCCAAGGGCGAGGTTCGCTGCACGATACCACCCAGTCAAAGTCGCTCGTGTGCCGCTGCCCGCCCTTTACCACCCTCCGCTCCAAAGGTCGGGCTGCTTCGGGCATCCCGCTGCAGGCGCCCTTCTGGGCGAGAAAATGTGATGTGTTCGTCGTCGGCCAGCGCTGGTACCTGGCTTGGCTGGACGGCGACTGAGTGCAAAACCCGAGGTTGCGACGCGGCCAA